GGTTAAAAGGGTGCGTCGATTTTGATAGCCCCGGATTTTTGCATGTCCGAGGATGCACCACGCTCCCCGGAGATTTATATCCTAATCATTTTTCGGCCATCGAGGGGTCGAACAATCCTGGCATAATGGGAAACGGGTATAGAATATACGACGATAATGTAATATAGAACTGCATATATTCAATATTAGACGAAAATTCGCAAGTTTAATCTAGCCATTCCGGCTCATCGCTGCCTAGTTTCTTCGGCATCACATCCCAGCCTACCTCGCAGCCGTCGATTGAGCCGGGATACTTCACGGCTCTTAGGTCACCAAAGCCACTCTGCTTGGTCTCCCACAGATCCTCAGCCCAGCCAGTCTTCTGTCCTTGTTTTGGCCCCAGAGGATACTGCTGCGGCACTGGGTCTGCTACTTGGAATCCCGACGCGCCGTCGTACTGTCCAAGGGACTGGAGATACTTCATGACGCCGGCAAGAGAAACGTCAACCTTGTACGCACCAAATCCGTCGGAGACAAAATCCCGGTGGTATATAGCGGCGAGAATGCCCGAGGCAAAGAGATATCCTGCTCCGTGATCGAGAGCCTGGCAGGGAAGCACCCGCGCAGGCACACTGGGGACATTCTTTTCGCCGGGTGAGGTTGAAGCAGCGGCGAAGTGCTCTGCCTCGGAGACGTTCATGCCCGAACAGGTCTGCACCAGGGAGTCGAACCCTCTGAACGTCGCCCAGGGGTTATTCTGGTTGAGTTCGTCGTTGGGTTCCGCGTAGGCTGACAGATTTGCGTATACGATTCCCGGGTTCACGGCAGCGAGGTCTTTCGGTCCCAAGCCGTATTTCTCCAGGCTGCCCGGTCGATAGCTCTGAAGGAACACGTCTGCATCACGGACGAGGTCGAGGAGCTTCAGCCTATCCTCTTCCTGACGGAAATCTAGCTGGATACTCCTTTTGCCTCGACCCAGATCGATATCCAGAGCTGGTAGATCTGGCAGATGCGGCGCCGTAACCCACAGCACATCAGCACCGAGAGCAGCCAGCGTGCGTGCCGCGACAGGAGCAGCGATCACCCGGCTCAATTCCAGCACCCGCAGTCCCTGCAACGGCCTCCTTCCACCACCAACGGAGGAGCCCGTATATCTCCCAAAATGACCTCTAATCTCCAAATCTCCCCCTTCCTCCTCTTCAGGGACCGCATATCTCTTGACGCCGATAACCTTCTCGCTCACCGGCCACCCTTCCCACTCCTCCCCGGGCCCCCTCAGCTTGACCACCACCGCATCCCCGCCTAAAGCCACCCTCTCCAGCTCCTCAGCATCCCACCGGTCCCCGATCGCCCTCGCAACGTCTTCGCGGTTCACTTCCCCGCTATCAGATACAGGCACACCTAGTATGCTCGCCAGGGCACGCCGATGGTTGACGAATGAGCCATGGATCCTCACATAGCCCCCGTCGCGGGCGCGGTATAGCCCGGAGATAGCACCCCATGACGATGGTGGCGGGCGGGATGATAGAGTGTACACACGTTCGGAGACAAAGGAGAGGGCGGCGGCGCGCGCGGAGATGGTTACGGTGGGCACTTTACTGCTGCTATCGACATTAATGTTACTGCTGGAGGAGCTATTTTGTGTGTGGGAACGGGCGGAGTGGAGGAGTGCGGCGGCGAGCGTGGGCAGGGCGATGCAGGCCTGGGCGAGGTGGTCGAGTTTGTAGGAGGATGGAAGGAAGCGGTCGTTTGGAGGGCTTTCTGGCTGGAGAGATATGGATGAGAGGGCTGAGAGAGGGAGGTTGAGGGATTCCCAGAGAAGGCGGATGGTGGAGTGGGAGGTGAAAGAGGAGCGGTTGGGGAGAAAACGAGGCATTGTGGTTACTGAGTTGTCCGGAGAAAAAGAAATCAATTAGCTGGAGATAATACACTTCATCCTCACGCGGGTGGCATTCTAAGAAGGACAAAGAGCCATCGATTTACTATTCCGACCGGAACTGACGGGTGGTTTTGGTCTGATGGCTCGGGATTTGTCGGTTTATAGCCAACTACGGAATAAAACAAGGCGAGCAAGCAGGTGCCGATGCCGATGTTAATGCCGAGGCTTGAGGAGTGAACAAGAGGAAAGGGAAAAAAAAAAAAAAAAAAAAAAAAAAAGAAAAAAGGAAAGGTTTCATGATTCATTCAGTCGTAGCTATTAGTTAACCAGTTATGGTTTTAAAGCACGTTCGCAATTTACTTTGACCGTATCTCTCCATCTCTCAGCAGCCCGCGATCTCCTCCTCCTCCCTGCCGCCACAACCACACGCCCTCCGTCGCCCACGCCCGCGCACTTGCATGTCTGCCGATGCCACCGACGCCAGCTGACGCCGTTCTATCCGCATCCACCCCGCCACCGGCCTCGTTCAGCATCCCTGCCACCACCTTCTCGCGCTCAATAACGCTCCACAGCCCTTCTACGAGACTACTCCCTTTCTCCCCAAATTCACCCTTTCCCAGGCGGTACAGCAGGCGGCCGAGGACCTGCCAGGCCAGACAGCGCTGCGCCGGCACCGACGAGCGCGAGAGGATGGCGAGTTCGGGGACCGTGTATCCGGCTGCCTCGGGGTCTTTGGCGTGGTGATGGAGGCCGAGGGTGGTGGGGAGGGAGAGCGAGGTTTTGGGGGCTAGGAGGGCGCCGGAGAGTGAGAAGCGGAGGGATGCCGGGGCGAGAGACGTCGCGGTGCTGTCTGGGTGGTAGGCGGAGGTAGGTGCGTCGTCGGGGGAGGATGGCTTTAACCAGGAGAGGGAAGACGGGTCGTGGGGTGTGTCTGGAAAGTAATGGGTCTGTAGGTCGGCGAGGAATGACGGCGATGAGGGATCGAGGTCTGGCATGGGAGATCCCCGCGGGTGTGGAGGTCTGGGGAAGTGGATGGGGCCTAACGGGGGTTGGGAGGCGGGAAAGAGGTCCTTTGGCAGGTGGCCGGGTGGTATGTCGTCGACAGAGGTTGGTGCTTGGGGTGCGGATGCGGATGCGGAGCTGCTTTGTTGGTCTGATTCGGGGGGATTATCGAAGGAGACGGATCTTGACGGATTGTCGTCTTGGTGTCGGTCCTGTCTGTATTGTTCTCCTGTAGATTTGGAATTGGCATTCGCCTCGTTCCCTCCATCCTCGATGTTGGCTCTCTTCAGTAGGCGCTCGATGAGGGACGGAGAGAGGGCAGACATCAACTCGGCGCGTTCTCTTTCGATCTCAGCCGTAGACATCGAGGCCAGTCGCCGTCTGTTCTCCTCGTCGATGGACTTCTTTTCATCTTGGGGGACTGTCTGACGTGTAGACGGCGGAGTGGTGTTGTCTGAGGCTCTCTGGCGCTTGAAAGCGGAGGGTTTCGTTCGCTTTCGGTGCGAAGGGGAGCCGGTGCCGGTCGATGAAGCCAGCTGTGGAGGAGTGGGAGGGGTGGAGGAGTCGCGTTCCCTGATGTCGGCGACGAAATTGTGGAGGGCAGGGACGGGGTGTTGGCCATCATCGTCGTCGTCGTCGTCGGACAGGTCGATGGTGAACCTCTCACCGCGGACAGCCATGTTGAGAGGGCGTATATTTGCTGTCTCTCTCTCTTCCTTTCTCTCTCTTTTTTCCTCTCTCTCTTTTTTCGTCTCTCTCCCTCTTTTCTTCTCTCTCTCTCTTCGTGTTGTCTCCGACAGTCTGGTTCCGCGGCTTAAAACTCTAAAACGCCAGAATGACAGCAGCTAGATCCAAACAGGACTAGCGCTCATACCATGTGCGGGTGATTATGCGCTAAACCCGATCGGGACGCGAACCCATGTCGACGATCTACTGAAACCATCAGACGGAAAAAGGAAAGCCGTCAACAATTTCGTTTTCACTTCTCGGCGGCAGTGGGGGAGTTGGGCGTTTTTGGGGAGAGCTAGCTGCCCGGTGAACACGAGTGACGGGCAGAGGCAAGTGGTTGCCCACAGCTGAGCAGCCTCCTTCTGGGCCTCGGCACAGCTCAGCATGATGGTCGTGCATGGACTTGAATGGATGTATGTTTTTTGCAGGGGGGTTACGGCGACAAAACACCGGTGAAACGGCCACTCCAGCCATTTGACTATCAGACTTGCAGCTGCCGGGCTGTCACGGCGGTAAATTACCAGCGCGCAGCAGGTTCCGGCGGACTAAGCTGGGCGTGTACACGCCGTACTGACTGGCTGACTGACTGACTTGACGGACTTGACCTGACGGACTAACTCTGGGGGTGATGCTCGCCGGGCCTGCTTGAGCTTCTGCTGGCCGGAATGGCGCCTTGACTGCTCATTCGTTATTTGCTTCTTTAATCTCTCGTGCTCTCTTTTTCTCGTCTCTCGCTCGCTTGCTTTGCCTCGTGCCCTGCTTTTTTCCTTCTTCTTCTTCTTCTTCTTCTTCTCCTCCTCCTTCTTTTTTTCCTCTTTTTCCCTCTTTTTCCCTCTTTTCCCTCTTTTCCCTCTTTTCCCTCTTCTTCCTTTTCATCCCACCACCATCTTTATCCCACGGTCTCATCCCCCCTCTCCGTCTATCCGGCTTTGTGTCATCCTCCAGCTTTTTCTCCGCTTCTTTTCCGTCTTCTTCTCCTTCTTCTTCACTCTTCTTCTTCCTCTTCTTTATCTCTTCCGTCCACCTCTCTTGCTATAGCCCGTCCATCCTAGCCCATCAATTTAGTCTCTGCAACCTCCTTCTCAACCAGCTCATCTAGATTTCCACTTCTCGGCTTCCTTGCCACCCACAATTCCGTCTTCCCCTTTGATTTTCCAAAAACACCCCCCAAAATTCCACCCCAAATCCATCGCCAACAACACATCACCAAAAAGCCCCTTTCTGCCTTACCAATTATTTGTGAACTTCCAGCATCATCATCATCAACCACCATAAACCAACACCATCACCACCTGACCACTTTGAAACAGCGCCCACATCTCCGAATCCTGCATATTTTAAAATATTTTTTTCTTCTATCTATTTATTTATTTTAGCCTTCCGACTTCCCATTGACCGATCTGGAAATATTATGACCCCCGCGAAAGAAGAGACTCCAGCCCAGCATGATCTAGGAGAGCCTGCTGCCGCTGCTTCTGCCACCACTGCCCCTCCCACTGCCGCTGCCGCTGCTGCTGCTGCTGCTGCTGCCGCGTCGTCTCCGGAATCCCTCAGCTCGCTATCTGAATGCGAAAGCATCGCGCCACCCGCCCACTTCAGCACGCACATCGCCCCGACCTCGCACCCCGACGACAGCAGACCGTCGGAGCAGCCCCTCTCCTCCTCTCTCCCGAGCAAGACCGCCGCCACTCCCACTGCCGCTTCCACTGCAGCGATGACGACGACGACAAACGCGAGCAGCAAGAAGAAGGACGCACCAGCCACAAGTACAGACACGAGCCACATCCCCGACGGCCAGCACCAGCCACAGCAGTCCGCCAAGCCCAAGCGATCCCGAAAGAGGAAGGATGAGGATCCCGCCAAGGAGGGAGCTCACGTGAAGCCTCGCCGCCAGCGGAATGCCGCCGGCACAAAGGGCGGCGGAGCGAAGGCGGACAAGTCGGCGGGTGCCAATCCCTCCGCCGGCGCTGCAGCATCGTCCGCTGCACCCTCCACCACCACCACCTCCTCCCGCAAGAAGCAGAAGCTGGACCACCCGCCCCACGTGAAGCCCGCTCCCGCTCCCGCCCCGCGCCAGTCCAAGATCACCGACCTCGTAGATCCCTCCCCTGCTCCTCCACCTCAACATGTCTCCGCGCCGCAGTCTCCCCAACCTCAATCCCAACCTCAATCCCAATCCCAATCCCAATCCCAATCCCAATCGCAATCCCAATCCCAGCAGCAGCAGCAACAGTACCAACACCCCGCCGCTGCTCCTCCGCCTCCGCCGTCCAATGCCTCTCGTTCGACCTCTATCCTGAATACACAGAGTGGAAGCTATGAATCCAGTCCGCACTACCACTCCCTCCCGCCGCAGTCCACCTCCACATCATTCTCCGCACCGCCTCCGCCACCACAGCAGCAACAGCAACAGCAGCGCATTAGTGGCCAGCATTATGACCCCGTTCGCTCGTCGATCGAGAGCTACTCTCCTGCATCAGCTCCAGCCTCTACAACCCCGCCAATCGTCAGCGGTTCGTCTACAATGCAAAGGAGCAACACTTTCGGCACTCCACCTCCTCCACCCTCCAACACAACCCCTCCGCGCAACATGTTCCGTGCCAGCGCCTCTCCCGCTATCTCCAGCATCATTGACCCCCCTGAGCCCGTTGCCGCTCCTTCATCCTTCCCGTCCACGCCAGCAATGGTAGTCAACCCACAACAGAGCTCATCATCTCGACCCAGTAGTGACAAGCTGAAGCAGGCCGAACAACGCTCACAAGGCCCTGCGAGGCTTCAGGAGCTCGTTCCCATGGACATCGATAAAGAAGCCACGTCTACCTCGTCAACAATCCAAAGACCGCCAACTCCTACAAAGAAAGACAGACCCACAGGCAGTTCCAATGGCCCCGCATCTCGTGCGCAGTCGCCGAAACCATCCCGTTCGAAGGAAGCACCGCCTCTCCCGTCGGGCTCAGGCCTACTCACCAGCGCCGTATTCGGCCTCGACGTCAGCTCCTCCACACCCGCCGCGAAAACCGTACCCAACATCATCCTTCACGTTCCGTTAAAAGGCCAGAACAACGTGGTCATCAATTTTGCACGTCTGGCCGAAGAGCAATACGGCTTCGACGCCCTGCATCCCCGCATCGCGGCCCAGAGAGAGCGGCGGGCGCGCCTAGCCGCTGCGAGCGCCGTGCTGGAGAAGAACGAGAAGAACGCCAGAGGTGAAAGTGGAGCGGAGGACGATCTTAGTCTCGACGTGGATCGGGATAGTGACGTTGATGGGGACATCGTCATGTCCGGGATGGGGGGAGGCCCGACGAGCGATGCTGCTAAAGACGGGGCTGCGCCCGGCGAGGGAAAGAAGCGCCGTAGGAAGATGGAGGATTACGATCGAGATGATCCGTTCGTGGATGATAGCGAGCTGATCTGGGAAGAGCAGGCTGCGGCGTGCAAGGATGGGTTCTTTGTGTATAGTGGGCCGTTGGTGCCGGAGGGAGAGAAGCCCAGTGTTGAAAGGTTAGTTCTTCTTTGCCTTTTTTTTCATTTTTTTTTTCATTTTTCATTTTTTTTTTTTTTTTTTTTTTTTTGGTCTCTTGTTATACACTACTTTTGCTTTTGACGGGATACTAATATGTTTCTTTTCCTTTTTTTTGTGTGTTTACAGGGCCGATGGAACTGTGAAGCGCGGTCGTGGGCGCGCTGCGCGTACCACGGCAAGTGGAGAAGGCAAGACAACCACCTCCTCCCGGGCCAAGAAGGACAAGGACGCCGCTGCGAATAAAGATAAGGATTCCAAAGACAAGGATGGCGATGGAGAAGTGAAAGAGAAGCCCAAGGCCTCGCGTGCCGGTACGGGGACGACGAGAAAGCCGAGAATGACGAAGGCTGACAGGGCGCTGATGGAGAAGGAGAAAGCGGAGAGAGAGAAGATGGGCATGGGACTGGCTGGCAAGAACAGTGTTACTGCTGGTGGGAAATGAGCTTTTTGTGTGTGTGTGTGTGTGTGTGTGTGTGTGCACTTCAACAGGGTCCTGGTTTTGCACGTTGTATTGCTTAAGGATTGGGCGAGGAGTGCTGCATGGGAGCATTGCTGGGTTGATCTCTACGGAACCCCCTTTCTTTTTTTTTTCTTTTCTTTTCTTTTTAATTTTCCCACCGGTTAAGGAGTTCTGGGAGTTTTATCTGGAGGGATCGCTGCGACGTGTTTTGATTACTTTGACATGCGTGTTTGTTTGCATCTTTCTTCTTTGCTGGGTCTAGATGTTCCGAGTTCGAAGATGCTACTGGGGGGCTTTTGTTTTCCTGTTAAATTTTTATAGTCTCAACTATGCCTGAATAGGTTTTAGCCGTGCTGGAATTTTATCTTCCCTTCTTGATGGGGAAGAAAAAAGAATGTATGATAATAAATAATCAGCAAATATCCTCTATCCATTTGCAGCCTTGCCCATAAGTGGCCCCCGGTTGACCCCCAATTATGCGCCCTACTACCTTGTCTCCATTCCCACACAAAATAACCCTTCCCAGGAACCCCAGTCGTCGTGAAACATTCGTCAATATATATACTCCGTAAAACGATCGTATGGAGCCAGCCCATGCATATTCCTCTTTTTCTTTTGTATGTTCAATCATGATACGTCACGCTCAACACCTTGAACTTCGTCTTCTCTTCGCCAACACGCACACCCCCATCCTCATTAACGGATATATACCCGTCGTCTCGATCGTGGTACTTGATGTAATAACCCCTGCCCTTGTCCTCCCCTTCGCCGCGCACGAAATCGATATCTATGGCGACCGCGTCACGGCGTGGGACGAGCTTGCCCTCCTCGCCCAGCCAGACGCGTCGGTTGCCGCTAGATAGGAGATATGGAGGGTCCTGGTTGATGGCGGTAGTGTTGACGTCCGTGGAGGAGGTGGAATTGTTGTTGTAGTAGTGGAGGACCCAGCGGGCGTCAGAGTTGCGATATAAGCTGTTATAGTCGAGGTCAGGATCGGGATCGGAATCGGAATCGGGATCAGCATTGGTGGCGTCGGTGGTGGTGAGGTCGTCGGGGTTGGAGTGCAGGAGGAGGCGTGATTGTTCGGTGGTGGAAAAGACGAGGAAGCGGCCCTCGGTGAGGGTGCCGATGCATTCCTTGTAACCTTCTTCGACGAGGTCGGTGGGCATGCGATCGGGTTGAGAGTCGTAGGGCACCGGAGGGCGGGTCTCCGGGTAGAGGGATTCGCAGTACGCGCTGCCGTCCCAGTTTCCGGATTCATCGCGGTGGGGGAGTTCGGCTTTGGGGAGGTTAGGGAGGGAGAGGTTGGGCTGGAAGTATAGAGTTAGTTCGACGTGTCTGAGACAGATCCGGAATAGAATGGTTTGGGTACGTGCGTTTTCAAAATCAAATGCGTTGACGAGATTCGACATGTGTTCTCTTCGCCAGGGGACCACCTCGGGCGATTTGATGTTCTCGATGCCCTTGGCAGTGAGCCATTCTTCGATGAAGAGAATCTGTGAAGTGTGATCTGAGTGCTCGGTGAGGACTCGACCGCCACGGGTCCAGGGGGAGATGATGTAGAACGGCACGCGGAAGCCAGGACCGGTGAAAATTCTTCCAAAGACTCCCAAGTAGTCATCGATCCATTCTCCTGGCGTGTCTGTCGGCGAGTGGTATGGCGGAACGTGGTCGCCCCATCCACCAGATTCTACATAGGAGATCAGTGGGATCTCTCTTGGTGCCCCGGGACTGGAGACAGAAGGGACGTACCGTCAAAACTGATCATCAGCACGCTCTTACCGTACTTTGGGCTCTTGGTCACGGCCTCGACGACCTTCTCCTGCAGCCACGCACCATCCTTGGGCGAATACGGCGCATGCTCGGACAGCTCTCTCGGCCCTACGATAAAGCTGATCTGTGGCAATGTTCCCTTTGCGGCATCTTTGTAAAATTTGTCCAGCCCGAGAAAGGCCATGCCCTTGTCCGCCAAGGGTGTACCAGGCCGTGCATTCTGGTATTGCTCGAACCAAGCAAGGGGGTTATCGTCAAAGTTGTCTTCGCCCTGGTAGACTTGCCAGGATACTCCGGCGTCTTCGTAGAGCTCGAAGATGGTTTTCCATTTCAGGGGGTAGCAGTTTACATTGGGCTTTTCACAACCTGTGTTACATGCATGTTAGCTTCTCTGTGTGCGCGCGCGTGCTTATGCCTTTAAAGACACCCACCCGGAGTTTCGGTGTTGTCTAGATATACTCCTCCTTCGTCCGGGCTCTGTGGGCTGCCAGGAGCGTTGATGGAACCGCTCACCAGCATGACACGATTAGGGTTCGTTGACGTTATTTGTGATTGCTAACTGAGGATCAGACTCGGACCTCCCTACAATGAAAGAGAAATGACAGGCAACTTACTTGATACATATCTGCCACCGTCCATTCTTCGGCAAGAGCAAATTGAACCGGAATGTCATCCCTTTTCAGGTATCCCCAGCTCCATGGGGTGTTATCTGTCACCCACTGGTTGTTTAGCCCGTAGTTCAGGGCTGCTTGGTTTGCGCGGTAGCCGTTACTCCCGGCAGCCATACACTGGATGGCCTCAGACCAGTTTCCTCCGAGATATCCCAGATGCCATGGGAGGAGGGTCTTGGTATCGGTGGATTGATCGGAATCGACTTTCCTTTAAGGAGATCAGAACTCATTTCACAGAGGGACACGGTACAAAGACGAAAAGTCGAGTTGGGACGCGGAAGCACTGACTGGAACCAAACAGGCAAGCCGTCAGGGTTGACCTGGACATTTGGATCCTGGAACCCTCTCGTGCCCGCCATTGTTCCAAAGTACTGGGTTTCCATGGATGAATTAGTTAGCCGATCCCAGGGAAATTATTATATGTATGTATATTTTAAAAAAACGGCGGCAAGGGTTAAGAATACCGTATTCCATGATCGGTTTTCTTGCATGAAGATGATGACATGATCGACATCTTTCAGCGACCGGGCGGCCTCCTCGCGGCCGTCTGTGTCTTCCTCTGCCTCCCCCGGGTCGGTAAGGAACAAGGAGAGAGCGATCGCCAGGGCGATAAAGAGCTTCATGACGAGTAGATTAGCACCCAAGCTGTAAAACCTCCAATTTCAATAGAGAGAGGATTGGGCGCAAACGAAGGCGCGCGCGGGCGCCCCCAGGGGAAGAGATCACAACGTACGACGCTGAAATATATAAGCAGCTTCACCGGGGTCGTCCAGGGCCGGAGCTTGTCACGGAGCGACCTCGCATGCTGATTGTGCAGTACTCTTTGTTTCTCAGGATTATGGGATGTCATCCCAGTATGCCGACGAGTCGCACAGGCCTTATCTGCCGTGCTGGTCTGGATGGTGTCGGAAGAGGAGAGCGGGATTCTGGACCTGCAGACGACGAGGGACACAAGGATCACGGAAAGAACCAAGAGGACGGCGAAGAGGCAGAACGTGCGATCACCATTCTGGCAGCGGGAAAAGAGGACGAAGCAGTCCGGAAGAGCCATGACGGAGACCTGGGGCCCCGCGGGCACCTATATGAAGATCCACGGGGCGCAACGTCTGGAACCATGGAGCTCGAAAGAACGGTTTAAGCTCAGATCCATGACACTGATCGGCTCATCCCGCACATCCGTGGGGTTTCCCTGCTGGCAGCGAACCGGAGTGCGTGCGTGTAGTGATGGGCAGGTTGGCACGCACACACGTGTGGAAGCGAGGCTCGGCAGAGTTTCAAAGCCAGTCAGTGGACGAGTCGAAGAGCAAGACAGGGTTGGGTCTTGGGTTTCACAATTCGACCGAGAGCGACGCGCGGCAGCAGGCGTTCGCTCAGAGAGTTCTAGAGGGCTTTTTGCTGTGGAATTCAGACGCTTGTTGCGCTGGGTTGTTGTGGCGGCGTGGTGTTCCCCTGGTTTGATCGGCTGGTGTCTTTGTATTTCACTTCGCCTGGAAGTAACTAACTAGTTACACATCTACACGGGCCAGGACGCGAAGTCTCAGAGGCTGAGGTTGGGTCTTGTCTGACCAGGCTGTGCGATGGAGAGACCAGCGAGTCGCCGTCGCAAGCAGCGGTGGTCGCGACGAGAAGACGACGGCGACGACGACCACGGCGATAATGACGACGACAACAACAACAACAACAGCAGCAGCAAAAGCAAAAACAGGGACAGGCAGAAGAGGGGAGACAACGACAGCGGTGATGGCGATCACCAGCACCAGCAGCACACCGACGTCGCAGCGCTCCCTGCAAGAACAGAGCCGGCGACGGCGACGACGACGACGACGACGAACAGGACGGCGGCATCCTCGCTTCTGCCAATCATCCTGTGTTTGGCTGCAGTCTTGGTATTCTTGCGGCTTCTTGGGCCCTCTCGACCGCCCGCCGTTGCCGTCGAGCACGCTCAGAGCCATGGCCGCAGCCAGCGCTTCGAGCTGCACCCAGAGAGGCATATCTACCGCCCGCCGGCCACGCTCTCGCTGCACTGGACCGTCACCTCCGACTATCGCCGCCCCGATGGCGTCAAGAAGCGTCTCTATCTCGTCAACGGTGAGTCTTGTCTGCCCGTTTACTGCCCCCTTGGCGCTACCCTTGGCGGCCGTGGCTGTAGCGTCAATGCGACAGGGATGATGCCAGTCCAACCCAGAGAGCTCTCCCTGCTGGGCACGAAAAGTTAAGTTAGTTGCCAGGTTTGCTGACGGTTAACTCCGACAGGCGGCTTTCCCGGCCCAACAGTTGAAGCGCGTGCCGGTGACAGGCTCGTCATCAACGTCACCAACGGCCTCGCCAACGAGGGCCTCTCCATCCACTGGCATGGCCTACATATGCGAGGTGAGCTTATAAGCAACCCCCTCAGCCGTTAACTGAGCTGACGACGTACTCTGTGCCTGCTGACACGGCTTCATAAGATGCCAATTCCATGGATGGCGTTGCCGGCATCACCCAATGTCCCATCGAGCCCGGCGCCTCCTTTGTCTACGACTTCAAAGTCTCCGAAAACCAGACGGGGACCTTTTGGTATTTTACCTCGACGGCTTGGGCCTAGCTAGTTTTTTTTTTTTTTTGTTCGGGGATACTAATCTGTTTTGCCGGGGGGGGAAAAAACAAACAGGTACCATTCGCACTCTAACCTGCAGCGCGGAGATGGCTTGTACGGCGGGCTGATCATCCATCGACCGGCTGCTCCCGCCATTCGAGGCATGCGAAGTCGCCAAATCCATACGGACAGTGTGAGATATGGCTACGAGAAGGAACATCTCCTCCTGATCGGCGACTGGTACCATCGGCCCTCTGAAAAGGTGCTAGAATGGTATATGCGCCCAGGCTCTTACGGCAACGAGGTAATCTCAGGCCCGCCTAACACCGAAAAATGCGAGCGTACTGACCCCCTGGCCAGCCAGTCCCTGACTCCCTCTTGGTAAATGGTGCCGGCCATTTTAACTGCTCGATGGCTGTTCCTGCTCGTCCACTTGACTGTGTGACGAGGGGGTTGACGACCCCGGAGCTGCATTTGGACTCTGGAGTATCGCATAGACTCAGAATCGTCAATACTGGGTAATCCTCTTCCCTCAAGGGCCTCCTCGATACTAATTCATTACTGATATTTATTTCTGCAGTTCTCTCGCTGGCTTTACGCTACACTTCGCACATGGCATCGTTAGCGTCATCCAAGTTGATGGCGGTATCGATGTCGAGCCAACAAAGCGAAAGGCGAAATCTGCTGGCATATTATACCCCGGCCAACGTATGGATCTAGTCATCCAACCTTCACGGAGGCGGAAAGCCTCCTCTTTTACCGTGGAACTCGATCCTGAGTAAGTTTAAAAAGAGCGTTAGGAGGTTAACAGAGCTAACGTGCTCAGATGCTTTAATTACCCAAACCCAGCGCTCACTCGAGTGCAAACATTTCCAATGTTCGATATGTCAAAGGCAGGAACCCGCAGCCTCTTCAAATTAAACCCTTGGACATCAGCAGCAGACACACACATCGACCTCGCCCAAGTCACATCTACCAAAGCTTCAATATCTACCCTACCAGCCCAAGCAGATAAGACGTTCGTCGTGTACACCAAGATCTCGCGGATGGCCAGAAACGAAAATTCTCCCTTTGGGTACTTCAACCACACCTCCTGGCGACCACAAGCCAACCCGCCATATCCCCTGATCGCCCTCGACCGTGATAGCTGGGACGAAAACCAATTTTCTTTGTCCACTGGCAGCAAACCGGTCTGGATTGACTTTATCGTCAACAACCTCGATGAGGGTCCTCACCCGTTCCATCTCGTAAGCATTCCCGGCCACTAAGGTGTCCTTGTAGCTACGTATCTGAAAACTAATGAAAAGCTAGCACGGCCACACGTTTTTCATTCTCTCCCTTTTCGAATCCACCATCGGCTGGGGCTCGTACAACCCTCACCAACCACACCTCAATCCCTCGCCACACCCACCGTACGACTTCTCCAAGGCTCTGGAACGGGATACCGTGCAGATTCCGCGCAGGGGCCACGCAGTGTTGAGACTGAGGGCGGACAATCCCGGCGTGTGGCTGTTCCACTGCCATATCCTGTGGCACCTTGCGAGCGGGATGGCGATGTTACTCGAGGTTATGAATGAGAAGGGCGGAAATGGTATGACAGCGGGGATGGAAGCTTGTCGGTATGTTTACTGAGAGAGAAAGAGGGAGGAGAGGAGTTAACTGTGTGGGCGTATTTAACCATCATTCTTCATTTTGGGTTTGTTAATTGCTTGACGCCTGAAGATACCCGGTCTGTATGTATGTTCATGCTGTTTGTCCATCATCTTCTCTCTTCTTTTTTTTTTTTTTTTTTTTTTTTTTTTCGTTTTTCGTACGTTCATACCTGAAGAATTCTCATTAAACAAATGTTATTTTATGCTATCATGCATCATCCCGACCTGTGTTACTGTGTCGTCCACCCCGTGCTGCAATGCTGGCCTTGGACTCGTTCGAGCCCGTCAGTGTACCCAGTTTCAACCCAGGCCACCCGATTCAAAATGCTGAACATTCACACATAAATGATGCATTGCCGTATAAATTCGGGAGGGTAAACGTCTGATGCCCGAATGACCTCTCATTGTGATCCGGGCTGTATGCCCGTGCTTATATGCAAACTATTACTTCTTGCAGGACAGAAAACCAAAAGGCTCAGCCGCAGCGATATGTGACATAAAGCATATTTTCTTTGCGATGAAATTCTCATGATATCGATACACGTATATCTGCACCAGGTGGACAACAAACACCCCCCCCCCCCCCCCCCCCCAATACTCTTCGTTTTATGGACAAAAACGTGCCTCCAAATATCCATATTTTTCCCCGTCAGTAATTAAAAAAAAGGATATCACGGCATCCTCGAGTCAAATCCACCGCGAGGCTTATGTAGATCTCATGGGTATCACAGCCGCCTTGACACTCTCACACATTGCCCGATCTAACCTTTCCCAAGGACCCCTTCATCACCCGACTGAATGGCCCAAATTTTCCACTTAATATCCTCAATAACATCTTTCCGCAACCACAACCCTTTCTCCTCCCTATCTTCGTCATCCTCAGAACCCCCATCCTTCGCCTTTGCCGCCCTCTCTATGCCCTCCACCCACGCAAAGAGCAACCGTAACTGCCACAATCTATCCCTTATCACGTCAGCTCCAGCGCCCCTACCCGCTGCAGCAGCAATCATGTTTCGCACCGTCCTATCCAGTGCTAGCCTGGCCTCGACGACCGTAGGGCGAATCCATGAAGGTAGCACAATATCCTCTCTTCCCGGACTCGGCTTCAGTGGCTGATCAAATGGATTTGGGGGCAAAACCAACGTCTTCTCACTCATATCAAGATGCCGGAATGCTCCCAGGTTGAATATCCACTCCCATAGGTGGCGTACTGGAATCCTGACTTCGACAGTGGATTTACCGTGTGCATATAACGCCGGAGTGACCGGGTTCCCTGTTGCCCCCATTAATTTGGAAGAGGAAACGGGGACGTCTTGAAGTTCGCTCAATGCAGACATTGTGGCCGCGAATGCGGATTTTTCCGCATTGTAGGTAGTTCGGCGCTTCAGGTAGATAGATTGATTGCCGTGGCGGAATTTGTCGCGTAAGATCTCGTTGGTTGTAAAATCAAGAGTTAGGTTCCAGTAGTCAGGGCTCTGCACTTTAACACTGGCAATTGTTGCCAATTCTGGAAGAAGACAGGGTGCCATCGCTGTCGTTGTCTCGCCGGAGTTCAGCGTCAACGACACAGGAATTTGCATCGCGCGCCCTGTCTCGAGATCACGAGGAATCAAGCATCGGGGCTCAGCAGCTAAAACCCAGAGATGACGGAACGCTTGTAGGTGGCATTTATTATCTAGTACGGTAGTGGGAAACAATGGATAAAACGCACAAAGTAATGATGCGACGGCGAGATCGGACGTCCCCACCGTATACGTTCCTCCACCCAAGAATAGAACTCCTATGGCCATATGCGCTGCCATATGACTTCCATACGGGGTATCGGGGTCCACACGTCCATGTAGCGATCGCAAACGGCGGAAAACGGTGACATCGCCAGTTCCAGCCATAACAAGCGCCGCAGACAGAGCAACAGTGTCTTGGCAATTTCGGACGGAGTTTCGAGTTAACTTCGCGTCGTAGTTAATGGCTGGAAGACGACAGAGCCGAATAAATTGGTCGAGAAAAGCAACGAGGAGGTCCCGAGCTTCGGTGGATGCAGAACCAGCATATCGAAGGCCCACAGCGAAGCAGATGCCAGCGATGATGTTGAAAAGCGGCATGTCGTCGGTACTCAATCGACGGACTGTAATCAGACGAGATTTCCTCTGGTAAGATTTCGGTAGAGACTTTTGGACCCAGTCATGACTGGGCTTGATCGAATCCCACATGATCAAATGTCGGGCCAATGTTCGAAGTAAGAATATATCCGGGCGAACATAGTCAAACTGAGCGATCGTATCAGGTATATCGATCTGTTTTGCAAGAGACTTGTCATTTGACTTCATAGAGATAATTGCTAGCGCAACAGTAGCGCCTGCTGTGGCCTTGTCGAGGATATGTACCATATCGACCTTCTTCGTGCCAACAGCAAGCGCAAGGAGTCTCTCGATAATCCGCATGTCTCGAAGGCCTCCTAGATCTTTCCCTTTGGCTAGATTAATGAAACCGAGAGCGAGACCCGCCGCTAGGCGGTACCCTTCGTCCCTCAACATCTCTTGTGACATTGATGTGTCCTCTGGCTCCATATTCTCAATCTCTGAGAGCATGATTTCGCTCATACGGCGGTGTTGAGAGTTGCAGTACAGCAAACCAATTCCCATAATTCCGGTAGTTTGTGTCAACGGTGAAAGGTTCAATTCTGCAGCACCCAGTGGAAGCATTCTTGTGATGTGGACCGAAAGAAGACGCGTTATCAAGGTGTCCATCGTACCAAGATACGACGCGGAGAGACCCAAAAGAAGGCCAACCGACGTCATCGTGTGCTTAGGTGTCAGATATTTAAAAGCGACCCATTTTGCCAAATACTTGAGGTGGCCATTTAGACCTAACGCAAGTAAGAAGCCCGCGTGTCTATTTGTCAATTCACCGGGTTTATTGTATAGGACCCATGAAGTATCAATGCCCTTTGCAGCTTTAGATATGGCAAGACCGGTCGAAGCACCGTTATGAAAGAAAGCCCAGCAAACCTTTTCTTCGGTGAATGCTGTTCTTTCGGCGCTAATAGTAATATTTGATGGTTTGACGACGCATTGCAACGAGAACGATGGGATTGGAAGCTTTTCAGTTGAAAGAGGAACCCGACTGCTAAACGACATCAAACCGCGTCCACTTGGAATAGACAATGTTCGCAAAGTGACAAGCTGAACTAGCTCCTTTTGGGCTTCAAGCAAGTCGGCTTCAGACCAATCTGGTTCCTGTAGACATTCTGCAACTGGAGCTCTCGTTTGGTTCAGAATTTTGACGGCTTCGAAGTATCGCCTATCTTCACGGAAAATGAGCTTCGTAATCGAAAGTCTATCGGCCTCCGTAGAAGCTTCAAAGGAATTCACTCCACTACCATCGTAAACTGAGCAACCGATGTGATGCACGTCCCGCAAAGCATCGTGTGATTGTAGAACTTGTAACCGCGGCATCGTGGGGGTGAGATGCTCGTTTGTCATAGTCAAGGAAAGGTCATTTCTGTCGACCAACTTTAGTAGTGATGGTCCGCAGCGAGGAGTGGCAACGCCTCCACACCGAATTATCGCCTCATGCAATGGGGCGCTAATGCCGATCGGAAGAGTGTCAATAACAGAGGATGTTAGTCCCCATCGAAGCAGCAATGCTGTCTTTTCAACCGTCGATGATTGCAAGTTGATCTCCGAAAAAAACCCAGAGATCGCCAGAGTTCTAGGGGTAAGGCTTAATGCTTGTTCCCATATTTTCCCGCTGCCTTGCTTAGCACCAGAGCTTGAGACCATATCAATAAGGGTCATAAAACTAGACGGTTTATTCTGCAAGAAATTTTCCACGAACTGAAGCAGGGAAGGCGGGGGAAACGGCTCCTCGGGGACGTCAAGCCTCGATATCTGAGACTGTTCAAACAGCCAGCTCTCCATACTTGCACTTTCGGTACCATAGTACGCATGTTCTTCCCATGTCCATGAACTCCACCCTAACCAACCCCCAATCTGGGCTAGTACAGGCACCATAAGACCTAAATCGCAGTTCGATAAGTCAGAATCAATGGTCGACAGCTTTAGTTCCTCGCGAAACAAATGGAGAGCAACTAGTATTGCACCAAGCGCGGTCTTTCGTGTCCCAGGGTCTTGCGAAATAGCAGTGGGTAAATAGCCTTCAGCACCAGAAGCAGCTTCTCCTTGAGGGGATGATATAAATTCACGCGCGAGCGAGGCACATCGGAGGATATATCCATTCTTTCTTGAAGCTGCCCCGCATGTCAAGAAGAGGCTAGACTGGTGTTCGGACCGAAATACGTCGTCTTCACGGCGTTCTTGTTCCTCACGGATCCAACCCCAGGCTGGTGTCATCATCCAAGAAGGCCCTACACCGGAGGAACCGGATTGTCGTTCTAACATCGCGTCCCAGCTATCGAGATCAACAGAGCTCCCACTACTTGAACGTAACAATGTGCCTCTTTTTCGCTTTGGCTTTACAATAGGCTTCGAGAAATTGCCTTCGATAAAATAAACGGCCATGGAAAAGAGTGTGACAACAAAGGCTGTCCATTCTAGGTCATTTTCACCTTCGTTCCTCGCCCGTAACCATCTTAAGACTTCCCACCAGCAAACCAGGATCCCATCCCCAGCTTTTTCGGATTGTCGCAACGCGAATCTGCAAACCGAGAGTGCACGCTTGACCAGAGGATTCCGAGGTTCTAACTGAATCTGCAGTCTATGCCTTCTGTTTTGGCTATCAGTGATGTCTATCTTTCCGCGATTGCTAGGATGATCGAGGGCGCATAAATTGATATCGCTAGCATCGAGAACTCTCCTCAAACCTGCCTCCCGCGGGTGGAACGAAGAGCGTGCGAACGAGATTCCAGAAGGATCGTGTAATACCATACTGGACGGAAGGTCGATCTTTACAAGCGTGCTCCAAGGAGCTTGCAACGTCAACTCGCCCCGGCCATCCATAGTGGTCGACAGGACAATCATTCGAGAAATACTGCCATCAACGAGCTTGCGGCAGTCAATAACATTCGAGCCTTGTCGTACATCTTTGAGTTGGACAGTATGCAAGAGATTGCCTTGGGTGGCTTTAGCCTTTGATTTTTTCGAGCTCAGCGAAGATCGTTGGGCTCTCCGAACCTGTAAATTAAGCACTAGTAAATTTCTCGAGTGCCTGTTCAGGATGCAGACGGCTAAAGGGGTCGAATCAGGGTCGTTCTGAGAAGTTTCGTAGAAGGATGACAAGGTAAACACTTCAAATTTCCGGCCTTTTTCAAACGGTGGAATGCCCTGGACAGAGGAAAACCCGGAAGAATAACTGCCCACTTTCGACAGAATAACTTCCTTTGGCAGTCCGGATACACTTTCTCCGAGGCCCATGCTATCGAATCCCTCAAAATTGCCTCCCTTGGTCAATCCATCCAAAAATTTATCAACGGGAGCGTCGAGAAAACTGCTCGCAGCGCTGAACACGGAAGTATTCCCAGGAGGTAGCGAGCTTCTACGGCGGTAGCCAAGACTCGCGCGCGAGCTCCCAGCAAATGAGTCTCTCTTACGAGACAGTGAGATATTCGATTGGTTTCCTGTCACCAAATCTGAGAATGTGTTTCTATCATGATTTCCTCCCAAGTCACTCCGAGCCAGTAAAGAGCTAACTCTCCTCGATGCTTTCCACGAAACCCCAATATCACTAAAGTCATGACCTAGCTGCGAAGCCAGGTCTTCTGCGTCTTCCAGTCGAGTATCTGTATTTTGGTTATTCAGTGGGTGTGACACACTTCGCCCTTGGCTCAGCATACTAAAACTTTCTCTCAAAGCGTTTGACCCACGACCTCCGGGAGTGGTAGCCCCAGCAGCTACGTCAAAATAGGAACTCCTCCGTTTAGCAACCGTCCCGCTAGATGACCTTCTCTTTTGGCTATGGCGGATGGCAGAACCTTTGTCCCTTTGCTGAGCGGTCCATATAGTATAGACACCGGCTGTTTCATTGAGTGTTACCACCAATATTAGTGGGCCATTTACTTGCGCTGTAGAAGCGAGTTCTGGGAACTCATTTGTAGACGACACGTAGAGAATTTCCTCTGAAGCACTCAAAGCTTCAAGGGTTTTAGCAGCGCGGGCGTGTTGTGCGCCCGGAGACACCGCTACCAGTCCCATCTCGGAGTGCGGGTCTAAGAGAGAGAACGTTCTTGGCTGGGAAGCCTCTGGCTCCGGCTTCAAGTTCCACTTTGCCGGATGGGAGGGGGAAAGCGTTAATGAGAACCGAGCACTACTCCGCGCGGATTGAGTAAACGATCCCGACGTTCTTGGTCTTCCATGCAGCACCTGCGAGGAGACAAAGGAATTAGGAGGCACTAGCGGAACCGGCGGCGTATTGTCTTCAGAAGCCTTCCGTTGGAAGAGCAATCCGCAGGGTGTTGCCCAAACCGAGCCCACCTCAAACGGCAATGGAATCACATGGGTATCGCCAGAGAGGAAAAAGATGTGTATTTGTGATTGTAACACTACAACCAATGCTCTTGCAACCGGTCTCTTCACACTGCCCTCAACTATGGAGAGACCTGCAATCCCGTCGATGTTGAGCTTCTCTTCAATTGTTACCTGCTTTCCCTGTCTTCCACCCAAGCCACGCAGGTTACCGGTCCCCGACACAGGGCCTCGGGCTGTCGTACCGATGCCTGGGACATCCCCTGAGCCTTTCTTGGTGTCATTCGTCCTTTCGCCGTCGGGGAAATACGCGAAAAGCGCGTGGACGACCTTCTCGTTCTCAACATCGAATCCGAAAGACCGTACGACGACCCCTCCACGAGACCAAACGACACAATGGTCCGTTAAAAAGAGTTCTTCTTCAACAGGGGTGTTGTTCTCGTCTTCGTAATGGCAAGTCTTCCATATAAATCTGTCATCATCGGGGGTATGCTGCAAGATGATCGACTCTCCGACGAGATAGGGTATGGCTGAGGGTTCGTGGAGCCCGAGAGAGCGAATTGCGGCCATTATCGACGAATCTTCAATTCGGAGATCAACATGGCCTCTGTAGCTAGAATCACAATCATGTCCATCATTAGCAATTAGGAATTAACGCGGCATGGAGGGAGTGTCTGCTTGGGTGGAGGTGAGCTTGAGGTGAAAGTCACGTTGTTTGGAGCTTTGGACCGGAAAATCCTCCACCATTTTTCTACAATCATCTCTCTTGGGAGCTTTGCAAGAGAACAACAACACAGCTGGGGTCAATCACACCGCAACACCCTCCAGGAACACTGGCAGTTTCTCTGAGAACTTCTGTTCATCTTGACTAAAGAATTACCATGTTGTGAAAGAAAGGGCCACAAACGCCACTCGCCCACTCTCTATTTGAGTCACACGATGGAGGAGATCGAGTTTGATCCCCTTGTCCACTTGAGGGACGATGGCTTACAGTTAAGGTAAGGAAGCTCAATCTCTCTTAAGCTAGATAGCATGTTCACACTCCCGTTGAATAGCTACGAGTTCCCATATCGCGTCTACGATGCCAAAGTCTACCCTATCCAAGCTCCCAACGGTTCTACCGTAATAATATACGGACATGAAAATGGAGTACGCATTCTATGGAGAGGAGGCAGACGCATCAAACCCCATGAAGGAAATGGCGAGGATGCCAAAAAAGAGGAGTCTAAGGCGAAAGCCGGCAATGATGATGTTATTATGATAATAGACTCGGACGAAGAAGACGATCCTCCCGCTCAGCAGAAGGAGGCCGTTCCCACCGTCCAGTACGAGGAGGAAGAAGACGAAATTGATCCTAGACGGCCGTTCCAGAGCATCATCGAGTCATTTAACATACACTTGGGAGTGAAGGTCAGGAAGGTGTCCATTCCGAGCATTCTTCCCGACGCCATGCGGCCAGTGGATTCGGTGCCGCCGGTCTTGACGAGTATGATAGTTTTTACTGCAGCCTGCGCGGATTCTTCTATTCGACTCATTGCCGCGCCTCTTGCACCTCCTCCCGCCGACGGTCCCTATCTCTGGGACTTCCAGACCCTCACAATTCCAGCACAACACGTCCAGGTTGATCCTGCCATTATCACCATGACTTTGACCTGCGAAAAACCTGATATCCCTGCCGAGACACAGAGTAGGGCTCGCGGTAAACAGAGCACTCCATCCAAACCACCTGGGACCTGGAAACTACTCCTGGCTATCCATTCTATGGAAGCTTCCGGGAAACTGTCAATCTATCAGATCGCGATTGACAAGCAGCCAATCCAGGCACCATACCCATATAAGCTTTCAGCAGACGATCTCGTCCCAGTTCAGCAGATGTATCTTAAGTCGCCCGCGAAGTCCATCTCGTTTCACCCAAGCCAGTACCCTTCCGACCACCACACGCATTTGCTCGTCGCCTTTGAAAATGGGAAGTTGGAGCTCTACCAGCTTTTTCCCCCCGCGTCACGAGCATCGACTCTGTCGGAAAGGCGGAGGCCCACAGCGGCTACACGGCCAAAGCAAGTCCATGCGAAATGCTTTTTCACGTTATATACTAACTTTGACGAATCATCGGCAAACCTTATGGACCGAAAGAGAATAGTTGACGCGAAATGGGTTCTTGGCGGCAGAGCCATCATGGTCTTGACAACCGACGGTGAATGGGGATTATGGGATATGGAAATGTCTGGTCCCGATCGGCAGAATCCAACCACAGCGACCACCTTTTCTGCCTACCAACTAAGCACCTTTGCATTAAGAGGCCGAGTCACATCGCCCGAAGTCTCATCCAGATCCCACCCTACGAACTCCACGTCGACCGCCGGACAAAACAAAACTAAATTCGCACCTATGACTCCTTCCACGCGTCGCATTCGTGAGGAAGTCCTCTTTAAAGGCACTCCTCAACGCCCTGCTGTTTCTAGCCACTCCTACAGGGGTGCTATATCTGTCATCCCGGTCAGCCGTGGTTGGGATAAGCTTGCGGATGAATCAATACTACTATGGCACGGAGACAAGAACGTGCAAATTCCTAGTTTAATAACCCTCTGGAAGAGCAGCGTCCAGCCATCGGACGTCGTTCTCGAATCATCCAACAAGTACAAACCTGCCATAATCCAGGATATCAAGCTGCTTGGAGAGATGGAGAATGGAATTTGTTATATCCCATCTCACTTCCGATCGGCCGCCACAAAGGACCCACGATTGGAGATTTTGATCACAGCTGAGACCCGCCTTCTCATCCTAGCCTCTAAACTTCAAGCACCAGAAGACGCGAAAGAGGACGAGGAGATGCAAGACCAAAATGTTGCCAACGAACATGACCAGATGATGTTGCAACGAGGAGAATTAGACCTGGACGGAATGGATCGCGTATTGGCAAACATGGCGAATAATACACCAGGAACACGGCCAAATCTCTTACGAAGTTCGCAAAATGCCTTCTTTGCCTGAAAATGAGTTTCACCGGAGTTCGTGGAGCTATGGGTTGGAATCTGTGCAATGGTGGTCTTCTTGTGCACCGAACTCCTACTAATGACGAATTTCGTTAGAATTCAAACCGGATATGACTTTTGTCCTTTGCCATTTTCATACCATAACCCAACCTATCTCCCAGTCCTTGGAGAATGAAATTAAAATATAAAAAATTAACCATCAATGCCTTACTGACAAAACTACAATCCCAGATCCCTCCCAAAACTCCAACCCACCGACGTTACCATCTTCCTCGTGCCATCTAACAAAAACAATAAAAATAAAAAAGGAAATTCCTCGTTCGCGACGCAAGGTGGAGCACAAGGCGAGCTTCAATGCCTTGAAAATTCACCCTCCTCCCCCCCCAACCGACGCCACGGCGTCAGTAAGTTGCGGGAAGACGAGTGGGGAATTAAGCTCTGTATTCGACGCGATAAATCAAAAACAACCACCACGCCGCGTCCTTCCTTGGTCTGCGGTGTGGTTTTTCTTCGCCCTGTCTTCCACGCTCTCCGATGTCAGTCGGGAAAAATGTTTGGAAGGCGGAGTTGGAGGGAGACGGAGCCGGCCCCCCCCGCTCTTTTTACCTTGAGCTGTGTGAGGCTGGGTTCTAATTCACTTCCTTTTTGACGGGTTGGGCGAAGAATACATATCTTTCGGTTATTATATTTATAGTTTTGCGTAGACTTTTTTGTTTTGGGCGATATATTGTAAACGTAGTCCTCATCACAATGCATGTGTGTTTGGAACGCACAGAAGAAACCTCAATTCTCGATCTTTATGGCTCTGTATCTATCCCGTATCAATGCACCCGGCATGCTAGGTATGTCTGCTTATGTACAAATACATATTTCCGAGAAAGTGGACAAACGGCCTCCCATGCTTTAAGTAGCTAGGAAAACGGAGAGTAAAGAAAATAGTGAAAAGCTGGAAAGAGGGAGAGAGCGGGGAAAAAAAAAAGGGCGAGATGACAACGCTAACAATCAGGCAAAGCAACCTTTCAAAAAGAAATCAGCCAGAGCAGAACAGAGGACAGAAGACCGGGAGAGACAGAACCTGCACATTTCATACATCTCCATGAGCAGTGAATCCATCTCCTACCCCCCATAATTCCATATCATCATCACTTTTCAACCTGACTTCACCGCATCAGTAACACAAAGGGCAAAAAAGGGAACAGAAGCAATAGGGACAAGAAACGAAACAGAAAACAACAAATGAAAGACTCAGCAAGGGAGGAAGAAAACAGCAATTTATTCGCCAATAGTTGGCTGTGGGATATCAAATATCAAAAAAAAAAAAGGTCACACCACTGGCACGCTGTTCAGCGAATGTATACAATCTAAAAGACCTTCCAGACACACTGTTCAATGCTGAAAGAAGCAAACGGGGGAAGTAGAAAATGAGAGTGGCATATGGGAGTCCCCATGAAGGGAAAAAAACACAAAGCAATATGCAGCCGAGATCTTTCCCTCGCCCATCAGATCAATCCAGAATTCCATACATCATGACAGGGCTTAAGAAAATAAGGACCACCCGTCTAGAGGTGGATATCAAACAGGGCAGGAGACAAGGCGCTCGCATGAACTATAAGATCCAAACATCCTACGGCCATTCTTGCTGCTTGATTGCTCGAAAACACACACCTTTTGTTTTCTGTTTCTTTTGAAAACACTGGCAACCAATGCATACAATGTACGCTAAGAGGGGACGTGAAGACAAAGGGAAAATACAAATCAAAGATAGAGTCGTCAATGGTATGCGCAAATATAAAAGCTCCTGAACAGATATGAAATAGAAACAAAAGAAAGTTCGAAACCCTCTAGCCTGGATGCGCATAGCCGTTGAAGCATGCAGGTTAGGGGTTAGGTGTAATTCGGTGACGGAGATCCATATGATTCAGGAGGAAGCATTGGTAGATCTTTATCTCGTGATGACAAGCCATCTCTTAATACGGTCTTTCCCTTGTTGCGATGAGGAGAAGCATCGATTTTCGGTGGCGGCGGTGGTCGGTCAGGCGGAGGGCCAGGTGGCGTTAGAGCCGTACGGAACGTTCGTCGTCGCGGATCAGAGGTGAGTGTGTTCTCTGGAGCAAATTCCTGCAAGCGCCCGCTGTGGTTAATACCGCTCTTCCCGCTTCTATCGCCAGTGCTGCTTCCCTCTCCAACCTCTTCTACAACAGGAAGCTGAGTAGCCTGCGCAGTTGAGCCCAGCAGTTCACCATCGGTGGTCCGAATCGTAGTTAAAATACGATCTCGAGGCTCAGGCTGCTTTTCAAGAGACTTTGCAGATTTTACTGCTTCCTTCTCGGCTCTATCCATCGCCTTCTCAGCGGGGGACCGGACAGGAGCATCCATTTCTGATTCGCCTTGAGCTTCATCGTGGTAGCGCCGGGCTCTCTCAGCTTCTTCCCTTGATCTTGTTATGATTGAAATAAAGTTGATAAACCGTTCACCGTAGGCGACTGGAGGTATAGGCGAGATCTGATTCTTGTTATGAGAAAGGCCCTTCCAAAAGTGCTCCATCTTCTTGATCATGCCATACTATGTTCCCATGTAAAGTCAGTACCACAGACAACACAAACAAACATCCACAGTGACATCAAGGACTTACGTGGGTCAAACAGTCGATAACACCAAGGTAATATATCTCTTCCCCAGGATCTCCATTCTCATGCGTAGACTGAAGTCCGCCTTCATCCGAATAGAAAACACGATTTTTCCGCTCATCGAGTATTTCATCGGGCATCTTTGCCGTCGCCTGCTCGATTGGAACCGGCTTCTCTCGCTTGATGATTTCTCGCAACTCCCTCGCCTTTCGTGCACTTTCGAGCTTCGACGGGGTCCTTATTAGCCCATCCGACTGCTGCTGTTGCTGCTGCTGCTGCTGCTGCTGCTCCTGCTCCTCGATTATCTCCCCACCAGGCTGAAACACCTGTAACGTTTTATCTCGTAACTTCTCCTCATTTCCTTTCTCCACGTCATGAATCCCGACGAGCAACGAGTAGTCCATAATTTTTAAACGTTGGAGGAGGGCCACGTCTCTCCGTAGCTGTGCGAGAAACACATCTCGCTTCATCGGGCCCAATTCAAGATGGCGGTGTCTTCGTAGCCAGTTAAGGTCCTTCAGAGTCGCCCTCGGATTGCTCACCAGGTCCTCTTCTCGAAAATCTCTCCCAATTGTGGATCCCTTAAGATCGAACATTTGATGAATATCCCGATGCGGAGGAAACAGGTTATTCATAACGACGAAATGAATCTTCCGGCCATACGCCATCTTGACGCGATGCAGGCCGTAGAACTGTGAGATCAAGGTATTCGGGTTATTCTCGATATGTTGATAGTAATCACGGAGTATTCTCCGGAGCAGCTTATGTTCGGCGTGGTGGATAGTTTTGATGATATACTTGTAATCGCGAGAAAAGTAAAAGAAACTTCCACTCTTCCCAGGCGACCCCAGTTCGGATAATATATATTTGCTCGTGAGTGACATCAGGTAATCAGCCGGATCGAGTTGGAATTTTGCCCGCAAACGGCGAAACACCCACGGGGCATAGTCCTTAAACTTGAAATCATATTTGGCGGAAGGCGTCAATTCGTTACCAGTTCTATCGCCAGGTCAGCACCAACACTGTCACTAGGGAAGAAAGAGGGAAGGGGGAGGAACACACATATCAAAAGAAAACTTATGCTTAGCTTCAAAATCAGCATCCGTTAGCTCACGGTCCAGTTTGGCATTCGTCCTCGAAACCGTAAAGCGGATTCCTGTCAACATATTATACGCAGTGACATAGTTGACATGGTTCTGGTCCACTTTTGTTCCCACAATAACCCGATCTTCGTCCTCTTCGTCTCTCCTCTTCCGCTTGCTGGCTCTTCTGTGCTTGATCGCTTTCGTCCACCGTACAGCATCGTCATCTTGCGGAGAGCCCTCGTCAAGATAAAGATCTGACTGGATGGATCTTGGGGTCCGTCGCGCCAGGCTGAGGGATCCCCTTCGGAAACCGGAGGCGGAGGAAAATCGATCACTGGAGGTAAGATTATCGTCGGAAGGGCTGGGTGCAAGCGAGTCGCGGACACTCCTTCTTCCCGACGTCGTCCTTGGGACCTGCAGGGTATGTCGTTGGATGAGACGAGGGCTTCGTGGGCTAGGAGGCGAAGCCGAATTTTCAAAATCGGTCTGGAGCGTGGGTGGGGGGGATGCACGTCGGTTTGTTGTCTGCTGGAACGGGGCAAACCCGCCGTCGTTTTCGGCTACGGGGGTCGGAACTATGGAGGTCGGCGGGGTGTGTTCTGTCGATATCTCATCAGTCGACGAGCGATCGCCGTTCAACATGGGTTTAGGACTGGCTGGGGGAGGTAGAGCACATGTGCCGTTCGACAAAGCGGCGCTGTAGGGTCGGTCCACCTGAGCGTCGATCCCGTTTGCCAGTGAATGCCTCGCATGCTGTTGTTGTTGTTGATGATGAAGATGATGATGATGAGGATGATGAGGATGATGATGATCCTTATGGACCTCGCCACGGTCCCCCGCACCGAGTGAGAGCAAGCTTCCATTTCGTGAATGGGACCTCTCGCGCCCGTGTGAAGAGACGACGGACTTGTTCGTGTGAGGCAGTGACTGGAAGCTGGCCGTCTTGAGGTTCGTCATGAAGAACTCAGAGGATGTAGTATCAACGTGGCCATTCTCGCCATTAGCTTCACTGGCCCAGACAAAAGCATTACTCAGCGACGATCGATCGTGGGACTTCCGGGGCGTCGGGTTGAAGATTGGGGGAGGAGAGGTGGTCCGGGGGCGGAGTTGGGCTGAACTTTCTTGAGCGGTGGTGGTGAGGGCGGGCATGATGACGACGGCCTCTCCAAACAAGCACCCGCCTAACGTTGCTCACGATCAGAAAGCAAACCGGAGCACCCGATGTAGAGGAGCAAAAGGACTGATCCTGCGTGAGCCGTCTGTGTCACTCCTCTTTTTTTAACCCCCTTCTCAGCAGCCCGGGGTAAGCGATCCGGGGCTGTTGCAGAAGTCAAGAGCCTCACCTCCGGGACAGAGTGTAGGCAGGACAGGACCGAGGAGAGGTGCTTGACACCATAGTAGATGAGGTGGCTGAGATACGAGTGACCGTGAATAACAGGGGGGGAAAAGCAGGCAGAGGGTGTGAAAGAGAGGAAAAAAAAAAAAAAAGGGAAAAAGACGATACAGCCGATCGAAGGTGATGTGTGTCGCTGGCCGGGGGATGCCGACTGTTTGATTTTAGTCGCAGTTCCAACTCAATGCAAGGGTGAGGTTGACAGTCAGCCCAACTGGATCGAAAAGCTTCCCGGAGAGTACCGCCAAGCCACTAGGACGCGCACTAGTCGGAGGTCTCCAGCCACATTCGCTGCCCTTTGCTAATTCTAAAAACGGAACAAATCTCATTTCGCCTGCAACGCGTCCATTCAAGTTAGATACCACAGAGTCATCATAGAAAAAAAAAAATCCTTTTTTTTTTATTTATTTTTTTCCAATTTCTGACGGCAAAATGGCGAGAAAGAGTACAGTTCACTGACTAGCGAAGTTTTACAATTTCCATATTCACATAAATACCCAGAGCAAAGCAGCTGGGAGAGGCAACGGGGCCAAGGGACGCCAAGAAGCAAATTGGCGCTGATGGGGTTGCACAGCCTCGGAGCTGTGGCTTGTCGCGTGTGTGTTGTGCACATGCATAACTCGCGCCTTCCCGGAATGGATTCTTAAAAAAAAAACAACAAAAAAAAAGGAAAAAAAAAGGAGAGAGGGGGGTTGGACTTGGTGCCTGCCCAGAACGGAAACTAGCAAACTCGGTCACGGCAAGGCAAAAGGCAGGACCGGAAATAAGAAGGCGCAGACGCGACAATTTCGTTTTGCAAAGCAAACGGCGAGGAGAAAAGCAACGGCGTTGAAATGCATGTCTTGCCTTTCTCTCACTACTACTACTGCTGCTGCTCGTATGTACTCCGTAGACTCAAAAACGATAAAACATAGAAGCCATATTCCCAGTAATGAGGGGGGAAAAAAAGAGAAAAAAGGAACACATAACATCGAGAAAGAAAAAAAAAAGAGCAAAGCACTAATTGCACACAACCCATCCATCCTTAGACCCGCCTCGACGCCGTTTCATTTCCCATTTGACACGCGCACAAAAAGAAGAATCTCATCCCATACGGATACATCGTCGTTGGTTGGAAAACGATACTCGGTCCTATATAAAGGGTCGATGTGGTCGTGTCGTGAAAAGCCCGGGGTAAAATAAAACAATTGAAAAGAGTAAAGAAAGTGCAGGGACACCGAAGACGAACACCGTATGAGATTAACCAAAAAAGAAAAAAAAAAAGCAAGCTCAATCAAGCTCATGCTTCAGATTTCTTCGATGGCGTCTTCTTCTCTGTAACCTTCTTCTTTTTGGGTGTGGCCTTCTTCGTTGTCGCAGGCGCCGATTTGCCGGTGGACTTGGTCACACGTCCAGACTTCGTCCTGCCAATGACCTTGGGAGCATCAACCACTGCCGGAGCCTATTGGTGGGAGCGTTAGACAAGTTGCTAACGATCACCGGGTAAAGCAAAGAGGAACCTACAGCAGTTGGGGCTTTGCGCTGCTTGGCAACATTGGCCTTGGTCTTCGCCGCGGCGGTCTTCTTGGGAGCAGCTTTCTTGGTGGCCTTCTCGGGCTTCTCTGCTTTCTCTACCTTCTCTGCCTTCTCAGCAGCCTTTTTGGTGGTGGTGGTCTTCTTGGTGGCGGCTTTAGCAGCGGCAGGTTTCTATATGAAAAGCGTCAGTGGTGTAAATTCAGCAGGGAGAGACGGGAACGACCAAGTCATTTTTCATAACAAGACGCGTACCTTGGCGGGTTTGGCAGCTGGTTTGACGGTTTCTTTCTTCGCAAGCTTCACGGGACCGGAAGGGCCTATATGGGGACGCGTCAGTAAGGTTGGCCACACGCGACCCGTTCGTCGGCGACAACAGGAGTAAAACCCCACGGAAACGATTCATCGGAACAGCCAAGATTGAGATGCCAACAGGTGTAACAAATTAAAAAAAGAAAAAAAAAGATTTCGGGTCGATTTGGAGAGAGGTTGACATACCCTTTGGCTGCAGGAACTCGCCCTTCTCCACACCAGCCTTAAGGGCGCGGTTGAACTGGACATCAAAAGCACCCTGTGAGGCATAGCTGATGTTGTTGTTATTACGCACATATTTCTTAAGTGCTTGACGGCTGTAAATCAAGGAAGAAAAAGAAAGCAAGTCAGCAAGGTCCAGTCTTGATCATGAAACAAGGTTGTTGCGATGACACGTCACGGTCGGGGCCAGCGCCAGCGAAGCGCCGGCGAGAACGCGGTGAGGGGACAACCAAAACGGGACATACCTGCTTCCGGTGCGGTCCTTGAGCTGTAGAGGGAGCCCAGTTAGCAAGATACAAGCAAGAAAGAATGACGCGACACCGGGATGGTGATGGTCGTAGCTTGGGTGTGTGTGTGGGTGGTCATGGGACGACCGGACCCATCCGGCAGTCGTTCGCCCCAACACACAACAGGCGCGAAGCTGATCTACTCACACTGATGATGGCATCCTTGATCATATCTGTATCAAACGAATCAGCAAGAGCACGCGATCACGGCCATGCAGGCGAGTAGTCGATGAGAAGTGGCTGCGGTGGAGGATCAGTGGGAAAAAGGGACGATGGGAGGCAACTCCTACCTTTGTATGAAGCATGGGTGGCGGTCTTGGTGCCAGAGGCGGCAGCTTTCTTTGGAGGCATGGCGATGAATTGATTTCAGCGGACTGTTGAACGGCGTTGATGAGAGACTGCAGAACACGATTGAAAAGAGATAGAAACACGATGAGGGTGGTTGTGCGAGGCAATGTTGTTGTGGACGAGGAGGAAGTTGGCAAGGGAAAGGGTGTGGGCAGAGCGCGGCAGCGGGGCAAGGGGGCCCTCTTTATAGGGACGCCGGCGCTGCCCCAAGATCAACCACCCCCGGTTGCGCTCTCTGCTCTTTTCGCTAGCTGTTTTTATTTTTTTATTTTTTTATTTTTTTATTTTTTATTTTTTTTGGCGCGTTACCATCAGCAGGCCTGGCTGTTGTGTCATGTCTAAGCGAGGCCGTTCTGTCTTTTTTGGTTTTGTTCCCTCTGGGGCCAAGCAAAAGATCGCAACTCGGTTTTCGATCCCGGGGGCTCGCGATGCTGTTCCCGTTCCTGCTCGCATCGCCATCTCCGGCTGCTTCTGATCCCCAAACGTTCTTTCGAGAGAAACCGGTCACCTGCCACCATTCGTCTCTTTGGGTTTGACTCGCCGGCGCCAAGGTAAGACTCAATTAATCGGGTATGGTTTGGTGGCATGGCTGAGAGACGCATTGGCCGGAAACATCCCTTCTTCTCCGATGGTTCATGATGTTTGTGATGGAAAATGTATGTACGGAGTACGTTTTCGTCGACTTGATGGCGTTAAGAAGAAGAGCCTGCGATACTTGACTCATCTACTCTATTTAACTTGATTTCCACGATACGCTATCTCTTTTCAATACACAATCATCAATGGGTGAATAGCTATTCTGAATGTGATTTATTTTATTTTATTTGATATTTTTTTTTTTTTTTTGGACCCTCTCTGAATATCTGGTGTGGAGCTCCTGTGTTGTGCAGCCCCCCGTCGCGTCGGCCTTGAAATCACCTCCCAGAGGCTCAGTATCGCGATGGGGGGTTTTTCTGCCAGCAGGATCTTCCCTGAGATTTGAGGATCTGAAGAGGATAGCATTGTTCGTTTAGACTCCTCGTCACATTAAATCCCACTCCAAGCTTCCCTTCTCGTGAACTTAGCAGGATTCGAAGAGCTAGAAGCACGAAGACTCCTTTTTTGTCGCGACGAGGGAGACCCAGAACCTTCAAACCAAGCTTGCCGTTCGAGTGGTTGATCTAGAATGGCTCCCGCGTTTCTTGGCTGGCATCATCCACCCAAACCCACCCACGATCGTCATCGTCATGCTTATCAGAAAGCATCACCCCAAGTCGCCACGCCAGAGCATCGCGCCAAGACATGTCGCAAAATGTCAACCTGTCTTGATCCTCGCCGGGACTGCGGCATCGATGCACTGCTTTATGTGACATGTGGTCCGGGGATACTTCGAGAGACAAGTTCATTGCAGCATGCCCCTCTTCGGCTGGGTTGGCGCGGTGTATCGCCTGTTCTTGTCGTCAGGGACCCCGAAGGTGATCCCTGGATCGAAGGGAGTGAGATCAAGGGTCTGAGGAGAGTCTCCAGATGCAGTGGGGATACATTTTCACACTCATGGACTTAAAATGATACTTTCAAACAATTGATACATAATCCTTTGCGGATTTGCTCCCCTGATCTACCTCGTACATTACCCAGTTAGCTGTTAGACACTATGTAGTCACTAAATCTTGCTTGAAGATGACACTCTTTGAGTACGTTCAGCTAGTCACCAGGAGTTGTTCTGGTGACCTGGACAGAAAACCAGGAGTCTCATCTCTGTCTCAGTACATGTAAACTACAGCTTCGTCGCCAGCAGTCACTCCATCTGCTTTGTATCGCTCTCAACACTCCGATCAACCAAGCAAAAGTCGATTGTTGATGTCTATCTTACCCTCAGTAGGCGACAGCTATCTTTCCAGTAGACAGATAAGAACCATCGCACCCGATAGCAGAACTACCTGACTGATTAACTGCTCTACCGCCCGCGTACTCTTCCAAAACTCGCTGGGCAGCCTTTTTATCGTCAGTGCTCACTGCTTGACCCCATCCCCAGAGCGGGGGCCAAAGAAGAAGCATCACATGGGCAGCCCCGGTGCGGGCGGAAGGTTGCCTGCCTGAACAACATCACCCTTTCAAAACATCCTCAACGTCAAAGAAACCATCAACCATTTTTAAAATCCTGAGCATCAGACCACGCCTTTGTTCTATCTCTCTCTAACAAGATAGTTAGAGCGCGCATACAGCCTTGAAGAATCTCACAATGAATTATCTATAGCAGTTCACAGATTCTAGAAAGATTTGAAGCTCTTTCCCCAGTCTCCCTTTTCGTGGAAAGCCATCTCAGACGGTAAGGGGAAAGAAAGCAAAATGGAGCGTGAAGTTCGATCGGCCGTCAGGGCTGCTTTCAGCGACTTGCAAGATTCATATTTGAGACAGGAATTTAGGACCATCCATGGACGGCTTGCGAGGGCAGATGGACACTTTCTGGCCATCGACAGTCGATTTGTTGCGATGGATGCACGATTTCAGACTGTCGAGTAGCGACTTGACACACTATCCATGGAATTTTCAGGGTTTAAAGTAAGACTAGAAAATATGGAGATCATCAACAGCAACTAAAGAGTCCTACACCTTCGCCAACGAATTCTTTTCTTGCCGTCATACGACAAGTATACCGAACAACCCCTCCCAAAACCTGTAGAATTGCCCTCTTATCAAACATTACAATCTCGGGGGTGAAGTCATACGATTGGCTCAATCTCATAATTTTTCTGCCATCGCATCGAACCCATGAAATGCTGTCGTAGCCTTAGGTGGGCATCTCGGTGTAGATTGTGATGCGATTCATGACCGGGTGACGCGGCTTGAGTTCCAACAGCGGAAGAACCTAGGGGTCAAAAGATCTTTAGAAGGCAGCAACAGCCTCCGAAAGCAAGCCTTGAGGGCCTTGGGCAGCGGGTCAAAACCTGAGCAAGCGGAAGCCGAGAATCTGTCGCCAAGTAGCAGACACACTATCTTATGTTGGGAGCATCGTTCTGAGGTGCTCGACAACCTCTCTATTAGTAAAGAGCGTGTCCAGTAAGTAAGTATGCACCAGACAAAATCCCCCATTTTCAAGGGAATGTCAGCCCAGAGAGTTCGTCAAGAGATACTAATACCAGTGCATCACTAACCAAAAAAATACCCTTACCAGATTTAGAAGCTTGTTTGAAAGCAAGGTAGCACTCTATGGTGTCCGGGAGATTTGCCTTCGATAGTCCAGCCGGGAAAACCATTTTTCTTTCTCCATTCTCCATTCCAATAACTAAATACCCAGTGTTCAGTTTGCATGTTTGCCCTCTCCTTCTTCTCCAACCCTTATCTTGCAAGATATGCTGCATGACTTTTGACATCTTTGTTCTTTATTAACAGACAATGTCAGTACTACGTACAAAGAAACGGTATTTATCTTCCTCAAGCTCCTCGAGCTCGTTTGGTCTTCTGTGATCCAAACTCCATGTATTATTTCCGCAAAACTGCAACTGAAGACGGGGCTTATCTTGCCCCCCCCCCCGGAAGCAAAAGCAATCCCTAGCGGACCAGAAACACAAAAAGAGACCAAAATTCCCCCCCAACCCCAACCCCCAAGAAAAAATAAAAATAAAAAAATAAAAAATTCAACCAATATTAGATATTCTAAGTTGTTGCTCACCAGCCACTCCCCAATTCCTTGCTGTCTTTATTCAGGCTACTCCGTGGATCAGGCCAAATCAAGAGTCTTCATGGGAACATTAGACTCTAAAATATCGAATATCAGTAGTAATCTGATTTTAATACTTAAAATTCTGGAACTTTTTTGCTATATATCTGAAATATTTTATATATCTCTGAGATTTACTTCGTTCTCCGTGGCGGTGCCTGGACCTCTTTGTCAGACTGACAACCCAAATCTCATGTGTATAACAGTCCATCAACACCTTTAGTCTCCTTTCGCTTTTTAAAGACACTTACGGAGTGTAGCCGAACAACAATCGTTCCAACCAATTTCTTTCCCCTCCGGGTGAGCAGCTGTACTGTTCTGTCATCCGTTACAGCTCATGGATGACTCTATGATTGGCCCCTGGCTCTTGGAGCTTCCGATGGATGACCCAACGCGTAAATCAACATCTCACCCCATGGTGCGTCGTTTTTGTCCACCATACTGAGCCCATCAAATATACGGAATTCATCGCTGAAGGCACCGAAGAAATGGTCTTACAAGCCAAAATCGCTAGCCGTGAATATGCCTTGAATATCCTAGGTCCATTTCCCTTGCTTTCCCAGGAGATTGGCGTGACCATTTACGTCAATACAGGCAGATTGTTGGAAGTGCTGATCGGCCGTTGAGCTCCTACTGACCAGTATTTCCGATTGGTATCTAGTTTAAGCACTAGGAGTTCCGCGATTGGGCTTATAAGAGGACTTCGCTCTCAACGCGCCAACAGGCATACACACGTCCGATCGCTCACGAGAGCCGTGCCTTCGCTCGGCTAGATAGCATTGGCGAGAATGGCACCTGGGCTGTGAATTGCCACGGTTGGATGAAATTGTCTGATAAAGAATTCAAGCGTCTTCAAAAGTACAATTCCCTTACCCGCTCAAAGACTATATTCCAAACACCATTACCATCTCCGATGTTCCAGAGATACGACGCAAGATGATGGTCGCCCGAAAGGTTTCGTTCACCCTGAAGATGTGAAACCAGTGAATTTTTCGGGGTTCGTTTGTTGTTGGCCTGGGAAGGGCGAAGACCTACCCTTACCCGAAGCGATTCTGGTCCAATACACGGAGGAGAGCGTTCCTTGAAGGAATTTACAAGTCTGCAAGCGATTGTCAAATATCTGTGAGGAATGGAACAGTGATTCTGGGCTGAGGGAATGAGCAGCTGAAACTCAAGCTCCCGGAAATGATAAAATAGCACAAACCGGTAATAGAATACAACGCAAACCCAGCACAGCAGGTAAAAAAAGGTGTTCAATCTCTGCCGGATTATACATATACCTCCCTAGTGCCAGCCTCTGCTGCTGCTAGCGACGAAAGCCGAGGGTAGGAATCATGTCAGTGACCTGGATACATAGGGTTCAAGGGATACTGGCTTACTCAAGAAGTATGTAACATATATCAGGAGCCCCCGATCGCGCTAATATATCAGAATGACATACGGAGCAGTGGAAACAGACCTGAGATAAAAGCCATTAACAAAACGGATCCCTACCACTATAGCAACGGGCGCCCATGTCGACGTACGGCCAGCCGTACGGACAATAAATCCAAAGGGCAAACTCAGAAATAACAAGAAACAGTCGACAAGAAAAAGCATAGCGAAAAGAAGAAAAAGAACTATGAAAGGCAGAAAGCCCTCGTATGTTAACGTTCCTGCTGCTTCCTAAAACCCATAGCATATCCTGCGCTCCGCATGCTCTCATCGCTATCCTCTTCCCTTTCGTTATTAAATCGGCGCGGAACCCAAGTGACATACCCTCTGTCGCCGAGATTCGCGCGATGTCTTGCGGAGTTCTGGATAATTCAGAGCAGAACGCCTTCTGGAAACTGTCCTACCCTATTGTCCGTTCGAAACTGAAAACTGGTTTATTAGCCCATCCTAGGCAATGCCTGCGAAATCTTCTATATTTAGGGCGGAGCAGGCCAATCCGGGCGGCGTCGTCATTGCAATGGGCTGCTGGAAAATGGGGAAGATGTGACGCGTCGACGTTGAAAGGCCGCAATGTACCCGCTATTTGGCTTAGTCTTTGAGCGGAGACCCGGGGAAAGGTTGGCGATACTGGCTGTTTTCTGATATCTAAGGATCAAGATGTTGATAATCGCGCCTGAGGGATATCTCGCAGCCAGGGGCTCCAGCAAGCAGTCCCGCCATCATCACTATGCCTCACACATATTCCTCAAACACTTTACAAAGGAGTATATCAAGCGGGCTCAGCTCTTCATACTCCTGTGATTCACACCCTTCCAAGAATAGGAAACCTTAATCGCCGAATATTTCTCTCTTTATCAACTCCCAGGCGGTCAGAACACAACCATGGAGGCTTCCGCAACATATTAACATACAATCCAACCAGCAAGTAAAAACAAAACTCCAGAAAAGTAACAAGAGCAACACAGAGTCATCCTTGTTGATACAGTTCAAAATGGCCTTTAGTCAAGAATGCGCGATCAGGCCGGCGCATAGATCCTTCCAATCACCCTCGACCTTCTCTCAATCATCCTTCCCACTTCCATAGATCTCCCTCGACCATCTTTGACTGCCTTCCATTGGTTTCGACACACACTCGGCTACCTTTTGAGTCACCCAACCGCCGCCACTAGCACTTACCTCGCTCTGAAGGGTCAGCTGGTTTCAGTGACTTGGCTTCATATCTCTGTTCGAGCTCCGTGGACAGCAAAACCAAATTAGTTCTGAGCATTCATTATTTATATCATCGGTCATGCTGTCAAAAAAAGTCTGAGGAACATACAACAGCCGGGATTCGCTGGTGGTCACCCACCCAACTACTAGCCGGCCGGCAAGTAGCTTGAGTACGGCTGAGCGGACGGGAAGCCCTATTTTCTACTTCCTGTGGTCGTATGTACTTGCTGGAAGCCGGACTCTTCATTTGAATGAAATCTTGGAGAAATTAACTCGCCTAAAAAACTGCGCGCTTTTTTTTTTCCGAAGAGCTCGCGAAACAGGAAAAAAGAAAACGCTCAACAGCTAGTATTCGCTGATGATTGAGGACTAGTCAGCCCATGGTGATCTCTGAGCATAGCAGATGAGGGAGGCAGACAGGTAAGGGCTGGAACATATGAAGTGGTGGCCCAGGGTTGGCCCGAGGCCAGTAAGGAATATGCTGATTGGCACTGGGTATCGGGATGGAATCTGAAATCTCTCAATCTCAATTGAATTGGAAAGCCACTTTGTAGATTGGAATGGGAATAGGATTGCAAGCCCCAGAATGGGTTCTAGGTTCTGGGAAAATTCTGTCCTGTCCCGGCGACCAGGTACCAGCAATCAGTCTAGTCTCGATATCTGAGCAAAGGTGCTAAATACCTTTAACCACTTATCTGTGTTCTCTTTGAGTGTCTCGCTTCCGCTGTGGTGGCTGCCATGTGGGTAATGTAACATCTCCACTCTTGAGTTGTTTTCCCGCAATGGCATGTGGTGCTTTTTCCATTCAGTTAACTCTTGATGCCAGTGCTTCATTTTCTTATCTCTGTATCTCCTCTAGTGTTGCGTAGTACTGATGCGGTGTTGGTTTCCCAGTTTCAAAGCCGTTTCTCCGTCTTGGAAGCTTTATCGTGTTAAGTTCAGAGTTCAACTCATCCTCCAATTCTCTTATCTACTCCTGCATCAACTTCTCTCTCGGAGCCGGTGCAGTCATTATTCCATACCTCACACTCCCACCAGCAGCAGCCTCAGCTGTGTCGCCCACCATCTGGTAGGCAGGCACCTACCCTATTCCCCTCCATAGCAAAGCTTCTTTATACACTCTGCATGGTGTTCCCCAATGACCTAGACTGTGTATTGGCATTCTTCTGCGCTAAGACTGTCCATGGAAGGCAAAATCAGACTATAGTTTGTGGGAGGCGTAGGGGTCCCCACCAAAATTTGCTGATGATCAGGAAGTTAGTTTGGATTGGAGAGATTAACAAAAGCTGTGAGCTGAAACATATCTGAAATGAAACGGCTGTCAACCAGCCTTTTGTTGGGATGGTGTGAGGCCAAACATAAAAACAGCCACAATCAATCTTTGCGACGTGACGAGTGGGAGTATAACTTGTGCGATGCACATATAGGCCTGGTTGAATGATCTCTTTCCCTTAGGCTGTAGAAAGCCACAGAATGCAATGCGTCTTTTTTGTTTTTACTCTGTATGGAGTACGGAGTACAGCATATCTCTGTGCTTGAAAGCTAACCCCATCCAAATTCTAATACTTTCTTAGTACCAAGTTTTGCTTTCTCTTCGCATGTTGTCCAGGCTCTGTCTTAAGACTCAGTAACACTTGGAACATTGGAAACTCTAACAAATCATCAGCTATCTGCCAGACTTCAAAAAAAGAAACACTCCAGTGAACTCACTCTGCACTGAGATGCCACCGCCAACCCTTCCTTCTTTAGGGCAACCATGTAATCCAAGCTCTGATGTAGGTTGCTCGCCCATCCAGCTATATAAAGACCACTCACTTCTCCCTCCTCCCACTCCCATTCTCTCTTCTGAATATCTTTAAAACCTGCCTCAGAACTCCTGTCCCAGCAACCCAGCATCAGAAAAAAAAAGATGAAGCTACTTCCCTACCTTCTCTTGCTCCCCCTGGGGGCACTGGCAGCACAGGTCCATGCTGAAAGGGACACGGCGGACATTTCTCAAGCTGGTAAGTTAAGATACCTGTACTTTAAATCAAACAAAGCCCTGCCTTGGAATAGACAGAAATAAAATTAAATTTTTTTTTTGCTAACAATAAACCCTTCCTAACACAGATGTCGAAGATTCGAGTGTGAGCTCCAACCAGGAAGCACCACAACCACGTGGTCTTCACACCACTGCTTACTGCAATGGCGTAAAGAGTATGTGCATCCGATCCATTTTCTCCTCTTGTTGTCCTTAGCTTTATCCTTGAATTGAAGAACCCTCTTTGTAGAGTACTATATACTGACTAGTCTGGATTTGATGTTTATAAAGAGAGATGCCGCTCCTCCAGACAGTGTGGTAGAGGACAGGTAGTATATTGTGGCGCGAAGAAGCCTTGTGCCTGTGATCAGCAACGGGGTTCTCCAACATATGGATACTGCGTCTGTTAGAGGCCTTCAACAGGTTGATGCGGCTGGTCCTTAAAAAGGTCATGATATGTTGGCAGTGTATCTACTTGCAGACTATGAAGCACTGTAGCAGGGAATTCCGGAATCTCCGAACAAAGTTTGTTGTTCTGGCATGAGGCTCAACCCTCTCCTTTAACCAACTTATACAGCCTGCACTAGTCAATCTCTTCATCATCTTTAGTGATGTATTGATTAGTTTACTACCTTCATTATTAACTATACTATTGTGCTACCATGATCTCTTATAGCTGCCCGAGCGGCCTGTGCACTATGAGCTTCATTACTGTGGCTACCCCTAATTTGCTTTGATGTTCATTAGTCCCACAACTACCTAACTAACTAGTTATTGCTACTGCTTGGCTCACACTCTCTATACTCTCCATACCTTGAGCACTTCACCATACTCAACGAATCACCAAGCTAGACAAGGCACTACCTGATTCCTCGCTCTAGTACCCCGTGTAGCATTCAAAAGAGAAGGATTTTGAAAGTAGTTTTTATTCCTTTTTTTTTAAGTACGGAGTATGGTGTTAAAGCTTGTAAATCTAGATGAAATAGAGAGAGAATCTCATTGAACACCACTCTTAGGGATTTTGTATCTATTGCGAAGAGAAGGTAGGGATTGATAAGTGCTTGAACAATACAATCCTCGGCGATTTCAATGACAATGTCCTGGTCCACGCTACGCCTAATGGGCGAATAAGGAAATTGGGTTTCTCCTATGCGGTCTTAGAGAGACTTTCCCCCCAAGTGTCGGCGCAAAAGACTTGTGGGCATACAGCGGCGACACGTACCTATCACTTTCCCGTTCAACATCCACGGTAGGAATCTGTGGAAATATATGAGCCCGGGTATGGAACTGGCTATTGGATAAAGGAACGAAAAACCAAAAAAAAAAAACTTACCGGCAGCGTAGATAGCAAAAGTGTCAGCATTATTGATCGCCTGATCGGCAGGGAGTTTGGTGACATTGTCGTATCCATAGGCAAAGTCGTTAGTTCCTGGGGAGTAAACGTGGCGCATGTGGGTCATTTCATGGAGAAGAATGGATGTCTGATCGGTGGCATGGCATTCCGGAGAAGTAGGAGGGTAGGCCCAAAAGAAGCGAGGGCAGATTGTGATAAAGCTAATCCATGAGTCGGCGATTGCGTTGATTGTGCCTTTGCAGAAGTCATCTGAGCATGTGAGTCGGACAATACCCCCATCTATGATGCTGGTTTCGTTGGAGATAGCTCGGAATCGGCTGGCAACAGGTCGACGGGTTCGCAGATCAGTCTTCTTGAAAAATGTTTCGAAAGTGGCCAGGGAACCATTGGTCGCTGCTCGAGCACCAGCATCAGCATAATCAGTTGTACTTCTTAACAGAGCTGTAAGATTTTTCATCGCCGCTGGGGTGCAAGTATCCAAGTAGAATGAAGTTCGTTTGTCTAGGTTCCGTCTTCGCAAACCCCCGGCACTCTCAACTTTAGCAGCAAGCACACCATCTACGTCTATCTTGAGTTCATTAGAGCGATATTGAACCATCCCCGAAATGCTTGTACTGTCAGAGCGAGCTAGTAAAAAGACTCCCTCAGATAAGACTGTGACAGGGCCACCCGCTGATAGATCCACCGTCTCAGCGATGTCAAAGGTATTTTCTGCGAAGTCACCTGGATTCAAAGTGGCGAAGACGTCATCGGGTAAGTTTTGCATATCATGATGAGCAAGGAGTCCCTCAAATTCCATCTTCTTCCCTAGTAGCATGTCAGATATGTGTGGTATTAAAGCGTGTCACAATTCGTTACCTTCTTTATACACATCAACCCTGCGACATGGGAAAGAGTCGAGTACACTATTCAGCCTCAAAACAGATATTGCCTCGTCGCCTCTGTTGGTCACAACAGCTTTTACCATAGTGTTTCCAACAGCGCTAAGCTGAACGCTGACATTCGCGTCATCCTTCGATGCTTCACGAGCGGCGTGCGGGAACGCAGAGCTAGCCGCTGCAAGCAGGACGGCAACAATAGCCGTTGCAAACATGTTTAATAGAAAAGGACAGGTCAGAAAGCAGTAGGAGGTTTGCAGAACTAAGTGATGGAGAGCAACCTTTTGCGCAACAGAGATGATGCCGCGCTCAAGTTGCCCACCATACGGAATGAGCGTATATTTATACTTGTCAAGTACATGTCATAAAGGCGTCAAGGGGCTACCAAGGTAAAAATCACTCGGATAGCCGCTATTGAAGAACCACCAAATCTTCCGGAATGCGAGCGCAGGGTGAGATCCACATGCAAGTAGTACATGGGTCAGCGCATGGAGCACACAATGCCTCAAGAGAATGTCACTTCGTATTGTATCATCACTGAAATTCACATGCTTAATGACAGAGCGACCCGCAAATCAGGAACCAGAGAATAATGAGCAGATATTTTGATCTTTCACCTTCCTCAGGATCTCCAAGGATTTTCTGAGAACTTGGAGGACATGGAACCCAAAACAAATAAATAGAAAAATAAAGAAAGAAAAGGAAAGGAAAGAAAAGGCCTTGATGAGTGTTGCTTGTGAAGGCGAGTGTACCATGTAGCCGCGGGAAGAAACCCGGTCAAGGGTGTTTTTCCCAAGGAAAAACAGTGAAACCATATCTGAGGACCTTGTGGTTAGAACTTGGGTCTCTGGCAATATGGCAGATATTTCCCAAGCCTAGAGCCATGACACCCTAGAATGAATTGAAAATCCTCCCAGGAAATCGATGCTTGCTGGAATATTTCTCCGAAAAAAAAAATCCTGACGATCAGATCAAGAGACTAGGATGCCATGGAGCCAAGGAAACCTTATGGTGGCAAGAATCCAGAAGAGCAGATTGTTTCTAGTTCCGCCAACATTCTGCTCTCCATTTCTGTTCTATCATCCTTGTTCGTGAAGAGAATGCTTTGTTGATCTGAGATTTTGCAGACATTTCTCCTTCCAACTTGCGTGCCTAGCATTTTCGGAGCCTTTGAAAAGCAGACTCGTATTTGCCAGGATTCCAGTTCTCTTTCAGCAGATTGGATCCTATGCAAAGCAGCCAAGGATATTGACCGCAAGGTGCATCTTGAGTAGAATGCTTGAAAGGGCAGCAACAGCGGTACTGCAAACCACCAATCACTCTGACTATGCTCAGTAGACACTGCATGTGATCCCGCCATTCTCACAGGATCACTATATCTTCTAGAGTAGCCAGTGGAATAGCTGCAGACTCCTCCGCCAGTGATCTTGACAGACTGAAGCTGCTCAATGTTCATGCGATGACAACGCGGGATGTTGTGATTTCTGCAGGTGCAGCATCTACGCTAGCCACATCTGGCATGGCGTTTCTCTAACTAATTCTGGGTTAGGCCCACCCGATCGGGAAATGGGATCATCCGAGGTTCATCTCTGACTCGATCGACCATCCAATGATGGACGGGTTAGATATTGGAATTGACCTACTGGAGTTCAAGCTTCCCGTCGCCTCCCCAGATTTCGATCTTTGCGCCAGCAACCATACATTAAGAAAAGTATGTCACTATGATTGCCATGGCAAAACCGTTTCCGCGAGTGGTCTTTCGAGACTCAGAGCCTACCCGATCAAAGCTTACGGCAACGAAACAAGGGCAGAGCTATATTTTTTACCAGATCATGTGACCAGTTTTGGTCGCCATTTCCTCAGCAACAGGGCAGTGCTTTCTTTTGAAGCCGTCTGATTCTTATCACATCTTTCCATCTGCGGCTTACATTCTGCTTCAGCAGCAGCCAGTCTCTACCCGTGTGTGTCTGTCTTGGCGATCGGCCCAGAAGAGACCATATACCGAAGTGAGACGGGACTGGACGCCGCCTTCGAGATCAAAATTGACCCCGCAGATATGACTTTTGTCAAGTTGCTCCAAGGCTTCAGAAGTATCCTCAATATTTCAGGTCGATTACCGTGGGAAGCCACGCGTGCTGAAAGTTGTAAGGTGATCTTTCATTGCATGATTTCCAAGGCTCAGAACCTATACCCATTTCTGACTTTGAACTAGTTCCACAATACTGGAGATCCCGGATATGCCAGTGACCGCGTCCGTGACTTGAACCGCTCTCGCCCCGAGATTAGGGCCTATTGCAGGCTAAAACGCTTTGGTATATGTGACGGTGGCTATGTGCCAAATTTTTATGGGTTTATGCTAGAGGTAGACCCAGCAAACTTTGCACCTCACCTCAGCGCCTTTCAGCATGATAGTGGCCATCCAAGCGCGATCCTGATTGGGTACCTACCACATTCCACGCCGATGAACTGTGTCACCTATAGCAAAGAGCGTATGGACAAGGCAATCAAAGGCATCGAGCACATCCATTCAGCCTTTATTGAACACATTGATCCTTACACCAAGAACATCCTCATTGTTCCTGGGTCCGAGAGGGTTCTTTGGATTGATTTTGATGTTGCCATTACTTACCCAAACAGTACATTCATTGGAGAAAGGGAACGCTGCTGGATTAAGGAGGAAACTGAGTGTGTCAAAGGTTTCGGAGTGAAGCGCGCTCCTTTCTTTTTCTCGGAATTTCAGCATGTCTAACAAGCTTAACCGGCAGGCGATCAAAAGAAGGGTCTCCAGCCAAATACGAAATATTACTAGATACAATCCTTCTTGGCCAAAAGTTCCTCTTAACAGTCCCAACAGAATGGTCAAGCTTCCCGGCCCTTCCGCCTTCCACGGTATAAACGGCGCCACGAGCAGATTACCATTCCCATCTAGCCTTTTGATTGGTACCAACTCAGCATCAGTTAAGACAAAACTGTACCGCGCATCGTGTTGTTTCATGTAAAAATTGACTTGCAACAGGACCTGCTTATAATCCCGGCGATCTTCTTTGGATAATGCTGTTATCCAGCTGGACCCCCACTTCCAAGATACTTTCAGGTCGCCCGGGCAGCGGTTTGGTGAGCAATTATGCATGCTTCCTGCTTGGAAGCAATGTCTGGTCGAAAGTTGTCAATGATCTGCGCTGCGTCACCTATATCGACAGTGATAGGAGTAAGATCTAGGTTTGACTGGGGTCCAAGGTGCAGGGACCCAGCTCGCAGCGCACGACGCAACCGACTTTGGATATAAGTGGTGAACCGGACGGCAAACATCGCTTCGGTTTTGATGGGCTGTGGAGGGGAGGTCGGCATCGGCTCACTTGAAATCACAGCAGACTGAAGCAAGTTCCCGTAGCGTTGCAAGATATGGGCATGAGTAAACTCGGCCCAGTGGCCCACGCTGTTGATGTCCCTCCAAGAGTAACTGCTATTGGTGGTATTGGGTGTTTTGTTCGTCTCTTGAGTAGGAAGGCCCGGTGGGCCGACCGTCAGATAAGTCCAAAAGCATCTGAGTATTAGCCATGACTCTTGTTGCTCTGTTAACAAGGCCAGTCACCCAGAACCCAGGGGATAACACCATATTTACCAGCCAAACTCTTGTTCCAAATGCGGGGCAGCCCTTGATAACTGACCCCTCCTTGATTGGCATGCATGACGCTCAATGTGGGAGCTGAATTGGTCTGAGCTCACAGATATTGGGGTTCAAGGTAATTGGTGCAGCAATTCCGATTGCACGCTCTGATATCCAGTAGAATACTATCACCCCTCTTGTAAGGCGGAGAAAATTGCAGACTCATACGGCCTCTCGCAACAGGGGGTAGAATTTCGGTTGATTGCATTTTCGACAGAAATGCCAAAGGCGGAGGCTAATCGTTTGTTAATGTTGGTTACAATTAGTGAAAACCCTGAACTGCTATATCATACACGGTGAGAGAATTGAACCTGTCCTGTATAGTTTCCACTTCTGTCTCCTCAGACCGCCTTGCCTTTCTCCAATATATAGACGAGAGTTGATGGAGACTGTAGTCGTCTGTGTTGGGAAGATGTCCCAGGTTGGAAAAGAACTTTCTAACATCTTTATGCCATTGTTGCAGATGTTTCTGGTATGAGTTTGAGAGCTCAAGGTGGTTCAATGCAAGGAAGCCTCCAAGCCATTTATTCCGCTTTGTAATATTCTTCGAATTGACGTTGACGACTTTGAAGAGGGGCGCGAGAGAACTTCTTTCACCTTGCGAAAGAGCCTCATAGGACTCCAGGTTGCCCAATTCTGCACCGTGAAATTCACAGCAGATGCAGCAGATGGGAAGCCACAGCGTGATCCCTCAAGCCTCCAAAAAAAAGCAATATAAGCGAAAAGCCACGCTGGAACGCATATTGCGAGAATACAGCAGATTGTACTCCGTAAATGTAGCCCCTATAAATCTATTTCAGAGAAATGAGAGATCGAATTCGGATTTGAGAGAAAACTTTGAAAGAGGATCTCTGTTTATTTAAGTCTCTTCATGACTAGTCATTGCTATAAATACTCCACCCTCTCAGCACAGAACTCATCCACCAATCCACTGGCTCACCCTTACTTGTGCTGGAAATCACCTTGCTCACGAAGCACTCAACTTTGAAGCAGCACTGTTGAAAGGTGGCCATGTGAATTGGCTGAGCTTAACAAGTGGCTTAAGTATGGCTGAGCGGACGGGAAGCCCTGTTTTCCACTTCCTATGGTCATATGTGTTTGTTGTGCAAGCACTTGAAACTCCAGTTGAACTCTAATCCAACCTTATATGAACTTTGCATGTGCAGGTTCGGAGGTCCTGCAGCATGTGGGCTGGGTGCCAGGACACCAGCACGCCAGCACGCGTTGAGGTCAAGATGAGAGATGTATTCATTGAAGAGCATTTAAGGCCTGAACATATTCTTCCTTGGTTCAGGACAAGTCTTTGCGCTCCTCTTCCTTACTGTTGCTGTGGCCCTCCGCATTCTACCAGAGGATCCACAGCAAAAGGGGAACTTCAAAGAACAAAATCACACCAAGGCTCAGAGACCATGGGAGGTTTGCTGCTATATGGATAGTAGCTAGGGAAATGACGGCCTTGAGGGAGGGATGACAAACGGTAATTAGCTGCCAAAATCAACCGTTTTTGATTCGGGGGCATTTCCGGTGAGATGAGAGGTCCATTGGTTTGGACGGAGTCTGCCTGATCATGGTCATTCACCTTTGTGGCCCTTTTAGCTGATATCAATGTTGATATAATGCATAGTTACCAACAGTACAGAGTACTGAAACACAATATCGGCGTCACATGGAAGAAATGGACAGGCATGGCTTTTTCATGTGGCTGGGTACAAGTCGCGGTATCACCTGAATTGTTAGAGCCTGTTGATCAGCGGCGAGTAATCAACTGCGATGACTCTCAGGAGGACAGTATGGATATCAGTAACTAGTGTGTCCCTGTCTAAGTGGACATCAAATGCGCCAAGAAAGTTAAGTAGAATGGTCTATGGCTCTCCAGTTTCTCTGGATAAAGCGTAGAGGCGCTATCGCATTCGGCAAGCAAAAGTGAGATGAAATTTCCCTCGAAGCCAAGTCCACCTTGGGAGGAATATGAACTTATTATATTAAAACTGATCAAGTTTATGTCAAGTTCTGTTCGGCTGTTTTTGAACACCTTTCAATTAGCTTCTTTATGTGCTTTGCGACTTTCTTTTCTTTCTTCCCTTTTTCCTTTTCTCTCTTTTTTGACGAGGCAGGGCCGCTGGTAAGCAATTAGAGAGATGGAAGGCACATGGTGTCTATATTTTCGGTGAGCTCAGCATAAATTGGGGTTGCAAAATGCAAAAAACTCATTAGCGAGTCAGAGGTCGAACTTCAATAATACCCTACCCCTGATCACTTCGACGAAAGCCTAGGTCTGATTTTTCCTTCCCGTATTAGTGCGTTTAAAAAGTGGAGGAATATGAAAGGTCTTCTGAAGAGTGCCGGCATAGACCAGTTATGAGGCGATTTCAAGGTTTTGTAGGAGGATTTAACCGCATCCCACGAGGTGCTAAAAAAGATGACACCGTTCCAGAATCCTTGTAGTGCCACCGCGACGCCCGAAGCAAGCAATAGTGCGAAGCTAGGGCTGGCCGGGTGTGCGAATATGTATGTCCGATTTGACGTTGGGGGTATCTGTAAGTGAGATAAACAATGAGCCGTTTTCAACAAAGCCGAGAGGAAATAGCCCATACCCAGGTGACAAGTAAAGACAAGAAATATAGACTTGCGAGCTTGGCATAAGCTCTGGCTGCTTTCCTTTCGGTAAAGCCTCTTCGAGTCGTAGTTTCCTCTGACCCCGGCGTCTGTGCGCTCAATTGGCTTTCTAGGTCTGCCATAGCCCCAGTACTTGTGGGATGCGTCAAATTAGCTGCCCCAGGTAGTGACTCTAGATTGTCAGAACTTTCTTCGGGGGGCTCTTGCTGAGGTGCGTCGCCAGATCCTCCAGCAATTGTTGGTCTGCTAGACACCGAATTATTTGGAGAAACCGGTTCATGTTTGCTTGTGGCTCGGTTTTGAGTCTGCAGCGACATAGAACCGATTGAGAAGTCCACTGTGGGAGCTTGACTGTTAGGCGATGCTTGATTCGCAGGTTTTGACCCATGTAGGCGGGAAGGTTGAGTCTCAATTATCTGCTGTCCCCCAGACACAGGTTCCACGCGGTTGATGGAAGTGGATTGATCATCGCCAGGTGGCGGGTTTCCAGAGAGCTGCTCATCTAAAGCGTCGGGCGATGTGGCATCCAAGACGGGATAATTATATGCAGCGAAATTCTTAATCCCTCTTTCAATGATGTAGATCTTTATGCCGGCAGCAATATAAATACTAAGGATGACCACGAATGAGAACCAAATGGGACCAAAATATACGCTAAGGCGAAGTATGCCCCATTGATCGCTGATCCAGCACCAAGTCTGATGTCAAACACAAAAAGTAGTATTAGTGACGAGGCAAATCAATTTAGGAAAGGTCAACATACGATTGCATCGCCATAGATTCTCCCTCTGGATTCTGTGTTGATGAAAAGGAATACAAGCGCAGGGATAAACTGGAATCCGTAGCAGAAAAGAAAGTATTTCCATTCCAATTTTCGTAATTCTGGTATGGAATAGTGGCGGAATATAACCAGATAGACATTGATGGCGATACATAGATTCCAGAGAGCATCAGCTGATGTAAACCTGGTTTACTTTAGTGAGTCCATAGAGAGAATAGGATAGGGTTCGATTCTTAGCGCACCATTCAATGAAAAATGCCTGGAATTTGCAGAGTGAACTGGTAATCCCAGCCCTAGGTCCCGACCACGCTATCAACTCCGCCACGTGTGCTAGAAGGTTGCCCCATGTCGCATAGAAAATCAGTCGATTCAGTGGGGTGTGAAAGAGAGTGCTGAAGGCATAACTTGCAATCACAAGAAGACAAGCTAGCAGAGAAACAGACGCAGTAGCCCGGACTGCAGCTTGCAGCGAAAGCAGTTGGGATAGACTCAGAACATCACAGCTAGGATAGGGGCAGGCTGAGTTATCCATCAACGCAAAGTGTCACATTATACCAGGGATTGGAATGGCTGTCAGTTGTGAAATATGAAACTGAACCCTACAAGATTGTCTAGGCTCCTCAAGCAAATATGAGTGTGATTTTTCATGCTGTGACAGTCACAGCATTCACGCATATTGCCTCCGCCCAAAGGCAAATTCTTGTGATGATGAGAAGCAGCTTCAAAATTCTCACAACAAACTTTCATCATGTGACATAGAAACTATGGAGCTTTCAAAGCTTGCTGAAATCAAACTTCTTAAAGGCAACTTAATTGCCCTGCTGCCGGTCTGGCACTTCCAATGACAAACTAGCATAAGTAGCCAATTGAAGCTCATTATATTGGCGCACTGAGCTTTCAGAGATGCGATGTCAAGGCTTGGTGGGGCCATCAGGAAGAAGAGAAGGTGATAAACCAGGTAAACAAATATTCAAAATCTTTTGGAATCCAAGCTTACCAGCTACTGAGCAGATAAGTGGGTAATTTCAAGTAGAGGAAAGAAATCACGCACAGAATACATCTTGGTTGCAAAGGCCGTTCTATAATGCAAGCTTGAATAGAATGGCTCTTTTTTGCATATTGTTCTGCGAGTCTCCGGTTGCCACTGTGGCAAGCTGTGGCCTTTAATTCTGTTGCACTGGATGTGAATATATCTGTATTCTGTGCTCCATTCTGGATTGTGTATGTAGCTTTTAAGCAAGCTTTTTATTTGCTCGCAGCAGTATGAAGTTTGGAGCTCTCAAGTCTGATCAATGTCTGAAGTATTGGGGTATTTTGATGCTTGACAAGTGGACCTCAAGATGTGTGGGTCACATGAAGGAGCATTCAGCCTTGAATGAACCAACTACTTAGTTACTTAACTGTTAGTAGGGATAGTTGAATGAACCTTCTGGCTGTTTGGGGATTTCTAACAGATTACTCCAGAGTACTCTGTGCTCTTGTTATTAACTGTCCTCTGCAGAGAATTGAGTCCACTTCTTGGACTCACCTATTCAGGCTTTTCCATTTCTCTGGATTTCATGGACAGCACACTCTCTATTGGTCAAATAACCAGTTAACTAGTTAAGCATGTTGGCAGCCCAAGGGCTCATAACTTAATAGATACTAGGGATTTGAGGCGAGGTTATGGAACTAGTTTGGCTTTCTGTGGACTTGTATCAATCCATATAACCTATTCCACTGGCTGTGCAAGTTAGCTGACTTTGCTCGTCGTGCGAAATGGGTCTGATGGAGGATGTGTGGCCTCAGAATCAATGTTATCCGCACTATAGAGATGATACTGAAATGTCTTCAGAGTATAGGCTAGAACCGTACAGCCGCATTACGAATAGACGCAGAAAATGTAAAGAGCAGCAGTGTGTTTGCAAATTATGTGATTCTTTAGGATACGGTTCGGCAAACACAAGGAACCTCTCCGGAGCACCTCAAGGGAATCATTCCAAGGAGTAAAATATACCTCTCGTGCGATAGCTAGATAGACAAAAAATTCAAAACTCCCAAAACTCCCACCCATGATGAATATTACTACGAAGTGCCTTTCGGTCTCGATCTTGCTTCTCTTTTCGCCTTCGCATCCTCCTTTTTCTTCTTCTTAGCCGCTTCCAATTTCTCCTCGTGCTTTCTCTTCAAACTTGCCTTCTCCTCCTCCGTCTTCGCTACCGGCTTGAAAAAGCCTTCCAGCCGCGACTGCTGCGCCGTTTTCAAATTCTTCTGCAATCTTGCCGCTCCGCTACGTACCCGATCCTCACTAAAGCCCTTCCCTTCCACGAGGAATTTGACTAGCCCTTCCACATCAGGAGACTCCCACTTAAAGTCGCATTCTGGGTGATCCGCAGGGCGCACATCGGGTTCGAAAAAGAGATCACGGGCTTGCTCGTATGGCCAATCCTCCGGAATTGTATATTTCTTCTTGGGGTCGTTTTCCATGGCTTCGACTACCTTTTCTAGCGAGCCGTGGTCGCGGATCATTTTGAGTGCTGTGTTGGGCCCAACTTTGGGGATTGGGTCGACATAGTCACAGCCCAGAAGTATGCATAGGTCGACAAACTGTATAATTTAACCATGTCAGTGCTGCCTCCTCAAGTGGAAAACAAGTAAAAGATGTACCTGTTTCCGATCCATTCCCAACCCTTCCAAGACCCGCTCCAAGTGTATTTCCTGAATAGGCTCCTTCCTCTGCTCACTAAACGTGAGATGTCTCAACAAAATAGGCGAATCGAAACACAATGTATCCATATCCTCTGATGCAGCGGCATATACCTTCCCTGCCCTGGCCAAAACTGCGCACTGCGCCTCAGCCTCCGTAGGCGCGTCTATGTACGGTATCCCCATCAACTTCAACAGTTTCTTACACTCCTCGTTATGTTCCCTCGTCACCCTCACCGTGCGTCTCGAGAACTTCTCCACATCCTCCGCCGTGCCCGTCTCCTTCGCCTCCTCATGCTGCTCGGCAGCTTCTTGCTTACGCGCCATGCGCTTGGCCAATTCACCGGATTTAAGCTTAGGAGGAGCACCGTCGAAGACATACAGAGGTTTTATACCATTATCTACCATGCGTAGGGTTCGGTAGAAAAATCCCATCAGATGAGAGGTGGTTTCGCCGGACTCGTTCATGAGCTGCTGGCCGTCGGAGCGAACGGCTATGAGGAAGCTGTATATGCTCATGGAGCTATAATTGATCTATTAGAATCGGATCTGGTTGTAATAAGAGGGAAATGGGGATAGCGTACGCATCCTGATGTCGCGAAAAGGTATACGTTAGCGGATAGTTCAAGGGATACCAAGCTCAATGGGATGGAACATACTATAGCAACTTTCCTCCCAAAGTGATTCTTAATTTCACCGACTTTGATCGCGTCGGGCGCATTTTCAGATATTATCTGATATAGATCTATAGACGAGTCTCAGCACATCTCTTTAACTTGTCGTGTAGCTAGTAATTGAGTGGAAACGCACGCTTTATACCCATGGCTATGTAGTTAAATAGTGCTTCGGGGAAAAAAAAAAAAAGATATTAGATCCTGAAATATTGGAGCACTTGAATTTTGGTTGAGCAGTTCAAAACCCGCAGCTGGTATCGGGGCAAGCAATGACGCGAAGGCGCGTCGAGCTTCCCGCCAAGCGCGATCCAATTTTACCAAGTTTAGTTTAGCGTAATATGAAGGGACCATAACGGCAATCTAAAAATGCTGGAACTCACTGACATGACTCTCTGGAGTACGGCGCGGTCGTCTATGTTCTGAAGTTATTTCGGCTTCTACTCCAGATTGCTTTGCCACCTCAGCTTCCAGTTGAGGCACTGCATGGGATGCTATTGGATTCAAACAGGCCATTTCATGCTCATGTCGGCATTGCCATCTTTTGGAAAACGCCGCCCCGGGAGCCCAAAGGCGAGACGTATTGCCTACTTCCTGGGCTGCATGTCCTATTTACGATAAAGTAGAAGTTGCTGCCTCTTACGTTCATCTTCGGGCGTTGGCAAACCCCAAACTTCACTCTTTCGGTTTCCCGATCTAGACCGTCCTAGGCGGGGAAATTGCCGAGGCTCTACAGAGTATTGGACTCCGTACGTTCAAGTTTATTAACATGATCAGGCCAGTCCTCCCCATCTACTTGAAATTCATACCATAGAACCATTCATTAGCAATAAAAGCACTCTCCGGTATATTGGTGCTGTTTTCCAATACCAAAGTCAAGAAATATGAGTTATAACGGTGAAATCTTGCCTGGGCCAGCGCCGACACGGCTGCGGCAGATCGCCCTTGTTGCGCATGATATCGATCGCGCGGAGAGTTTACTGGTATGGAAGAAGCCAGCATGATCATCAAACGTCTAGACAATTAGCTTACTGAATGTTTCGGGAAAGACCTCCGTTCTCGGAACAGAGGTGATTTTTATTGATCCTGGAGTAGCGAAATGGGGCCTAAGAAACATCCTGGGTGAGCAAGACAAACACAACAATAGACGTTGCACTTCCCGGTTTGACGGGCATTATAAACTAACTACAAACCCAGTTGCTATTGGCGGCGACGTCATTGAGGTAAGATGTTCAGGTATAATATCAAGTGGCAACGCTCTGAGCTCATTGCAGGTCGTGTCACCGACAAAATCGGGCACAACTGCCGGCAGGCTTCTGTCCAAGAGGGGGGATGGGGGCTACATGATCATCATGCAGACCATGGATGCTGATTGGCGGCGTGCGTTCATCGAGTCGAAGGGCCTTGGTAAAGTCATCTTCAGTCATAGGTTGCCCGATAGTGTTTGTATTCAGTATCATCCAAAGCGCATAAAAGGTTAGAACGCAGCAGTGAGGTGGCCCCACCGATTGTAATGGGCATGGCTAACCATATTGCGCGAAGGCGGTATGATGCCTGAACTTGACTCCCACCGTGCAACGCCCGCAAACCCGGAGCCGCTGGCATCTCAGTTCTCGCAGTGGCATGCTTGCGGGTCGGACTATGCCTCCTACTCTGCCGGGATGAGGCGCTGCTCCCATCTTCATCTAGTCGGCATTCACTGCCGTCTAGAGCCTGGTGACTTGGATATAGAAGCCGCGTTAAATCAGTGGGAAGAGGTATTCGGCGTTCCGAGGACTCGCGAAAACTTGCAATTCACCAATGCCTGGATGAGCTTTGTTGAAGGTAAAGAAGGTGCAAGCGACGGTTTGGTATCAATCACCATCGCAGTTCAGGGGAAACAAAAACTAGATCGCATTTTTTCTGCGGCACGATCTTTTGACTTGCCACATGGAGATGGCTGGATAGATATGCTAGGTCTGAGATGGCACTTTGTCCTATCAAATGATGCCGCGAAACTGTAAATAGTGCCGCAACGGCAGATGAGATTCGGCCCGATATCAGAGGTTGGCTATGCGGAAATTGTGGCGGAATGCAAGATGAGTCCACCATTCAAGAATGATGGGCTCTCTGCCTGCCGTCCAACGAAGGTATCTTCAAATCAGGATCCTTGTTTCTACCGAACGTCTGCAGACAAAATACTCCCTGATCCACACCCCGTCTCAGTGGTGTCGGGCGAGGCCCACGACGCGTTAGCGTTACCGGCATATTACACCGAACCCAGAGGCTTAGATAATCCAGTAGCCGGCGCATGAGGCTACAAAAGTAGAGAATTCGGGGAATAGCAATGACTTCCACAAGGTATCAAAACTGTTCCATAGCATGAGAGTATGATTGGACATATCAACCACCAATTTCCTGTGAAAGGGGCTGTACTTCTGTGGTTCTCGGCGCTCTTTCAGGCATTGGACAATGATGTAATGGAATACCTCGACATTACACCGTGGTAATCAAAATTACCCGAAACCTACGGCAGTTCCGCGGGTAGGTAGATTCCGCACCGCACCGCATTTGCTGGCGATCTCCGACTCATTCTGCGCTTCGGGGTCATACCTCCTTTTTGGGTTGGTGCTTAGAGATATATATATATATGTGTGTGTGTTTTCCTGAAGCACCGTACTCGCTACCAAGGGGAAAAAGACAATCTCCACTCTCTTCTTCGTGAGCAATTCTTTCATTCAAGCTAACGCTTTGAAGCTCTATGCTGGACGGTCAACTGAGATTCAGGAAGTTAACGTTTCTACCCCCTCTCCTTTTAGGAATCTATTCCTTTTAGTCCTTCTTATCATCCACGATGAATACTTCACTACTGGGTCGCACTGCGCGTGGTGCTCTCAACGTAACCAAGGCCACATCCAGTAGCCTTAGCAGACGGTGTGCCTCTTCCTCCGCTGCCAGATTCGATTGGCAGGATCCGTTGAATGCCGCAAATCTCTATACCCCGGAAGAATTGGCCATTGCGGAGACAGCGAGACAGTACTGCCAGGAACGTTTGATGCCAAGGGTACTGGGTACGTACAGCTCTACCGCTTTTGAGGTTGGGACGAGTGCAGCTGATGTTGACCCCTCCTCCATACAGAGGCATATCGGAATGAAGACTACGACAAGACAATGCTACAAGAGATGGGAGAGCTGGGTTTGCTAGGAGCTACGATTGAGGGATATGGTTGCGCCGGTGTTAGCACCGTCGCCTCCGGGCTGATCACGAAGGAAGTGGAGCGTGTTGACTCTGGTTTCCGATCTGGCATGTCCGTGCAGAGCTCCCTGATAATGACTGGCATTCATGAATTCGGTACCAAAGAGCTAAAGGAGAAATATCTTCCCGGTCTCGCCAAGGGCAAGCTAATCGGCTGCTTTGGGCTTACTGAGCCTAATCATGGATCCGATCCCGGCTCTATGGAGACTGTCGCGAGATCGCATCCCACGAAGAAGGGATACTACTCCCTCACCGGCGCGAAGACCTGGATCACTAACTCCCCTATCTCCGATCTTTTCCTTGTCTGGGCTAAACTTGAGTCCACCGGTAAAATCAAGGGCTTCATCGTCCAGCGCGATCAATGCCCTCCTGGCACGCTGGAGACACCAGCTATCAAGAATAAAACGGCCCTCCGCGCCTCGATCACCGGCATGATCCAGCTCGACAACTGTCCCGTCCCAGAAGAAAACATGCTCCCCGATGTCGAAGGTCTCGTGGGTCCCTTTACATGTCTCAACAGCGCGAGATTGGGCATAGCGTTTGGAACTATGGGTGCGTTGGAAGACTGCATTGACCGAGCACGAACATATTCCCTTGAGAGGAAGCAATTCAAGGGTAATCCGCTGGCCAAGTACCAGCTGATTCAGAAGAAACTCGCCGACGCGGCCACCGATGCGGCTTATGGTACTCTAGCGGCCGTTCAGGTTGCGAGATTGAAGGATGAGGGCAAGTGCACGCCGGAGATGATTTCGATGATCAAGAGACAAAACTGCGACAGGGCGCTTGTGGGTGCCAGAACGTAAGCTGTGCCCCGTACTGTCCTGTGGCTCTTTCGTTGATCCGCCTGCAATGACTGGTTGAGTTAACTTCTTTGTTTAGTTTACAGGAGGTCTTTGGCGGTAACGCTGCTAGCGACGAGTACCACATCGGCCGCCACGTTGCCAACCTTTTTGTTGCGCAGACATACGAAGGGCAGAGTGATATCCACAGTAAGCCAGTTCCGCACCACTGAAATTGTCTTATAACCCTGGTTTTTCCCATACTAACTCGCCATGCTAGGTTTGATTCTCGGTAGAGCCATCACCGGCGTCCAGGCTTTCTGCTAGATTTAGGTTATTTTTTTTTTCCCAGTCCCTTCTGTACAAAACCGGTTTTGTTGCTTTGATTGTCGCAGCGGCGTGGAGTTACTTATATAGATTGTTAGATAAGCAAACCCTTTTGTGTAAGTTAACTAACTATCTTAAACTCACTAGTTTACAAGGTACACGAACAATGCATCATCACGCATGACAATGGCACAGCGACAGCTTTCCGGGTTGGCCACAAAGTATAGTTAGCTGTGGGCGCTTATGGAGCAAGGCACGAATCACGCTGTAATATAAATTAACACCCCGCTAGGATAGTCATCTATATTTAGTGATGCTTCCCTGAAATACAGGGCGCCCACACCACTCACTGATGACAGAGGATTGCTGCCGTCACCCGAAACGAATCATTTGACACTGAAAGAAGCGTTTCGCCTGGTTGGGATGCTTGTCTTCTGCCCAGTGTACAGGACATGTAAGATGGACGTAAGATTTGTGTATGTATTACACCCCCTTACGGAAGAAAAGACACCGTATCGGTACGTGCGGTACATACACCCATGGCCTTATCTTATCATTGCTGCTTAGTCAAGAGTGTGGCGATGCCCACGGCGCTTCTTCGGAACCACTTTTGTCCGGTCAAGGGCGAGTTTTCTTTACCGGCGGTTCGTGTAAGTACGGCAACGGCCCCGCGGCAGGCAGGGGATGACTCAGCGGTAATACAGGGCTGATACGGGCGTTTCGACTTCCACTTCTTTTCTTTTCTTTCGCACTCCGCCTCCCCGTCCGTCTTCCCATCTTCTTTGAATCACTTAGACTCCCTTAAACCTCAACATAAGCCCTTTGCTCCTCTGTGCAAATCACTACCACACGCTCCCCGGTAGGTATCCTCCACGCTGCCACTATTTAACCCTCCTCTCTACCCTCTGGAAACCCCAGCTTCTTTGGTGCGCTGCTAACCCGTCCCTCCTTCCAGGCCTCATCGCTGCATCTCTGCCAACCTGAAACAGACACACCACCCTACACTCCTCAAGATTTCCTTCCTCCCTCTCTCACACATCTCCTTCTCTTCACATACACACATCCTTCCTGATGGCTCTCAAGCGGATCAACAAGGAACTCTCAGATCTCGGCCGGTGAGTGACTCCCATTTTTTTCGTTGGGTGTGCCTTGGGCTGAATAACAACCCCACTTGCGGGGCATAACAAACGCCGGCCTCCCCTTGACCACCACGGGCTTGCCGCCCAAAGGCGCCATATACCGCCGTTTTTGCAAGACAGAAAGCTGACTAGCAATCCGCAGCGATCCTCCTTCATCCTGCTCCGCAGGCCCAGTTGGAGATGATCTGGTATGTTACCCGCCAAACCCCGTGTTTGTGTCGCGTGTCGGGAGCGTTTCAGCGTTGCGCACCGCAATATGCGATTCGGCATTGTTCGTTTATCGAGATTGTGAAAACTGACTCTGCTTTAGTTTCACTGGCAAGCTACTATCATGGGACCTGTGAGTTTCTCTTGAAAAAAAAATAGGCATGAGCAATATTAGTTCAGGCTATGGCACGACGATGCTTTTCCTGCTCTATGCCCAGCTCAGTGCGGCATATCAAGGGCTAACGGTTGTTTCCAACAGGGCGACAGTCCATACTCCGGCGGCGTCTTCTTTTTAGCTATCCATTTCCCTACCGATTATCCTTTCAAGCCGCCAAAGGTCAACTTCACCACCCGCATTTACCACCCTAACATCAACTCAAATGGAAGCATCTGCCTTGACATTCTGAGAGATCAGTGGAGTCCTGCTCTTACCATCTCTAAAGGTATAGCTTGTGGATCCGTGGATTCTTTTGCTCGCACCCTTCTAACGTGTACTAGTTCTGTTGTCCATCTGCTCTATGCTTACTGACCCTAACCCTGACGACCCCTTGGTTCCTGAGATTGCCCACGTGTACAAGACCGACCGTCCTAGATACGAGGCCACAGCTCGTGAATGGACACGGAAGTATGCTATTTGATAAGGTGAATGGTGATGGCGGAGTGGGGACGAGCCAAGCATGACAGCATGACTACCCTGTAACGGCATGTGGTGCATTTTCCTGGGTTTGATAAATAATGCGACGGGTGTATGAACTTGGGTGGTGGTGTTTTTGTGTGTTGCTGGCCAAAACTGCCCTTTTGGTATTCTCCGGCCAGCTCATTTTAGAACCGTCCATGCTCCGTATCTTCCTTTATTAACGAAATCCAAATATGACGAGCATTTTATGTTATGCATGCACACCACTTCCTACCGTACACTGCCTCGCGAGGATTCTTTTAACAAACCAGCATCGTGTACCACAAGTCCGAGTCTTTCGTGTGTCATTCTTGTCTTCGCCATGTTGTTCTCTTTAAATTTTCGACAACAGTTGAATTGACACTGTTCGAGTACCTTGTCTTCGCTGTCTCCGGTTGTGACTACTTGGGAACTTCTAGCATTTTTGACTTGATGCTGGTGAGACCATAGCACGCCGTGGGCTGCGTTTTCTTCCCTCCCTTTCTGCTTTTCTGGGTGGCTCGTTTTCTCTCTGTTATTCGGTCTTTTGCTGAACATGCATTCATTCCTCTTCAATGATATATCCATCTGCAATTTCTCTGTTTTGAGGAAGGTTTTTACTTTCCCCTTTTTCTGCTACATATAAGATATAAATAGTGACTACTTGAGTTAGATTGAGTTGCGAATGGAGATTTGTTGGCCTGTGCTGCTTATATATTCCTAAGAGGCATTTAGCTGCGCTTAAATATGTATTCTGATTTTATCCACTTGTTTCTCTGTACAGACTGGCCCAAAATATCTATGGTCTTCCCTCTATGCAGTGGGTTATAGCAGTGAACATGTCTAGCAAAGAAGAAAAGAGAAGCACAAAAATAATTTTGTCTGATTAAAAGAGGTTAGACGAAAGGAAGTGGAAAGGACTTATAAAGTCATACATTAGACGAGAAATGAGACAGGAAACCTGCAAACTCCCCGCAGAAGAACAGGAAGAAGACCTAAACCAGGTAGACAAAGAAACAAAGACACACCAAACAGATTGATGAAAAAGTCATGAGAACAGAAGCAAATAAGACAGGTAGCATAAAGCAAACCGCAGCACCATTCCTATGCAAAAACGTCGCTCTGCTTCACCCGTGGCATGCATCACAAACTCCCCATCTCAAAACATTCGCTCTTTTGCTCTTTCTTTCTCTCTCTCTATCGCTTACTGCGTCCACTCCTCCTCGACGTCGTTGAATATCCCGCGTTGCTCCCCACCTGACTAACACTATCACTCGGCTTAACCGGCTCATCGAACTTACTGCTCCGCAGAGTGTTGACGCTCGCCACCGAGCCCTTGCGCGACCCCGAACGCGATCGCCGCCTCGACGACGTTGATGGGGCATGTGAGCTCCTGCGCGACACACGGCTGGCGCCATCGGGAAGGATTGTGGGTAGGGTGACATGCGAGTCGACATCGACGTCGTCGAGGAAGATGGTGTTTGTGCCAGCGACGCTGGCGGGGAGGGGCACGTGGCGGGCCACGGAGCTGGCGTGCGAGTGGTGGCTGCTGCGTTTGCTGCGCGAGGTGGTGGAGGTGGAGATGGTGGTCACGGAGCCACTGGGGAGCGGGATGTTGCGGGCTGAGTGGGTGGCGGAGTAGACGGAGGCGGTGGGATGGCGCGATGTGGAGGAGGATTTGTCGTAGATGTCGTTGATGGTGATGATGGAGCGGGAGGAGTGGGAGTGATGCGAGGACGGTCGGGAGTGGGTTGACTTTGGTGGTTTGACTGTGGACGAGGAGACGACGCTGCTGTGGCCTGAGTAGCTGCTTCGTCGGTCTTCCTCGAAGCGTCGACGGGGACGCTCCGTGAAGCTGCTGATGAAAGTACTGGGATTCTTGTTGTAATAGGACATCTGGTCTTCGAAGTCTTCTGGCACTCCCTCGATGGCGCGGATGGGCATGTCGGCGTTGGATCCAGCGCTGTAAACTACGCTTCCACTCGAGGCGCGACGGATGTCAGGAGGGCCCTGGCTCTGGTTGCCACCAGCCAGGCTGGCGGCCTTGCTGAGCAGCTGCGTGCATTGCTCGAGCCCTTCAAAGATTGTGCTTGCACGGGGGTTCTTAGAATACATCGTATGGGCATACGCAGACATTCCATCATCCACGGACATTGCTCTCTGTGGCGCTGCCTCGATGGCCCTGTACTCTGTTGGTGCTTTCTCAGTCGAATAAGCGAGTGGCTCTTCGGTGTACTGTGGTGGAGCGGTCTCGGCTTGGGACTGCGATTCCCCCTTGACCATCGCATATGCGATTGCAGCTCCGGCTGCTGCACCGAGGAGCGTGCCCACGACAGCCTTAGCGCCGTTCAAGTTGTCGCCTGGTTTCGCCATGGTGGTCTGTGGTGGTGTCTGAGAAGATTGCTGGATCGATGGCTGCATTGAGGGCTGCATCGACGGCTGGTAAGCAGACTGGATTGACGGCTGTTTCACCGATGAAACAGCCGACCTCGCCTTTTGCTCGATTGTCGGCACGGTTCTCGCAGCGCTGACGGTGCTCCTCTGTGCAACGGATCCGACCTCCGATTTAGGAGCTCGGCTCTTGGACGACATGGCCCTGGAGACATACGATCCATTCTCAACCACGGTCAACGCTCGATCGTTCTCTCTGCTGTCTTGGCACCGATTGACGGCTTCAATGCTGTTTCCATCGAAATCAATCACCGCAGCGCTGAAGTAACCCTGTTCCGCATCTCGCAGACATGGTTCTCCATGGATCTTTCCTCCTGCTTTAAGCGCGGCGATGAAGAAAGCACTGACAGCTTCGCGGGATGGAGCTGGAAATGCAATGTGGGCAGCACCGGCCGGCACTCTTTTTTATTAAAAAAAAAACAGGTTCACATCAGCACTCCATACCAAGCTGTCAAAGATCGTAGTAGGGTAAGATTTGCGCGACTCACCCTGGTCTTTCCTCGGCGATCCAGAAGTCCGCTGGCTTTCCCGGCTCAGCGCCGAATCCAATGCTGTTCTCATGTCGGCCGATAAATTTATAGCCCAGAGGCTGCAGGCAGGAGAGGAAGAAGGACGTCGATTGAGGTAGGTTCGAGACCGTAAGCGTGAGATGTGAAACAGGCATGGTGGAACTGTTGTACACTGTCCGAGTAGGGCAAAAAGAAGAGAAAAAAAAAAAAAAAAAAGAAAGAAAAGAAATATGCGAACAGAGGCGGGGAGTTCGTCTAGATTAAGATTTTCGTGCGACGGCAGGCTTATGGGCCGGCTTGCGCTGTTTTATCCGCGGGAGGACGAGACAGTCGAGACAGGCTCACGAGAGACGGGTATGGGTAGCACAGACACTCGGAATGAATGGTCAAATTAAGCTATCCATCAAACGGATAGCAACGGACAAGCAAACAAGTTGAGGATAAAGACTAGATAATTTATAAGAAACGAGAATGTTTATGCTACTCTCCGAGCTCTCTTTCAAGGGTAGCAAGAGCCACGTCCGTACCCGACCGTGATACTCAAGTTAATGAAGCGTTTAAAAAAAAAAGGACAAATCCTTTTTAATATATGAAGAACGGAAATAAAAAAAAAAGGAAGAAAAATACAAGAGAACAAAGAGCATCGGGGAATCTGGCAGGAATTAAAAAGGGTCGCATCGAAATCGTGAAGCGGCCCGCGATGCTTGGACGGGAACAAATCACCGCCATTCCAGCCGAAAAACAGCATCACAGTTCGCTGGGTCCACGGGGCAAGAGACTGGCACCGGATGTACATACAGAAGCCTCGGGGGTGGCACTCTAGAGGGCCCGGCTTGGGGGGTCCAGCCCAGCACTCGGATCTTTGTCCCTCTTGGTGCCGCACATTGTTGGTCCAGCGAGGTACGTTGGATACCCAGCAGAAGCAACGACAGGGCAGTTGGCTCTGAGACAAAACGGTGGCAGGGTGGAAGTGGAGACAGAGAGAGAGAGAGAGAGAGAGAGAGAGAGAGAGTCAAAGCCAGAGGGTGAGAGCGTGTTGAAACACCGCATCACTTTCTGCTGGCTCTGATTCGAGGGCTGCCTGTCGATGCATGATGTGGTCGGGAGGCGGTCCTATGGGAGATCGTGCATTTCTTTCTAGGTTCCTGTGCAGCCAAAGAAGAGTGGGCAGACGAGGGAGATCCGTAACTCGCGCGTGCGAATCAGGGCGTGGGGCTGGCGGATCCATTCGTGCCTGATGGTGATTCCGAAATGCACGGCGAGGACAAGAAGAGAAGTGGGACTTTTGGGGAGCGCGCGAGAGAGAGCGAGAGCGTGTGAGCGAGAGAGTGAAGAGGGGAGTCCCGGTCGTGCTGTGCCGGCTTGACCGCTCGGCGAAATCGACCGGTGACGGACTGACTGGCCCCCAGCCATGCCATACCGCTCTGCTTGAACTGGCTCCCTCTCTGACGGAGAATCGATCGGAGACAAGCTCGTTAGTCAAGCTGACCATCAAGATCTCGCGGACGCGCAGCCCGTCCACTGCGACGCTGCGACGATGAGGCGAGCAGAACCCGAGCAAGGTCTTAGCGTGCAGCCACCGACACGCCAATAGAGGCCAATCGATGCCTTACCCTGTGTCTTCCCGAGTCAAAACGCAGCGAACAGGCCCCTGCAACCTGCATGAAGACGTGAAGATAACATTCGGAACCACGATGGATGTACAGTACATACTACATAATAACGCTGATTGCCCTTGCTCTTCCATGATCGACGCAAAGAGGAGGCGGCGGCGGCGAGAGTTGGCCGCCAAAGTGAAGCAAAACTCCCGGCCCGGCATTATGCCCAAAACGCAACCGAGTCCCAGCTCCATAGTTGGGTGCTCATGCATACGGACGCTGCTTGCTCAGACACCCCCCCCCGGCCCTCCCGGTTGTTCGCGAAATACATACGTGGAATCTCCGGAGAATATCGCAGCCCATCTGCAGCACATCTTGTTGGTTACGACTGACCACGATTTATACACATCCTCCTTGCAAACTGACACAGTAACTCCCTGTAATGATATCTACACAGCTCTGGCCTGCTCCCCTGTCGTCCTTAATTCTCCTCCGTTTAACCCGGCGACATATTCCCGAAAAGAAAACAATACTCAAAAATTTACACCTTAATCTCGAGGGTTGAAAATGGAGAGGTGGCAGTAAGTTGAAGTACTGTCCACCAAGAACCAAGTGCCGTGGAAGACTGAAGGCCAGGTCGAGCATGTTTTCTCGTTTAGTATTCTGAGGAAAAGCGAAGAGGACATCCTGTTAATGTGAAGAAAGAAAAGGAGGGAAAGAAAAATTATACATCCGAAGAAAGCCCGTACAGAAGATAGTATAAAGGACGACAGGGAAATATATTTTGCACGAACAAAATCCTCGCCTAGAGGCTGTTGAATCGCCCGTGTTTTGGTTGTAAAAACAGAACGAGACCCAAGCGGGAGTTTTGCCTCAGTGCAGGGAGAAATGAAAGTTGAAAAAAGAAAAGAAAAGAAAAAGAAGACCCCCAGAGTTAAACGAAATACAAATAGAGAATAAAATAGATATAGAGAGGGAGAAAAGAAAAAAAAAGAAAAAAAAGAAAAAAAAGAAAAAAGGGGGGTCCACGGCCGTTGTCGTCGCAGCATACGTTTGATTGCTTCGCCGTCATTGTCTGATTCCGCTGTGCTTCTGTCACGGTCGGGGGAAGGCCAGCCAGGAGAGATCTCAGGCCTTGATGTTATGATCGTGAGCCCGGTCTCGACGGTTTGTAAACTTTCTTTCTTTTTTTTTGTGTTATATACCTGACTTGGTCCCACTCGGCCTCATGGTTCCCATCCATACAAATTCCAGATGTAAAAAGATCCGGGTTGACAGGTGGTAGCATGGCGAGTTCGACGGGGGGGGAAAAGCACAAGAGTAGAAACCCGGCGAGCACGGATGTTGTCTTTTTTTTTGGTTTTTTTTCTCCTTTTTTTCTTTTGTTAATATATTGTCATCTTCTTTTCGGTCGTTAATTCTTAAGAGATTTCTTTTTTTTGGTGAGAACGGGCAAATCGGCTTCCGTCGTCTGTAATGATGAAAGCTGTGAAAACTGCTGCTGCTGTCGTTACCTCCGTAAGCGTCTATAGGTTAGAAAAGGAAAAAGCCCATACAAAGAGGCTTGTTCCATTGGGGTTGGTCTGCATTGGCCGACCTAATTCTCTCTTTTTAGTTTGTTTTCCCTTTTCCTTCATACAATGCCCCATGCATCTTCTGCCGCGTGGCAGAACTTGCTACACGCCACGCTGGCGCTAAGACTGAAGTTGCTGATACTGACAGCATCGTCTTTGAACGCATCTGCGAAGTCATCGCGGCCCTTGGCCATGGCGCCCACAAACACGCATATACTTTCCTTGGGCCCCAACGTTCTGATGTAATCATTGACCCGCACAACCGGCGCGTCGAAACTGAGCGTGACCTTGCGGCAGTTGGGCGGTAGATGGTCCGTGATCGGGTTCTTGATCACTTTCAACAGCTTCTCCTGCGAGTTTGTCGAGCGGATCGATAGCCGATGTAGCAGCTGGACCATCAAGCCGGCGAACCGCTTGAATGTGCGAGGAATGCGGACCGTGGGGCTGACTTCGATTAGGACGCCCTTTGCGGTGTGAATGTAGATCTGAAGCTTTCCCGCTTTGTTGATTGGAGAGTCAAGGAGAGTGAGAAGGCACTGTTGAAGTTTGAAAGCAAGGGAGGGCATTCTCCATAAGCATTCTGAGCTGAAAGTTGCAGCGAGATGGGAGGGGAAAAAACGAGAAAAAAAAAAAATAAAAATAAAAAAAAAGGGTAAAACGGCCGGGGGAAGATCAAAATGTGCACACCTGGTGGGTGATGTCCGGTCTGGCCTCGCTGATATCTCTACCCATCTTCCTCATTACACCGATATGCTCGTCGCTGTTGAGCAGCGAGTATTTCTCGTCCTTGCCGTTCATACCCTTTCCACCCGCCTTGTAGGTTTCGAGACTGGCGTTCGATAGGACAACAATCAGTCGCTTCGTGTCCTTATCGTGCGATGGAATAGGAACATGTTGCTCTGCGACGAGCTGTGGAAGCTCGGGAGGTGGGCAGGATTGGGTTCCTGGATCGTCGAGCGACATTCCGTGATTAGTACGTGTCCTTCGAGATGCAGAGAACTGACGATGACAAGCACTAAAGAGAAAAGGTAGTTCGTCTTGATGGGGTAGGGCAAAAAAAAAGAAAAAAAAAAGAGAAAAAAGGGAAACTTGGAGCAAAGGCGTTGAATAGAAAAAAAAAAAGAGAAAAAGATCTCTCTCCAAGGCTGAGAGCCGGACGTTCGCTGGTTAGTGGTCAAACTGAAACCTAACTGATCAACCGGCGGTGATGAGGGCAAAGCCCCAAGGCACAAGACATGGACGGAGAATATCTGAGCTGTCTGCGACGGCGCTGCACGTTCTAGCACAGGCTCCGGGATTCAAGCCTCGCAACAGGCTTGAAACAATTGCAGGAGCAGGCGGAAAGTAGCGAAAAACAGGGCTGGTTTTTACTTACTCGGTCGCTTTCTCTTCGCCAGGTCTGTGGACGCCATTGCGGGGAAGTGCCGGACGATTGGGATTGAGAAAAAGGGGAGAAACAAAAAAAGAGAAGAAGACGAATATGGGAGACTCGTCAAGAGACCGTGAGCGGGATCTTTTCAAGTTTTGGGAGGTTCGGGACAGGTTGGCAGAGGGGAAAGCGGAAGAAAAGAAAAGTCCCCGAGCACACTTTTAAAAAAAAGTCCGCGAAAACAGCGAATATTTTTAGACTTTCCTACGGGGGGGTACCAGAAGCCGGAACAGGGCGGGAGACAAGAGACCAAGTTCCCTGCTCTATTCTACAATTGATATAGCACTGTGAGCTGACGAGATGTCTGGCAAGTGTTATTTTTACGGCAATATTTGCAAAAAGGCGAGAGAGTCAGCCGCAAAAAAAAAAAAGAAAAAAAGAAAAAAAGAAAAAAGAAAAGAGGTCGAAAACCGTCGCATTGTATGACAGGTTTTGCTGCGAGCTGCGAATTTACACTGAGCTCTAAACAGCGACATGCTGACGCTGACAGTGCATCAGCAGGCAAGCCATTCCAGATCCTGGATAGCGTTTTTTTGTCTTCTCCTTCATTGCCTTCTTCAGCTTTCTTACCGTGGCTTTGAGACTCCAACAAAATTGCTGACACTAATTGTTGGTAAGAGCTTTTTTTTTTGGTTTGTTTGTAAGATGAAAAATCGCCAGCTGGGGACCCAACTCGCAGACTGGGAGGAAATAATAGAGATGGGAGCGCTCTGCAACTCTCACCGTTCTGCGCTCCCTGCTTCCAGCTGCCCACAAGATGACAGTGGCCATGTCAGCATAATCAGGAACCGTCACTGATCTTCTAAAAAAAAAAAAAGTTGGCAACACCCTTCTGCTAGAGTTGCAGACATCGCCATGCCAATGCCAATACTTCATGGCAAACCAGCAGAGCACCTCTAATCAGCTTTCCGGTACTTTGTATTCTGTAAGGATTGTTGTTAGCAAGCCCCGGTTGAACAACAGCAGCATAAATCCAACCATATTCAGTCACACGAGTTAACACCTAGTGTGTTGCAAGGTCTCATCCCAGTTGTTGGTTGCGGAAGGAAGTTTACCAAACCTAACCAACCAACCAACTCAGGTCCTTTAGCGCGCGGGTTTTTGCCCCTTGTAGGCAAGAATCTGTCTGACGAAGAGCGGCAGTCTTCTAATGCCAGGTACGCCCATTTGATGCACCCCCTCTCAAACTCTCTTCCCCCCAAAGAGTCTTTTGACGAAATCAGGGTAAAAGAAGAGTTGCCCCGCAGACAACTTCTCCAATTGGCGTCTAGGCTAAAGTGCCATAGATGGAGCTGATTACCGTGGTTAGCTTAGCGACTGGCCAGGCTGTTTGTAGCCAACGTTGTTATTCTCAAAACCCAACGGTTAATATTGTTGCTCAATGGCCTAGACTTTGTTGGATAAGGGAAGACGAAGTAGTGCATCGTACAGAGTAGCACTACATCACGGAGAGATGCCGCGCTTTCATATCCTGTTACTAACGGGATACACATAACATGGACTCAAGGTGCGGAACCCGGCAACCCAGACGTGGACACCGGGAATGATAGGAACGAGTGTCTGCATCTGATCTTGCCAGCACATCTCAAGTGGCAAGTCTTCCGTTTGGGGAATTGGGGATGAAAGTTGCGCGGCGAGCAAGTTTCGAGAATGGATGCAGGGATGTCAGCCACCTGACAGCTTCAAAGGCGAGGGGAAAAAAATCTCGTACAAACCAAATACTGTTTTTTTTATTGAAACAAATGGACATAGGGATATCATAGAAACGTGTGACACACTTTTTAAAAAATTCCAAGAGGATGGGGACAAATCGCAGGCCGTGAAATCAAGAAGATTCTCAAATCGCCTAGCATCTCCGCGCTTTTTTTTTTCTTTTCTTTTTTGCTCAATTTGGACCTGGCTTTGTGTCTGTTGTGCAGGGCAAGAAACGGGGTTCAAGTGGCTGGGGGTGTGCTCCCCGAAAGGCGACCGGAGTACGGAGTAACAAGGCCGGGAATAGCCAGCCCGTCCACATGATGATGCAAGGAGAGAAAACGAGGAACCTTTTTTTTCTTCCCTTGTCTCTCAAGTAAGCTCTATTGGGGGAGTGGATGATTTGGCCAACGAGCACCTTGGGTCTGGAGAAACAAAGTCCGAACTGGCATTCCCAGCCGGATGGGCCGCTCGAGCTGCGAGGGGGAGTCGAGGAGCGAAGAGTTGAATAATCATCATCGCTGTCGGGTTAGAGTTAGGTGCATGCAGCCTGGTCGAAGGTCGGGCTTGAGGGGATTGCTGGAAGGTTGTGATTAGCTGCGCTGGGCTGAGCAGAGAACTAAGGTTGCTGCTGCGACCTGGCGACGGCTTGGGAGGGAGACTCCACACACTCTCTCGCCCCAATGCTGAGACAAAGCATTCTCCCACGATCTGTAGGCATCCTTGCAGTTGGATTGAACACGGCCGTTAAAATAATCATAATCAGCAACAGATCATTGGTCTCACTCGCTCGCTAATAACCAACAGGCAAATCAGCGATCAGGCTGCCGTCTGCCTTGTCTCTCGCTCGCTCTCACACTCATCTCTCTTTCCCATCCCCGGGAAAAGAGTCAAGCGGAACATCGACTGCAGGCTGCCTTCAATTTGATGATAATCTTTCTTCCACCGTGTGACAGCAGATTGAGATCAACAGCAGGATCGCCAAACTCGCCCTTTTTTTTTTTGTTTTTTTGTCTGAGAGATTGTGCTGGTTGCCGTCGAAGTGCTCACTCGCCCTTGGCCCGAACGGGACTAGCTGGCGATCCCGCGCAATCGGCGACTGATAACAAAACACCCTCGACACTCGACACTCAACACTCGACGCTCCCTATTGAATCTACGCATCTTTTCTTTCCCACCCGCATCAACATCCCCGCATGGTTCTGGCACCTTGAGTCTATACACAGCACCCATGGTCAGCGTGCGAGATATGCCATATACCGTGACCAACTCATTCAAGAGGTAAACAAGCTCCCCTTCCCCCCTGGTCTGGAAAGCTTGCGACGCGCCCTGACACAGCACCACAAATAGGGGTCTCATGATGCGAACTTACAGCAAACCCATCCGCCAGTTCTGGGATGATGCCGCGCGTCCAGCCACGAAGAAAAGACGCGTCGACGCCGGAAAGGACCAGAACGAGAGCGAGAACAACCTTGAATGCGCGATACGCGAGTCATCGGCGGCCGTGCTCTCCAGTCCGTCGCGTCGCAACTCCGTGAGTTTCTCAGAGGACGTTCTCGATGACCTATCCACTCCGCCTTCATCGCCTCCGGCTCTACAGCTGACGCCTCCGCCGGCAAATACGCGAAAACCTACGTTTACCTTCCTCAAGCGGAAGAGGTCGACGCCCAGCGTTTCAGCTGGCGGAACACCCTTGGCAGAGGTGAACTCGAATAGCTTCCTGCCATCGTCGACTGATCCTCAGAAGAAAAAGCAGCGACAGCAGCAAAGTCACCAGCCACCGGTCTTGAAGCAGATGCAGCTCGACCTGGGCGGAGAAATTCGGAAGACCTGTTCCGGGTGTGGGATGGAGTACGTTCCGTCTAGCCCGGAGGATATGGCTTTGCACAAGAAGTTTCACGACATGAATTCGAACGGGATTGACCTTGGCAAGGCGTTTGTGCGCGCGAATGCGTCCAGGTGGGTATACGAGGCGGCGCGTTTTGACGAGGGATACGTGGTGATCATCGATCGCAAGAGCTCTCTACCGGCGAAGAATCAGGCAAAACGAGTGCTAGAGGTGGTCAACAAGGAGCTTTCTTCTCCGGAAATTGAGGATTCGATCCTGTGGAGCCAGATCGACACCCCGAAGCAGTTTAGGAAGAACGGCTCGAAGGAAGAGGTTGATCGGTTCAAGGTGTTTTTGCACATGAAGGACAGCAAATGCGTTGGGTTATGCTTGACTGAACGGATATGGGAGTCTCATCTTGTTAAGCGGGACGGGGAAAAGCCTGTCAAAGGATCTGGGGAGGGATTCGACGGCTCGTCAATCACCTTGAGTCAGGAGAAGCAGCCAGCTTCTGTGGGGATATCGCGAGTGTGGACGTCTTCTTCGTCTCGAAGAAAGGGGATTGCCATGGACCTGTTGGATTGTGTCGTGGGCAATTACTTCTACGGAATTGAGATTCCAAAGTCGCAGGTGGCATTTAGTCAACCAACGGAGAGCGGATGTCGCCTCATGGAGGCATTTTTCGGACCCGATGAGCCGTGGTATGTCTACAAGGAAATCTATGCCACCAATTGAGCCGTCTTTGGTTTATCAGGGTCAAGACTTAGAGCTCCTTGGATACGCGAGCTACAAACAGCTTTGAAGCACCATGAAAGAAAGAAAAGCTCCACCCCTTCCTTTCCTTTTTTTTTTTCTTTTTTTTTTTGTTTAAACTAGCCGATTAGAGAATGGACCCTTTTTTCTGCTGGATTACGGGCGTTTCGATGGGCAATTTATTCTGGGATTTATTGCGCTGAAGTTGGAGGCCAAACTGTGTAACCGGATTACCCTTGTCATTTTTTTTAACCTGTATGTCTTAAAGAGTCGATATACCACCAAATTGCAATTGATTAGCGCAATAATCGAGTCCCCCATCGCCATTGCTCGAGTAGCGAGTCGTCTGTCTGTAACTCGGCCAGGGTAACCCGCACCGGGAGCTCTGGCGGTGCCTCCCCTGCTCTTCAAGCTTGCCCACCTTAAAAACTCCCGGCCTGGTGCTGTCAACACCCTCTCTCTCCCCCTTCCTCCCCGCCCAACACCTGGTCTTGCTCATGCTCTGGGCAATCCGGTTTGTCTACGATGTCTGGGTTAAATCCTTTCCGCCATAAAAAGGCTGCCTCAAGCCCAATTACCCCGCCTGCACGATCAAGCTCGACAGCCAACGTGGGTGACCAGGATCCAGGCAGCACAGTATCAGCGGCGTTCGACGACGGTGCGCACTTTCAGCCCATCCCTTCACGCCCCAAGACGATATCCTTTCTATGAAATTCCTTAAGCTTGCTGGATATCCCCTTGCGACTGACCAATGGACCTCGTGCTTCTAGACATCCCTGCCCATCCTTCCTCGCGGGCGAAAACAGTCCGCATCGCATCCCCGCCCGTGCGCTCTCAAATATCCCCCATTGAGCCACAATCTCCTCTATCGACGGGTACGACTACTCCATTCCAAAGCGTCTCGATGCGTCGTGATTCTCCGCCTCCCCCAGTGCGAGATTTAGAGTCGGAAAGTTCAGACGATGAAGCTTCCCCTGATCCTTTCGGCAACCCGGAGGTCTCCGGGAACGATGAATATGACAGCCAGGAGCTTGAAGACAGCACACAACCGAGTCCTCGGTCAGCGAGGACGCAAGGGTCGGGGACCGAGCAACATGAACAGCAGGATCCGGGTGGATTGAAGAGGTCGATGCCGGATGCAGACACCATGTGTACTTCACGAACACCGGACGGTGCGCGATCTCCGGAGGCGCAAAGGAAAAGAGCTACGCTGGATGTGGATGCATTTAAGAGATTGCTTCTTACTGGGGATGCTGGAATTGAGCTGGGTCCTGCTCCAGCACATTCCCCTGCTCAGTTTCAGGAAGAGAGGATGGCTGGTGGTAATGTTATTGATCCAAAACCCTGGAGACAAACCAACTCCGAGTCCACACCCGCTTTGCAGGATTATGTGAGGCGTGGATCCTCGACGATGTCTAGTTTTGAAAAGGAGCGTGTGAACCCTGAGGGACAATCCAAGCCAAGCGGAAAGAAGAAACCACCGCCTCCTAAGGTGAGGCATGGGAAACTGATTCAAAGTGACACCAGCGATATGTCTTCGCTTGGAATTTCGAGCCCGTCCCCGTCATCGGACAATGCTTTCCTGCCGTTGAGACCTCCTTCTCCATCACTCTCACAGCAGGGAGGAAGAGTTGTCTCCGATCCTCCCATCCAACGCTCTGATAGTACCACCAGGATTTCAGCTTTGGACCGACGTGCTGAAGTTCGGTCTGAAGCGTTTTTGAACCCCAAGCCGCTCCCACCCATCCCTCCCGTGCGACGAAGCAGTCAGCTAAAACAGTGCAAACCCTCTCTCCCGATCAGCCGTTCATGTTCTACTCGACTTCCCAAAACATCGTCCCTTTCCGGGTCTACAGCACCCCGAACTCCGCCTCCACCACCTTCGCGCCGTAAAGATCGGGAGTCGTCCAATTCATCGCCTTCTACCCAGTCTCGATTCCCCATTACTCCAGACGGCACCGCTCCTCCAGATGAAGAAGCAGAAGATGCTTCTGAAAACACCAGCCTCCAGCGCTCCGAAACCGGTTCGATACACTCTGTGAATAGACTATCACGGCTTTCAGGCCCGTCTACTGTGCCACCGCGACCCCCACCTCCGAGACGGAGCGGCGGCTCGCAAGCATACAGCTCTGAAGATTCCCGGCCGGCGAGGCCAATGTCGATGGTTGAAACAAGCAGCAATCAGATTAAAGACAAAGAAGTAGACGAAGAATCGCCTCCTGCGCCGCGCTCCAACGCGAATAATATCCTCGCGGACCTATCGAAGTTGCAGAAAGAGGTGGACGAATTCAGAGGCAAGTATGAGAAGAAACAGCCTAATTGAAAAAAAAAAAAAAAAAGAAAGAGATTTGCGCTAGTTTTGCGCTTTGGACGGTTTTGATGTGAATACATGACGTGGAGTTCTTGTTTTACTGCTTTATTGGTTTTCTTTTTCTTTTTTTTTCTCTTTATTTCTTGATGCCGATATGAATGGTGGGCACTTTCGACGAGATATATATACTGTATCCCCGACTAAGAAGGGAGGTCTTGATTGAGACCTTGTTAACAATTTTTTTTTTTCTCCTTTTTGTTTATTGAAGCCGGGTCATAGCTAACTCCTCTTTTTCTTTGTATATGCGAACGATTGCCTGACGAACTGGTACTGGTATGGATGCTCTTGCATTGTCGGTGATGACTGCATTATTCCCCTCCCTTACATATATTACTTTTCTGTGCTTTTATACTGTAATTATTTATTTTATGTTACCACACTCTTGGTGACCGTGTTGATTCGATTCTTTATAAGCCGTCTCGGGGAAGTTGGGAGCCTGGTCCTTTTGGGGGTATTAAAAGAAAATCCAGCCGTTCTTATATTTCGCAAGAAGCAATACTTAGTTTATCCGGTACAGACAACGAGGGCCTAAAAAAATTGTTTTTTTATGGTAATTCATACATACATTTGCAAGCCTTGAAAAGTTCGTAAGAAACCTCCTCCTGCTTGCTTCTCCCAGCTCAGTGTTTCAAGAACTCCCCATGTCTTACATTAAATAATTTTTTTTTTCTTTTCTTTTCTTTCGTGGATTCGTGGGGAGAATAGAGAGTAAAAGGGACCAACGGGTGAGGAAGAAAAAAGTGCCGGCCTGTAGTTAATCCTCCAAAGTTAAAGTAGCAAGAAAAGACAAGAGAAGAAAAGAAAAGATGAAAGTAGAAGTAGTCTTGAAAAAAGGGACTTCAAATATCGAAATACATAATCCTCGTACGGGGAAAGCAAAAAAGAAAAAAAAAAAAAAAAAAAAAAAAAAAGGGACAGAAGAAGGCAGAGAAGTCTCTATGGAAAGGCCGAAGTTTAGAACAAAGCACCCCACATTCTTGGGCGTTGGGAACGAGGAGGGAGTGGACTGCATTACTCGGTTCACCCACGATCGGGTTTGCCGCTACTGACGGGGAGAGGTGGCCGGACTGTCGTGTCAACGATGTCTTCGTCGAAAGTTATCCCGTCGACCATGCGTGCGTCGTCTATGGCATCGTACTCGAGGCCCTGCGGCGTGTTCGACCCCGCAGGGGAGGGCGACGAGAGTGGGATCCCGGCGGGTTGGGGTGAATAGGCGGCGGCAGCCTGGCCAGAGGAAGCTCGGTTGCCTCCGACTCCGGATGATTGGCGGCTTACAACAGACACTCTGTTGATACCTGTGGATACCGGGCCGCTAATGGTGCTGTTTGCGCCTTCGCCAAACCCGACGAGGCTGGCGTTCTCGTCGCTGAGGCCTCCCGTGCTGGAGACGCCGTCGTCATCGTTTAGCTTGTCTTGATCAAAGATGTCACTTCCGCTGGCCCAGGTTGTGCGGCCTCCAACGCTTCCAGTGGCGCTGGCGCTGCCAACGGTGCTACGTTCTTTTAGGAGCAAGTGCGCGTATGTGTGGTCGAAGTAACCGGGTGGAGCTCCACTTGGAGGATCTTCTCCGGGGGTTCGTGACGCCGCTACTCTTTCAAGGCCAGCTAAGCGTGAGATGCGATCAGCGCGTTCTGCAGCCAGGGTGTCTGTGGAGGTTTGCGAGGCATCTGAAGAGCGGCGACGGGGCCGATGGCTATGGGGACGGAGTTTTCCCTGATGACCATCTTTGATTGCGGTGGTTGAGAGACCGGACAGGGAGGTAGTGCCTGAGTTTGGAGTACCCCTGTGATAAACGACAGCAATCGCGGAGTTAGTGACTGTGGTTCTGAGCTAGCTTTGAGGAATTGGGCTGTGGCATTGGGCCAAAATCCAGACCAGGTACAAAACGCATATAACTTACGGGCCCATCTCGGACGGCGTAGGAGGCTCCGAGGGTGGAGGCGGGAGGTTGATGAGCGTTGGACGAGACATTCTGATTTGTAGGTGAAATGATGAAATTCCAAGCGGAGAGGCGGGGAGAAGGGAATTGGGCGAGGGTAGCTCGCTGGATGTTGCACCAGACGACGATCTACGCGAGGTAGAACCGTCAAGAGCAGCTGGGTTCTTCAGCAGAGGTCAGGCTCAAGGAAGGAGATGAGCTTCGTATGGAGAGAGCGAAAGGGTGCTGCGCAAACGAACAAAAGTAGTGATCGGGATATGCGGCCAAGCAGGGCAGACGGGTGGTTGGCCGACGTCCTCTGTGCGACAATGCGTTGGTGAGACTTTACCCAGGGAAAAGAGCTGCAGAGAGATTGGAACTGGCTGCAGAGGGCTGATTATAGGGCAAAAGGGCGGCTAGACCACAATGGGGATATCAATTTGAAGAAATTTTGGAGGGACAAGGTGGGGGGTTTTTTTTTTTTGGATGTAGCTCAAGCAATTGGGGCTACAATTCGGGGCGCTTTGGTGAGAGGTACACAGGGAGAGCGGGAGGGGCGCTGATGTGGCCACAGGTCTTCCACGGGATACGGGCTCGATGCGATGCAGGGCTGAGACGAGGGGAAAGGCGGCCAGGCAGCCGGAGAGGGAGGAGAACGGTGATGGTGGCTATCGTCGTGGTGGTCGTGGTGGTCGTCGGCGGCGTGCGGCGTGCGGCGTGGTGGTGGTAGTTTTGAATGGAACAGTCGCCAGCGGATCGATCGAGAAAGTTACTCCGGCGATCGGCTGGCTGACGTCATCATCACTATCGCCAAGACCTCACACCAGGGCTTATGTAATAATGTCTTGGCAGCAAGCCGTCGCAGGCACTCAACCCAGGGTGGAAGGTGCAATTCACATGAAGAAATACTCCGCATACAGCAAGCAGCAGCAAGGGGCAGGTCCCTCGCTTGGTAGTCGCGTGCCTTCCCAGTTGGAGCACTGGCCACAACAGAGCGTGACTGGGCACTCCACATCCCGTAATCAACTACATGCATACGGAGTCCTGCAGGACCGAATGCCGTCGATAGTGCAGCCCGTCTCGTTGCGAGCGGTGATGGATAGCATGGCATAGAGTATGGAACGACAGCTTTTTTCTCTTAATCCTTCTTAAGTCCATCCTCCTCTCCCCCCCCTCTGTCTCTGTACTCTCTTGCTCATTTTTTCTCTCCGCTAAAAGACTCTCAGCCACACTCAGCCCTACAGACCCCAACCTACCCAGCCATAGTTACTCCCCAAAGCGTCCTAGCGTAGTACCAGCCCGTAGTTACGTAACCATCTGTGGCGGCAGCCCAGCTTGCCAGTCCACAAAAATCCGCTTCTTCGCATCTCGCCATCCTCTCTCGCTCTCTCTCGCTCTCCTCTCCAACCTCGACGTCCTTCTTCCTACTACCTCACCCTTCTCCCTCCGCCCGTCTCCCGCCTACTCTCTTCCGCTTTGTTCCTGCAACGCCTGGGCCTCGACCTCTCCATCGTCCCCCCGCGCGAGCAGACTTGGCCTTCTGCCGTTTCTCTTTGTCGCTTGGCATTGACTTGTCCAGCTCAAGAGAAAACAAAGGAGCTTCCTTCGAACAACGGAACCGGCTCGCCAAAATCCCTCCCAAGATCCGAGTATTCTTCTCCTCTTAATCCTTGCCTTTGAAAAGCAGGTACTCGCTTCGCTGTTTATTCATAAGCCTCTTATCGCAAATATCTGGCTTTGCAGATCCTTGAGATCCGTTCAATCTGTCCCAGACAGCGAACGACCTTGTCGCCCTTTTTTTTTTTTTTTTAATTAAAAAAAAAGAAAAGAAAAGAAAAAAGAGCCTGAAATTTTCAAACCAAAACAGCTCCAGCTGGAAGAGGGTACGGTCCGCGACATTCCCATTTCGATAACAGTCGGTCCTTTGGCCTTTTTGTGTGCGTGTTGGATCTTTCTGTGGCTTTGAGTAGCTATGGCAGCCCCAACTCAGCTTGCTTGTACGTCTCAACCGCCTCCCTTACCACTTTGGAACATTCCATGCTGAGACTCAAACCAGATCGAACCCTTAAGGGAATTGGCATCTTGGATGCGGCCCCCGTCTATGAACCATTGCCGGGCTTTACGAGGTGTGCATCATTCGCGCCTGCTTTTCAGTAGCCTTGACCTCTGCTAACGAACCTTACCCGTTTAAGACCAGAAGGGAATCTACGCTGCTGCACTTACTCCCCGTGTGGCCGGTATTTTGCATGGGCTTCCCCCGAAGGGTATGATATCGTGTCCCATGCCCAACACCATAGTCTAATACTCCCTTAGGGTTTCCATAATCGACCCATCCGTTGGCCATCTCATTGCTACGCTTCCGGCCGAGAACGTCTATGAACTCGGGTTCTCCCCGTTGGGAACGTTCGTGATCACCTGGCAGCGCCCGTCAAAGGACGAGAACGGCGATGCAGTGAGGAATCTGAAGGTTTGGAGGGTGGTGGAAGGCCCGCCTAGTGATAACGGAGATGAACCCCCTCGTGTGCCGACCGGAAGCTTTGTTCAAAAGTCGCAGACCGGGTGGAATCTACAGTATACTGCCGATGAGAAGTACTGTGCCCGCGTTGTCACCAATGAGGTCCAGTTCTACCAGAGCGGAAACCTGACGACAGTGTGGAACAAATTGCGGGTTGAGGGAGTTGTTGACTTTGCTATCTCGCCGGGCCAGAACCACACAGTCGCAGTCTTCATCCCAGAGCGCAAGGTCAGTCTTTTCTTGTCGGGACCCTGTAATCCTTGGAATCTGCAATCTTATGCTAAACTTTGTCTATAGGGCCAACCAGCTTCGGTCAAGGTTTTCAACGTGCCGCAGTTCAACCTACCGCTTTCGCAAAAGAATTTCTTCAAGGGCGACAAGGTTCAGATGAAGTGGAACAAGTCTGGAACCACCTTGATTGTGTTGGCACAGACCGAAGTCGATAAGACCGGGAAGAGTTATTATGGAGAGACTACCCTCTACCTCCTAAGCACGAATGGATTTGACTCGAGAATCGATCTTGGTAGGTTTTTGCCGCGCATCTCCGATCCCGTTTTACCGTCCTTACTGACATCCAGATTATAGACAAGGAGGGCCCTATCCACGATGTCACCTGGTCTCCTAATTCCAAAGAATTCGGTGTCGTCTATGGCTACATGCCAGCGAAGACTACTGTCTTTAATTCTCGAGGAGCTGCCACCCACTCCTTCCCCCTCGCGCCCCGAAACACGATAGTTTTCTCTCCTCATGGCCGGTTTGTGATTGTCGCAGGATTTGGCAATCTTGCCGGCCAGATGGATATCTACGATCTGGAGAAGAATTACACGAAAGTTGCTACCGTCGAAGCCTCTAATGCAAGCGTGTGCGAATGGAGTCCCGACGGTAAACACATCTTAACTGCAACTACAAGTCCTAGACTCCGTGTCGACAATGGGGTGCGAATCTGGCACGTGGGAGGTGGATTGATGTACAACGAGGATATGAATGAGCTTTATGACGTTCACTGGCGTCCCCAGTCCTCCGTTAGCCATCCCCTGGAGAACCCACTGCACCCGATGCCGAATCCTCATCCGTCTGCGTTAGCCTACCTTGCAAATAAGAAGACGCCCTCCAAGCCTGTGGGCGCCTATCGACCTCCGGGTGCTCGAGGCCAGAGTGCTCCAATGACCTTTCGCCGGGAGGACGAGGGTGGAGCAGCATTTATTCGGGACGAGCGCCCAAATGCTTTCGGGCCCAGCGCGAATGCTTTTGGCAAGCCTAGACGTCGTGTTGTCCCAGGCGCTGAGCCGATGGACGAGTTTCTTCCTCCTGGAGCCGCTCCAGGAGGCGGTGTAGCTCTGCCACCTGGCGCGCAGGCTGACGAAAAGTTGTCAAAATCTGCCGCCAAGAACAAGAAGAAGCGCGAAGCGAAGAAAGCCAAAGAGAACGCCGAAAAGGCCCAGAACCTTTCGGTCGAGAATGGTGGTTCTGGTGAACAATCTCCTGCCGGAGTTAACGCAGATCGCCGTGAAAAGCGAGCCCACTCCCGTAGCCGATCGCGGGGCAATCTAGATCCCAACGCGCATGGTCGACAGAATCGTGATCGTAGCCGCAGCAGCCATCGTCGCCAGCGTAGTGATGCCCACGGTAAAGGCAATAACAACGCAGCTCAGGGTAGACCTAACGGTAAAGCGAAAGCCGGCCAGCCACCGAATGGAGCGTTAGCTGCTCCCGTTCCTGATGTTACGGTGACGTCTCCTACTACCGGAAACGCATCGACTCCTCAGGAGAAGAAGATCCGCGGCCTGTTGAAGAAGATGCGGGCGATTGATGAGCTTAAGATGCGTCTGGCCGGTGGAGAGAAGCTGGAGGACACGCAGATGAAGAAGATCAAGACAGAGGAATCTGTGCGCAAGGAATTGGAGGCTCTTGGTTGGAGTGGGTAGTTTTGATGATCGTTGGAGAATTACTATCTACATTTACACATTTTGGACACCAATGTTTTCAGATATATACTGTCAAGTTTACTCCAGACAAATGTGCCCCAGAAAACGGTGGTAATTAACCATCGAGCAGGGAATCTGGGTCAAGGAACTCCGTACAGGAGATATTTAGGTAGATCATAAATTGGAAACCGTTGATTAACTGACAGTGCGAAGCCCGTCGACTTGCACTTGGGGCCCATCCGCTTTCTCCGGCCTGTCAGGCCACCCTGCCTACCAACTCGCCGATACTTGCTCGCCCAGCATTATGATCAAATTATCAATCATCAAATCATCGCGGCCCCTTCGGCTGGCTGGCTGTTGCTGTCCCCCTGAGCGCCCCCAGCCAATCACCGTGCGCCGGCGGTGGGTAAGCGCTGCGACACAAGATGAATCAACGCCGCCGCAGCAAAGTGGACTGCGCTGTTACACCCGATGCTGCACGTTCGACGGTGCGAGCGGCCGTGTCCGTGTTGAACCTGGCTGGCCCGGTTGGCAACGACGAGCCTTCATTGGCCCAGCAACCCCCGGGTGTTCTATCAAATCCCATCACACCCTCGCGCAGCGCATGCAGAATAGGCCAAATACCCGCCGCACCTTTCTCTCTTTTTATTTGCCTTTCTTGCTGATAATGTCCATCTCGAAATAAACTGTCAGTTACTCTGTTGTTAGCTAGTTAACTTCTGCGTACTCCGCGTTAGTCACGATCTCAGTGCGGAACACCGGGTTTCTAACTAAAGAGCTGTCTGTCACAAAAGCCTGCTCGAGCCCACCGCTGAGACACTCCCTGTCCCAGATCTGAACCGCCTCGCCCGCATCTTCGACACCGTGCCCATCTGGACGGGATAATATGTCTCTCACTTCTCTTCACTGTCATAGGCTTTAGTCTTCTCTCTTTTCATTTTTTTTTTTCGGGCATTTCCTTTCTGTCTACTCGCCGTGTTTCTCCTTCTGGGTTGTTTCCACAGACCCCTTTCTCTTCCCTTTTCTTTTTCTTTCATTTTCGTCTTCTTTTTTAATATCGGGTACTCAATACATGCAGACGAATATATCGGCAACGTACATAATTACCTGCAAGTCGGATTGAAATGCAAGGACTGCTTGTTTATTCTCAGTGATTGGCTGGCCCTGTCGACGAGAGGCATCATACCTTTCCCTATTCACTGCTCTCATCATTTCTCTAAGGAGGGGGGTGCTTCCTGTTGAATAATCTTCTTTCTTTTTCCTTTTGGACATGCATGATACCCCCGGTTCTTGATCTACAACAATAGTTTTGTTTGTCTTTTTTTTATTTCCCTAACGTGGGCATTACAATATACCATACCCATTCGCCTTGCGCTTCCTTTTCCGCATTTATTCGCTTTCGTTTTGTGCATTTCGTCAAGATGAGTTTTAAAAACCCGTACTCGGACACGTATGCGCCAGGGCCCGAGCGGGCAAGATGGCCTCCCTTGACGAGGATGTTAATGTCCGGCGAAATGAGCGGAGAGCCCCCAAGGGACTTGACGATGAAGGAGAAGTTTGATCGATGGTGCGTTAATATATCGTAACTAATTCTGACGCAGCCGTCGCTAACGCCCAAGTTGTATAGGATGGTCAATGAAGGCTGGAGGAGACTGTAGGTTTAGCCAACTATCTGATCTTGTCCTCCGCTGCATGCTGATAGAAGGCTAGCACCGTTGCTGTGTTTGTTTTGGCACATCTGATGATCTTTGGATTTGGTTTGATGCATTACGGGCTTAAGGTACGGCATGGTATCTAGCCATCCCGTTTAGTACTGACATATGCTCACAAGGGATGATTTAGGACAATCTTACTGGGTCAAGAGCAACTTTTGGAGTCACATTCACTATTGCAAGAGCTGCAGCTTTGGTGCTGCATTTTGATGTCGGCTTGATCCTATTCCGTACGTGCCATGTAACCTTGATGCGCAGAAGATCACTTACTGATAGTGCATTAGCTGTGTGCCGAACCCTTATCTCTCTGATGAGACAGACACCTTTGAACGGGATTATCCAATTTGGTACGTCCACCTTGTCATAGATTAGGCCTGCTGTGCTAACCTGATGATCCTAGATAAAAACATCACTTTCCATAAGCGTTCGTTCGTCTTCTCCTCCAACCTGATGCAGATCGCACTAACACAGTGACAGTGGTGGCTTGGTCCATCGTTACATTCTCCTGGATTCACACGGTTGCTCACTGGGTCAACTATGCCCAACTCGCCGCTAAGCAGGGCCTCGGAGTCGCAGGCTTCCTCCTGGCCAACGTTGTCACTGGACCCGGCTGGACCGGGTATATAATGTTAATCGCACTAATGGCGATGGCGCTCACATCCATCGGTAAACGTCGCCGGGCCAATTTCGAACGATTCTGGTACACGCATCACCTCTTTGTTATTTTCTTCTTTTTCTGGGCTTTCCATGGAGCGTTCTGCATGATTAAGCCTGACTACCCGCCGTTTTGCGCCGGCATCGGTGTATTTTGGATGTATTGGATATATGGAGCAGTGATCTACCTGGTGGAGAGGCTGTTACGTGAGATACGTGGACGGCACAAGACATATATCACAAAGGTGGTGCAACATCCCAGTAACGTGGTTGAGATTCAAATGAAGAAGGAGAAAACGAAAACGAGAGCGGGTCAAGTACGTTTCAACGCGAAATCTCTTTCGGCATCCCTGGTCTCCTTTTAAAGCTGACGAGTTTGATAGTACATTTTCCTCTGCTGCCCCACGGTATCTGTATGGCAATACCATCCGTTTACGCTTACCAGTGCTCCCGAGGAAGACTATATCTCTGTGCACATTAGATGCGTCGGAGATTTCACCAAGGCCCTTGCCAAAACGCTAGGATGCACCTTTGATGAAGGCAAGGGTAAAGGCGGTAAAGGAAAGACCGGCGTAGTCGGTGTCAACAACCAGATGGCCCCGGATGACGTAGATCCCAGCATTCGTCGAGTTCTCCCTAGGATCTACGTTGACGGCCCATTTGGCAGTGCATCAGAAGACGTTTTTAAATACGAAGTCGCCGTCCTAGTGGGAGCCGGTATCGGAGTAACTCCCTTTGCGTCCATCCTGAAGAGTATCTGGTATCGCATGAACTACCCCCAAACAAAAACGCGGCTGCGAAAAGTGTATTTCTTCTGGATTTGTCGAGATTTCGGCTCGTTTGAGTGGTTCCAATCGCTGCTTCTTGCCATAGAGGCGCAGGATACAGCGAACCATATTGAAATCCACACTGTAAGTGCTAATCTATATGTTTCGTACCTTTTTTTTTTCCCCCTTTAAAACTACATCAGTTGTTCTAACAAATCAAATATAGTATCTTACAGCCAAAATCCGACCTGACGACGCAACTAACATCATGATTAACGACGCCAACGCAGAACAAGATACAATCACCGGCCTGCGTGCCCCGACTAACTTTGGTCGACCAAATTGGGACATGGTATTCCGGTCGATTCGAAAGCTGCACGCACCAGCAGAAGCCGGCGTGTTCTTCTGCGGACCAAAGCCATTAGGAAGTGTGCTGCACGTCAAGTGCAATATGTATTCAGAGCCTGGATTTAATTTCGTGTGGGGAAAGGAGAACTTTTAAGACGCGTAAACGCAAATTTCTTTGCAGTTTTCCCCACTCTGTGAGCCGGGAGGGAAGAAATCCTGTGATGATAGCAACGACCCCTTTCTTGATAGCCCCTTTTTTGTTTTCCAGTGCTTCGTTGTAAATGTTCTTTTGTTATCATATACATATATATATGTTTTGTACTCTAGCTTCGTTTGTAGCATATGGAGATTTTTCACATTGTCGAAAAACATCATACTGAGGGTATTTATGGGGCTGTGGATAGGTTCCGCCCCGCCCCGCTCCGCCCTGAAAATCGGTGGAGTTCGCGATTTACTTCCGACGATGGGCCTTAAACATAGCCCAGGTCTCCACGAGTTAGTTATCCGGACCAAATTCGCCCCTCCCTGAATTGCAACCAACACCTTTTAGCCGTGATCAGGCTATTATGGCTCTGGTTTCATTCAAGACACTTCGATCTCCGAGCCTGATCTCAATATATACAATGAGAAAAATGTCTCAGCACCCGTGTGGTAGCTGTGCCGGAATTATAGAGTGACCCTGTTACATTTCCTCGGACAGAGTGGAGGATTCATCAGAAATGCAGACTTTTTTTTGGTCATATTGGGAACAAGGTCTAGTTAAGCATATTTAGCTATCGGGATCCCTCCTCGTTAACTAGAAGTGCTAAGCCGGGAAGGGCATAGTAGGCTCGTATTTGGGACATAGTATGGCTTATCGAGATGGAAAATTGGAAATGCGAACACAGAGCCGATAGTTAGAGGATGGGGACGACGATGATGGAACAGTATATAAAAGGCTCGATCGCTTTTATGGATTCCCTTTCTGTCCTGCTACAGGATACGCGGTTACATAGTTATTGAACAAAACGCCTCAGATCGAAATCATCTTCATAAAGGTGTGGAAATATAACTGATTTATCTTTCCTTTAACTACCAACAGCTAAACATGTCTCTCTTGTTAACACTCAACAGATCACCCCTAAAATTCATCCCCCTTCCAGCAGCCCTCGACGTCTCAAAGCCTGGGACAATCGTCGAAACCGCCAAGGACCAATCCTCATACCCATGCCGGCGCTGCCTCAAGGACTCTAGTCCTGGGGACGAAATTTATCTGATCTCCTACAATCCATTCCTCGGGGAAAGCCCCTATACCGGGCCAGATCCAATCTTCGTGCACCAGCGGGACTGCATGTTTAAACTGGAAGACGAGAAGGACGTCGTTCCGGACCAGCAGCGCCGTCGAAAGCTCTCAGTCCGCGCCTATAATGCGGAGCATATGATGATCAATAATGGGGTTGTTGATGGTGTCGACCTGGAGGCGAAAGCAGGGGAAATGTTTGCAGATCTGGATGTGAAGTATATCCATGTGCATTATGCCGGAGCTGGTTGTTTTGCAGTCAAAATCGAGAGGAAGTAGATCCTGCAAAAGAGAAAGTTATGTTATAGTTTACTCTTGCATCTATTTCTGCTCAGAAAAAGTGAGATTCAGAGAAATTAACCAGCGGCATAGAGAGACCTAGACGTGGTTCATGGGATGCCCAAGCAAGCCCGCTGATGGATGCGCTGGATCTAGCTTCCCTAGTGCTGAGTCCTTCAGAGTCCCGAGACCTTCGTTGACATGCAACGAATGTTTTTCAAGCGATAAAGGGAAGATTATAATACCACCAATATAAATACCGGAGGAATGACCAGACATATTGCCGTAAAAACGTTTCCACATAGCCTTAAAGCCAGCCAGGTTGCGGAGATGGACCATCACGGCAATCCCAATCTTGATTTGAGTAATCTTGCCTGATTCCAAGGAGTTATACGACGAGCTGCTTTCGAAACACCCTCTGTATGAAGAGCCAATGTGCACTTTAATGTTTTTGGGCTCAAACAATAGGATATAGCCTGGTATGAGATATCATCCCTGGCTGGATTCTCCCCCGTCTATTCAGTCGGGTATCCCATCCTGTTAGAACTAAGATTCAACTATTAATCCTTCTTAGGTCAGCCCAAGGGTTCATGAACCGATATCAGCGTATCTTGAGGGAGTTTGAGGGGTATACGTACTTTAGCGATGAGAGCGATGGCTGTAATAATTAGGCCTGGCCAAGGAAGAAGAAGCAGAAAATCCCGAGACTAGAAAGAGAAACGTTGCGGTTGTAGTACGCATCATCGCTCTTTTCTCAACTAATGTGGATATCAACGCATTTAAAAAAAAAAAAAAAAGGGGGAGATTGAGAATCTCACGACAGTGGTAAGGTAAGAAAATAGCCCAAGATAGAGGCAACGTTGCTCGGCTGAAACCTGAGCTTCGAAAGAATAAGAATGACTTTCTCTAAATTTCCCTCCATACCACTAGTGTGCGTAGCTATATGGCACCGGGTGGGAATATAACTATCATTATTCTCGCTAATACTATATCAATAGTGGTTTTATCCAGGAAAGGATAAGAGAATGTTTTCCTTTGACCCCGTAAAATCATGATGCGGCCGCCGGCCGGCAGTTTTGCCAATTGAATACTCCCGGTTTCCGAACGTCTCCGCCTGACTCGTTAACAAAGGACCGGAAGTGAATGACCCATGCCACATTCGAGGCCCTATGCATAGGTAATACTTCAAATCGCCAGGGTCAACTAGCTTTGCTTAGGCACCGCGTCAAATAGGCGTGGGAAGCTATACCTGTCGAAAACACACCAAAGGTACCCAGGCAATGGCTGCAATATACGCTCACACGAGAAACCGGACAGAATGTGAATAATGTGAAGCGAGAAAGGCGAGCGTCTAGGACAGTCGCCTAGAGAATTCGCTTATGGCAGGCAGTGAGTAACCGCCCCAGAACACTGACTAGCTGGGCTGTTGCAGACTATTAACGTAAGGAGGAATTAGTTACTGACGAGCAGAAACGTATGAAGGTTGAAGCAAAGGAAGGCACAGACTTACATTTCAAAGTAGTATTCTGACGATCACAGTCACAGCTAGCTTTTAGATCTCGGGTTCGCAGGCGCAACAGATCTGGCGAACCAGAGCAGACACAGCAGCCGCTTTGCTCGGTCGTCATTATCGCAAAAACCGGTAGGGTACCTCCAGAGCTATCGCGTCCGCGGGCGGGTAGTTGAAGAAGATTGGTAATCTGGCCCAAGACGCCACAACACCAACACAATACTGCAAACCCATAACACGTAAAAATCGGCTCTGTTATCCGCGATAGAACGAGCAACGCCCGAAAAACAATGCTAATTGAACCAGCGGCGCACCTCAAGCGGAGAAAGATGCGTTGTAATCCGTAGCAGGCGCGAAGCGCCACAATAATCAAGGCAGAAGCTTTACTGCCTTTAAATAAGGACAACGGGCGCGATGAAACGACCCGATGAAACGGAGATCCATTCGAGATTCCGACGGAGTAGTCGGATGTGCTTGAAAGGATGGCGGGAGGTCTGCCAGAAAATGGGGCTCCCACCGGAACCCCCAAAAACGCTATCATCGCCAAACCCCAAGAGCCTGAATATCTCTCGAGGTTCGCAGTGAATATGGCCAAAAATATCGGGAGGGCTGTCAGAGAGAAACGGGCCCACCGACAACCCCAGAACACTAGCATCGCCAAACCCCAAGAGCCCGAATATCTCTCGACGTTCGCATTGGACATGGCCAAATATGAGGCAGGCGTAGCCTGCCTCGACGTTGGAATGATAGACAAACTGCAAAGTGAAAGATCAAGAAGGGTTTATTTATATCCTTGAGTAGCGAGATATGGAGCATATATCGAGGAGAAACTGCGGAGTAAATCAATCGAATCTGAATTCGAAAGCGAATCTTTGATCTTGGAAAGGGTTTGTTGTGAAAGAAAGTTAGAATAGATACACTCAACACTGTGATCCAAAGCCCCAAACTAGGATCAAGGCGTTCTATTCTGAGTCTGTGCCGTTTGTATCTTTAACAAAGCTTGAATCGCGAACGAAAACAGAAAATTTTTATTAAAAGCCATTGCGAGTGGATCAGAGTCAAGGGAACATGAAGTGAAAGAGAGGAAAAAGAAAGCGCCTCTCAAAAGCATTTGTACAGTAACCAAGAATTAGAAAGATGATTTCCATAAGAAAGTCGTAAACAGTAAATGAGACCCGGTGGGTTAACCTGATGTGCAATGGAGTAAATAAGAAGAACAAAGGAATCTCACAAACGCCACGAATGGGGTCCTTAGAACATACGATCCATTGTCCAAACTGATCCAGGGAAGTGAAAGACTGCAGAATTGCTCAATGTCAAATGCAAAATATAAATGGTTCATTTAGCATGTATATAATGTCGTAGATGCTTTCAGAGGAAGCGTGGGGAATACCATGGCACATAAATTCAAAGTGTGAAAGATAAAAAGTGGTGGGAGAAAGAGTCATTGTTCTTGGGCACAAACATGCCTTTGTTGGAAATCAAATTGAGGTCTGCAAAGATAGGAGATGGGCTTCGACTCGAGATTGGACATGGATTCAACTGTACCGTTGAAGCGTCTGAATACCGGATTCGTAGGATGGCCCAGGGGCAACAACGAAGTCTTCATATCACTGGAGTTCGTCTTCGTCTGGATGGACCACTCGAGGTATGTCGAGGCGATTTCTTGACCTTTGTCGCCTGTCTAGCCGGTTTTCTGCTTCTGGGTTATCAGATTTTGTAGCGCTCGTGTGATCTTCGGTATCTTTTGACTTCCTGCCCTCCTCTTCCGTGGCTCTTCTTTGCGCACTTCTCTCCCTCGAACTTGCTGACCGCAGCGCCCACTCCTTTCCTTCACTTCCCAACTGACTCAACCATTGCCAATCTTCCTCTTCTATCAAAATTCTGCTGTTTTTACCAGTGCTAGATCCTCGGCTATGGCTGCGGAACGATAACGGGCCCAGCCGTCGACGTTCTCCACTGGGACGTTCATCCGTGGTTGGCACTGCCAGCTGTTTACGATCTTCTTCAAAGACAGTTTCAATTGCTGGAGCAGCGGGCACAACCGCTAGTTCGGTGGCATTTGCCAGTCCATCGGCGACAATCGAGTATGTATCACTAGCGGGATCATCCGCGCCTGCCTCGCCGCTTTCGAGCCTCAGGGCCTCTTGATCAGCACTCTCAGCTCGAGCAATTTGTGAGGTCCAGCGCCAGATAAGGCGTCTTTTCAGCCTTGCCATGACCCCAAGCTCGTCTTGCGGGGAGGAAGAACTTCCGGCTTTGATGGTCTTTTCGGGGGCACTCCAACGCTTTATGAAGAACCATTTGATCTTCGCGAGACGTCCCTTGGGCACAATGTAATTGCGCGGCCCAGTTTGGGACCATAGGTCCGGACTGGCATTTGCCAACTCGTTGAAAAAGTTTTCGTATATTCCGCGGCGGTATGGGGTGTTCCGCTGGGAGGTGAGTGTGTGTTTCCAAAAATACCATACGATGAGAACACCAAGCATAAACGGCACGCATGCTATGAAGTACCATTTGATACTGGGATCATCGCTGAAGGTGTCGACATTCATGCCTGTTAAGTTCGAAGTTAGTCACGGACATCCCTATCCAAAAAAAAAAAAAAAAAGAAAAAAAGGGGTGGGGGAGCAGCTACGACATACCGAAGATACCGGTGATAAAAGTCAAGGGCAAAAATATGAATGTAATCCAACTCAAACGCCACACTGATTGCGTCAGTTAAATGGATATTACTGTTGGACACTGTATGACACATACTGCTAACGCTAAGTCGAATGTTCTGTCTACTGTCTCGAATGGAGACAGATTGATAGAGCAGGGATATCAAGTTCTTAGTAGGTTTGATCAAATCCTCAGTGATAAGGTTGCTCAGCCGATCAAAATCCCCCGGTGTACCATCTAGCCAGGTATCATCTCTCTCCATGTCGTCTATGGAGTGTTAGGGGCTATCGATAATTTTTGGGCGGGAGAAGAATGTATATCTTACCGGTGAGATCCCGCAGCCGCGTCTTCAGCTCCTTGATAATATCGATATGTAGAAACATCAACTTCTCCATTTTCAACCATAGATTTGAATTGGCCCATAGCTCAGGCGCTCGAGTCTCGTCTGCGGGCTGCTCGTATATTTTATCCTCCAAGATACTCACATGGTCGTACGCGAGGTCCAATAGCGTATCCCATGTGCCTGATATCACTTTGAATATGTCTTCAAGGATAATTCGCGTACAGTGATAAGCCAGTTCATCATCAGTAGCAACCAAATCACGAGATTCAAAAGCCAAGAAGAATGGCAGCCGGCGCCATCGGGCCTCCCATGTCTGACGAGGAGGAATTAGAGTGTTGTCGAGTGTGCCTGAGTGAGAATTGTCAAATATGATAACGGTGTTTCCATTATCGAGGGTGTTCAATCGCGGAATATATTCCTTCGGAGTATCGCCAAAGGCACCATCGATCTGCGCGTCGGATAGGTAGGGATTCGTTATGTCCATGTCGGAGGGTGGTGGTTCAGCGGTGACCTGTTTATGCTGGATATAACAGCTAATCCGCTGAACGTAGACATCGTAGCCATGAGTTGGATTGTCTGTTAACTCAAAGCCCCGTGATAGTTGCAAATCGTGCGTAGGACGGCGCACGAATTGCAAGAGGGGGGGTGAAACGGCTCAGCCCAAACTGCTCGCCAACAGAGTAACTCGGCTAAGAGCACAAGGATCTCGATTCAACCCACCTTGATCGTCAAAACGATTCAACTCCATCATTTTAAACCCATCGTCATCGCAGCGGTTCATCGGATCCGGGACAGAATACGGCTTCAGATAATCTGCCGAGAAGGAGGTTTTACTGATTCCCCGCCACGGATCATACTGAACTTTCCACGTCTTCCCGCTCATAAATGGCTTCCCACCACGTCGCTCTGGCCGCCGATGTTTGACATACCGGCCGAAGTCGGTGCCTACGAGGTCATCCCGGTTGTGGATATTGAATTTCCGCAGCAGATATCTTGCGGCCCAATCCGCATTCTGGACATGGAAGACTCGGAGGATGGCCTCGTTGTTTCGCTCTGGGTTCTTGTAGACTTTACGCAGGTCTTGGATATCGTATATCTCCTGCGCGGCCACTCTGCGTATACTGCTTTTCGAGGCATCTATAGAAAGAAATTTCCCTCAGCGATCGGGCAGCACTGTCGGCTCTGGGAGGTGTAGACCTTACCCTGCTTCACGAAGTCGATGAGCAAGACACGCCCACAGTGCTGGTCAATCTCGGAGTAATCCTTGTGCCATTTCGGTCCAAGATCATGGTGCGTACGTCGTCCTAAGATCACAAACCCGGCTCGTCAACCACTGCAACACCGGAGTAAAGATGGCATTGTGAAGGGCGTTATTCTCACTGCTTTTCGTGTTGTGAGCAGCCTCGTGCTCGGTGGGAAACTCCTCCGCTACACGGGCGGACGGGACGGGCGATTTCTCCCCTGTTCATACGATCAATTCTTGCGAGTCAGAAAAATGAAACCCGAAGGAAAAAAAAAAAAGAAAAAGAAAAAAAAGAAGAAAAGAAAAGAAAAGACAAGACAAGAATGACGACAAGCGAGCCGTTTAGTTACAGGTAAGATAAACAGCGGGTATTTTCTAAGCTTCGAGTGGCACTTTTTTTTCTCTCTCATACCTGGAACGCTACGCCCGGCCGACCCAGGGTTTGCCCGCGGAAGTTTGATCTCTGCAGATTCGCTCATCGTCGCGTCTACCGTTGAATAGCCTGGGGCGAACAGAAAGATGCTCCTCAGTTACCTGCTGGGACTTTATCTACCTAACTTTGGACCCGCCGTGGCTGGGAACACGGCAGCTTTTCTCTTCGTCGCGCCGGCTGCTGCGGCCTGCCGACGAGAGGCCCTGTTCCCCCACCACCACATGACTTTTCGGCGATGATCCTCTCAGCCTCCCCGTCAGGCCTGTTTACGATGCTCAAAGGTCCGAAAGTGCATCATCTGGGTAGATTTGGCTCATCCAGAGAGTTCTCCAGCTAAAGCTTCTCATGTAAAAAGGTGGTTGCTCGTGATTGCAGCTGCTGGCCGAGTCTGTCACACGATCGGGTGCTGAAATTTAATGGGAGCAAGAGATGAATTTTTAACTTGGTTGTGGCCCTTTGGCTAGTTAGCTGAACTAAAGTAATGGACGTTTAAGGAATTCTCAGTCAGGGGCAAGTAGACTGAAATATTTTTTTTCCTTTTTTACTATCTTTTATATTGGATCCCTAATTAGAACACCAGAAATTCTGTGCAACCAGTCCGTAGTACAGCAGTATCGAAACCCGGGTGTCCATTCCGAAATCTCCGTTTTTGACGCCGAGCTGAGGAAGCCTTCCAGCGATTCGATATTCCCAAGCAAATGCGCCACCCATATTATCAGGCCCCCCAAATGCCATAAACCAGGTTTGTACAAACTCCCAGCCTTGCTCCTTTGCTTGTAGGAAAAAAAAAAAAGAAAAAAAAAGGTCATCCCGAAGGCGCACGTAGACGGCAAAGGTAAAAGGTACAAAGGTGGAAGGAAACAGGAAATAGGAAATAGTCATGAATAGACCCAGGTTCAGCACCTAATCAGCGCGACCCTGAGTGACTTTGGCAGCCTGGACAGCAGACATCTTCTGAATCCAACCCTGCGTGGGGTGTGGCTTCTTGACGGTGCGAAGATCATCTGCGGTGAACCCGGGAATGCGCATGTTGTAGTTACGTTCCAAAACAAGCTGGATGTCACGAATGTCAAGGGTGGCTGAAGGGCGGAGCTTTGCGAGACGGCAAGCTGCAGTGATAACGTCGTCGACGAAATCATCAGCCATTTGGAGGAGGAACTGGAAAGCGTTACATTAGCAAGTGCACAAGAGTCCACCCTAGGAGCACGCGGTAGAAAAATAAACATACCTCTTCAGCATCTGGAGTCAAACCCTCTCCATCTCCACCGCCAGTAACTTGCTTCACCAAGACATCTAGCATCTTCTTGCTCAGAACATGCTGGCCTTCTCCCTCCAAAACATAACCTGGATGCTTCTGGATGGCAGGCTGGCCCATGACGCCGGTAGCCCCATGGCTTGGTCCACTGGTAAGAGTCGGGCGTGCCGGAGCCATGCTAACCGGTTCCGGGGCAGGGACGTTCAGATTCTTTTGAATATTCATGGTAACGTTGCGCGAGTCGCCACGGCTGCTGACATAGTTTGGCGGGTGCGCATGAGTAGTCGCTGGCTGCGTGGTAGCTGGTGGTTGATTCATCGCATTCGAATAATTTTGCGCAGCTTGCGCCATGGCAGCTTGTTGAGACAACGGGCGTGGGGGACCTTGAGTGGTTGGGGTCTGGGAAGCGGCGGCAGTTCCCTCTTGGGCAGCTTGCTGACCAAACGCGCTTAATGTTGTGCCTTGAACAGCGGTTACCGGTGGCTGGATTGGCGCGTGGGTTGCACCAGTGACGGCAGTTGCAGGCTGACCAGGCATCTGGGAAGGGGCTTGACCGGCACGGGCGGCAACGACAGCAGAATTAATGGTATGCGGAGCGGGTGCCGTAGTAACGGGTTGCTGGGGACGGCCGTCAGCACCCATTTGGCCTTGCAAAGGCGCATTTTGACCTGCTTGTCGGCTTGCTGCGAGCTGCTGGGTCTGCACGCGGAAACTCTCCTGCTGTTCTTTGAACTTTCCCAGGAAGTCGCTTCCCTCGCGTAAGAGTCTTTCAGCAGCTGTCTGGCGGTTCTTGAACTCCTGGATCTCCTCTTGGGACAGGTTTCCGGCACTCTGGCGCTGATTATACTGCTGGCGTAAATCACTCAGCTTAACCTTGCCCAGCTCTTGTTTCTGTAACGCGAGACCATATCGGAGCCTTGCCTCCTGCATCCAGCCATCGGACTGATCCTTTGTAATCGTGGGAGGGAGGATAAAGGTCAAGGTGTCGACCTTGGCGCGAATCTGGGGGAGCAACTGCTGGAAGCTCTGCGGGATACCCATCTGGGGTCGTGCTTGGCTCGCGGGATTGGCAACGGCTTGGGGGGTGGTGGTGGTGGGAGGGCGACTCATCTGGGCTTGCTGCGGCTGCGACTGCGGCTGGGTTTGCTGCTGAGGCCCCTGCTGGGTCTGCTGGGTCTGCTGCTGGGTCGTCTGCGGCTGTTGCTGCTGCTGCTGCTGCTGCGCTTGAGCCTGGGTCTGAGCTTGAACTGCCTGGGCCTGGGCCTGGATGTGTTGGGCTTGCTGTTGCTGTTGCTGAGCAAGCTGCTGCAGCTGCTGTTGGCGACTTGCTTGGAACATTCTCATGCCTCTCATGAGATTCTGCGAGACCTGGGTTAATTTTGTGTGGGCGCCGTTGTACTCGTTGGAACCTGGAGGATGTGAGTTGAGGATGTCCCAGAGACCCCGCACCAGAGCAGTGTGTGTTTGTTTCTGCGAGTCGCCCAAATGTGGGAGTTTCTGAACCTGATCGGTTCGGATTAGGGCTGAGTTTTGTTGAATCAGCGGCGCGGCTGGTGAGTTACCAGCCGCAGGTTGATTCTCCATTTCGTCAAGCAGCAGTCAAGCCGCACGCTGCTATTATGTAACAGCCTTGTGCAGCGATCAGAATCCCATGAACAACAGCCAACTGGAAAGGTCCAAGGAAAAGATTGATGAAACACAGGCTGCTTTGATGAACCCGAAGGTGCTTGGTGGTTCAGGATATGCAGGGTGCTGAGCAACACAATGTCATGCATCGCCTGTCAAGGCGCTGGGCGAAGGAAGCTTCTACGTTCCATGAGCTGGGTCTTGGCATACCCGCCTCCCGCCAGTACGATCACTACATATCTATGTACGCTGTCCGTCGATGGGCTTGATAACGGCACTCTGAGCGCCATCCATGACTGCCTGGGGCATGCACAATGGATGTCTGCTTACTCTTGGGAACCTGTATCCGCTTCTCTGTTGTACAGCAAACTGCCTACGTCGCGGAGCTGGGTACTTAAGAACCGTGTCTTTAGGGAAATTGCTTCATTCTATCAGTGCTCTACCGGAAACGAAGGTGGGAAGGGAGAAAAAAAAAGGAAAAAAAACAAAAAAAAGGGCCAGCTGTGCTAATCCATAGAATTGAGAGGCAAGACAACAGCTGAGTAGTGAACAAAGCCGTGGGAATTGAACTCGAAAACAATATCCCATACTTTTCATGGAAACTCAAAGTTTCACCTCATCGCAAATCCGTACTAACCGACAGACGAAGGCAGCTTCATGCGTTCCGATTAACTGAAAACGTCTGGGTTGTAATAAATGGCATAAAATTCCTGAAATGGAGCTAGTTGAGCCGAATGTGCGTATTCAGTGGCTGGATTACAAGGGACGAAGCTCCGCATGCCGGGAATTGATCGTTCCAAGCACACACTGTACGTCAACTATTCGTCTTGCTTAGACGGGCTTGTGTCGCGCTCGATCGCATCCAGCATCCCGAGGACGGGTCACATCAGTTCGTTCTCTCTGTACAGGCATAATATTCGCCCGAGACGATTTTGCGTCCATAATGGCGCAACGGTAGCTGAAGGCATTCTGGTGGCCGACAGTCAAACAATCCAGTGCGCATAGCTATCATTTCCCCGGTAATGATAGACGAAGGGGTTCGACCAACTGACATATATTCAATGCCGTTGAGAACAGTTTCATCCACGGGGGCTTCCCCTATCGCAGAAGACCTCCTAGATCTCTCTCCATCCCGCTGACCCGATTTTCAAGGGTTCGCTTCCGAAGTTCCAACTCCCGGATCTCCCCAAGTTCACGCTCGATATCCTCATCTGTGATATCCGCCGTATGCTGCTGTACTGGCTCCGGTTGTTGAGTGTCATAGTAGTCACTGCGATATGAGCCCGAAAGATTCATTTGCTCCAATTGCTCTGTTTGGTAGGAAACACGCTCTTCTAGACGGGCTACCGATTCGGATACTTCTTGATAGCGTTGCCTGAGAGATGCTATTTTCTCTTTGGCTCCCGCAACTGGACTGAAATGGGAAAGCGATCAGCCTGAAGATGCTTCCAAGGCTTATAGAAAAGACGATGAATGACATACTAAACTTTGCAAAGCATCTCAGCGCCCCGTAATAGGATCTCGATGTTCATCTCTCCCCGGTTGGTCCGGTGCGAAGGCGCATTCGCAGATTTTCTGATTGCCTCCATCATATCACCTCCCAGCACCCGTGCAACAGCCGATTGATTCCGGTGGTTTTTTGCGGAATGGATTCGGCTAACCATTGTTTCCTTTTCTCCTTCTGTAGGGAACATCGTGCCTCTCCGGGTCGCCCGTCGATGCTTCGTGCTGTTTGTAGAGGGGTCAGCAGAGAAAAGAGCACGTTCATGGGCCTCGGTGTCCCGGATAAGGGTAGTTATGTCATGAGGCCCCAGGAGTGCATTGGCGAACATCTTTGGAGGCGGGAAGCTGTTTAACCAAAGAATTAGCTACGTGGACTGGTCGGTGAGATAAAGGAGCTCGACTCTTACGGTAATTCGGCGATGGAAGTGGCAGAAAGGGAAATCTGCTCAAGGTGGTTATGTAGAAGAGTCGACATCTTGACTGTGTGTCTCTGATACTATCTTTCGATCGCCAGCAAGGGAGAGAAGAGTTTCCTTCTGTAATTATATAGTCGCCCTACGCACTACAGACCGAAAGGACGTTTCACGATGCCAAGAACCTTCACCAACGGGACTAGGAGATCCAGCTGACTTGAATCATCTACTCTGGGGATGGTCACACCGCCAGCATCGACCAAATATCACCTTTCCTCTGCAAGGTTGGGGTAGTGCTCTGTCCTGCGCAGGAAATCGGCCGCATCGAGGTTCGGCAGCGCGTGTGTGACGGTTCTTTGAGGCAGCGAGCTGAGCGAGGCTGGTTGGCACCACTCAATTCCCTTGCCTTTGCTGACTACAACGCGCCATCGGACACACCTTGCTTCGCTCGAACTACCAACTTCCTGTCAACCACGTTCTCTGCTTTTTCTATCACCTCTGTGGATTTTGCCCTGTGCTCAGGACTTGCATGCTTTGTACCTAGCTTTCCTTCAGATATACATTTGTTGTGTGGCCCGTTCTTCCATCATCTTCGCTGACCTTCTCCGACACACCCTGATCAAAGCTGGTTCCAGATTCTGGCCGCTGACTCGTAACTCTCTGAGCTACATTCATAGCTCAAAAAATGCCCGCAGAAAAGCGCTCTCTGAGGTCCAACAGGTCGGACGCCTCTGCAAACGGCGAGAAGGCTCGATCGAACTCTCAAAACTCCGGCTCCAGCAAAGATAAACCCGCTGCTGCGGCCCGTTCAACGGCCACCCGAAGTAAGGCGTCCCAGAAGGCAGGCTCGGAGAACAGAACAACGATGCCCGTCGACAAATCGCAAGCGAACGGCACCGATCCTGTTGAGAACGGTGTTCACGGGTCTGAAGATGTGGAGATGGGAGGAGACGGCGCGAATGGCTCAAAGCAAGATCATGACGGCGACGAGGAGATGACCGTGGTTGTACCCCCTTCAAAAAGTTCCAAACATTCCGCAGACGTTGCAATGGGTGGAACAGAGAGCGACGAGATGCAGGCTTCGGAAGGGATTGATCTCAAGGCCAAGGCATTGACAGGTAACTTGGATCTTTAACCCCTTGTAGAACAGCTAGTCACTGACCTTTTGACGTCAAATAACTAGATATCAAGAACAATTTTATCCTGCTAGAGCGAGCCGTTATGCACTTTGACCCACGATTTACCTTGCGAGTGCTTCGAACGATCTCATCAATGCGGAAACAGCTGTCTGCCGAGTTGCTCGCTCAAGTGGTTGTGGAGACATATCAACGTTCTGATTCAAGAGCATCATTTTTATTAAAAGCCCTGGGCAAAGAGGCTGCATTCGATGCTGTACCCAACGATACCTCGATGGACGTTGATAATGGGTCAAAGAGTCCCAAGTCTGGCATCCCGAAGGAGATCATACCGGAAATAGACATCTATCTCTCGATTCTTATTCAAATATATCTCTACGACACTGAAGAAGTGCAACACGGCGCAGAGTTTTCGAATGCCCTCGTGGAAAAGCTTCGGACATTAAACCGCCGGACTTTGGACGCTTTGGCGGCTCGCGTATACTTCTACTATTCCCTATTCTACGAGCAGATTGCTCCGCTTCCTCCGTCGCCAACTGCTGCAGTCATTTCGATTCGCCAGCCGCTTCTCTCAGCATTACGGACTGCAGTTCTCCGGAAAGACGAGGATATTCAAGCCACCGTTACAAACCTTCTTCTTCGAAATTACCTCTTGACCTCTCATATCTCCCAGGCGGATCTGTTCATCTCTCACTCTGAATTTCCCCAGGATGCCTCGAACAATCAGATCGCGCGCTATCTTTACTATCTTGGCCGTATCCGAGCCATCCAGCTACGGTACACCGAAGCTCACCAGCATTTGACGACCGCCACTAGAAAATCGCCTTCAACCCACAGTGCTGCTGGATTCTACCAAGCTTCGAATAAACTTCTTGTTGTTGTGGAGCTGCTTATGGGCGACATTCCTGATCGTGCGATCTTCCGCCAGCCCGCTCTCGAACGTGCCATGTACCCTTATCTCCTACTCGTGCAGGCCGTTCACGTGGGTGATCTGGATGCTTTCCTCAAGGTCGTGCAGAACCACGGCGCTACTTTCCGGAAAGATGGCACATATACTTTGATCCTTCGGCTCCGTCAGAACGTGATCAAGACGGGTATCCGTATGATGTCGTTGTCTTACTCGCGGATCTCTCTTCGAGACATCTGTCTTCGTTTAGGGCTCGACAGCGAGGAGTCTGCAGAGTACATCGTAGCCAAAGCCATTCGTGATGGCGTCATCGAGGCCACTATAGACCATGAACACGGTTATATGAAGAGTAAAGAGGTTGGCGATGTATATGCTACCCAGGAGCCGGGTGAAGTGTTCCATGAGCGTATCCAGGCCTGTTTAAATCTTCACGATGAGAGTGTCAAGGTATGTACCCCCATTCTGCCAGCCTTTTAGTCAATTGGTCGTCTGATCTAACCCGTTTATAGGCCATGAGGTTCCCAATGAACCAGCATCGCCTGGAGTTGAAGAATGCCCAGGAGGCTCGTGAACGGGAACGTGAGCTGGCCAAGGAGATCGCGGAGGGAGACATGGATGACGATGACGCAGGTGGGGATTTTGATGGCATCTAGTTGAAGTGTGTGTGAGTGAAGAGGACTCTATCCTATTCCTCTCGCTACTCCAACTCGGCGTTATTCCGGATCGCATTTCCCTGTCGTGTGTTTTTTGTATCCTGCCTCCATGCCCTTCCTTTCTGCGCCGTGTCTTATCTCTTTTGGCACTACATCTACAACCGGTATGGATTCGTAACCATCGGCAGCCTGTCTTACATTCTGGTGGTTTTTCATTTTACGGGAGAGTCAAGAGGGCTTGGGTGTATGTACAGTCGCTTTGATTAAGTCGGTTCTTGTCGTCCATCACATAGGCTTTCGTTGTAATCTCTCCCTCTTCTCTCGCAGCCATATTTTCAGTCACAAGTTAGACAGATAGCTCTCACTGATGTCATAATCGAATTGTAGCTTTCTTTAGTTGCTTGTTGTGCCCCGGAATGGCCGGGCTATCCGAGCCTGCTCGTGGGCCACTGGGCCTCGTAGTCGCCCAGTTATCATAATCCCCGTTAACAATCATAATCAAGTAATACGGGTGCGAGGAAGAACCACAATGGAGTCCACAGTGTTGTGGTTGTGTCGCCGGCGGGCCCTGACCAGGAGCCAACCAGCTCGCGGCCTTTTGAGGGTGTCCTTGGACCGGTTGCGTTTCCGACAAAAAAGAAAAAAAAGTTACTTTCTCAACTTCCAACACTCTTCCAAGCAACTCCCCGGGTCCTACCCACAACCCGGTTTCAGGATACTTCTCTAGAGAAAAGAGACCTTGTTTCGTTATCTGTACTATATGCGCATTCTCCTGTCCAATTCACTGACGCCCCCTCCGTCATGAAAGCTCGATCAGGCCTCCGAGCCTGGAGAGGCCTCGTATCAGCTTCCACATCTTCCCGGCCAACTTCTTCGATATGCTCCCAATGCCTACTGCATACTCGAAAAAGATTCGCCTACGTCCCTCCGACGCTCTCCTTTACATATCGCAGCTACCACCCGTCTCGTCGAAAAAATCAGCAGTCAATCCTCTCCGCAGCCGTATCCACCGCACAAAACATCATCTCCAAAACCCTCCCCACCAAACCTCCGCCAGCGACTGCTGGAATTCCAGAGATATCTGTCGACCCACTGCGTATGGTCGCCAAGGAGTTGAAATTCCTCAAGAAGAACATCCGCCAGCTCCTTGGCTCCGGACACCCGCTCCTTGACAGAGTCGCCAAGTACTATGCTCGCAGCGAAGGAAAGCAAGTACGCCCGTTGCTGGTGCTGTTGATGTCGCAGGCGACGGCGTTGACGCCGCGGAGCCCGCAGGACAGACAGATCTTGAACACGGAGGGAATCAATGCCTCGATCAGTTCGCCAGCAATCCTTGCCGACACGAATCCGGATTATAACCTCTTGACGGCGCCGATGACGGGAAATGAAACGGCGTATTCTTTTGCGGAGGGCGATGTGAATATTTTGCCTTCTCAGCGGAGATTGGCGGAAATCACAGAGCTGATTCATACTGCGTCCCTTTTGCACGATGATGTTATTGACAATGCAGTTACACGTCGGTCGGTTGCGTCCGCGAATCTCGAGTTCGGAAACAAGATGGCCGTGTTAGCCGGTGATTTCTTGCTTGGCCGTGCCTCTGTGGCTTTGGCGAGACTGAGAGATCCTGAGGTTACCGAACTGTTGGCCACTGTGATCGCCAATCTGGTGGAAGGCGAATTCATGCAGCTGAAAAACACGGCGCAGGATGAGAGAAATCCGGCATGGACTGAGGACATCATCGCTTATTACCTGCAGAAGACATATCTCAAATCTGCTAGTCTGATTAGTAAATCCTGCCGTGCGGCTGCGCTCTTGGGACAGACCGCGCCTGAGGTTGTGGAGGCTGCGTATACCTACGGAAGGAATTTGGGCCTGGCATTCCAGTTGGTGGACGATATGCTGGACTACACGATTAGTGGCGAAGAGCTAGGTAAGCCGGCTGGCGCAGATTTGGAGCTCGGTCTCGCCACTGCTCCATTGTTGTTTGCTTGGAGATCGCATCCCGAGCTTGGTGCACTGGTAGGACGGAAATTCTGTCATGAAGGAGATGTTCAATTGGTGAGTAAAACATTCATTTCCCAGCTTCCATCCCATATGGCACGCGTGGCCTGTCCCCCAGAGCTCTTTCTAGAGTATTATGCTTCCAGAACCTTTTTCTACCGTCACCCTGAATAAACTGGAGCTAATCCTTTTCGTACCAAACTCAATAGGCTCGCCAAATTGTCGCCCAGTCTGATGGCCTTGAACAAACTCGCGCCCTGGCCCAAGAGTACGCAGACAAGGCTGTGGAAGCTATCAGCATCTTCCCAGACAGCGAGGCGAAACGTGGCTTGATCGATATGTGTGAAAAGGTTATGACCAGAAGAAAGTAAACCGGCAGTCTTATCCACCTATGTCATCCTCGGAGTTTTACGGCCGAATCTACCATCGTGTTGATGAAAGCGAGCCAGAGTCCCCTCGAGTTTGATTATTGTATAATCCGCACAAGTGGAAAAATAGATTTGGAGAAGAAAAAAGCAACCCAAAATTTGTCTAGATCTTCATACTTCCATCTTTAGGACTATCTTGTTGTTTAGCCCTCTATCGATGGCTTCTCACGGATTGGTATTGCTAGACTTTGTATTCTGCATACTTGTTTTGTTTGTTTTTGATAACTACGGCTCTCCCATTTGCTACCTCTTGGTCTGTAAGTCAGACTTACTTCTATGGGTCTCTCTTCCTGGTTGGCTGTCTGATTAGCTTTCATATTATTACACCGTGCCCCTATTTCCTATTATTATCCCTCTATGTGTCTGTCTTGTTTCCAGTGCTGCGCCTTTTTCTTAAAAGCCAGCAGATACTCCTGTCTGTTGTGCTGTGACTTGCCTGTACAAAACCCATGTATTATTAAACCTGGAAGGACTCCTTATGGGAGAAAAACCGGCATGGCGTACTTAGTGTCAGGAGTTCTAGTTTATGCATGGTTTTGTATATATAAGTGTTACATACAAGGAGAGAGAACAAAAGATATCACTGCTCTGAACCAGACTATGTGACTGTGATTTATGTCCAAGGAACAACCATCTTCGTTAAATAATTGGGGGAACCCCTTCCCCGGCCGGGAATTACAGGGGTTTAGACACTGGGAGAGCTCGGTCAGGCCTGGATGGTCTGGATTCGAAGATACTTCCTAAGTCGTTCATGTATTCAGGGCTCTAAATATTGTGGGCGTATTGTGTCGGTGAAAATTTTTAATGGTAGGCACTGACAGGATAAGTGCCGAAGAAACCGAGAGAACCTCGTAAGGTATATAGTAATGAAATAGCCGCTCCGACGTGCTAATCTTCCTTTCAGAAAGTGAGGCCTATAATGCCCAATATGTCACTCTAGCCTGTCGCAGACGAGGATAGGGATGGACGAATTAACGGAGAGGAGCGCCATGCGGAGTTATCGCCAAATTTATTCAAAAGAATCGCTCCGTATCCATGGTAGATAAATAAAGACGCTCTGAACGGCACGTTCTCGTGGGCGTTCATGACCGTGACAGATGGCGGATCAATCGCTCTCGTAATCCCCATTCGTCGCCGCGTCCACCATTGGCAGGTTCACTTTGAAGACAGTTGAAGGGGTATCGTCGTCTCGATCGGTATCGTCATTAACTAAGCGCACCCCTCCGGCGCTCATGGGCTGTCTCCTTGGGCTGCTTGAGGCCCGTTTCCAAGCCTCCATCAACCTCGTCTCGTTTGGAGAAATTGGCGATATTCTCGCTTCATTCGTAAACTGGCCTAGCTCACTGGCTTTGACCTTCAAACTCAACTTCGTCGACGTCTGCTGCTGTTGCTGTGCATGCTGGCGTTCTCGATCTTCCTCCCCTTCTTGCTCCTCTTCCTCCAGCCTGTGCCTCCCAAACTCCGCAATGAGGCCCCTACAGTATATAGCCGCCTGACCAGTCAGCGCGTAATCTGCCGGTACACTTCCTGCGTTATTTTTCACCAGCGGCGGTGCATTCCACTGCACAAGCAACCTAAACGCTTTCAAATTCCCCCAGGCACTCGCGTAATGCAATGCAGTATTCCCGGCGTTATCTGCCAGAGTGACATCAGCGCCATACTCCAGCAATATAGCCACGGTCCTCGTGTCTTCCGCAGATGTAGGATTCGACGTAGCACGTGGTCTCTGCTTTGGAGGCACGACAGTCGTACTCTGCGGTGTGTTGCTCGGATTGGAGGCCCGAGCTGCCAGCATTAAGGGCGTAGCTCCATTTTTATCCTGGCGATCTATGGTCTGGGGGAAAGTGCTGCAGAGAAAGTCGACACAGTCGGCGTGGGCGTTGGCAGCAGCCAGATGGAGAGGGGTGGAGGAGTCGGTGTTGAGACTTATTCCGGGAGTTGAGTTGAAGCCGAGTTGAGAGGAGTCTGGGTTGCACAAGTCATGCCCGAAGTCGACGAGGAATTTCTATATAAAAAGAGGGAACAGAGTTAGAGGCTGGAATTTTGTTGTTAACAGTAGTATACGTAGCTGGGACTCACGATGATATCAAGATGGCCAAGGATGGCAGCAAGGTGCAAGGACGTGTTGCTCTTATCATCGTAGTCCGGGTTCTCTAGATACTCAGGATTATTCCTCACAATCCGCTTCACGAGAAAGGCATCGTTCAGAAGAATGGCCCTTCGCAGGCGGATGGGAACAGAGAGCTCGACCCTGTAGTAGTCGAAGGTTAGTCCGTTCATCTCAACCAGGGCCTCAACGCTCGATCAGACTTGCATTTCGTCTACATGGCCAGCGCCACAGCAGAGATCCTCAAGAGAAAAGAGGGCGCCTGCTGCTGTGTGGGGTTATTTGACCGTCGGATTATCGTAAACAGACGCGCTTTGAGTTGGCTCAGTCCCATGGCGCAGCAGGCGAAGGTTCCCGACGCGGGCGAGTCTCGAAGCGGGCGGCGAGGTGCAAAGTGACGCAACCGAGATCGTCTCACATTTCCAACCACCAAATTTTCTACCCAGATCGATATAGGATGAAATGGCATTCAATTACGCTATTACTTGAGTTATCATGCTAGAGACGAGACGTCCCCTAACCGTCCGAGCCTCAATAATTGAGTATTCATTTCCCGCAGCATCATGTCCTGACCAGCGGATCGTTGACAGCAAGCTTCCTTCCGCTCCACCGGCAGCCTCAGCGAACGCTACACTCTCTCTGACGCCCTGGAGACAGCTCAAAAAGCTTCCAGACAATGCGTCTCGCTCACCTCCACCTCCCGGGCCTCGTATCCTTCACGCACGCCTCTCGCCTCCAGCAGCTCCTCGTATCCCGCCTCCTCGCACACAAAAAACTCTCCCACTCCCCATCCACCCTTCCATCCCCGGATCCGACTATCCTCACGTTCACGCCTCACCCGGTCTACACCACCGGCAGACGCGATCTTCCCCCTTCCCCTGACCCAAACCGCCCCCAACCTAGCTCCAAGGGCCCCTGGCTGCCCACACCCCTAGAACCCATCCGGCACATTCTCACCGCCTCCCCACCGATCGCAGAATACCATGCCACGCTACGAGGAGGTCAGACCACCTATCACGGACCAGGACAGCTAGTCGCATATACGATTCTAGATCTACGCAGGCTACGAATCGGGCCGAGAGCACATATCCGGCTCCTGGAAGAGACGGTGTTGGATGTTCTGGCCGGCTACGGTATCAAGGGGCTCCTGAGCGATGATCCGGGGGTTTGGGTCCGGCCATCTAACGCGACGGGGGTCGATACGGCGGATGATGACGCGGCGCCGAGAAAGATCGCGGCGGTAGGTGTGCATTTGCGGAGGTTCGTTAGCAGTTATGGGGTTGGGCTGAATGTCACTGAGGAACCTATGTGGTTTCTTCGACAGATTGTAGCTTGTGGGTTGGAAGGAAGAGATGCCGCAAGCCTTGAAGGTCAAGGAGCACAGGTGAAAGGAGGATTAAGCGAGGTCGCAGAGAGCTTTGTGCAGGCGTTCGTTAGAAGGGTGAACGAAGGGACCGCAAGTGGAGGGTTAGGCCCAAAGATAGACCAGGTATATAAAATAGAAGAAAAGGATACCCTTGACTAAAAAGGTATGGTTCGATCTTGACAGCCCATTTCACCAAAAGAGCCAGAAAAAAAAAAAAGGGTCAACAGGCCACTGCGAGCGGAAACAAATTGACTGGGAACGTAAAAGGAAATTCATAGAGCATACGACGGCTTTATAATACATCTTCATAGTGTCAGAGAGAAAGATGCATGAATGTCGGCTCCAAGGGAACAGATGAGCGATTAAAAAAAAGATAAACTCATCGTTGACAGAAAAAGATCTCTTCATTGCACACGCCATTGCACGGTTCATCGCCAGCAGCGAAATTTCACATAGGAGCGTCAGATACTAATAAATTCGCAAGCTTCGACCAAGGAAAATCGTCAAAGATACAGTCGACAAAAAGGGTATATACAATAGTCGACTGTCGAAGTAAAACGCCAGAAGGCCACTAAAGGGTAAATTAGGAATTCAGGAGCCTCCAAGGGGGTAATGTGCAGCTTGTATGCTCGAAAGAAAAAGAAAAGAAAAGAAAAATAGCCAATGCAACCCAATACGTCAAGAATTTGGCCACCGTAGAAATAAAAAGTCGTATGTTGCAAAATGAGGGCGAGGCGCAGGCGACAAATTCTGCGGATCGAACGAAAGGAATGATAAAAGAAATAAGCAGCGATATGGAGCTTTTCAGCTCAGTGCAGTGATTCACTGAATCACACATTTAGGACCGTTGTCTGATTTGGCAGGACGGACGGTAATTGCAACTCTGGATGCTTCCGTAAAGGCCTCGTTTACACCACGGTTTCTCATCGCAGAGCATTCTAACCAAGGTCAGTAGATAGAAACCAGACGTCAATATATAAGCCCATACCCAAATATCGTAATGCTCCGATACGTTTGGCGACTTCGAGGCCCTGGGCATACGTGACCACGTTTCGGGGTTCTGGGGTGTCTTCTGTGTTGTCCTTCTCGTTGAGCTCTTCTCGAAGATCACACTTCAAGGCAACAAGAACGATTTTTGCGCCGGGGCAGTTTTCGGCGATTTCTGAGATCCATTTCGACTGGACATTCTCTAAGGAGTTCGGGCTATCAACCTGTTTAACAACGAGCCCGATTAGCCACTGACATCATGAGGTAACAGGCCAGACTCGCGGGCTGCATCTCACACTAAAGCAGAGCATTATGACGTGGGTGTCATCATAAGAAAGGGCACGCAAACGGTCAAATTCTTCCTGTCCCGCAGTGTCCCACAGGGACAATTCCAATTGAATTCCGTCGACAAAAATATCTAAGCAAAACAATCAACGTCGGTCTCAATCTGCGGCATCTTACGGGAGGATGGACGTCATACCGTGAACATAATTCTCTAAACTGTACGTCAGCAAAGAAGCCCAGTGGAGGAGCAGCGGGAAGGGGTTTAGACGAACCAAACACAGTTGGCTCGCTGAAGCAGCACGGAAAAGGAAAACTTGTTAACCTGGCTTCCGATTGATGCCTGGATAGGAAAAGATCTTACTAGACAGTTGGGAAGAACCTAACGTAAAATCAGTGTTTCAAGGTCCCCATGTAACCCGAAGAGAAATGGAACAGTCGCGAGCAAAAGGATCATAGAATCTTACCCCCTCGTAAACACGTTCAGAAGCGACGTTTTGCCACAAGCGCCATCGCCCCTACAGCCGTTTATTCCAACCGTCAGCGCAAGGCAGCCAGGCACCAACAACTATCCCATGCGCGCAGCTCCCGGGGAGAAGGAAAACGGAAATGAGGGAATTGTTCTCGACTAACAAGAGCACGAGCTTCCGCTGGATCACCTTTTCCCGCCCGCATAAACTGAAACCAGGCATCCTGAAACACGGACTTTCCAATGAATATTTAAATAATCGGTACGGGCGACAGGGTCGGGGAGACAAGACGATTCGGATAGCGGGGTGCAAGAAATCGGCTATGATCCACACCAGGAGGCCTGATGAACCCACTGCGGATGTGTCGTTTCGGCGGGCTTCAAGGGTATTTGCTCTGATAGTTTACTGTTCGGCACCACAGGGGTTGGCTGTCACTAAGGTTGGCGCGGAGCACCGGAAGGCTTCCAGAGGTAAGGAATAAGGTATGGAGAGATGAATCGAAAATGAAAATGTTAAGGATAGGAAGAAGTGTGAAGAAGAAGAGACGAAGGAAAAGAAGCAAAGACGTGACTGGCAGGGTGTGCGAGGTGGGAGGAGAAAGTCACAGTGTCGGCGGAGAATCGAGGAACGCTCACTCAAGTGACACTATTATCTAAATACCAGCAGATGCTTTTCGCTTCACGTCATGAGAGCAACAATCAGGCTTTCGACGATTGCATCCTCTTCGTCTCCTATATAGATAAATCACTTGGCAGATCAGCGAGGACTCTCTCATTGTACAGCCACCTTCGGCCTTCTATTTATTTAGCATGGTGAGTTGTCCAACGGCATCGCCATGTTACATACATCACCCGGGAGGCTAAACCGGACAGACGTGGGCTACCGGTGGAGAGGGCTGAGAGTGCAGCTCTTCTTGTCAATTTGTTCGGCCAGATAATATTTTCATACAATTATCGTCGTTAAAAAAAAAAAAAAAGAAATTCTTCCAGGGGTGGCCTGTCAATCCGAGGGGAAGCGCTCGCTACCTATGCAGGTTTTGATCAGGTTATTGCCTGAATCTATACCATCGATCTTTGGAAAAACAGCCCGGGCCTGATAAGCGAAGACAGGGGACCGACAGTCGGTGTGCTGGAGAGGAATTTCGGGCTATTGATGGTCAACGCTCACCGTTTGATTCGAAATGAAAAAGGCACAGCAGCGCTACGCCGTTCTGTGTTCACAAATGCTAGCAAACAAGTCATGATAATCAAATCCTTGCTTCACTATAACCATATAGTACATCCTCTTGGTAAAAATGAAACTCAGACGGGATATTAGATGCAGGTACCCAGAAGCCGAAAACGCCCCTAACACCACATTTCCGAGATGCCACCACATGAATAACACTCCGACCTTAAGACACCGTCGTTAGTAATAAAATCCCACATTAATATGCCTCCTGTTCTTTCTCTATATCTCGTCTTCCCCGGCGCAGTCTATCCGCCAGATCAATATCTCCAGCGCGACGGTTGAGTCCGTTGACAAATGCTCCCTTTCCGCCGTATTTACTGGATTCTGCCCGAGCAGCCTCCTCCGCTTCACGCTGCGCATTTTCACGTGCTTCAGCAGCGCTCAGGCGTGAAGCTCGTGCGTGATCAAGCTCTTCCGCATTTTGTTGCATGGCAGCCAGCCGAGCTGCTCTGTCTTCATCATCTGTAGATTGACGATGTCTTTCACCTGTGTCTTCCCGTCGTCTTGGAGGAGAAGGTCGTCGGGAATCGTAGTGGTTCTCCCTATTTGGATAGGATGGCCCATCCCTTGATCTATAGTAGGACCGGGTCTCTTGAGCCCGTGGGGAATATGATCGACGCTTTCGATAAGGAGACGGAGATCGGCGAGACCTACCCAGAGGTCTGACGCTTCTGGATCTAGATCGCGAGCGGCTTTCCGCGTGCCAGTGTCGGTGGCGATGCCTGCCACGGCGCTCATCTTCATCGAATCTTCTCGATCGGTGCCTCGAATGGCGATCTTCATCATCTCGATGACGATGTCTTCGATGCTTTCGGTCCCTATCGGAACTTCTCTTTTCGCGCGACTCAATCCCTGCAGCCTTCAGTAGCTCCCGCCGTCGCGTGGGGTCATTCATCATAGCTTCGTATGCTGCCTGTTCCTGCTTTTTGATAGCCAGCATAGGATCCTCCCGAATCTTTGCAGCGATATCCTTCGCGTTATTTGCATTCTGCACAGCCATAAAGGAGCTCTCTCCGGATGACTTCTCCAGCTTCGAGTTGTCGTTCCCTTTAATCAAACCATCGATCCGGCGCTTTCCAAGCAAATAGCCCTCCATCTCCTCTGTTGTCCCGGCCTGACCAGCAGCGGGGCCAGAGTACATCCAGTCAACCCGATTCAATCGCTTCTTCCCACCCGCAGCTTCTTGCATCTCTTCTAATTCTTGTATCTGTCGCTCTTCTGCCCGCTCTCTCATCATTTGGTCAATGCGTTTGCGCTCTTCGAGCGCTTTCTTCTGTTCCACCCATACTCGCTCCTGGTTCTTAAGCAGAACCGGATTCCAGCTCTTCTTCAAATTGAGATCACCACCCATTTTGACGATGCTTTTGCCGGCTTGGGGGTTCGTTTGGCGTCGAAGGACGCAGAAGCGCGATGGATTTAATGGTGGCGGGTTATCTTTCCAGCCGCAAATTGCTTAGTAACGCGGGAGAGTGTGGCTAACTACTTAGATTCGCGCTAACTTATTTAAGGTTTAGCGTGCCAAGCTCCCCTCCCGTCCATCTCATGTCATTACCAGGGAGGTTCAGCGCGATCAGTACTCAATCAGCGAGCCTATATCGCTACTCTCTGGACAAACACGAGACCAACGCTCCAATTTTTGACTTGAGAAGGGCCATTGCTGTATTTCCAAGATGTCTGATGACGATTTTATGCAAGAGTCGGATCAGGAAGAGTGCGCCTTACCCTCACAATGAGCTTTGACGATACCACTGCTAACGGGGAACCGATAGGTACGACTTTGAATATGAAGACGCTGACGACGATGAGCTCGGCGACATTGGAATTGAGAACAAATATTACAATGCAAAACAAATAAAAGGAGAAAATCCCGAGGAGGCGATTGAAGAGTTCCTGGGCGTCCCGTTGTTAGAGCAAGACAAAGGCGATTGGTATGCTATGTTTTCATAGCCTGCTGGACAGGCGCTGATAACCGAGCAGGGGGTTTAAAGGACTAAAACAAGCAATAAAACTGGAATTTAAGCTGGGTCGGTATGACGATGTGAGTACATACCTGTAAGGGGTGCACGATTACGGAAACAATGGAACTCACAATTTCTCATTTAGGCTGTTGAGCATTATCAAGAACTCCTCACATATGTCAAATCGGCCGTCACGAGGAATTATTCTGAAAAGTCAATCAATAATATGCTGGACTACATCGAAAAGGGCGCCGAAGACGAGAAAGCCTACCACTGCATGGAGAAGTTCTATTCTTTGACGTTGAATTCTTTCCAGAGCACAAACAATGAGCGACTTTGGTTAAAAACGAATATCAAGCTGGCAAGGCTATGGCTAGATCGGAAAGAATACGGACAACTAAGCAAGAAAGTTCGGGAGCTGCACAAGGCATGTCAGCGACCTGATGGAACAGATGATCCCGCGAAGGGAACTTACTCGTTGGAAGTTTACGCCCTAGAGATACAAATGTACGCGAATACCAAGAACAACAAGCGGTTGAAAGCTCTGTATCAGAAAGCTCTGAAGGTCCGGTCTGCGGTGCCACACCCTAAAATCATGGGCATTATCCGTGAATGCGGAGGCAAGATGCACATGAGTGAGGAAAACTGGAAGGAAGCTCAAAGCGACTTCTTCGAATCTTTTCGGAACTACGATGAAGCCGGGTCTATGCAACGAATACAGGTTCTGAAATACCTCGTTCTAACTACTATGTTAATGAAATCCGACATCAACCCTTTCGATTCCCAAGAAACGAAGCCCTACAAAAATGACCCCCGAATATCTGCTATGACGGACCTCGTCGATGCTTTTCAACGAGACGACATCCTCGCCTACGAAGACATCCTAAAAAAGAACCAAGACTTGCTCGCCGATCCCTTCATTGCCGAAAACATCGACGAAGTCAGCCGGACTATGCGCACGAAGGCCGTCCTCAAGCTAATTGCCCCATATACCCGCTTCTCCCTTGCTTTCGTATCAAAACAACTTAGAATCTCCGTTCCCGAAGTTCAAGATATCCTCTCCTACCTTATCCTAGACGGTAAGCTACAAGATGCGAAAATCGACGAACTAACCGGCATTGTGACAATTGGAGGATGGCACGACTCCGAGAGACTGGCTGCTGTCGACATGTGGATGGGCGAACTGAATAAGTTATGGAATACTGTCCTAAGTCAAGGTGACGGGTTTAGGGCTGACGAAAGTGGGCGCATGCTCGGCTCCCTTACGGGCGGGGCGAGCCTCGGGATGGGCCATGGCGGATCACATCTTGGGTCATTACGGAGCCTTGGGAGGGGACCGCAACAAGGTCACCCGAAGCACGCCAAGGGGAAGCCTACAAAGAAGGCGCATCGATAGGCCCTGACAAAACCCTGATTTACCTCTTTGACAAGTCGACACTGCGGAACCTTTACAACATGCATGCAGTATGCACTATGCGATGCAAACGTAATTTTGGTCATGCAGCTTCGCCAGCCTCCCCTTCTTTCTTTTCATTTCCCCTCATACGTATCTTTCTCTTCTGAGGGGGAAGTTTTTCCTCCAGAATGGTACGAACATCGGTCACTCAGCATTTGCTCTATGTCAAATTGGAATACTTCCAGCTACCCGCACAACAATCAGGTGAGGGGCCTCACCCTTCAAAGCCCGTCGAGAACCAAGTTGTACAATGCACACAGCCTGGGGCGATCGAATCCACCCACCTCATCCCATGTTTTCTGTCTTACACAAAACCTTGGGTCACCCTGTTTTCCTGTTCCTGGCGGGTTTCCGGCGGCTTGCGCACCAGTGCCACCGCTTAAAATGAGTGTGTTACATCAATGGACGCCGCATGCATGTACGTAAACTCTCCGGACGCCATTTGCTGCGCCGAACATTCCGCTGCATTTCGTGCTCTCTCATAGTGTGGCAAACACTTCGATTGGCTTGACTGTCTCGGAACTCTTTATCTGAGCGGATTTTTTCTTTTGAAATGTTGTATTCAAGTTGATCAAATCCTTCCGGCGGCAGATACTCCGTACCATCATCCCAATAATTTCTTGGGAATATGGTTGCCTCGACCTGTAGCTAGGTTAGAGTAGCACAACACACGTATATTGAAGCAGCGAGCGGGAAAACGAGAAACGACATAATGGTCCAATCCCGTGATAGTGATACAAGGGCCATGGGATGAATTTTTGCGTACGGAGTAGTTTTACACAATGACATGGTGTACAGTATACCCTGCTGTACATCTAATCGGATTTCTTGAGGTGACTATATCACAAGAATTTTCTGCAATCTTTCCCCTGTGAAGTTTCACTCACCCGCAGCAATCACAATACACTCATGACAGTAAATACAAGCCTGCATATCAAAAGCAAACAGCACTAAACATGATGCTGTGTCCGATTTTACGCCATTTCCATGTGACCATCCCTTTTTTGTAATCTGAAAGCAAATACAGAGACCGCTGGACGAGAAAACAAAGCCGCATGACCAGGAAAGAGGGAGAGAGAAAGAGAGAAGACAAACATCTCATTTTCTCCCAATTGGAGGACTTGTCAAAGGAGAATTCACTATCTGTATGGAAGTATTTCCTTTTGTTTGAACAAAGATTTTTTTTTTCCCCGTTTGCTGTTCTGTTTCAGCTGCATGACGCCCAGGTTTGCATTAAGACGTCAAATTGTTACAGCATACTCCGTACTCCATATCTGCGTGGGTAGCATCCCCTTTTGGAGTTTGGACTTGAAACCCGAGGAACACATGCATATGTATGCACGGGTGGAGGCATCGCATGACATGAATAATCATACTCCGTAAATTAGCACTTGATTTCCACTTTTAACAAATTGGTATGTTGCCTTGATGGGAAAGTTGGTATTAGCATTGTCAGAGTGCACTACCTGTCAGTAGCTAGGCAGGAGTACTAGTTGATCACTCTGTCAGAGGTTTCTCATGTTGTGTAACACTGTACTGCTTTGGCCCGTCCCGCTACCGCTTTCAAGGCAGGTTCTCGTATGTATGAATGCACGCGGTTAAATGTTAATAGACCATCACAAGGGATCAACCAAGCATTGTCAATTGTACTCGTGTATTTCCTGCCATTCATATAAATTGTAGCCAGGCTCGTTTACGCTGCGTAAGTTGATCTGAAGAGATAATGATATCGGATGCATTGTCTCGTTCCGCCTGGCTACGCGGGCCAAGTGTTACAGAGAAACCGGGCAACATCATTTGGTAATAAGCATACGGCGCGGTCTTGAAGTTCGTTTCCGACCGTTTGATTGCCGAGCTGAACAATCATATCGGCTGCCCAGGCTTCAGTGGCTGTGTGACCAAAAGTCGTGGTACAAACCAATTTGTATATTCGAGCGCGGGAGGAAGGGATTTGAAATGAAGATTCAAGAGAGGCAGGTAGGCAGTGGATCGGTAATCGACAAATTGTCGGATATCCAAATGAGAAAGGTCACCGAGGGCGGTGGATCAAGCGATGCGGATGGTGCATGCTTGTGGACAACCTCCTCTCGGCTCTTGCAGATGGTAACCACAAAAGTCAAATGTCTGTAGAATGGAGCAAACAGGTTTGACTCACAACCCAATAAAAACCCAAAAGATGATCCTGTGTACGCCAATCAGCCCTAATATCAATTGTTAGCGGCGTTGACACCCAGAAACAACTGGACACCGGAATCTTGCGCTCCAATGGGCGGCGTTGCCCGGTTAAAGACTGCGCTGTCAATCTGGTTTGCTCCAAAGCTCAGAGGGAAATACGAGTACGTCGTCCAACATGGCAAAGCAACCATAGGACTTGTACGGAGTATGCGCAGTAATGGTGATGTGCCATACGGTGGGTGGAACGTTTGCAGCTGCAGGGTTGGTGGGATAGACGGTTTAGAATGTATCTGGACAGCAAAGCGAGGGAAAGCAATTACATTGGGTACGCACCTAAAAGTAACAGTTCACGGAGTACTCCGTACGGAGAAACTGTATCATGTCCGCTCTTCAACAAGCCTTGTTGAGTATGCTGTAACCTGTCAAGTCAGGATTCCTATGGTCCGCTGTATAAAGAAAAAGAAAAAAGAAGAAAAGGTCAATCCAGCGCAACCGGAAGCGAAAAGTTTCAGAAACTAAACCTTGGGAGGGAATTGCTCGAATAATACTCTGCATTATTGATCATGGTGGTCCTTTGATGTTCCTCCCCGCCCCACGACCTGAATACCATTGCATTCCATGTGTTCGCAAAACCATGGTAGAGATGGGGCTTGCACGTAATGAGACAGGCAGGAAATTCCTGACTTCATTGATATCGAGAGCCGCGAGCCTCACACGCCAGAGTGTGGTAGATAGAAATGCCTGGTAGTGACGAATTTCATGGATATCGTAGCCACCAACCAGTGGACCGCAAAGCGGACACTCGAACATGGGCATCACCCCACAATCGCATGTATTTTCCAGCTGTGTTGATGTGGCGTAGGAAAATAGCTCGGATCCAGGCATCGACAAGGATTGAGCAGGGAAGCCAGCGCTTACTCCTCCGTAGACGCCCAGAAAACGCGAAAGGGGTTTCAAGGTTGAAAGGCCCATCAGCGAGCGGACTTGGACCCCCTTACGGCAACAACGAACAAGACGGAGGATTCTCGATATCGGTACCCTGCTTTTTTTGCTTCGATGAGCCAAAAAAAATGCAGGGAATGGCTAGGATGCTGAGTATCTTGTGACAAAGTACGGAGTACTCTGTATGGTAACTGTAGTTCTCCCCCGTATTGGGACCAACAGCGTGCGTGCTCCTCTTACTATCCTTGCATTATCCAGTGAAACCACCATAACATCTGATGAAATGGGGTACAGCATTGGCTGCTCGCCTGTCTTTCACGTATTGTCATGTTGCCTATGCGCAGAGGTATTTCATTTAGTCTCCCTCAATCAGCTGATAGAAGAACCACTCATGTAGCTACCCGTGAAATCATAGGAAGTATTTTTGGGTCCTGGAACTTGGTGGGCAGGGAGGGATATCAAAATGTATCACTCCATACGTAGTACACCCTTATCCTTCACCGCCGGCTCTAAAAGAGTAGAGGCAGCTGGGTAAGCAGTACAACGTAAGAGGCGTAACACTGGCAGCACTCTGGTATGCATGCTGTGGAAGTCATTGCAGGCGCCCGCGTCACAAAATTATTTTGTTTTGGTTCGCGGCGAGGGATTTTGGCGAATGTTTTCCCGTCGAAGTGCCTGTTGCGCGTATCAAGCTTCCGCATAGCGGCCGTTTGCTGCCAGACAAGGCTCGCGATTGGTGTTCAGGGGCTGAGACTTGTTTCTCTTTCCCATTGGACCCGAAGGCGCATTAGCTCTCGAGAGCCGTATGGAAGGGGTGTTATCGATAGGCTGGAAAATTGTACCAGCAGCAGGCTGGAGCTGCTGAGGGGGAAGACGGGACTGATCCCGCTAACTCCTCTCCAAACCCGCCGCCCCTCGTTCTTCCTGCATGCACCGAGCAATCAGAGCGCAGATGATGTTGGCTTTGTGCTCTGTTGCCGACCCGCTGGCCTGGACAAACAGGTGAAGTCACCGGTCCTAGCTCTTTTCCCCCCTCTTGGCGGGCTTTCGCCTCTGTCGAAGAGGAAAAGCAATGTTTGTGGATGGGAGGTGAGGCTGTCGTCGTTTTCGCTCCGTCGAGAACTTTGGAACTCCTTTCTCCGTAAGCCCACAAAACCCGACCACAAGATTGCTCGATCGGCCTCGAGACGTGCAACGTCCCAGGCAACTGCGGTCATCCGGTTGATTTGATCGATAATACTGTATTTCTTTTCCGGAACTGCTCGTTTGCACAGTTACAACGCCGTTACCCGTGGATAATCCCTCCGATCACTTCCCAGAAGATGCTGCTGTGGTCATGATTGCAACTTGCAGACGGGCAACAGCGACAACAACGGGTTACGGCATTAGAGACACGGAATTCCTATAGCGTCAAGCTTGCGTCTGCTGCGGTCACATCCATTATTGATAAATAGCCTGTTTGGAAGGGAGAAAAGTACGTATTCCATTTCATTCTTGACACTGCCCGCCAGCGCTCTCTGCTTTTCGTCTTTGTCCAGCACGCCTTCAAATCGCCTATTTCAATCCTCGCCTCCCCTCCCCTTTAAGGCCTTCAAGCGATTGCTTTCCCTCTTCCTCGATCTACAAGTCTACAGTTGTAGCCCTCGTCTGATACCCCGTCTGTGAAATAATCGTGTGCCGTTGTCGCTCGTCGCTACTTTGTGTTTGGTCAGAAGCAGCAATGACGTTCACCAACATGTACCCTATCTTCGACAACAGCAACCTCTTCCATCCCTACTTTTACCCCTTGGTGGACTATCCCCTCGTCTATCTGAGCTTACAAGAATACGAAGTCTTCCCCAGGACGCTCGCAGAAGTTCATCCGCCTTTGGTCTATCCGCATTACATCGAGGACCCGGACCCGACCTTCATCATGAATTCCCTCCCTCCCGACGATATGGAGCGGTTCCAGAAACTCTCCAACGAGTATGAACCGGATATACAAGTAGGACCCCGATTTATCTATGTATGCTAGTAGGAGCTCCATTGCTAACGCCAGTTAGGGTCCTCTCGTCGGCCCAAAACAATCGACGGATGCAATTGTTAGCGAGTACGCGCAGGGACATCCGATCTATGTCGCGAAGACCTCTGTACGTCTGCAGGTCTGGAGACTGAAATGCTTAACCTAGGAATCTAACTGAGAGATAGGCCCTTGCCGCGACGCATTCATTCTATCGAATTATGAAAGGGGATGGCAATTGCGGCTGGAGAGGTATGGAACAAGTGATATACTTCCTACGAAAAGCTCTTAAGGCTGACGTTTGAACTAGCTATCGCCTTTGGCTATTTCGAAAATCTCTTCCATTTGCGTGACTTGAACAAAGTCGCTCAAGAAACCGCCAGAATCAAAAGTTTCAACAACTTATTGAACTCCGTCGGCCATCAGGAGGACCTCTATGAGATGTTCGTTGACGCAACTATGGACCTCCTCGCAAAGGTCTCGAAGGCCATTGAGACCGGTAATTATGACGACACGTTTCTTCTGGACGAGTTTAATTTGGAATATAATTCAACCTCTATAATCCAGCATTTCAGGGTTCGTTTTCCCCGATGGGATATGCTCTCCCTACTCGCTGCTGACTTGGATATTTATCTTAGTTGATGACAAGCGCTTGGATGCGACTGAATCACGAAAGGTATCAGTCGTTTCTTTCTGAGCCCCTGGACAATTACTGTGCAAAGGCAATCGAGACTGTGAGAACGGAAATCGACGAGATTGGCCTCCAAGGCTTAGTGGATGGCGTCATCGCCGATTCAGGCTTTGCCGTCCAGATTGCCTACCTAGATCGGAGCAGCGGCAATGAGGTCAATTTCCATCTACTCACTCCTAATCAGCCTAGCCTTGCTACTATCAGATTACTTTATCGACCGTGAGTGCCGCTGTCCCCTCCCCCCCTTGACCTAATCTAATGCACAACCCCTTAGGGGCCACTACGATCTTCTATACCAGGGGCTTTTGGGTTCGCACTCCGACATCCCAGTCAACTACCAGGTCGGATTGGCATACACATGCGCTCCTTGGTGTGGGAACGGGTTGCAATTCGACTTCAATCCGTACCTAATGGCAATTCCTTCTCTCACTCTTGATACACACACTTGCACACATCCACCACCACCTCACATATCGCATTATCTACCCCTACGTTCGGGCCCTGCATTCCATCCACCCATGGCTTTCAGCCCTCCACCGCCATTTGAGCAGCAACTTTTGCCTGGCGTGCCGGCCAGTCCCTTGCCACCTCCCCCTGATAGATCCAACGAGCTGCCAATCCGGATGAATCCCTTGGTCCGTGAACCAATGAATACTATTCCCTTGAGCTCCGTCCCTTTCCGAAAGTAAGTGACCGAATCTCCACTCTCTAGCGCATCTGGTACAATCGTGGGGTTTCTTGGTATCCCTTCATGCCACTGTTTACTGACGAAGTTTGATTTTGTAGCTCTCAGCATAACCAGGCCCATTTTCAGAACCCGGATTTCCAGCCATCGCAGTGGGACTATACCAAAGAATACAAATAGCCACACCAGTGACATGGCGGTGCCGCACAACTCTCGACAAGCGGCGTAACCCATAATGTGACACGACATTTGCTTTCATTCCTCCATGCCAGCGACCGTTTTCCATGTTTAACTCCTTTTTAAAGTTTGGCGACTAGGCGTTCTACAGGACCCCGTTGTCAAATCGTCGCTGCAGCACGTTCGCCTAGCTGTGACTCCGGTCCTTCCCCCCCCCTTTTTTTTTTTTTACACTTCTTCATATGCCAACTCGTACTTCCACTACATTTGACTACATTTTATGGTTTTCTACATGCATCGCTAAACAGTGATTACGCTGCGCTCTTACTTTCGGTTTGACACCTCCTCTCGGGCTATTTCTCCTATTTCACACCACAATGACTCGTATGATAAGTTCTTTTCTTGAGACCTCGCGTAACTTTTTGCACTTCATCCATTCCTTCCTTGCTATTTTTAATCAGATTCTTCGGTATTCTCAATGTGTTCGTTAAGTGATGTCTGTTTGCAATTCCGGCTAGCTTAGAATCTATATTGTTAAGGATGTAATGTCATTGGCACATCTCATCTCTACAGCCCCGTTTCCGAGTCGCCCTTCGGGATATGCCATTAGTACGTATCTGAATCTTTCAGCCACTTAAAGAGCACCGGTATGTATGCATACGACGGCAGCTATTGGTGTTTCGTGTCATCAAAATTTTGATTTTCGAAAGACGAGCTGCAGAAATTATCAGATACATGGCGCAGCATTCCACTCGATACTAGATGGTAAATATAGTAAGACATCGAGGAGTTTTTGGACCAGAGGCCTTTTCTTTTTTTCGAGAGCGCCAAATCATCCTTGGCTCGTTTGCATCAGGCAAGCTCCCGAACTTCGGGATGGCTGGAACGTTTTTCAATGGTCCCTTATTTTTTTTTTTTTTTTTTTTTTGCTTTTTGTTCTTGCGGGAAGAAACGCCTGAGCGGAGCCACTTCCCAGGTCTTATCTCACGATGACCATATTCCATTAGGCTGCAGCTGTCCTTCTCTTATCTGGCGCTCCTCATCCTCCGACACCACGACCCAATCACGCACCCCACCTTTCCAATCAGCAATGCGACCCTCCTTCACCTGGACAATCACAACCCTCACATCATCCTCCACGACGGGAACATCCACATCCTGACCAGCCTCATCACCACCAACACAGCCGCCCTCTGCGGGACGACCGAAGATCCCCATCTCCGACGAGTCCGAGGCGAACGTGTTATTCTCCAGGTGCCGCTCCTTGCACCACTTCTCCTCCTCGCTGCCTGCCTCGAGGAAGCGTGCGGTGCCGGTGATAGTGGTGCTGATGCTGCTCATGGCGCTGGTGTTGATGTTCAGGAGGAGGGTCGCGAGGCTGGACTGGGTGGCTGCCGGGGGTGGGGAGCCCTCGCGGGCTGGGTCGCGGGTGCGGGTGGGTGGGCGGTGGGAGACCCAGTCGTGGACGAGCAGGGAGACGCGCGGGTTGGAGAGGAGGTTGATGGTCTTTTTAGAGGAAGGGTTGGTGGTCATGATGATGGTTGGTTGGGCGGAGAAAGGGGTGCTGGGGAGGTAGGTATAGGACATTAGGGAGATGTGCGGGGTGAGGTTGTCGCATGTTGCGAGATGGAGCTATGTGGTGGGAGTACTGGTTAGTCGTGGCCCATGCTGGGAGGAGTTGACGTGGCCAAAGGGAGCTGGGGTTCCGTACGAATCTGGAGTTCTTGAGGCAGGAGACAACTTCTGGAGGGAGGGTGGTGGAGTAGCGAGGGTGGGTGGTGGTGGCAGAGGGTTCGTAGCTGAGAGGAGGATTGTGAGAGGCCATCTTGCTACCGCTGAATTAACAGTCGGGACGAGTCGGCTATTGGTTCCAGCAGCTCTATCTAATGAGCAGGGCGCCCCAAGCGGTGCAGATGCGTCGTGAGATCAGAGATCAAAGCATCAGGGTTGTCGACAAGCCCCAATATCGCCCACCAAAACTCACCGACCGGCCGAGACCTAACTAGGTAACTCGGACTCAATCACGTGATTCAGCAGTGGCCTCAACTACGTCATAGTTAGGTAAGCCCTTTGAATCACGTGTCGTATTGGCCGAAAGCGGGATGGCGCGGCTTTTACGCTGAGATTTGCAGTACTCCGTACTGAGGCTTGCCCGTGTGGTTAATGTACATAGTGAGAAAGTTTCCCCGCATTTCCCGTCGGGGAAGCGTGTGGCTTGGTCTCCCTCTTCGACGGGGGAACTCCGTAGGTACCTCGCCCTTGATAGTTACCTAACCAACTTACTTAACTCGAACGCTCTCACTCCCGAACTCTCTGCCTGCTTCCCTGCAGCCTCTCCGCTTCCCTCGATGTACTGCCAAAGTAGCTCTCCTCAAGCGGCTTGGGTAAACGCTTAACCATCTTGCTGCCGATTGACCACGCTCTCCGCTCCTTTTCTCTCCTGCAATCGATCTGTATTTCTCGCTTGTTCCTCTCTGCTGTTCCAATTGTCTGTAGTAGCATTGGGCTCCCCTTCACACCCGTTCAACTCACAAACACCCACCCCCCAAAACCCTTGTCATCCCAGGTTGAAACCGCCTGAAATCCAAAGCACCCTTTTGTCCGCTCCCCTGTTTCTTCACGCTACATGAACAGTACCTTGCCTGTCCTTTGCCCCTCACTTCTATAGTCGCATGTGTCACTGTCGCTGCTAGCTGGTTCCTGGCCCGTCGTCAAACTGGCCTAGTTCTGCTGTCCCGCATCCTTGCACTCTCTCCCCCAAACCTCACCTTTGCCTCCAGCGGTTGTTTTCCGTCTCCCTCCTCCTCCTCCACCTCCTTCTCTTCTTCTTTTTTGTGTTCAATATCCTTTTCTTTCCTATTTGTATTCATTCTTCAGCCTTTCCGTGCTAGCATATTCTTTGATTTGCACTTGTTTGTTGAATCCGTCTGCATCCTCTCCTTCCGTCTCATATCTCTCTCAACCCTGCACACGACCCCAATCAACAGACCACGCAACCCACCATGCTGGCAACGCGTCTTCGGCCCAGCATCTCCCCCTCACTTCTCTCCCGCACCTTTGCTACCTCCTCTGTTCGTCTCAAGGCCCCGTCCATCAGAGACATCACCCCAGACAATGCTGCTACATTCAATCAGCGTCAGAAGGAATTCCGTGAGAATCTCGAAGCCGCACGGAAGAAAAAGCTAGAGCAAGAGAGTCAGTCGGTTGATAGTTCCGTTTCTTCTTCTTCTTCCTCCTCCTCCTCCTCTGCCTCCACGGGTTCCTCTGCTTCCGTTGCTCGGCCCACGGGCGACGCAAGCGGATCGGCCACCCGCCCTGTCATCGATGCTGCCGATCATTTGGATGGCCAGGCCTTGGGCTCACTTTCCACTCACCGGATTCTAGGAGAAAGACGCCAATCGGAGCTCAACAGCCAGACCACGAAGCGCGGCCCGCTCTCCAGCCTCATCTACGGAACCAAAGAGGGCCAGCAGCTCGACAGAGACATCGAGAGGTCGTTCTCCGAAGTTCTCGCTCGCGGCAAGTACGTTCACTCGATCGTTTTCCATAAGGTCAAACCAGACAAGGTCGACGAGTACGTCGAATTGGTGGGAGAATGGTACCCCAAGATGGCGGCTCTCGAAGCCAACCGTGTGAACCTCGTTGGAAGCTGGCGCACCCAGGTCGGAGATAACGATACCTTTGGTATGATGTTTTCCCCTCCGAGGGCACATTGTTGCTACATCCCTTGCATCCCTTCTTTTGCTGAAATTATGTTGTTAACTACTTTTTTCCCCTCCCTCTTCTAGTTCATATTTGGGAATATCAGCGCTACACTGGATACCATGGATCGCTCCATAACATTTCGAAGCACCCCGATTTCCCCAAGTTCGATCGTCACCTGAAGTCCCTGATCGAGAGCAAGAACACATCATTGATGCAAGAATTCTCCTTCTGGCCGACCACTCCACCCCGTCGCCTCGGCGGCATCTTTGAGCTTCGCTCCTACACCCTGCATCCGGGCAACCTGTTGGAGTGGGAAAGCCACTGGAGAAAGGGCCTGGCGGCCAGACGTGTGGTGATGGAGGGAGTTGGAGCCTGGTTTGTGCAGATTGGCGATCTCAACACCGTGCACCACCTGTGGCAGTTTGCGGACCTCGAGGAGCGCAAGAAGAGACGCGAGGAGTCCTGGAACATCGAGGGCTGGGCCGACACGGTGCACAAGACGGTTCCGCTGATCCAGACGATGAAGAGCCGTATCCTCATCCCCATGCCGTGGAGCCCGGTGGGGTAATGATGACAACAAGCCCAGCATATTCCCGGCGCTTCTCTCGGATAAAACATCTTTACGGGGGGGCATCTATTTTGTGAGCGGGATATTATTTCTACTACGCAGCTGGCCAGACACGGCACTGACGTCATATGGTTAGGAGGACAGTGGCGGTTGGTGGGAACGAGCGGACTTTTTTTTCCCTTTTTTTTTTTTTTTTTTTTTTCCTCCCAATGAGCGGAAATTTGCGAGGATTCGGCGACGGGAAAGTAGCAGCAGGCCAGCGATTCGAAAGGGCAAAGAAAGTGACAGCAAAGCAACTTACAAAAGCCACAGCGAAAAGGCCACGGCCGGCGGGGCGGCTCCAGGGGTGGTTTCCCGGCGGGCGGCTCGTTCTGTCCTGGTTCGGCGCATTCTGGCCGAGAGACAGAGAGAGAGACAGAGTCGCTTTCCCCTTTCATAAGTTCCATCTTGTTGTGTAAACAATTACAGGCGTGGGCTCTTTCTAGAACCAGACAATAACCACCATGAGCCTGCCTGCATAGCATAGTACATTTACCTTACATAGCAACTGCCCAAAAACACATCAAGGGTTCTTTATTTATCTCCATATCTGTGCCTGAATATGGTTGTTTGTTGACGGAATTGAATTTTGCACCTTTTTTCTTTTCCCCCCCCCAATGCTGTTCCTGGCAAGAAAGACTTGGCGGAAGGAAGGTTCAACCGAGCCCCGGAGCCAGCCAATGAGAGCGCGCCGTCGGGGAATTCAACGTTTCTGGCGTGTTCACAAGCAAAAAAAAAAAAAAAAAATACAAGAAAAAAAAAAAGGTTGGCGATGCGAGAATAATGAGAGACAATCAGGAGAGACTCTGCGAGATCACCGGCATCATCGACCTAGAGAGAGGGGCAGCCATTAGGTTAACCACCACCATCCGCAGCGCTGACCCTTATTCTTCATCAATAACTCCTTAGTTAAAGAGTCCCAAGCTCCTCTCTCCCCATGCAAAGCACCGGCATAGATCCCCCCCTCTTCCTCCTCTTCCTCCTCTTCTGCTTTTAAATCCTCCCTCCATCCATAATTCTGCTTCCACCCCAACCAACAAGAGTCTCGTATGTCTCTTCTATCACAATAAATAGCCAAGCCGAACGCACCACCAGACTCCCGGTACTTTTCTCGTCCGGGACAAAATCGTAACTCCCCTCTTCCAGAGGGTACCTCTATTCTATCGCTTCTATCTAGGGGACAACAACCAAAAAAAAAAAAAGAAAAAAGGCATCCTTGTCTACCCGCTCGCCATGGTGTATATTCGACAATGGGACCTCGAGGCCCTGCGCCAGTATAAGTACTCCGGCGTGGACAGGTCCCTGGTCTCGCGCTATATCATGAAGCCCTTCTATACACATGTGGTGATCAAGTGTTTCCCGATGTCAATGGCGTGAGTGCACCACAGCTGTCCATAATAACCATTTCCCCTTGTATACCAAGCATCCATAGAGACAGGGGGGTTCGCCGACGTCTCGTCAAGGCTTGGGTTTGTGATGTGATGAGAAAAGTGCACAAAAAGTTCTAACGAAGTTGCTGTTGGTTTTTTTTAATGCAAACCGTGCTTAGGCCGAATCTTGTAAGTGGGTGCGATTTTTTCGGGAGCTATACTTAACATATTCTCTTCTTCTTCTTCGTCTTCTTTTTCTTCTTCTTCCATTTGCTTTTTCAAATAGGGTGGGTTGGATGTGAGAAACTAACCCCGGTTTCTTTGAACAGATCACATTGACTGGTTTCTCGTTTGTGGTCATCAATTTCCTCACTCTGCTCTGGTATAATCCCGGCTTGGACACCGATTGTCCGCCTTGGGTGTATCTCAGCTGGGCTGTCGGGTTGTTCTTGTATCAGACCTTCGACGCTGTCGATGGAACCCAAGCGTACGTCCTTATCTCACTCACTACCCTGTTGGCAAGGCTTGGACGGTCATGCCAAGTCGTTACCAACCCTTTCCTCCCTTGAACTGTTAGAGCTGACCGGAACATAGCCGGAGAACACGCCAGAGCGGACCGTTGGGAGAGCTCTTTGACCATGGTAAATCTTAAACAGTTCTTGCTTTTTTCAAGTGACCGGGAGCTGACCCTGGATCTCTTCGTTTCCCCTTCCCTGCAGGAGTCGATGCGTGCAACACCGCCCTAGAGGTCCTTATGTTTGCCGGTGCTATGAACCTAGGACAGACCTGGGCGACTGTTTTGGCTCTATTTGGCTGTATGTTTCGCCTGCTTTCTCTTTAAAAGTTTACCCTTTACCACGCATATCCTGCTAATGGTCCTGTAGCGGCACTCACCTTCTACGTTCAAACATGGGATGAATACTATACCCAAGTCTTAACGCTGGGCATAATCTCCGGCCCAGTCGAAGGCATTTTGACTCTGTGCCTTGTTTACATTTTCACCGCTGTCAAGGGGGGCGCCAGCTTCTGGCACCAGCCTATGATGCCTACGATGGGCGTGCCTCAAATCGCCTTGATCCCCGATCATATCTACAACCTCCCATTCACCTCATGGTACCTTATCTACGGTGGATTCCTCCTACTATTCAGCACCGTCATGAGTATTATGAATGTCATTGACGTCCGTCGGAAGCGCGGCCAGAGCACCCTTCAGCCGCTGCTCGGCCTTCTCCCTGTCGCTGCTGCTTGGACGCTGATCATCTCGTATTTGCACTTGAACCCGATAATTCTAAACCATCACCTTGTCCCCTTCTCGTTGTTTGTCGGTGTCATCAATGCCTACTCTGTCGGACGCATGATCATCGCACACCTGGTGAAAACGGAATTTCCGTACCAGAATGTGCTCTTGTTCCCGCTTCTTTTCGCGGTTTTCGACAGTGCGGCGCCGAAGATGGGTTGGCCATGGCCTGGGTACCTTGGCGATAGCACCAATCAGGTCGCCTTTGTGTTCGGGTGCTTGGGATTGGGATTAGGTGTTTACGGTAGCTTTGTGGTGAGTGCATTTTTTTTTTTTTTTCCTTGTCGCTTGTCTGAACCCTGCTATGATTTTTTTTTGAGGGAGGGATGGGCTGATGGAGAAACGCCGTTAGTACGACGTGATCACGACGATCTGCGACTATCTTGACATTTGGTGCTTGACAATTAAGCACCCATTCAACCCGAACTCCAACGACGTGCATAACGCGAAGGGCAAAAGCGCGTAATGCATGTCAGTGCTGACATCGCCCATTTCTTTTCCCCGATGGTGCTCTGGCACTTAACCGCGCAAGAAATGCCGTTGACCTTTATAGCGAGCCCCCGACGACGGCTACTTCCCGTCGAAATACCGACAAAGTTCTCCGACTTGTGGCTCTGGAAGTTCGGGACGCAAGAACGTGCCCCTGGTGAGCGAGTGTACGATGAAGATAAGAGATCCCCCTATCTACGAGCCAATTGTTGACAGAGCCGTTATGAGACGATTTCGGCGTCATTCTTTTCTCCATTAAAAAAAAAAAAAAAAAAAAGAAAAAAAAAAAGATATGCTGTTTCCCATTCTTTAGATGCCTTGATACCACACACAGCAATAACTTATAAAGTGTCCCAGCGTCTCCCTCTTGTGTTTTCCTGTATTTGATATTCTTTTCTTTTTTAATATTGTTTACTCTGTAGTCATGTTTTAATCTGTCCGGCCCGGTATATAGTACCTTCGGAATGGGTGGTTCTGTTTATGTGATACAGCTGCATCACATTCAAACGGAATACCTCTGTAAGTACTAAAAAGGAAAGTTATTTCATTGCTCCCTTTTCTTTATTAATATTATCCGGACAAAAGGCAGGTATTAAGGCCTTGTAATTAATAGATTATTAAACTTAAAAAGAAAAAAAAAAAAAAAAAAAAAAGAGAGAGAGAGAGAGAGAGAGACCGCTGTGGTTCATTTTAGAAAATCCTTGCTAAACAACGCCCGGCGCTTCAAATGCGATGTTCGGTCAAAACGAGAAAAAACAAAACATTCTTCGCATAGCCTTGCTCCGTTGTTGACGCGCGGATGCTGGCAGACAGCTTTCTTCTTGCGACACGTGAAGCACTTTGGTGGTTCATTGTCAGCGCCAGAGTTGTTAGAAGTATCCGGACGCTCCGTACCGACCAGATCAAGTATACGCAGCGCTAGGTACTCAAGTGCACACGCGATGAGAGACCTGCTGGGCGTGGGCTCCACGAAGGGCGGAGATGGCTTTCTATACGATGCGAGCAGCGCGGCCTGCAGGTGAAAGTCCTCCGTGGCGGGCCTTGCAGAGCGCTGGAGGAAACTCGCGGCCTCTCTCCTTTCAGCCTCGTCCTCGGCGTCTGCTTGCGCTTTTCGTTCGGCGTCGGCCCGGGCTATCGCTTCGAGTTCGGCTTTGGCGCGTTCCTCGGCTTCGGCTTGGTCTTCGGCGTGGAATTCGGCTTGGATCTCGGGGTCTGGGATGGCGATGGGTTCGAGATGGGTGGGCGGGTTGAGAGGGGCCGTGTCGGTTAGAGCGCCGGATGTCACGGCTGGTGGGGTGGGCGCGTTGAGCCAGGGTGATGCGAATGGGGAGTTTCTGATGTTGGAGGTGAAGGCGTGAGATCCTGCATGGTGGGAGAGGGTAAGTTGGGAGGCCTTTTTATTTGGGGCGTTGTTCTGGGGAGGAAAGGGGGGGTTGTACCGGTATATTGGGTCTGAGGGAAATGTAGAACCATGACCTCCTGCCAGTGTGTGTTGACATAATATAGCCGTCCATCGTTAACCATAGCCCGATCCCAGAATGCAGTAGCCGCTGGCGAAAAGAAGTAGTTTGCTCCAGTCATATTGACAGGCGTCCAACGCGCTCTGCTTTCAAAAATGACTTTTAAAGGGAGTATATACGCGAGGAATGAAGCTCAGCAAGAGGTCGCTGCAGCAGACCAGTTGCAGATGAAGGTGTGTCATCACAGAACCAGCCGGAGCTTCCAGGAGGCAGCATATGCTCTCCCTGGCATGGTACCATGGGTTACGCCTTCTTTGTTCCAAGAGCTTCCGAGCCCTGGACATTCGTCATCGAACGGAACGAGTCGACGCGCAGCAAGGTTAAGGGTCAAGAGCGACCATAGTCCACCGTGTCAACGGGAGCCATTGTTCATCACAGCTGCACCAGACATTCCGCACTGGTCAGGGCATTGCATTTGTCCAAAACGGCTCCAAAGTCCAGCTCTCGAGCAGTATGGAGGACGTCGTAATCGCAGGATGAAATTGTTGTCGGTTAGTGCCAGGTGCATTGGGGCGCTCGGAGCCAACATTGGGACTTTGCATAGCTCTACTAGAATCTCTGCTCTGCATCTCCACTCCACCGTGGAATATCCTTGTATGCTCACTAACTGCGGAGGATCACCTTCTTTTTTTCGGATGTCTGCGATTCAACTGAAATGCCCGCGATTTGATCCAGTTCGGCTGACTCAGCAAGCCAAACGGGACCCCACAGCTTGGCGGACTCTGAGTGGCTGGAGTGACTCGCGCTAGACCAAAACGGTTAGGTAAGCGAGTGCCACAGAATTGCACTGCAAAGTTTCGCTAAATCGAGTTTTGCCTCCACGAAACCTCTCGCTGCCAGCTCCCACGAGACCTCCTCTTCAACCACCGTTTGACCGACCTATCTCGAGACACACCCTCCCAGCCAAGTCTACTCGCAGATAACGTCCCGTTCACGTCAAAATGGTGAGTTGCTGCTGCCCAGTCTCTCGATGAATGGAGATGTTGTCCAGAGTGTGGATAGTGTGGATGTGTGATGCGATCAGGCTTGCCTTCGCTCCCGTCATCGAATAACGGGAACCCGGAGACGAAATTGGAAATGCTGACGGTCTGCCATCGATAGGTTCTCGCGGTCGATCTCCTCAACCCTACGCCTCAGGCCGAGGCCCGCAAGCACAAGCTCAAGGTACGCTCGCCCTCCTCCAGTCGAACAAGCGCGTATACAACGTATTTAGGGAAGATGGACAGCTGACGCGAGGATTTCTGCTCAAACTAGACTCTTGTGCCTGCTCCCCGATCCTTCTTCATGGACGTCAAGTGCCCCGGCTGCTTCACAATCACCACCGTCTTCTCACACGCACAGACCGTCGTCATCTGCGCCGGATGCTCGACCGTTCTCTGCCAACCTACCGGTGGCAAGGCCAGATTGACCGAGGGATGCTCTTTCAGGAGAAAGTAGATGCCAAAAATCTATAACAAAAAAAGAGGGAACTTTGTCATGAATAGCTCGAATACCAGATAACGAATTTATCCCAAAAAAAAGCAATCATGGCGTTCTAAAACCCTTCACAAGTTTCCTCGTTCTCCCTACCTGACCTTCCTTACTTCCGACTTCTCTCCTTCGCCTGGGGCATCGCCCCCAAATCAACAATTACTCTGCAGATAGAAGATGGAATGAACCAACCTCTTTTTTCTTTACTGTGCTGCGCCGGAGCGGAAAACGTGGGTCAATTTTTGATTCTGTTGGACAAGTGTTTATTCTTCTCGACAACGCATGGGAAAAGGCCGGGGGGGAGGGAGTTCCGGATATCTGGCGATTCCAACAACACCTTTCGTCGTCTCGCTTTATCGTCGCGTTGATTAGTTCTTTTTTGTGCGCCTAGCATCGCTTCCTGCATTCTGGCGAAAACTCGTTTTGATATTTTCGACACATCATAGGGGAAGGAGAGATGGACGAAGCATCTGTTATGAGCTCGAGTCTTACGTTACGCCCACGCGGGAGGGGGAAGTCCCTTTTCTCTTTTCTTTTCACGACAATAATGAAACTCCACGCCTGGACTGACCTTGAGGCTTGTGACGACGGATGCGACTTCTGTTGAGGATACCTATCTGCCTGGTCTTGTACAAAGCACAGCGAGTCCGAATTCCTCGTGCGCGGTTCTGGTCTTGAAACGGCTGGGATTGCAACGCGGATTTTGTATGCTATGAGTAGTGTTTATGTATCAAGCGAGCTAGCTGTTGTCCTCGATCTTGGCCCTTTCGTATCGCAGACCCTTGGTCCTTCGTAGTTGACAGAGCTTGAAAATAGGCTTCAGCAGCCGATGACGTATATATATGAACTGCTTTTCTGTAAACCTTGCATCTAGTCAAGGTCCTCAGATTTGGCTGAGAGGAATCTGAAAATCCACTCAATTTCGTAACAAACCGCCCCGACAATTAAGTTTCCCACCCCCTCCGAGATTGGAACAGGGTTTCACAGAGAACCTTTTACATCAATATTCTATCAATTTCTAGTATTTAAAGTTGAAAAAGAGCGCCTTTGGCGTGGATGTGGTGAGATTTCGTCCTAGAGTTGCAAACCGGCTCAGGCGCCAAGACTGTGCGTGTTAACCTGTTGAAGGACTCCGGGGCGTGTTAACCGCTCCGCTTGATATGATCTCCTCAAGCCAAAGCGTCAGCCAAAAGCGTCAGCAGCACTGGCGATCCGTGCCGCTCAACCAGGGGCTTGCACTGTTGCAAATATCCTGCAATTGTTCGAGTAAAATGGAGACACCGAAGAGAATAGATGCAAAAAGGGGGGTGGCAGAGCACTCTCGCATGATTGAAGGAGAGCGCCTGCAATTTTGGCGTCCTCTTCCGCAACCAAGTTGTTTCGTTCACACCTTCTGGAACCTTTCTTTTATTTCTCCTGAAACGGGGGAATCTGCAGTCTATTGAACCGGAAGAATTCTTCCACAGCAGCACTTCTCATAGCGGACAATCTGGACCGAAGGGAGCGCGTCCAACGGACTGTTAGTGGAGACTTGACTTTGAGACTATTGAACCACAAAACGCCCGTTGGTGAATACATAGGAAGTTTCTGGGAGAGGCGGAGAAGTGAAGAAGGCGCGCCGGTGGGGGAATTTTAAAAGCCCCGGGACGTCCTCTTCTCCTGTTCTACTGCTGCTCTCGCTGTTCTCAAGACCAAGTACTTCTGCCCTCGAGACCAATTTATACAGAAACCTCTCTCCAGATCCAGGTCTATTTTCACACTCCAAGTCTCCGTCACAATGCCCAACAGCAGCTACGGCAGTTAGACCTACAAATCCTCTGGCACCAACAGCCAGGTTTGTCTCTCCTTAGCTCTACTCGGGCCAGGAAGCTGCCGCACAGCTGGCAACGGGATAGCTCACAGCTCGTGCTGAAACCTTAGGTTGAGGATATGTGTCACTAATCGTCATTCAGGGAAACCACTATTGCTCGCGCGACTACGGCTCCGGAGCTGCCAACAGCAACTCCTATCACTACTCCAACACGTGAGGGTCCTTGTTAGGCTCTGCTATCTTCTTGCTAACATCGTTGTCCTATAGCAACGGCTCGTACTATTATAGCAACCCAAATGGGAGCACGTACTACAACAGCGGCCAGGGGAGCTCAACCTATACCTCCCCAAGCGGCAACGTCTCCAAGTCCAGTGGCGGAAAGCAAAGTTGACCGAAGATCTCGTCTCTCCGCCGTCGTAAGAAACAGCATGAGGCGAGCCCGTCTGCTCCGTTCAACGGACTTCCGATGATTGTTGAAGCCACAACAGTGCTGGCATGGGTGTTAGCATGCCCCGTGTTGTCTTTTAACTGGAAGAAGAAAGAAAAACTCATTCATGTCTTTGTACTTTCTATTTCCCAGAGTTTTTGACTGCAAATTGATGGGATCCTAGCAAATGATATGAATCGACTCTAGTTTTTTTTCTCGTGACTTGGCTATCAATCGCATCATCGTTATGCATACTCAGGTAAATCAAGCTCGTTAAAAATTTGGGAAAAGTAGGAAATATTACACATTGAATACCCTCACCATGGCCTAGTAGTAGTGGTATTCATTCAGAGACTCAGCGTCACGAATTGGCCTGTCGAGTAGCGCCCAGGCGGTGAGAGAGTAACTCGTGGTGGTGATAGTTAAGAAACGTTATCGCCGAGGCAAGTGCAGTTCGGGGAGTTTGAAAGCATTTCCGTCGCGATACAATATCCAACCGGGGGCACTCAACGCCGTTCATCCTTGAATCATGTCTCTAGGCTTGATCATCCGTTGACCGCGCTCCCGAAACTATTTCTTTGAGAGTCACATCTGGGACTTCTCCCATCAGCACATCTCCACGGCAACCCTCGCTTCCCGTCCCCGCCAGACAAATCACCATGGCGGCCGACAAACCCCTCCTTAAAATTCTCATGCTGCACGGCTTCACCCAGTCCGGCCCTCTCTTTCGTGCCAAAACCCGTGCCCTCGAGAAACACCTCCAGAAATCCTTCCCGCTGCACACCCTCGTCCTCTCCTACCCCTCCGGCCCCGTCCGCCTCGACCCCTCCGACATACCTAATTTCCGCCCCTCAGCGCCAGAATCAGACGACCAGCCTTCGCAGGAACTGTGCGCCTGGTGGCGTCGCGCAGATGGGATCGATCCGCCGGAATATCTCCGGTTCGACGTGGGCCTGACGGCCGTTGCGCAGACGCTGAGATCGGAGGGTCCCTTTGACGGGGTGATTGGATTCTCTCAGGGCGCTGCGTTCGCGGGGATGTTGGCCGGTTTGCTGGAGGATGGGAGGAAGGAGGCCTTTGAGTATTTTTCAAAGCCGGAGAATAATAGTTCGCCGGTGACTCGTGCGTCCGGGTCGTTTGCTCAGCCCACTGCTGCTGCTGCCGCGGCGAATTCGCAGCAGCAGCTGGCGATGGGCTCCGTCTCCGGTGTGGAATTCCCCGCGGCGTTCTGGAACTTGGATCACCCGCCGCTGAAGTTTGCCATTTGTTATTCTGGATTTCGAGCGCCTGGGGCGCGGTATCGGGCTTTCTATGAGCGACCTGCGATTCGGACGCCTATCTTGCATGTTCTTGGCAGTCTAGACGCTATTGTTGATGAGAGTCGCAGTCGATTCCTGATTGACTCGTGTGCGGGCGATCCGGAGAAAGAAGGAAGAGTTGTTTGGCATCCTGGTGGTCACTTTTTGCCATGCCAGAGGCCGTATCTGGATGCGGCGGTGAAGTTTATCAGGGAATGTCTGGAGACGGGCAAGGGGAAAGGAGAGAGTGGGACAAGTAGCGGCGGTAAGTTAGAGGAGGATATTCCGGTGGAAGATATGGTTATGCCGTTCTAATGACCTTGTCTTATCTTACATAGTTGCCTGCTCCGCGGATGTTACGGGCTTAAGGGGAAATATTTAGTCGGCAAACTAAGCAATTGGTTGGGATGAGGCTTAGTTACACCTATAGACCTATAGATCTATACCTAGAGAAGACTTTGTATGTCCTTAGAGGATAATCGCCGCATATTCTTCTTCAAATTCTATTCCTGAAAAGAGCACGTTTGCACAAGGTCCAAACGTAACATGGATTGTTAAAGGCATGTAGTTATACAATTGTTGTCATCTACATCCTGAACTCCCTCAACGAGCCTTTGCCCTCTCTGATTTCGAAGGTAAAATGCGTGCCATCATCTCTTCCTTCGTGATCAAATGATCGATGCGCTCCAGTAGTCCCAGCAGACTCTGCATACTGCCGCTCCACTCATTCAACACATCATCCGCATCTCGTGGCTTAGCGAAGCTTACGATCCTTGCCGGTCGATCGATTCTGGCGTAGATTGTCTTCGACGTAACCAAGTCGCTGATGTATTTCTCGGTTTCAGCTTCATCGAGGTCGAGGAGCTCGGTCAGGCGGCTGGTTTGAATACGGGTGTAGTATTTCGCAATAACACGGATGTTGTGCTCGATAACTCGCTTGCGGAGGTCCTGCCATCTGCGATTTGGCTTGTCATCCATAGACTGACCTGGAAGGGCGTCAAAGACATCGGTGCCGCACAGGTGAGGGCCAAATTGCTCGGAGACCACTGGCCAGCGCATGAGTTCGTGAGTCGTAAAGAGTTTGATCAATTGCGACTCGACGGGAACGAGTGAGTTGCGAGAATCGGCTTTGATACGGTAGAGAAGATCAGATTGCTCATTGTCATAAGGGGCTAGAACGACATTATAGATGATACGTTGAAGGGTCTGATATCCGATTAGCATCACAAAATAAAAATTGGAGCTATGTGGACTTACTGCTCGAAGTTGATCTGGGTTCTCCTCCACGGATTCTGTGTCAAGTACTTGTCGATAGTGCTTGCAAACCTCAAGGTACTGATCCTCATGATTCGCTAGGGCAATCTGCTGTTCGTAATACATCAGTTTAAGATCCGTCACATCTTCCTCCTTCTCCACCGGTGGCTCATCCGGCTTTCGCTGGCGTTCTCGCTCCTCTTCTTCTTTCTTCTGCTTCTCAATCTCCTCTGGTGTCTTCTTGGGCTTTCGCGCAAAGTATCTTGTGTTGATCTTTCGGCTCAGTATTTTGGCCTGGGTCCAGTCTCCTCTAGCTATACATAACGCAACCTGTTCAAGAATGAACTCTGTCTTTTCTCTTCTGGCCATGGACCCAAAGGTCTCCACTTGAAGCTCGCACAGGATGTCCGCCGCAGCAGCAATGTCGCCTTGAGATTTCTTTATCTCGGATAAAATGCGCGTTACCCGAGCCCTTTCGACTTCGACGAAGATCTAATAGAAGTCCGCCATGAGCAAAAATTCCATGGAGTGCGCCCTCGCTGTGCAATTGATCTCACCTTCCCTTCCGTAACGTTTCTCAACGTCTCGATCAGCGACATCTTGGCGTCCATGTTGGGAGTCTCGTCGAGAAAGCCCATCACCACCTGTACCATCTTCGTCGTCGCCTGCTTAAGCTGGCCATGTTTCTTTGATAAAGCAACAACATGCTCATTCAGAAGCGGCCAATCGCCGGCGTCTTTGCACAATGTACATATCGCAACTAGAAGTCTGGAGGTTGAAGGAAGGTCGGACGACTGCGTAAGACAGATTGTCAGCCGAAACTCAGTGTTCGAATAGCGGGAGTATTACCTGTCTAGCTTGCTTCTCAAGAGCCAATAGCTTGTCGATGGCGCCTTGTAAACTTGTCTGTGAGAGAGGACGTGAGATATAATTCTCCGAGTCAAATATGCAAAGACAGATCAGACCTTTGCTAGCTCTTGAGCTTCGGGGATTTGCTGGTCGACATCTTTCGTGAAGTCCTTATCCGGCTTGAACAAGGTACCGTCCGACATGATGTGCGCGAAGAGTCCTGGGTTCGCCGATTAATGGATCAAAAAGAACAGAGTAGATTGCGAAGTTATTCACAAGAAGTATGGAGCTATTCGCTCGGAGAGCAATACACCGTGGAGTGGAACCAGTGATAGAAGCAATGGGTATCTTGAACAGGAGCAGCAGCAAGCTTCAGGTGCCCAGGTTGAGGTCAACTGGCTGCTGCGGCTCCAGACTCACGTAATTTGTTATGTAAGCATACTTTCGCCGAAACGGGTTAGCGTGAGATTGGCTTCTAGCTTCGCGGGTGCGCTTAACGCTAATTTTTAGCGCCTGGCTTGGCCTGACAAAATGGTTTCCATCAATCACGCAATCACGAAATCGCGCAATCGTCATCAAAAGCCAAAAGGGAAAAAAAAAAAGGGAAAAAATAATATAAATATATATACGGAGTATATATATTAAAGGAGAGATGGCGATCATTTTCAAGATGATTGCCCCTTTCTTTTTGTACTCGCTGTGGCTTGAACCTGGTTAATATCAAGTGACTGTGTGTGGGTACCTTTGAAATTCTGATATCCCGAAGCACGACGTCTTGAATTGGATGGAGGGTACTCTGTATTCCGTTGAGGGATAGCCCTGCCTTTGACATTTTTACATCTTGTCGTCATATCCGAAGCAAAGAGAACGCTTAGAGCGATTTTGATGTCCATTGTGATCGGGCCTTTGAATAGCGCCGATATCTATTATTTTTTTTTTTTTTAACAAAAGAATTTTGGCACTGGAAGATGAGAGGACTTTCGTCCGAATCGCCGGGGGTTCAGCCCTTGCTTATGGCCCAGAATGTGGAATCCCAGATTCACTTGATTATCGGCTCAAATTCATTGTCTGCGGCACGATGCAGCAAATGCATTGATGCGGGAGCTATTCCAGTCATAATAGCGCCTCCTAATGGGGAGATGGCCGCTTCCCTCTCTCAAAAGATCCAAGATGGTAGCGTTCGGTGGATACAGCGAGAATTTGAAGATAACGATCTGTCAACGTTGGGAAGAGCGGAGGTGGATGGTTACGTGGACGCGGTGTTTATTACGGCTGGCGCTAACAATCACTTGAGTACGTCTTTTGGCTCGTATGGTCGAAATGTAAGCAAAGACTGATATTTTCCTAGATTCACATATCTCCAAACTTTGCAGAGGTCTACGGATTCCAGTGAATGTTGTAGATGCGTCAGAACTTTGTTCTTTCAGCCTGCTCTCCACCTATTCCGATGGCCCCCTTCAAATCGGTGTCACGACATCCGGAAGGGGCTGCAAACTTGCATCCCGCTTGCGACGGGAAATTGCTTCTTATTTACCGCCAGGGCTTGGCACAGCTATTGAAATACTAGGAAGCGTTAGGAAACGAATCTGGGAGGAAGATGTTTCCGCAGGATCCAGAACAAGTTTTCATTTCGAGGTCGACGACGACGATTCGGAAGCCCAAAAGCATACCTTCAATTCGTTAATTCTGCCTGAACATCCTGATGTTGCAAAGACGAGAAGAATGCGCTGGCTTTCTCAAATATGCGAGTACTGGCCGCTTCGTAGGCTGGCAAGCATTACAGACGCGGATATGGAGAAGATCCTCGCCGCCTATAAAGAAGCGAAAACCGCTGATATTAGTGATGCACATGGTGCACACGAAGAGAAAAGGGGGCAAATAATCTTAGCTGGTTCGGGACCAGGGCATCCAGATCTCGTCACCCGTGCGACATACCACGCCATCAAAACTGCAGACTTAATATTATCCGATAAACTCGTCCCGGCTCCGGTATTAGATCTTATTCCTCGAAGGACGGAGGTTCATATCGCACGCAAATTTCCCGGAAATGCCGATAAAGCGCAGGATGAGTTGCTTGACATGGCTTTGGCAGGCTTGCGAACTGGAAAGAGAGTTTTACGGCTTAAGCAAGGCGATCCGTATTTGTATGGCCGTGGTGCAGAGGAATATGAATTCTTCAGGGCGAAGGGCTATTCACCCATTGTTCTTCCAGGAATAACCAGTGCTTTGAGTGCGCCACTGTTTGCAGATATACCTGCAACTCATCGCGGCGTAGCCGATCAGGTTCTGATATGTACTGGAACAGGGCGGCATGGCGCCGCGCCGGAACCGCCCAGCTATATTCCCACGCAAACAGCGGTGTTCCTTATGGCACTTCACCGGCTTCCATCGCTGGTGGAGTCATTAACTACCGCTGTCCCGGACGAGGCACTTTCGTCGAGACGTCCTTGGCCGCGAGATACTCCTTGCGCAGTCGTTGAAAGGGCTTCGTGTGCGGACCAGAGAGTCATAAGGTCGACACTTGAGCATGTCTGCGCAGCTGTCGAAGCGGAAGGCTCAAGGCCTCCTGGTCTCCTTATTGTCGGAAGGAGCTGTGAAGTCCTGCATCGCATTGATCAAAAGTGGGTGGTAGAAGAAGGATTTAAGGGGTTGGACGACATTCGACATGATGAGCACCTGCATGTGATTGATAAACTAGGTCAGGAGACATGATAGCTTTGGGTCTTAAGCGTCCCTATTTAATTTTCATATAACTACTCCGTACCTTGAGAGCTTATAAATGCCCGCTGAATTATCATTTCACCTCGTCGGCGATGACCCTCGAAATATATACCATAGTCTGTTAAATTACTGTATCGTTTAATTACCGCTAACTAAACCTTAACTGCCCAAAGCATTTATCTCCTTATCTTTTAGCCGCCACCTCTTCTCATTGTCCGCATCTGAGGATCATCATCCCTACGTAATAGTACCGAGCGCGTTACCACCCATCATGGCTGGCCCTTCCGCACCCAGCAGGCCGTATGTTTCGAGGGGGCAAGTTCTTCAGAGGTATCTCTACGTTGCTCCAATGTCCGCTGTCGGAGCTAACTTCAGCAGCCCGCCTTTGACCGTGAGGATCCAAAACTTCATTCACTCAATATACATGTTCCTAGGCCTCTACCTTGTCAGTTTATTCTCGGTGCGTACTATTCTCTCATCGTAGTTCGTTGTTGCTCTTACTTATTTTTCGCCTAGATGGATCCCTATAGGTCCGCCCAAAACTCTAGATTCAACGCTGTAAGCCCACCAAAGCGAAGCCCACGACCCATTCCTCAAGGACGGTACGGTGGTAGTGGAGGAGGAGGTGGTGGAGGAGGTGGCGGGCCTGGCGGGCCTGGGGGGCCGTCAAAGCGAATTGGCAGAGTCGACGACGTTCGAGGTCCCGAGTGTAGGAGTTGCGGGTGATGAGAATAAAACTGCTGGTGGTAATATGTGGCTGCTTGTCAATGTGATAGGCCGAAAAATCGATTTTGCCCTTCCCGGAACCATGAGGGGTGCCTTAATCTCATTTGAATCATAGGTGATGGTTTCCAATGCCGAGTCTAATAAATTACAGATGAACTGGCTTTAACCTATTGCGAATATTTCCCCCTTGTGCTAGCGGGCCCGTATTAGCGAAGAATATTCCAGAGATTTGGCAGTGTTATACTTAAGCGAAGTTTTGAGGAAAGGGTTTGAGGGTTGTCCTCCGCATAGTTTGACCGCGATGACGTCTAAAGGTCGATCAGGCCTAACATAAACCTGTCATATATGACAGGCTCCATAGGTTAGAGAGTACGGAGTACTGCGAGAGGAATTGTTTTATTACGGATTGAGTCGCATCCCGACTCCTTGCCTTCATGATAAACCCTAATTAGCTGTGGACGGCAACAGTCCGTTCTAAACTAATGTACTTGTTGAGCCTTGAGAGAAGTTCGATTCGCGATTCATCTTTTGAGCCCAAGTGCATCAACCTTGGCTATTATTTCTCCAGCGACCTGGCAGCATGGTTGCATACAGACTGATCATTTCAGGTGGCCATGTGTAGTAATCTGACCAAAAGATTGAATCATGGAAGGTAGAATAATATTCCATGTAGTTGATGACTTGCATGTACATTTTCCAACATCCTCTTCTACATTATCTATTTCACCATCCTCCCAGTCAGGATGTATAGTATATCCCCTCTTTTCAGGTGTTAGGTGACCAAATTACTGTTCAAGAATCTTGACAATGAGAGATATCATATGCTCAAGTTACTTGAAAAAAAAATATCATCTGTAAAGAGACAGTAACTATACTGTGTGCCATGTCCATAAATGCATGACTCAAATTCTTGAGGATTGTTTTGCAGGATGCCTGGTAATCAAACTTTCCCAGGTTAATCAACTTACACATTCAGCTCATCAGCCACCCAAGAGCTAAAGTGTTCATGAATTTTGTGTAATGTTGCGCCATAAAATCAGGCTTTATCATCCATTGTAGGATGATTTTGTGGTGAGGTAGAAGGTCCAGTTCCCCTTCCGTGAAGAACCTCACATTGTCATGTATCAACGAAACCATTTGCTGCCATGCTGCTTCATTGCCATAGGAGCATTGCTGTATAACAAATCCCCAACAAACATCATCTTCCCTAGAGGTTTTATACTTGGGTTTGCCTGTTGGGAACTCCAAGCAGTATCATCGCCCTTCCTGATGTTCCACAGGCTCACGTACATTGCCAACTACAAATGAGCACATCCGATCAAAGGAAGTGGAGAACAGGGGTTTTCGTCCACCCAGTTGTATTTAGGCCAGGGGAACAATCGAAGCCAATTCCTCTAGCAGCCTTTGGAGGTGCCGCCTTTTAGGGGCAACAAGTGCATCAGCACTGGATGGTGAGATGAGTTTGATAGCGAGCAACTGAATTAGTAGGTGAATAGGATGCAGATACCAAGGAGATTAAGTAAATCATTATAGACACGCTATAAAGCATGGACTTCTTGCGTAACTTAACACCAGGACAACAACAGGGCGAAGAGAGCCCATATAAGGAGCTTCGTCAGCTGATTCACGACATCCAATCTGTTTGGTTGACCAAGGGGAAGAAAGCTAATTATCCAAACTCTCAATCCTGTTGTGCTGCTATACTCTGTACAGGTTATCGTTTTCTTTCCTGCTGCTGAAATCCTTCTCTATTCATTACCCTACTGCAACCTACAGAGTACTAGTAGTGCCAAGTTTATTGAGTGTTTTTGAGATGCTTTTTCGCCAAAGCTTGATGTCCCTCAATAATGATTGGCCAATTTGAGTAGTGACTTAACAAAGTTACATATCTGTTTGCTTCTTTGTACTCCGTACGGAGTACAACATGCAAAATAAATCGGAAAAGCATTGGCTCGTTGGAATCTTGTAGCCCAACATACAGTTAACTAGCCCCCTCAAAAATTCAAGGAAAACCCACACCAAGAGCTCGATACGCTAATCTGGGCGAAACTCACGACCTACGTGAATTCAGCCTCGGAAACTCGATCGTACCGAGTATCTCCCCCTGGTCAACAGGCGCCGCCCGTATATTCTGGACTTGGACAAAATGAGACTGAGACAGTTTTACGGCCAGAGAACAAACATGGGCTTGAAATCAGAAATATTGCACCATCGACGCTCCAACTATGATTCCTATAAATTTATCGTACCCCTAGCTTAATCATCGTTCAGGGGCAATGCCACAGTCCGGATATTTAACTCGAATTCCCGTGTTGATGACGTCGAACTCAAAGTGTTTACCTCTTGACAACAGCATCTCTGCGCAATGTTCGGTATGTTCGTACGGTGCAATATACCAATCGATAGTTTCAAGGCCGTTTTCTTTCAATATTGCCCTATGCATCTTCTTCCACATATATGTGCAGTGCCGGACGTGATATTCCCAGTTCACATAGAGGACAGGATAGTTTCCTGATAGTGCCTCAGACGCGAGGACCGGTTGTTCCCGATTCGGCTGGAGGAACCATTCCCATTCGTGGATCGAGGAGAACGATTTGGATAGTTCGGCATCATAGCACTTATGGTGAAGCCATGCGAAAGAAATAATGTCGAAATGACAGCCTGCTGCCCGCGCAGAAGTGGCATTGGTGCCGCATGGTGATTTTAGAATTGATCGCATCCCTTTGGCTGCTGGAGGATGAAGGTGGCCGTCATATATCGCATGCCCATAAGAGCTGGTCGGGTGCATGGTCTGAGGCGAAGGGGAGGCTGTGTTCATTTTGGACTTCTGAACATTATTTTGCGCCGGGTGGTTCGAAGCAAATACCAGTTGAGAGATGAACATAACCACGAACGCCAGTACCAAGAGCATAACAAAGGAAAAGAAGATGAATTTTATCATCCTCGTTGATTTGTCAATATGCCCTAAAGCAACTCGTCGGAGCATGTTGGGGTGGTAAACAGGTTCCGCCGTATCCATGGTTTCTTCATCCTCGCTTGTTTTCACGGTGGCATAATCCTGCTGCTTTTTCCACCACGGGGCTCGGAGTGTGAAACGGCTTAAATGCCCGAACGAGATTATTGCTCTTGCCATTGAGATTTCGAAGTAACGATGTGAAAAGTGCCTTTTCGAGCGGAATTTGCTTTAACAAACAACCAACTTTCACGCCGGGTAAGTAAATGCCTCTGATCTCAGTGGTCCCTTTTCCTGTCCACACCCTAAGACAATATATTGTCACTGAACGTGACGTGCAGGCACCCGCTTTTAATTCCTTGTCAGAGAAACGAGAGGATTACCCCGGTTCGAACCAGTCCGCCCAGTAAGTCTGTCATGCATTACTCCTTTCCGCCTTCCCCATGCACCACTCCTAGCCCCTCTTTGACGTCTTTCCTCGCCGGCTGAGGCAGGCTGACATTGCATAGCAAGATATCCGTCGCTGGACATATGTTTCGACGTTGCATCGCAGAATTCCCCACTCCGATGCATTGTATTTAAGTCATCTTCTAGGTAGTCCGGTGCTCCTATGCATATTAACTGGAATATATCTTGCCGGCTTCTGGAACGCTATCCGATGAATCATATCCCTTTAAGCCGGCAGCGCCAAGGATACACAATTACAGAGCTAAACGCTGCCTACTTTCAACTGGATCTCTATTTGAACTGGCATGTGGCCCACCATTTTGATAATTTACCAGAACCCTTGCTACACCTTTAAAAGCTGACAATGTTCAAGACTTTGCTGAGTCTCATACATGAATTACCAACTGTCAGCTGGGCTATGCGTGTTCCTCGGCATATCTCCACATAGCATCCCAGTTTCGACACTTATGAGGACTATTCCAGCCAACCACTATAGGCGTCCCGTTAAAATATGTTGGGATCTCTAATGACATGTCGCCTGCGCATTGAAGCCCTTGTCTCACATAGTTGAAACAGTGCTGGGCATGCCAGAGACCGTGGCCGTTGGGCACGAAATCCGGGGAACCCACATTCACGTCGGCGGCTAGAAACTTCTCCTTGTCAAAGGTACCCTGCAGCATGTCATAAAAGACTTTTCGGATAGCGGCCTAAAGCCTGCTTGTTAACTGATTTACTTTCGGCTGCAAAAGAGGAGAAGAGTCTTACCAGACAGTGAAGCTGGTGGAACATACTAATCCCATACTTCATTTGGCCATTTGCAGGCCAACCAGCAGCAATATCATACTTCTCCCAATCTTTCACCAAAATGAAGCCCTGCTGTGACCATGGGTTACGAGATGATGTAGCTATGACGTGTTAGTTGGAAAACGTTGGTAATCAAGGATGAAAGTGAAGCCAACATACGGCCAGCCAACGCTTCCCAGGCCGCATCGCTTTTTTCCGATCGAGGACCAGTGTATACATCGTCTGGTCCGAACATTACTGTCTCTATTGGAACTAAGAGACGGCACCTATTAGCATCACGACCTCTCCACGCAGAGTCTTGAAGCGCTTACACTCAGGAATTGGGGTCATAGGTACCCCCGGCTTATTGTCATGAACGCGCCATCTGATTTCCAGATTGATGCTGATTAAAACCACAACTAAGGCCAAAATAATGAGCAACAACCCCATGAAGACCGAAAGGACAATTCTCGTCTTCAAGTATCGTGAAGCGACTCTTTTTGGAACTTTTCCATTCGACAGCAATGAGGTGTTTACCTCATCTTCACTGGAAGAATCGGTCATCTTTTCGGGCGAGTACATTGTCGCGGCGGGCGATTGGGATAATGATTGAAAAAGTTTTGAAGTCAGAAACATTTCTGAGAAACACAGGTTTCTTAAAGGGAAGTCGACTGGTGCAAATGGCGGATTCGACTTGAGAGATAAGTGAACCGAACTGATTGCCGCTATGATAGTTAACTGTTGGCAATCGTCCTTTTCCCGGTGAGTAGCCTTGTGCTTTTTTCTGCCCAGGCTGCTATCATGCATTTCCAATAGAGACGATCCCAATCCCTGTTTCCCTGCCGTCGATGCATATCCACTGACGAACTCCATGTATCTCTTAGGTTTCTTTCCGTGCTCCTCAGTATGGCTCGATACATAAGCATGAATACTAAATCCCAGTTGTGCATGGACCTACTGGAATTTCACACCTCAGCCGCCTTCATTTTTTCGATTTATTCCTGGTTGTCTATTCCTTGCGCATATTATCCAGGACTGTGAACCTTTATTCAGGCTGTCGAACAAATCAGAGGCATTCTCAATAGTAACCATGCAATCACTCCCCCCAAAAGCATGACAAAACGACTAGGCTTTATGGTGGCAAGTTATATAGACTTGCAGAAAACATGATCCATTTGAATCGAAGTCCGGCTTGTTTCACTGAACTCCACATCTTGCTCGCCCAGGATCATTCAAGGTATCTGCGGCTGCGCGATCAATGTACACGACCTTTGCAATGGAGATTCGGTTATTTGCATCGACAGGGTCACAGAAGCCCCCCGCGTCTCTTGGTCTATGCAGAGGTTCCCAGCGGAATACATAGGATCCTATATACATGTTTATGCATTATAAAACCCAGAGTTTCCAGCCCTTTGTCTTTCAAATCTTTCCCAATCAACCCAATTTCTATAAGTTACAGCCCCAAAAACTTACAATTAAGATTTAATTTTGAAGTGCTCACTTGCAGTCATGTTGTTTTCGCAAGCATTTGTTGCCTTGTTCCGCGCTTCGACGGCGTTTACCGCTCCTCTTACCATTCCAGGCCAAGAGACTGATGGTCTCAACTGGATCAAGCGCGAAGACCAAGAGAATGACGATGCCCATCCCCTGAACTGGATCAAGCGCGAAGACCAAGAGAATGATGATGCCCATCCCTTGAACTGGATTTAAGGCATGTCCTAACTCTGTCCTCCTGGTATTTAAACTATTGCTGATATGAGCTAGCACATAAAGAGCTGCCAACTAGAGTGAGGCCACTTTCCCAGAATGAAATTGAAAATCTAAGCGTATCCTTTGCTTGACACCTGGGCATTCTGCACTTTGAGGGAGGAATATAGACTTAGTCGTTTTCTGGCACGATTTTGTTGGGCTCAGTTGATTTGACAACAAAAATGCCCCCGTTTAGCTTCACAGGGTTTGTGGTTCATCCGTATGGGTTGTTTCGGCTGTATCTTTCGCTATAATTCCAGTCAATCAGCTGCAGAGTAGTTATGAATTTTAGATGCTGGAAATTTCTTGGCGCGCCCTTACAAGGATGCCTTGCCTTCGGGATAGGATGCAAGGAAGGCTTATGGCACCCCACACAGCGCAGTGCTTTTCAAATCGTAAACATTCAATCAGTGAATCTCCTTGCTGATTTATTCTGTTGGTTCCCGCCATCGAGTATTAATAGCACAACGGACCCGATCACAAGGAAAAATGCAACGAGCCCCACAAACCTCGAATTGGGAAAGGTATGTACAGTCCATATACATGGATAGCTCTCCAACGAGCGTCGTGAGCGAAGAATTTGAGGCTAAAACTAAGTTAAGTTGCGGCCCGAAAGCTGCAAGGGCCACATACTAAGTAAGTACGGAATAGTGGAAAACTTAATCAGGCAGAAATCAGCGTCGTCACGGCGACATCATCGCATGAATGCGAGGCAGGAAGTTTTAAAATGGAGGGTAACTACTTCAACATTGCTTTTACATTCCATTTGGTTTGTGAAACTTCACCAGCCTATTCGCAGGTATACCTTACAGCTCGCTCGTAGGTCATGTTAAGCTGTTCGCTATGGAGATTCCTGTCAACGACTGTTCCGATCATGGATTCGGACCGGCGAGCTGCCGAAGGTTTGATTTTACTCTGGTATTTGAGCAAAGCATACTGTCGATCCTGCCATCGGCTGCCCTGATCATCCTGGCGTTTGTGCGCGTCCACTTTCTGTACGGATCGAGTGTCAAAGCTATGCCACACCCGGTATTCAAGGTTAAAGTGGTACGTACAGTACAAAGGATTGTTCTACATCAATGAACTTATGCCTTCGTTGCTATTGTCCTCAAACAGAGAAGAAAAATATACCAAAAAGGAGCACTGTTTTCTAACCTATTTAGGTCATGGCCGTCGCATACATTGGTCTTCAATTAGCGCTGGTAGTACTCTGGAGCTCAGTCGCCTCAGTCCAAACCGGGGTGCCTATTGCATCTGCCGCTCTATCATTTATCGACTCGCTCGTTATTTTGCTCCTGTCCTTTGTAGAGCATTGGAGGTCATACAAACCTTCATCTTTACTTCTTACCTTTCTCTTGTTTTCTGGTCTTTTTGACGTTGTTTACATTCGAACTCTCTTTCTAATATCCGAATTTCCCATTTCTGTAATCAAGACGGTCGCATTGGTGGTGAAGATCGTGCTGTTTCTCCTTGAAACGCAATCCAAAATTGGTTATTTGAAGGAGCCTTACAAGAGTTACTCACCAGAATCAACTGGTGGCATTCTCAATTGGAGCTTTCTTTGGTGGCTTAATAACCTCTTCATCACCGGCTTCCGGAAGATTATGACTTATGGCGATTTATTCAACATCGATGAAAGAATCAACTCTCGGGTCCTGGACGAGAAAATGGGAGGCTCATGGAAAGTATATAGTAAGTCTGCATTCGCGCCACACAAAGCTCCAGCTCACTAACTGCTTTTGAAGGACATTCGGAGAAGAGACATGCGCTAGCAATTGCAGCAGCATCTTGCTTGTTCTCAGAATGGCTCTTAACCCTACTTCCACGCCTTGCACTCGTTGGATTTAACTATGCACAACCTTTTCTGATCAGTCGCTCTATCAGTTTACTCAGTCAACCGGATTCACAGCAATCTACCAACTATGGATATGGCATAATTGGTGCGACGGTTCTAGTATATGTTGGAAAAGCTGTTGAGTCAAGCTTCTAACCCTAGCCCACCGAGTAGAAGCTAATACGAATATGCAGCTGGCCACAGTACATTATCGGCAACGTGTGTTTCGAATCATTACTATGTTCCGCGGAGCAATGGTTACTCTCATCTATAACCACACTTTAGAGATCCAGGATGGTTTGCAATTTGAAGGTGCAGCTTTAACTTTGATGTCAACAGGTCAGAGAGGACATTTGATAATCGTGGGCTGTTCGCAACTGACTTCCGCAGACATAGAAAATATCGTGGAGTCGCTGGAGCCAATCAACGAGATTTGGGGAAGCACAATTGAAATGGCCATCGGTATATGGCTCTTGAAAAGGCAATTAGGAGCGAACTGTGTAGTTCCAATCATCATTACCTTAAGTAACTACCCGTTTCCTCTATCTCTTCTGCCTCAGTTCTGATCAGAGGACTACTAGTTTGCACATTTGGTCAAGCATCTGTGGCGAAGCGTATTGGTCAAAAGCGACAAATGTGGACTCAAGCGATCCAGGAGCGTGTTTCTACGACAGCGTCTGCACCTTAACTCTGTCAAAGCTATCAAACTGATGGGTCAGCTTGAATATGTGTTCCCCAGATGAGTTTCAGACACTACTGATATGCTATATATAACCAGGACTTGAGAGGATCTTGGAGGCTACATTGCAGAACTTGCGGATCCACGAACTATGTGTTTCAGGCGGATTTATGTGGCTCATTCTTTTTCTGAATTTACTTGGTGAGGAATATCCTAGAATGATGACTCTCGATTTTCCCCCATATTTACGGTGCGGACAGCGACGGCCCCAGCTATCTGGTCACCAGCCATAGCTTTTATCGCGTTCACCATCCAGGCAAAAATTCAACACTCGACTCTTCTTTCGACGGAACAAGCTTTCACTTCATTAGCCGTCATTTCGCTCGTGACTATCCCAGCGGAAAGTTTTATGGTTGCGATCCCCCATACTGGTGCTTGCCTAGGTTGCTTCACACGCATCCAGGACTACCTTCGCCTCCCCTGTCGGAACGATCATCGGAGTGGCCCTCTACATCTATCGGATACTGCCCCGTCCCCCTCTGATAGCTCTTCGAAACATGTCGAGCTAAAATGCCTAAATATAAATCCATCGGTTTCATCCATGGAAAATGCAATCTGTCAAAAGGACGTGACTCTTCGCCCTGCACCGGCGGCTTCACTTGCACTTGATAATATTTCTCTCTCCGTTCCACCCTCGTCGCTGGTCATGGTCGTAGGACCAGTTGGTTCTGGGAAAACAACTTTGATTAAAGCCATTCTAGGCGAACTCCCTTGTGAAAGTGGCTCAGTGTCCGTTGCATCGAAGCAAATGGCCTACTGCCATCAAAAGCCATGGCTGACCCACACGTCTATCCTTCAATCGATTTGTGGGCTATCCGAAAGTCAGGCGGTAGACGAAGCCTGGTATAAAATCGTGGTATATGCTTGTTGCTTAGAAGCGGATATTAAAATGTGGCCAGAAGGTAGCCATACCATCATTGGGAATAATGGACTTATTTTGAGCGGAGGGCAAAGGCAGAGATTGGTACGTGCAATTGACTTCAAATTGTGTGACACGTACTGAGCTGAAGATAGGCGCTGGCTCGAGCTGTTTATGCCCGAAGAGATATCATTTTACTTGATGACGTGTTCAGCGCCCTTGATGCGACAACAGAGGATATGGTTTTTTCTAGGCTGCTTGGAAACCAAGGCTTGCTGAGGAAACTGAATAGCACCGTAGTGCTTGTCACTCATTCTGGTATGTCAACAACATTTAAATGCTCCTTTTTTTTTTTCTTGTCCTAACCTCATTTTTTTCAAGTCAAACACCTCCCTTTCGCAGATGATGTAGTCATTCTTGATCAGGGTCGTATTGTCCAAGATGCGCGCGACGCCACAGTCTCCAAAATAGAGGTACTAAAAGATACTATGATGCAACCCTCGCAGCTGGTGGAGAAAGATACGCAATCAAGTCAAGACGCAAATGAATTACCAGGCTTATCAACCATTGAACAAGATCTGGTCCGGCGCACGGGCGATATCGAGGTTTACAAGTACTATGCTAAATCGATTGGATGGAAGTACACGTCTCTATTTGCGATCGCTAATATCGGATATGCTTTTGCAATCGCGTTTCCTCGTGAGTGTAATTCATCTATGATCCTTGAATGCCACTAACTATGGCTTCACAGGGGCTTGGTTAGTATTGTGGGTGAAAGCTGGTGGCGATCAGCTTCACATTTACATTCCTATATATGTGGTGTTGTGTATTCTGGCAGACATCTTTCTCGCTGGAAATTTGTGGTAGGTGCAAGTATTTCGATCCGCGAAGATAAGACTAACTGAGTTAGGGTGACTTTCATCAAGATATTACAGAAATCGTCGGCTCGGCTCCATGAAAATTTACTCGAAGCAGTCATGAGGTAGGCCATCTTAAAACCCGCAATTTTTCAGGAAACTAATAGTACAGAGCTCCGCAATCATTCTTTGTGCAAACTGATACCGGGGTTACTCTGAATAGGTACGTTCAAGAGTACCTGCAAGTTGTCTTAGTGGTTCTCACCCATTTTCTCTATAGATTTAGTCAAGATATGTCTCTAATCGACAACAACTTGCCTATTGCGCTCAACAAAACCGCAGCTGGTTCGTCCTCTCCAAGCAGTCTGACAAACCAGGATCACGGGCTAACCATGCATTGAGGAAGAATTTTGCAATTGTGTTGCCCAAGCTGTACTGGTATGCACAGGTTCCAGCTACATGGCTCTCACGGTTCCATTTACTCTGCCAATCATTTATCTAATTCAGAATGTCTACCTGAGAACCTCTCGTCAACTTCGTCACATGGACCTAGAAGCCAAAAGTCCAATATATTCACACTTCTTGGAGACCTTAAATGGACTCTCAACCATCCGAGCATTCGGTTGGCAGCAGTCATCAAAGAACATCAACATCCGCCACCTTGATGCTTCACAGAAGCCGTACTATCTTTTGTTTTCCATCCAGAGATGGTTGAACCTAGTTCTAGACCTCCTTGTGGCCGCACTAGCAGCCATTCTTGTTTCCCTTGCCTTTTCTCTGAGGCATAGCACTAGCCCCGGTCTTTTAGGGGCGGCGTTAAACACGATCCTCGTGCTGAATCAATCACTGCAAAAGCTAATTACATCTTGGACATCACTTGAGACATCTTTAGGAGCTATTGCCAGAGTCAAATCACTTATTGCTTCGACACCAACAGAAAATCAACCCAGAGAGGACAGAGAGCCCCCTGCGGCATGGCCAGACAAGGGTGGAATTCATTTTGATTCAGTGTCGGCTTCGTACGATGGGGTAACCATGGCTTTGAGCAACATCACGATGCAGATAAAGCCTGGTGAGAAGATCGGCATCTGTGGGCGTACTGGCAGTGGCAAGAGTTCTCTGGTCCTTACTCTCCTCCGCCTCCTTGACATTTCAGCAGGCCGTATCATCATTGATGACGTGGATCTTTGCACAATTCCGCGGCACGAAGTTCGATCGCGAATTATCACCATTCCTCAAGATCAATTCACGCTAGATGGCTCTGTCCGCCTTAACGTCGATCCTTCCGGGTGTATTTCCGACAAGGATATTCGGGATGCACTTCAAAAGGTGCACCTTTGGCAGATTATCGAGGCTCGTGGCGGTCTCGATGGGAAAATGGATGCCGGCTCATTCTCCGCTGGAGAGCAGCAGCTCTTCCGACTTGTTCAGGCCATACTCCGGAAGGAAGGCCGCAAGATTCTTGTTCTTGACGAGGCAACTAGTAATGTTGACGGTGATACGGATCTTCTGATGCAGAAGCTTGTCAAGAAAGAGTTTAAGGACTTCACCGTATTGACAATTGCACATCGGGTGAGTTGCATGGATTTCTCCTAAGCCTTCCCTTCCTCACTTGAAATCATCTCTGGAGGCTCTATTCCTCGTATATTTTATTTAATGTATTATATACATTCGCTCATGGATTGATTCTATAATAGGTCGACACAATACTCTGCTATGACAAAGTGGCTGTCTTTGATAAGGGAACATTAGTGGAATTTGATTGCCCCCAGAAGCTTTTAAAAGCAAATAATAGCGTCTTTGGGAGTTTATATAGGGCCAAAAAAGCAGAATAAGACCTAACCTTCTCGAACCCTCCGACGACTCTCAGATATACTATTGAGATCCCGTAGCGGAGGTTCGAGGCACAGGATGGAAAGGAAGTAGAGGATCCGCATTGCTAGCACGATTTGATGCGGATAAAAGTTGGCCCGTGTGTGTAGGCCAAAAAAAGGCTGATGTTTCAAGTTGGATTCCGCATCCTTACGCGATTTCCGTCTTCTGCTTTTGCTTTTCATACCCGAGTCAGTTTTCTTGTTATATCAAACTTGATTTCGATCCATGACAATAGCGGATTTGCTGCCTGGCTCCTTGCAGGGTTCCGCTAGGGTTGAACATACAAGTTGGATTGCCTAAAGAGCTCATTGGATACGCTCTGTACCTTTCTATTGAGCTTGAATCAAGTTGCACATCCTAGAAATTCGGAAGGGTTGTTGTTATACAAATCAACAATCTGTTGTGCAAAACGCGGAAATGTATTTGCCTTTCCGCCGGGTGCAACACGGCTGCCGGGCAATAATTCTATTTTAATCCCAAAACTACGGCTGTCTGTTGGGTGTTTAATCAATAGGCGGACGTCCGCCTTTTTCTGGAGCGCATTCAGGGGCATATTTGCCGACTGAGCGGAAGGGTGCAGGATTTGCCGCCTTGTTGACGATCAGCCTCGACGCATTTCTTTTTCCATCAAGAGGAGGCTTGGCATATACGGTTGAAATTTCGTGAATCGTCTGTTTCTCAGTGACTTGACAGAAAGAGCTTCTTGCATGACCTCTCTGGGCTGCTAGACGACTTATCCTGCAGGTTCCAATAACAGGGTTTCAAGAGATGTTTCTGCACAGTGTATCCTGACTGTGTAACTGGCAAGACTCCTCTCCAACATGTCAATACAAGAGGGTTTGATCGGAGGCCCACTTCAGGTAAAGGTGCCCGTCTTGCCCAACGTCAGAATCACCGCTCGCGCCAGTCACTGACGTTATGTGCGTTTTTGTGTTCCAAGCTGAATTGAAGTTGCAGTTTGGTCAGGCAGTATTGCTGTAGAGGCAGCATCTGGTTAATTTTGAGATGAATAGTTTGGTCCTAGTGAAGAAGGGGTTAAGCACAAGGTCACTTCACGGATCAGTCAGAATACTTACACATGGTGGTATCGTCAACTATTTTCAGGCGGCCGCATACGCCTCGACTACTGTGCACAATATCTACGCAGCCGCCCAGCTCACTGCCAAGCCTTAAGGGGGCTCCCTCTTTTTATTTTTATTTTTATTTTCTTTTTTATTGTTTTTTTCTCGTTGATCCTCATTCAAACTGGCGCGGATGTCAAATTCAACATTTGACTTTGACTGTCAGCATGTCGCCAGATCGGTAACTCTAGACATATTGATCTTGCCCCTTTAGCTCTGATCGCCGTTTCTGTACTACTGTGAGGCTTGGAACTAGTTTTCTTCTCAAGAGAAAAAGCAAATTATATGCTTTTGTTGGATTTTGCTTGGTTGAGTATTAAACAGGACCAACTTCAAGAAGTATCTCCTTTTTGACGCCACCGAGAACAATTACATCTTCTCCAACCGACTTCGCGTTCACCGCGGGACATGTTTATATGCAGACTCCCGCCGGGGCAGCTCCTATATTCATTCCCATGCATGCATGATCCAGCAGCGGGTCGAATTTGGGTATCACAAAGACATATTCTTTGTTCATCCCAAACTACTCGAAAAGACGTGCAGTTCTCAACCTCCCGAGGGGACGCTAACGAAAGGTCAGCATTGAAACCTGCAAGCAGAATCCCGCGGTAATTTCAGCTACCCCATCCCGCGAGGCTATATCTGGATTTGAGCCGATGGATCTTTTTCCGAACGTCCTGAGAATTCAGCTGTTATCCAATCATTTGGCAACATGGTATATCGAACACAAGCACAAGCGTCGTGGGAATACTGGGCCGGGTCATTTCCAACCCGTCGGGATATCGAGAGGAGTTGCTGAAGTTCGGAACCCCTCGCGGGTAGCTGACGAGGCTCCATCGACGCAGCAGCCGAAAAGGTGCATTTGATACTACCCGGTGAGTCCAACCGATGACCTTTCCTTCCGTTCACCGTCTGTTGTAAACTACGGGGTTTGACCTGTGGACCGCCCGAAGAATCCGGTGAAACCTTTTCGAACGTACTAAGTACACCAGCATAGGCTCAAAATTGACCGATATCTAGGAAAACCAACGAAGCCGGCAAGTCCCGCAGCACGTCGGCAACTTCGCACCAGTCCAAATATGGTAATACGAGCATCGATATTGACGTCCGCATCAAGGTTACCGGCCACCGTGTCACTGCTACAAACCTCATTTGCGGGTTTACGTAGTTGGTGCTGTAACACTGCCGGTAGCTGTGGCGGTTAAATTGAAAATTGTGCGGAATTGACGAGGAACAATTGATACGGATACGTTCTTGATTGGTTGCGAAGGATGTTTTATCTGCCTCCTGAAATGGGAGAGTGTGGAGAACGTGATAGATACCAAGAAGCAGGGAGCCAAGAGGGCAATGCAAATCAGTCAGGTCCACTTTGATCATGATGTACTGACAGTGAGATATGTTGATGCTAGTATTCATGTGAGAGATGACAAGGACCGGGAATTTTTACCAAGCTAGTAACATGGGTCTGTAATCAATGGAGCTGAAGAAGCTAGATACTTGATCATTTTGAAGGCTGTGGCTCCGGATGCATATTCTCCGCTGGAATGTCCGATAGCCGCCTCCTTTTCAGCTGGGTGGATATTGATGCTCGAAGGAGCACAGAGATGCGCTCATATATAGTCATGTGGGAGAGAATATTTAAACGCCTCTCTTCCCCCCCGATGGACCTGTCTTTTCCCCGCACCAACAGATCTCGATCACCACCACAGAGTCCGTCGTGCGCAGTCAAGAAATCAAATTTACAAGTGCTCTTTCAGATATTACAGTTTTTTCGGGGCTTAATCACGGAGGCTCCTAATCTTTTACTCCCTACGAACGAATATAACCGCTTGGCAGGCCGCAGAACATCTACTGCAATGTCGTCTCTCAACAACGAGGAATGGGATTTGCTCATCTCAGGAAAGAAAGCTACACTTCAATATCCTATTCCACTATTATGCTACCCTGCCCCTGAGGTTGTTTCAATTGCTCAGATAATTGATCACACCCAGCTCTCGCTCTCCGCCACCGGGTCTCAAATTGACGTCTTGTGCGCTGAAGCGAAAGAATATGGTTTTGCAACCGTATGTGTCAGGCCGGACTATGTCTCTCGGGCAGTTCAGTATCTTCAAGGAACCCAAGTTGGAGTGACATGTGTGATTGGATTCCATGAAGGGACGTATTCAACCGACCAGAAAGTGAGCGAGGCGAAACGTGCCATGCAGAATGGAGCCAGCGAATTGGATATGGTGATGAACTACCCTTGGCTCAGCGAAAAACGCTATACCGACGTATTCCAGGATATTCGCGCGGTGAGACTTGCTGCAAAGGATGCGATTTTGAAGGTCATTCTCGAGACATCCCAGTTGACCGCAGATGAGATTATCGCCGGGTGCGTACTCTCGAGTCTCGCAGGTGCAGACTATGTGAAGACCAGTACGGGTTTTAACGGTCCTGGTGCGAGTATTGAAAATGTTTCGTTGATGAGTGCTGTCTGTGACAGCTTACAATCGGAGACCAGGGTGAAAGCCAGTGGCGGCATAAGGACAATCGAAGATTGCGTGAAGATGGTTAGGGCAGGAGCAGAGAGACTAGGCGCAAGCGCTGGTGTGAAGATCGTGAATGAAACTCGGCTGGGAAACCGTCAAGTGGATGAACCCATGGAGCCAACAAACTACTGAACGCCCGTCCGATATCTCCGACTTAAGAAAGAATGGCCAATACATCGACCAATTCGATTACGGGCGTTGCTTCTGAATATTACATAGCTGCCGTATGTAATAGCCTACTTAATAACACGCTGACGATGTCCTTGACGGTTCCCCCTAGGAGTGTTGTCCCCCGCTTGGTTAGATGCTATACAAATTAGGGCTTGGGTTATCACGTGATAAATTTAGATCGACATTGTCCCCCTTCGTGGTCTAGAATCATAGCTCAAGAACTTGCAATTCACTCTAATTTCAATCTCTGCAAATCATTTAAAAGCGTTGGCCGAGCCGATTTTGCCGATTGATATTTCCCTACTTGTTAAATCTCCACTCTTGAACCAGTACGGAGTAGTTAGCGTTGATTTAGCAATGCATAAATCGAAGGTCTGGGGACCACGTTCCTATGCGTCGTATGATGGCAATTCGCCAATGACTAATTCTAGACTTACTACAGAAGCGGAAAATCTCTCACGATGTGAATTCAGAGACTAATGGAGATATACCAGACACATCTAGGCCAACTGCCGTATTCAAACCCCAGGGTGGGAGATCACATACGCTTAGCGTCGCTCTCCCTGGCAGTATTATTGCAAAGTATGTCTTCTTGTTGACTATATCTATCTAGATGGAAACTAGTCTTCTTACAATTCTGACATAAATTCTTTCGTGAAGCGCAAAATCGCATGATCAAAAGACCTATCTTGTCGGCTCCATTGCCCGCGCATTAGCTGTATTCTGCGTCGACGAAATCGTCATATTTGAAGATGAGCCGGAGTCGCAACAGTTTGGAAATCGCTCCCGCGCTGAAAATGAGTACACAGCGTTCTCGGATCCGTCACACTTTTTAGCACATGTGCTTTCCTACCTCGAAACACCGCCGCATCTACGGAGGGATTTGTTCCCCATGCACCCTAATCTGAGAACAGCGGGGACATTACCGAGTTTGGACATGCCACATCATATCAGGGCAAACGAATGGTGCGAATATCGTGAAGGAGTTACGATACCGAACGATAACTATGGCGCAGAAGATGGCCCGTCTGAGAGAAGCAACAAAAAGAAGAAAAGCAAGAAGTCCAAGCGAAACCAGCAGGGAGGGCAAGAACATGAAAATTCCTCGTCCAATAATACATTTACCCTTGTGAACACAGGAATCCCAGAGCCAGTCCGCATTCCCAATCTTTCTATCCTACCTCACACCCGCTTAACCCTCAAATTCAAAACCCAAGACTACTCCGACGGCGCCGATCCGGTAGCACCGTCTACCCCTCGCGAAGAAGCAGGCTATTACTGGGGCTATTCAATCCGTCGCTGCACGTCACTATCCTCTGTATTCACCGAATGCCCATTCGAGGGTGGGTACGACTTGTCCTTCGGTACGTCGGAGCGTGGCCTGCCGCTTGCCCACATTTTACAACACCCGGAGAAAATTCCGCAATACAAGCACTTATTGCTTGTTTTCGGGGGCGTGGCAGGGTTAGAGACGGCTGCAAAGGCCGATAAAGAGCTGGCGGCGAAGGGGATCGGGGCCGGAGAAGTTGGAGAATTATTTGATTTTTGGGTAAATGTGCTGCCGGGGCAGGGGAGTAGGACGATTCGGACCGAAGAAGCGGTTTGGCTAGGATTGATGGGGCTGCGGGAGGTGGCCGTGAGCAAGGGCACCTAACTGGGAATGGAACGATCTACGGGGTGTGCCGGCTGCTGAAGCAATACTTACCGCTTTGCCTACCCGGGGGCCCTATGACACCGATCAGACCATGTTTTTGGATAGACACATGATCTGATCCGGATTCGGAATATTTTATGCAAATTTCGAAGATTACGATGATGGCTTGAATTGGAGTATTACCAGGACAACGGGGCGTCTATTCATTTGGGATTACCCTTTTCGTCATGTTGGTTCCCTTGTATCACTTTTTTTTCCATCCACCCATCCTAACGCCGTTTAGCCTATTGTACACCTGTTACCCGAGAATCAAAGCTTGTCCAAGAAGCGAATCCGCCAAAATTAGGAACCGTATGTACTCTATAATTGCACTGCCTCCTTTCAGGCCTTCTTAGTCCTCACTGCTCATCTCATCGCCTCCACTCGTGTTCTCATCATCATCTTCCTCTTCCATTTTTCTAATGACCACGTCACCATTCTTTCCCCGTTTCTCAGCCTCAAACCACGCTTCTCTACGCTTCAGAGCTTTCTCTTCTTTCCCGCCCTGCCTCTTCAGCTTTAACTGCTGTGCTCTCTCGCGCTCGTCGAGGAGCTCATTGGTTAAATCTTCAAGGCCAGTGGCATACGTCCGAAGCTTGACAATTTCAGTCATGTTGGCGTCACGGGTGGATTCGTGGACGGAGAGCTGGCGTCTGAGGGCTTCAACTTCTTGTTCGAGGGAGGAGAGGCGTGACTGGTCTTCTGAGTGTGATCGTCCGCTAAGTTGGACTTGGTTTTGCGTTAACGAGCTTACTGGGGCTGTGCGGAGGGCACGTAGTTCCGCCAGACCTTCGGATATCAGAGAATTTGGAAAGAATTGATGGGCAAGGGCAGCTGTAAATCCATCCCCGGCGATTGATGAAGCGTCAGGCAAGGAAGATGATGTGAAATGGGCAGTAAATGAGTAACTTGCGGGAACGGCATCTCCAAGAGACTGTGTACTCGAAAGCTCGGGATCATATCGCGGCTTGACAACATTATGAACGGCTATTCTGTGGCCGGATTTTGGTAGTCCGACCGGTCGAAGCATCTGTAGATTGGTGACTGGATAATTGAATGTGGTGACAGTGGATGCGAATCTGCCTTTGGCGACATCCCAGGAAACCACTGCACCACCCCTGTGCCCCGAAAGAAGGTTGGTTGCGTCATACGATAGTGTAAGGCATTCTACAGCTCCAAGATCTGTCGAGGGTGGCAGCCACCGGTCACTGGCGGATAACTGGGAAGGAGTTTGCTGCTGGCTAGCATCATAAAGAATGTGCTGGGTAGAAGGGTTCGTAAAGAAGTCAATGAGCTGGGTGCTGCCGTCGTCATATCCAACATAAAACGCTCGATCGGCGGGATCAACCGTAAGGCAGAGTGGGTTTCCAGGGAGGAGAAATGTCCGTAGTATCTTTCCTGTTCGGTATTCCCAGACAATTGCCGTCTTATCTTTGGAAGCGGATATAGCAATGTTGTTCCTATTAGAGCTATGTCCAACGGCAATGCTCGTGATCGCCGCAGAGTGGCTAGAAATAGTGCGAATCGGCGAATTAGAAGGGGATAGGTTTTGCCCAGCAGAACGGGGTTTCGAGAAGGAGATCAGGCTGGGTAGCGACCACACGTGTATGCTTCCATCTTCGGAGCCGGATAGGATGAAGTTATTCGTCGGGTCAACGACCAGGGAGGTAATGGGTTGCAAATGCGCTGCAGGGGTAGAAACTTGTCGTCCGGTGCATACCTGATACAAAACGTCAGCAAGGCCCTTCCTGGATAAATGTAAACCTTGAAATATATCGCACCTCCCATAGGATTAGCCTTCCGCCTTCGGTCCCTAGTACCAATACCGCAGCTCCCTCGGTCTCTTTACCCGCAATTGCAATGCTGCGTATCCGTTCGGGAAATGGGATCGTGGCTTCTTGGTTTCCCCGTTCTCGGCTATACACATGGATCACAGCCTTGCGCACCTGGGCAGCAAATATGTGTGAGGCACTGACGGCTAAACAATTGGCATCTGTAGAGCTTTTCTTCAAGGTCGCGCGTATGGAAGAATTTGGCTGGAATTCGTAGGTGCAGATACCGACATCTTTGAGAACCGACGAGGAGGCCGCCGGGGGGGCATTGGATGTCAGTAATGACGCAACAAAACTCTCGGAGAGCATTACAACTCCGGATCAGCACTGCAGACTTCAGATGTGCGAGGTGGTTAAAGGAGCGCCGCCGACGTTCACCTATTCCGTCGCAAAAGTTGAAAGTGATAGAAGTTTGCATTGTTTGCACAGAGTTCTCTCAGTTTCGGATTATCGATCATCCGCTGTCCACCTTCAACGCGCGTTTCTACTTCCTGTGATGTACGGACTACGCCATCTGGGGCCATTTTACTTGACGTTCTACGGAGTAATTCTCAAACGAAAGAGCATACTCCGTACGGAGTAGATATTTGAACGGTTGGCACGATACCAAATAGGTAACGTTGCGTTGGGGAACCCCCTGGAACAAGTATTTTCCGCGCGCTTCGAATCGGAGCTCAGCAATTTCGCGATCAACAATTTGTGACTGGACGACGAACACGGTTTTCAATCGAGAAAAGGCCCAGGGCTATCTAGATACGCGTTTTCCGATTCCCATATTCATTAAATCTACGGAGTGCTCGTCTCCAAGTTCAATCATGACAGTTTGTGCCGGCAGACTAAAGTGCTTCGGTAATCCCGCCGTTTCGCTCCGCACTGCCGCATCCAGAGCATATGCAACGACGACATCTCCAGACCCAGCTATCCCTAGTTCTTCGAGCGCATCCTCTTCATCTGCTCTCCCTAAAAGACCGCAGACATCGTTTCGAGACAAACTAAACGCCGGTCCATCATTCTCCGACTTTCTCTCTGGAGGGAATAGAGACGACGCCCGCATCCTAGACCCCAATGAAGCATATGCGTTAAAAACGGCGCTCGTCGGGCCCAAGGGCAAAAAGAAAGAAATCACTCGTTTGCCATCGTGGCTCAAGACTTCTATCCCAGACTCGAATAATTACAAACGTATTAAGAATGATTTACGTGGTCTCGGCTTGCATACTGTTTGCGAAGAAGCCCGGTGTCCTAATATATCAGAATGTTGGGGTGGAAGCTCGAAATCGGCTGCTACGGCTACAATTATGCTTATGGGAGATACGTGTACAAGAGCTTGTCGATTTTGCAGTGTGAAGACATCCAAGACTCCTCCGCCGTTGGATCCTCATGAACCGGAAAATACGGCGGAAGCGCTGTCGCGATGGGGGTTGGGATACGTGGTTTTGACGACTGTGGATCGAGATGATTTGATAGATGGTGGTGCGAGACATTTCGCGGAGACGGTGATAAGGATCAAGCAGAAAGCGCCAAATATTTTGGTTGAGTGTCTCACGGGAGACTACGCTGGTGATCTGGAGATGGTTGCACTCATGGCAAAGTCCGGACTAGATGTTTATGCGCATAACGTCGAGACCGTAGAGGCACTGACTCCGCACGTCCGTGACCGCCGGGCAAATTTTCAGACGAGTTTACGGGTGTTGAAGGCTGCGAAGGCAGCTGTCCCATCACTCATCACCAAGACGTCGATGATGCTAGGGCTAGGAGAAACGGAAGAGCAGATGTGGGACGCTCTTCGGCAGTTGAGAGCCGCTAACGTCGACGTTGTGACCTTCGGACAGTACATGCGCCCCACGAAACGACATATGCCAGTGCACGAATACGTACGGCCGGACGTCTTCGAACTGTGGAAGGATCGAGCGCTGGAGATGGGATTCCTGTATTGCGCGAGTGGGCCGTTGGTGAGAAGCAGCTACAAGGCTGGCGAAGCGTTTATCGAGAACGTCCTGAAGAAGAGACGAGCCGAATCAACAGGCCCCGAGAGTACGAATGTACCGAATGTGACTCCCGATGCAATAGTCAGATAAAAAAATTTAGTTTTTTTTTCATTTTTTTTTAGGGAAGGCCACCGGCGTTTAGGAGTTGGAATCATTGTTTTGGCTTCAACCCTGGTACAGCTCCCTTACCAACTTCAACAAGATGGTTTGTGACTATCCAAATTCAATTTTTTTCTGTTTCATTCCCTCCCAAAAAAAATTAATAATGATGCACATAATCAATAGCCAAAAAATGGTTGGTATCATGTTTCATTGTACTGTTTGATTTTGCAAACCCTGCCCCTTGCACCTACCAGGTATCTCTCCCAAAAGAAACCGGGGCCAGGGTCCATGTAGGAAATGTTGCAAGCCAAGCGACTTGCGGTTCTGATCATCCGCCGGCCTTGGGCTTACTCCTTAATCAGCTCCTTAATATCTCTTTCACTTAGACCCATCAGATATAAGATGTCAACTAAACTTTCTCCATTCAGTCGCGTTGGTGCCTCCATTTGCACCTTGCTCTTGGCGCGCCAGGCCACCCCCAACCCCGCCTCATTAAGCATGAGCAGGTCATTGGCGCCATCTCCTACTGCCAACGTCTGCGATATCTGTATATCGTTGTCAGCAGCAATTGTGCGTAGGAGGTTCCTCTTTTGCGTAGCATCGATGATTGGGTGGTTGGGAGACAATGTGCCTGAGAGAGTTTGGGTGGAGTCGTCGGACACGAGCTGTAAAAATAACTATCAGCCCAATTGACCAGGTTTCGTAACCTGTTTCAACGTACGTGGTTCGCGAATGCATAGTCAAGGCTGAGTTCCTTTGCAAGCCACTCGGCCAACGGCTGAAAACCGCCACTCAACACCGCCATCTTGAACCCGAGCCTTTTCAACGCACGGCAGAGTTCACGGGCACCGGGTGCGATCGTAATAATGGATTTTAGTTTCTCGAATACGTCGGCTGGAACTCCTTTGAGCAAGCTAACTCTCGCTTTCAGAGAGGCCGAGAAATCGAGTTCGCCATTCATGGCGCGTGCAGTGATTTCCTGTTTATCCCTGTCAGTTTCAATATCGGACGTGAGACAGAAACTCTACGTCGACGTACTGAAACTTCTTTCTCCACACCGATAAACCTGGCGATTTCATCAATAACTTCCTGTTTGATTAGAGTGCTATCCATATCAAACACGGCGAGCCGCTTATGGCGCCTAAACACTGATTCCTGTTGGAGGACTACTTCAACGTTCCATTCGCGTTCAAATCTCCATATAAACTCATGCTTGCGCATATCATCAAAGGATAGATAGTCTGGACTGGGCGGCGGGCAGATTGTGACCTCGACCACGCGTGGCTGATCTTCGCTATCAAGACATCTATGCGAGCTGCTCATGCGGTGATACGGGGTGGAGAGATCCTCCATAATCTGCAGGAAATTGGTAAGACATAATTGCGACACATACGGGCCGTACAGATGATCCAGAGGCTCGGGTTCCTGTGGCGGGGGCTCGCGTGGAAGCTCTTCGACATTCTGCGTCGGGGCAGAGCCTTCGGGCACGGACGGGGCTGGTAGATCCCGGAGGGAGTGTGGCTGCCTAGAGGAATCCGGGTGGATATGCGGGTGCACTGGCTGCGAGGCCTTGTAGAATATCGTGGCAACCAGCTTGGGCGTATCTGCGGGCAAGGAGCTGAGCGAGTTGCTAAAAATCGAATGCACGATCCCACTCTCCTTGACTCGCGCGTCCTTGCCCTGTGACGGGCTGCCATTGAGAACAAGTGGGGCCGTAAGAACATTTCCAGTGCTGCGCAGGAGGTTGCTGAAACCGGAGGGTCCCGAGGGAGATGGCTTGTATTGTTGGTGGTCCAGGATGAAAGAGCCGCCAGACAGCGAGCTATGCCGTAATACGGGGCGTCCCTCGCGGGAAGGGAGGGGATTGCTCGCCATTTCTTCACGCCCCCGCGGATAACTTCGGGGAGAGGACGGTGACGGTGGTGGTGGTGATGCGGAAGGGCAAGTTTCTTCGGGCAGCGAGCGCAAGGTCGCGCGGGTTAGTTAGTCTGGGGAATATTTCGGGAGCTGGAATTGATATTACTTATTGATTATTCAGGCCTGCTGCTGCTGCTGCACCCCCATTCCATAAAAGCGCAACGTAAAATAGGGTAAACCCAAAAAAAAAAAAACAAAAAAAAAGAGGGCCATTCAGGGAAGCTTTGCAAGATTAGCGCTATCGCTGTCCCCTTCTTCTCCCCCCCGGGGCGCCTGCACCGCTTATGCGCACGAAACGTTTCTTCTCGCCACCGGGTTATGTAAACCCCCACGTGCCGGCGAAAAGGAATTCCCGATCCCGGATATGACTCAGCACTGCGCCCATGACTAAGGTGCGGATCCCTGCACCGCCGGCCTCGGGATCGCCTGCGCTCGACGACGTCGATCGTCGCGGACGGTTACATTGCTCGAGCTGCCGGCTTGCAGCCTTTTTGCTTGTTTGAGATTGCATGTGTGTCATTTGGGCGTGTATCTATCGACCAGGTCTGCGCCCTCGTGCCGAAATTGCTGATCCGCCCCCGAACATGAAGCCGAGAATCCTCTTGGCTGTGCTGGTCAGACGCATTGGCAGTGTCAGGGATCCTACCGCTGGCCACGCCTCCCTGCAAGCACTTTCTTCAACCTTCCACTGTGCATGGATTGCCGGTGGGAACTGGGGAAACTTGAGGCAGACCGGGCACGGTAACAGCCATCTGCGTACCCAACCTGCAGAATGTTCTTTAGGGATTCTTTTTGCTTACTCCTTCGGGTATCGCCCGCGCTAAGGATTGCGTGATTTTCACTGGCCATCACCACATCAGACCCTAGCTGCGCCCCCAGCGCAACAGTGCGTCCTCCCCCAGCCAGAAATATGTTTCCAGCATGGGGTGTAAGGATTCAGGGGATTGTGTAAGATTAATACTGCCGCCCAGGAAGGTGTCTTTACAGGAGGGTCACAGATTGCGTGATTGGTAATCACCAAGTCCCCCTTCCCTGATATCCTGAATTGTGCATGAAATCATTGAAGTAGAGCGCACTTCCTGTCCTTCCGTGCCTCTACAAACTGTTTTTTCTCCCTCCTTTTCTTTGTCTTGCCTGCTTTGCCTAGATTTTACTTTCTGTCACAAGTGGCCAATCTCCACTCTATCCCCATCCCCAAACCCTTTCTCTAGTCAGTAAAGAACCAGAGGCTTCGGTCCTTTGGTTCGCCCATAACACCGCCAAGATTCAGTCCAACGCCCAAACCTCCCTCATCTCCTCCCACCCCTTCGGCAGACTGTTCAGCCTCTTCTCGTCTGCCGTTGGATTCATCATGCCTGCCTCTGTCCACTCCACGTACCCCTCGGACACGGACACCTGCGATATCAAAGAAGCAGAGTCTGGTTATGTCAGTGGTGACTCGAGCCAGCCTAGTCTTCCGGACCTCGTCTTCACGAAGCCCCATTTGAAGTTCTTGAACAGGCAGCTTCAGTTTCTCGAACCCCAAGGTATGAGCCGTCTATTTCTTTTGGCCCTCGGCGGGTGTCTCCCAATGGTAAACTGGGCCCTCTATTGACTTTCCTCCTTAGATGTCTTGAGATGGTGCATCACCAGCCTTCCGGGACTCTATCAAACCACCGCCTTTGGACTGACTGGTCTGGTCACAATTGATATGCTCTCAAAACTCGATGTTCCCAGACCGCAGGTTGTTGATCTGATCTTTCTCGACACACTCTATCACTTCCCCGAAACTCTTGCTCTGGTTGAGCGGGTCCGGAAGCGATATCCAAGCCTTAGCATTCATGTCTACAAGCCACAGGGCGCCGAAACTGCTGATGAATTTGCTGCGAAATACGGAGACCGACTGTGGGAGACCAACGACCAGCTGTACGACTGGCTCGCCAAAGTCGAACCGGCCCAGCGTGCCTATCGGGAACTCCAAGTAAGCGCAGTGCTTACTGGCCGTCGTCGAAGCCAAGGAGGAAAGCGCGGTGACCTTAACATCGTCGAGGTTGATGAGGCTGGCCTTATCAAAATCAATCCGTTTGCCAACTGGGGCTTCCAGCAAGTCAAGGACTACATCACCACCCACAATGTTCCGTACAACGAACTTCTCGACCGGGGCTACAAGAGCGTCGGAGACTGGCACTCGACACAACCCGTGAAAGAGGGCGAAGACGAGCGTGCCGGTCGATGGAAGGGTCAGGCCAAGACAGAATGCGGCATCCACAACCCCCGATCGAAGTACGCACAGTTCCTTCGAGAGCAAGAGATGAAGAGGCAGCAGGAAGCACTGGACCAAGCTCTTCAAGGCGCGGACAAGGCGTAGTTGAAGCGGCGGTTGGGTCATGTGCAAATGTGCTTTATGGAATTTCCCTGTGTTTTTACATGTTTACTATCATGATTTGCTCCTGCGGAATCGGCGTTATAGATCTCCTGTTGTTTCGTTCTGTCTTTTTTCTTTCTTCTTTTTCTTCTTCTTCTTCTTCTTCTTCTTCTTCTTCTTCTTCTTCTTCTTCTTCTTCTTCTTCAGCTTCTTCTTTTTACTTCTTCTCATTCTTCTCCTTATTCTTCTTCTTTTTGCGACTACCCCTGAGTCTGATTGCTTCAAATGTTTCTATCAAATAGATTATTCACACCCTCAGCAACCCATGTTACATAGTTGCACCATAGCATAAATTAAAATAGTTCACCCTTGTCTAGTTCTCAGGAACCTGTCTAGATCCTTTGTCGCTTCCAGACTTGTTCTTACTATGACCCTTCAGCTGGCAGCGATCTGAACTGCCCCCCATTTGACAAGCTATGACGCGGCAGCCTTATCTCAGAGCCGATGCGCCCGCTCCAAGAGACAAGGTTCTCACAGTTGCTGCATCAAGCAGAACGCCCAGCCTGCGCTTCGTATGGAACCGTATCAGCAGCAGTTTCATTGCTCATTAGGAACATCATTATAGAGACGTCTCAGGGTACTCGGCAATAATTGACATTCGAACCGATAAAGCTACCGACATACGATACGATGCCTATGGTCAAACAAAAATAAATCAAACACAGGAGAAAAAAAAAAAAAAAAAAAGGGTGCGTAGTGAACAGCCATGCCAGCCATGCCAGCCATGCCAAAAGGATTCCTCAGGTCAATTCAAGCAACTATTACGGAGTACTTTACTCCACAATCTAATCGATAAAAAGAAAAGAAAAATGTGAGGATCGAGGCAGCGAAGTTAGGTCCTCTTGACAAGTCGCGAACTAAAACCACCCATGCCAGCCTGACGCCGATCACGCAATTTTTCTTCAGGGTGACGGTAGCCCATGCGGCGAGGGCATTTTTAGTTTCGTCGATCCGCGTGGAAATAAGAAACGTTCCTGAAACTCAGCAGCCAGCATGAGATTGCTTGCTAAGATCTGTGCGCTATATTGGCAGGGGTCAGGCACGTTTCCAATCTGCGTCCGGTTTGATTATCTATCGACCCGAGTCATGTATGTAACTGAAGCTTACGGTCAGAGAGGTTACTTCGGGCAGAGTGGCCTCTTTTTCGTTTCTGAAAATCGGGGGCGGGTTCGAAGGTTCGCCCACTGCCCGCCCAGCCAGCTAACTTGACTTGCTTCACGGGAGCGAGATCGTCGGCGGTCGGCCTTGGTCTGGGGTCGCGGTTTGACCGGGTTACATCATACCTCTGCAAGCTGAAGCAGCCTTCATCTCCAACACACCCAGGCACCCGATCCAGCCATTGGCCTGTTGTCCCCTTGTTCCCTGAAAGACCACCGATGGAGTTATGTGAGAAGGACAGATGATACTACTTCGTACCTTGAGGGGGGGAAGGGTTGGGAGTGATTTTGAGAACCTAGTTCGGTCCCTTAGCTCAAACCCGATGCATTGTCGATGCTCCCTCATGGAGAGGGCGTATCCACCCCAGGGTCAGAGGAAATAGTGTCATCAGGGTCTGAATTGACGACGACAGAGCCTTGCCATGGGTCGTAACTTTCTGTCTTTCCCCAGAGCTACTTTTCTAGAACATATATCATAGCTTCGCCTGCTTTGTTTCTCTCGCTTTTCTTTTCTTTTCCATCTTCTTTTCTCCAGCTCTCCTCTTTTCCTCCATCGGTGCTCTCAACGCTCTCCTCTCTTCATAAACCTGCCTCGTCTCTACCAGATCTCGATTCATCCAACCTTAAGCCTTTTTTTATCAAGAACCGAGTGTATTCTGCAGCAATGGCCAATCCACCACACGGCGGTATCCTTAAGGACCTCCTCGCTAGAGATGCACCGAGACACGCTGAGCTCGAGGCCGAGGCCGAAACCTTGCCCGCTCTCCTCCTCACCGAGAGACATCTCTGCGACTTGGAATTGATTCTCAACGGAGGTTTCAGTCCTTTGGAAGGTATACACCCCGCCACTTTTTTTTTTCCTTTTTTTCCCTTAAAACCACCCCCCGGGGATCAGCCGTTCGCATATGCGATGATGTTGTGCACAAATGGAAACACAAAAGCTAATGGTGGGGCGTAAAATGCTAAACAGGGTTTATGAATGAGAAGGACTACAATGGGTATGTCAAACCATCTTTTCATTGTTAATCCCTGTCCTTGTAAGTGTGATGATCTGACTGCGGTGTCCTGCAGTGTTGTTGAGAACGTTCGTCTCGCCGATGGAAACCTCTTCAGTATCCCTATCACCTTGGATGCTTCCAAGGAGACCATCGACGGTCTTGGGCTCCAGCCCGGTTCTCGTGTGACCTTGAGAGATTTCCGAGATGATCGCAACTTGGCCATCCTGACCATCGATGACATCTACCAACCTGACAAGTGAGTCTTTTCCGTCTCCTCGTGGAGCATTTGAACAAGGCTCCTTCGACCATGCCACGGCATACTGAGACAATATGATAGGCAGAAGGAAGCAAAGGAGGTCTTTGGAGGAGACCCTGAGCACCCTGCCGTCAAGTATCTCTACGACCAGACCAATGAGTACTACATTGGAGGAAAAGTTGAGGCCGTCAACAAATTGAACCACTACGACTATGTCGGTCTTCGATGTAAGGACGCACCCTCAAACCGCTTGCAGGGCCATCTGCTAATTTTCATTTAGTCACCCCCGCAGAGTTGCGCCTGCACTTCGACAAACTCGGCTGGACCAGAGTTGTCGCATTCCAGACCAGGTATGGCTTTCCTATCGTCAGTTAAATGCTGCAACCTCAATGCTAATTGAAACATAGAAACCCCATGCACAGGGCTCACCGTGAATTGACTGTCCGTGCTGCCCGTGCGCGCCAGGCGAACGTTCTTATCCATCCAGTTGTTGGATTGACCAAGCCCGGTGACATCGACCACTTCACCCGAGTGAGAGTTTATGAGGCTCTCCTTCCCCGCTACCCCAACGGAATGGCCGTCCTCGGCTTGCTTCCTCTTGCCATGCGCATGGGTGGCCCAAGAGAAGCCATTTGGCACGCAATCATCCGCAAGAACCACGGTGCTACTCACTTCATTGTCGGTCGTGACCATGCTGGTCCAGGAAAGAACTCCAAGGGTGAAGAGTTCTACGGCCCCTATGATGCCCAGCACGCCGTCGAGAAATACAGACATGAGCTTGGAATCGAAGTTGTTGAATTCCAGCAGCTCACCTACCTTCCCGACACCGATGAATATAAGCCAAGAGACGAGATCCCCGCTGGCGTCAAGACGCTGGATATCAGTGGAACTGAGCTTCGCAAGCGCCTACGCCTTGGTACCCACATCCCCGAGTGGTTCTCCTACCCAGAGGTTGTCAAGGTCCTCCGGGAGTCGAATCCTCCTCGATCGAAACAAGGTTTCACAGTGTTCCTCACTGGTTACCAGAACAGCGGCAAGGCTGCGATTGCCCGTGCCCTCCAGGTGACTCTCAACCAGCAAGGCGGACGCTCCGTCTCTCTTCTTCTCGGCGATACCGTGAGACACGAACTTTCTGCTGAACTCGGCTTCTCCAGAGAGGACCGCCACAAGAACATCCAGCGTATCGCTTTTGTTGCTGCTGAGCTTACCAAGGCCGGTGCTGCCGTCATCGCCGCACCAATTGCTCCTTATGAGGAGAGCAGACAACAAGCTCGCGAGACTATCTCCTCTGCCGGGACCTTCTTCCTCGTCCACGTTGCAACCTCGCTCGAGTACGCCGAAAAGACCGATAAGAGAGGTGTCTATGCCCGCGCCAGACGAGGTGAGATCAAGGGTTTCACCGGTGTTGATGACCCATATGAAACCCCCCAGAAGCCGGATATCACCGTCGATATTGAGAAGCAAACCGTGCGCAGCGCCGTCCACGAAATTATCCTGTTGCTCGAGAGCCAGGGATTCTTGGAAAAGGCTTGAAGAGCCCCGAACTGAGTGCGAAAGTTACCCCCTGTAGGACCATCGTTCGGAGTTGCTACAAAGTTACGGCTGAAATACCCGGATAGAACGTTTTGTACACAATTGATATGCCGTTTTGCATGATCGGGTTTTTGAAAGTTAGACTAAATATCATGAGTTTAGCAAGATCAAATGTCATGTTGTTTTGCGAGGAATCTCTCAACTAGTTAGTCTTTTAATCTTCTGTAAAAAATTTTCACGTGGCTTTCTCAGGAACGGGAGGCTAGAGCGGGTGGCGCTTGTGGTCGAAACTGGCCTTATGAGACCCACCAGATCTAACCCGTAGAAGTATAGCGATTCGGATTATCAATCCTCCGGAATTGCCCAGTCCAGGTGGGTTGAATGTGGCTCGTGCGTGCAGTGCAAACGGTGCAAACCCGGCAATGCCTCCACACTGAACTGTCGAGCTGCAACGTCAGATTTCGATTTTTTGCTGATGTCCTTCCAGAGGCATCCACCATTGAGACAGAATGATGCCTCCACAGCTATATCTACGGCGGATACCACGCCTAATACGCCCACTGAGACCTCCAAGCAACCATGCCTCCCTCCCAAAGCCCCGCATGTTCACTAGCAACTCCCAACTCCTCCTTATATCTCCACCCGCGAACCGACCGCAACTGCCATTCCTTCACTCACCCGTTGTCCGGCTGTCCCCTTCCCATGCTAGCCGCAGTTTAAATCCCCGTCTTCTTAGCACAGAACGCCGCAAGAAGATCACCGACGGCATCAAAATTGCCATCACAGCCTATGCTGTCATGGTACTGCTCTACGTGATCAAGCTCGGTCTACAGCAGGAGAAGATCGAGCGCAAGTTCCCCACGCCCCCGGATTTCACGACGTATAGCCGCTGGCTCCTGCGCACTGCTCGGGCGTTGCAGAATCCGGAGTCTGTGGGGCAGGCGATCACTCCGTGGAGGAAAGTTGGGGATTTCTATACGGAGTTGTTGGAGCGGATGGAGAATCCAGAGATTGACGGGAAAGGCTTGAAGGAGCAGGGTGACGGCACGTTCTTGATTGAGGGCATTGGAAAAACGGGATATGACATTGGAGAGATGAGTGAGTCGTGGAAAATGGGATATTTCCAAGCTCTGATAGGTGCGGCTGAAGCGGCGGAGAAACTGGATGGATGGATGTATGATGAAGAGCTGGACGTTGCTGCGCCGGCAGAATATGTTGTTGGTCCGTCGAATCCGAACCCGAAGCCGCGCCCTATGGGTGGAAACCAGACTCTGAAGGAGGAAAATTGTCGGCCTGCTTACGATAGTCCGGAGGTGTATTATATGAAGATCCTCACGACGAAAGGGTTTCAGACGAATCAAAGACTTGACGCGGCTTTGGCTTATGCGGATTGGCTTGACTTCAAAGGACTCAAAGAGACGGCGGAGGATATGTATAAGTGGGCGATGGATATTGCTGCATCCGGAGTCTCCGTGGACCCAACCAAGGTGGTTGATATGAAGACCGGCGTTTTGAAAGATGATGGAAACAAATATGTCACCGATAATGTGTTACGTGCTATGACTGCTCTTGGCGTCCACAGGGTCCGGCAGGGCGACTTGGCCCCCGCACTATCTATATTCCTATCCGTTCTGAGAGCCCGTCGAAACCTTCCCCAGGCACCTACACCAGAGCATAAAGGCTCGCCAAAAGATGAGTCTGCGATCTCTGAGATTTCCGAAACTATATCCTCCTGGCTCTTCCCACCTCCCTATCCTATCCCTACCATTACAGGAAATGAGCAACCACTTCGATCTGCTTCCACAGCCTGCGATGAAGCCGGTTTGATGATCTATATTGGCGAAATCATGTTTGCTTCTTCTTCACAGGAAAGTGGCCTCGCATGGACCCGCGACGCAGTTGATCTTGCGGAGCTGTCACTCTTGCAGTTAGACGAAACCGAAGCCGGTCCCCACACCTACAGAATGAAATATTCCTCCGACGAAGAACGCTGTCACGACTGCCTACGAACGGGTCTGGATAACTGGCAGAAAATGGTTAGGAAGCTTGTCGTGAAAGCGGAGCAGGAAGAGTTGGACTACATGAATACTGCAAAGGATTCTTGGTTTGGTAGCCGCGCGAAGAAGCTGAAGGAGAAGGAGATGCAAAGGAAACGCTGGGAAGCTGAGGAAATAATTCTACAGGACCGATCGAAGAGAGTTCAGAGGTTTATCGGTGATCCGCTGCTGGCTGGATTAGCCCCGAACACGACGATGATGCTGTTTAGCTGATTGCGATTTAATTCTGACTTGTCACATATGACTCTTTTTTTTTTTTTTTTTTTTTTTTGGCATGCTACTTGGGCTTCGAACAAAAGGCGTTGCTGCGTTTGGAATGGGGGTTTGGGGTTGTCGTCGTCTTCGTTTGAGATTATCATCATGCTCATAATTGTACAGTACTACATGTCTCATGAATGCACCTACAGCATCATTCCAGCTATCTCATCACGTTTTCACCTGAGCAGCCTGCTGCTTTGATTTCCATGTGAAGTTCGAGCATTGAGCCAGAATGCGTACCTTGCATATGGTCCCCACCTCAGCGACGATCCGTATAAACGAGCAGCTTGGATCCCGTTCTGGGATCAAATCCCATATTTCCAATGCTTGACTCTGTACTTCCAATTCCCAAAGCTTTCCGCCAGCGTGGAAGCGAGAAGGTCTGCGCCAAGCCTAGCGGACGCTTAAGTCAGCAGACGGACATGCGCCGAACAGATACGACACCGTGTTATCGCACCCATGCTGATCGGCGTGTGTCTCTCATCGAAAACAATCCCTGGTCATAGCCATCGAGTTTAATCTCGCGGGTACGAAAAAATTACTTAACGATGTACTGTCTCTGGAGTCAGCAGTCATCCCTCGTGGCTTTGATCGCCACTTCACGTTTCTTGTCGTGATCCCTCCCCTGCGCTATTGTAACCCCCTCGTAGCAAGGGCGGTCTTCAAACAGCCTTAACATGCCGACACCGGGACAAATAAACTCTCTGGCGTCAATCATGCCGGTGCAACGTGCCATGCGCGAGGGGCTGGTGCGGCGTGGGAGCCTGGTTCTTGCAAGGGACGCTGGCATATGCCGGCAGTGAAAGCGGGCCGCATCGGATGCCAGGACTGCCTTGTTCGTCTGGAGGTGGGGAGAAAGTGAGCCCCCCAAGGTTCCTCATACCCTGTTGATGCATCGGGAGACCGAGCGAGTACTGAATGAGGCTCTTCATGGGTCAGCATTCTCTATCTCTTTTGCGATACGAGTCGAAATACGGAGCCTGCAGAAAATATTGGCAGCGGTTTGCGAAATGTGAGCTGCATATGTATGTTTCTGTTGGATCACCGGGTGTTACCGGAGGGTTGTTTGACCTTAAATTCGAGGCCATCCGTATACTGTTGTCGATTTTGCGTGGGATATTCGACGGGGCGATGTCTCGCTCTTTGATCTTCCCGATTCCAATGTGCACCAGCACAGTGTTCTGAATCCCTGCCAGGTTGCTCAAGGGTTTTACCGAACCCCAGCTTATTACCAAAAGAAATCCAGGAACGGGCCAAATACTCTGTTCTCATGCTCTGTCTCCTCTGTGCATATCTCCAAACCGGGGCCCGGGCCTGCTGGACGATCGCCGTGGTTTCCCCAGAAAGCATAAGGCCCAATAGGAATTCTTCCGAACCTGATACTGGAAGTTCGATATCTCTTCGAGTAGGAAGAACTCCGAATATGCAGTCTTCAAATCCCAGATGTAACGCACAGATATCACCTCGAGATTCAAAGGATAGTGATGATCCATTTCCTTCCGGATGCATCGGCATTGTTGGAAAGGTACCTGTCATAAGGAACATTTGGAATCATGATTATAAACAGATGCCAGATGGATGTGGACATTTCAAGTTCGGAGATTTATCAATGGAATATCCAGGTGATAGCGACCGGCTGGCGATTAAAAACAGTTTTATATCACCGCTGGTCTTTCAAGCATTATCCTTGGGTTTCTACACAATGTGGCCAATGCCAACTGCAGCTCGGCAACTCCTACCAATAACTAATGGTCTCTGTGCACATTCGGTAGGTAGAGTTGAACAGTTTTGAAACTGGAAAGACAGTTCATTTCAAGAATGCGATGGGGATGGATCTTGTGCCTGTGTTACCATGCAACCCACAAGGGCCGGGGTGAATCAGTGCCATGCGCCTTCTTGCTCGCATGGCCAAAGTGATCATCACATAGCCCTGTAGGATATGCAGCCCATTGGGGAAGCTGGACACCATGCAATGTTCGGGTCCATTGTTAATCTTCTTTGACTTTTTCCCTTTTTTTATTCCCATTATCTCACTGTTAACAAGGTATATGAGGGGCAAAGCAGGCTTATCACAAAATTTCGGGGATTATGCCTGGAAAATCCTGGTATTGATGAAGTTTCAATGGCCATGTACAATTGATCGTTGATTCTCGAAATTTTTGCATGCGGTGCACGAAGACACATTGCCAAGCCACCATCACGCGAATCTCAACAGAAGAAATGTGCTTGACATAATACCTATCCACATTGGATTGACTTGTTCACTGACGTTGGTCAGCCATGGAAAGGTGCTTTACAAGAAATCACACAGCGCATACTTCGCCCCATTGACGATAGGATAGAAACAAAACCGCCGGTGCTCGTGCAAACCAGCAGAAACCAGCAGACAAGGCCCCCTCGCACGAATATACCACGAATCCGACCTCCGATTCCCTTTTCACATCTAGAACAGGCAGCTGAAAAGCTGTGTCCATCTTAACAGTGGAAAACTAGATGTCTTTAACATCTGTGAAAAGAGCTACTGCTATCAGAAAGGTGATATGCCAAAGTTTGATCTGATATGACTTCAGGCGCGCGAAGGCCAAGGATCTTGGGACATCAAGTCACACATGATGAAGGGAGTCCTTACATACCTAATTTAGGCCTTAGGGACGGTACGTGCCGTTTTTGGGAATGGCCCCAGCGCCCGTCGCCAGTATTGCTCCTTGTTGAGTCCGCTTCTCTATGTCGGTTTGCTTCGAGGACCGCGGACTACACAATATGTCGCCCGCTGCCCAGACTTCCGGCAACCCATGGACGACTGTTGCTAGGGAGAGGTAGGCAACTACGCTGTGGAGCTGGGCATATCTCTGAACCGGGCCACTTGCTGGCTATGAGATCATTATAATGTTTTATCAAAATGGGAAGGGCACACAATCGCGAGAACTAAGTTGCGACTCGCTTGGTCGAAAGGTTGCGATCTGCACGCCGTAAAACAAAAGTGAAAGATCGCATTTTGTCCCTGCCAGTAATCTCTGTATCAGTGCTGTGACGTACATTTCCTCTTCTTCCTCGAATGTAAACTTATGAACGTTTTTAGCAGAACAAAATGTCTCTTAACGAATGCAAAAAAATAAAAAATGCCCATCATATCCAATAGCCTATCCAAAGAGCCACCCGTGGCTTCTTATGCAAGATCCAATCCCACATATGCCTTGTACATTTAGGGGGAAAAAAACGATGATAAAAAGGAATGCAACGTAAATCATTATCTTCTTTATTTCAGGCCGATTCATGCGGTGTCAATCGTGCCACGCAATTTTCGAAAATTTGAATGAAAACCACAGAAGGCTGAGCTCGTGCTCTTCATCTAGTTGAAACGACTGGGACATAAAACGGGCAAACAGTCGAGGCTGAGACTCAACCACTATCTAGTATCTTCCAATGACCGTGCTCACAGGTCCCTCGTACACTTTCCGTCCCTGAACAAAGTACATGACGAGGCTAGCACACGCAACAGCAAGAAACATGACAACTCCCCAGTTAAAATTATCCACTGTGACAAAACTTTTATTCGGCCAGAAGCACCAAAACAGCGCAAAGATGATGTATAAAAGTGAGATTGCATTCACAATGGGTCCGCCTCGTTTCCCGAGGCTCCAGGATGCCGGTGGCAATTGGGCTGGGTGGTAGATTCGTTGGTAGAGAACGGAGCCAACGGAGAAGGCATAAGTGAACATGAGAGAGCCGGCGTAGAGGGAAATGATAGCATTGAAGGCGACCTCAGAACCGATATATATTAACGAGAGAAGGCTAGTGAAGATGCAGGTAAAAAGGATGGAGTTAGTAGGGATATGTTTGGTGTTGTGCACAGCTGCGAGCCATTCTGAGAAGGGAAGACCATGATCGCGGGCGAAAGAGAATGTTTGGCGTGATGCTGCAGCACCATATGTAATGTTACTCGAAAAGACGAGGAGCAAGACCACACCGGCAAGTATAGTCACCCCTGAAGGTGCTAAAGCACCTCCAAAAACATAGAGAAAAGGAAAAGAGGTCGGATTCTCGATAGCAGCGCCAACGGACGGAAGGGCGAAAAGGTAGGTGACCAGGAGAATTATGCCCATGATGCAGTTTATTATATAGCCCCAGGCCATTGCTCGTGGGACATGTCGCGATGCATCTCTCACCTCTTCCGCCATGTGTGCAGTGGCATCTGATGCTATAGACACATAAAATTAGCGTCCATGCAAAAGTCACACAGACCCTTTGGGGAGACTTTACGCATACTTAGCGAACCATAAATTGCAGTAATCTGGCCAACCATTAAGCTGAGCCCAATTGTTGACCATCCTCCCCTATCGGTAAATGCCGTGAAAACCGTCCTCGGGGAGTTGCGTGGTGCCATCGCCCAGAGGACAATGATAACGATCAGGAAGCCCAAAACATGTAGGACCAGGAGAATATTCTGAATCATAGGCATTGCGCGCGCAAACCAAACATTGACAACGTAGATACAGAAGGCCATCGCACACACGAGAAGCGTACCTTGCCATCGCGCTGGTTCGTAGCTTGGACGGTGGAGGATTATCAGGCCTTGAATGAGGGTTCCGGCCAAGAAAGGTCCGGCTGCCGCTCCAGCTTGCCATGCCAGCACTGACATCCACCCTAATAGCCCCGGATTAGACTCGGTATTTAATCGTCACCGTCAAGAATAATGATGTTAAACTTACCCGTAATATAACTCAGGAACCGCTGATATTTTGGGGAGGCGAATTCAGAAACCCAGTGATACTGTCCTCCGGAAATGGGTGCCCTGCATTCGAGGCATGTCAGCTTCGGGGGACCAGCTAGGCGTTATATGAGATGACTCAACTAACATAGACGCCATTTCTGCCATAGAATATACACAGAACCCGAATCCAATGAAAGTCCATACGTAGGACCAGAATAGCCCGGCAACTCCGCCATCATTGAGTCCCTCATGCTGAGAACTGGAAAACGTTTAGCGAGGCGGAGGGAGATAAATTTGGCGGAAGTTGATATAAATAAAGTGCAGGGTCAAAAATACATACAGTAACATGAACTCCCAGGTCGCACCGAGGACTATCGAGAAGCTCAAAGCAGCCACTGGTCGATACATCCTCTATCCAAAGTTAGACATCAAGCCCAAAGTATGCTCACCTCCATGAGGAAGAGCAACTCAAACGCCTCAGATATGATGCCGTGACTGGCATAATGTCCGAGGCAAAGGAGATGTAGATTGAACAAACCGCAAACTCTTGGTTCTTCCCCATACGCATCATGTCTCTTTGGTCATTCCTGGTATGACCTTGAAAGGGAGACACAAAGTCATCGCCATCAGTAGTTTCAGCTGGATTTAAGCTATATTCGAGAGAGCTTGCTGATGGATGTAAATATGGAGATTTGGGCTCATCCGTAGATGAACCCGGCGGCGAAACCATATTGAACAGCTTCGGCATCCACCGTGATCGGGAAGAAGTATCCTCCAAGCGAACTCGGTTCGACTTGATATAATTCTAACCATCAACTCGCATGACTTGAAAATGGATGCTATCGTGAAAACAGAGAGAGACTGTGCAAGAGTGGCCAGGCCTGATTACCCTGGGAAACGTATGCTTATCGGCGAAAATAGGAATAGCGGCTAGCAAGAGGCGGTATGCATGCTTCTTCATATGTCCATGCAGTAGAGTTCAAGTGCAAGATCGATCTGAGATCTCCATGGGACAGCCTCCAAGGCTGGGTTGCTTTCAGTAGCTATCCATCGACTTAATTGAAAATTTAGAAGCAAGATTATCAGCCCGTCGCTTGCGTTCGAAAACCCCCTCCCCAAGTTCAAGCACTGGACGGGATCTGCAACTCTGAAGAGAGACATAAGGTCAGCCGGGAAGGACTTCATCGTAGTTTGGCGTCAGGCAACGTTTGCCCTTCTCCTCGGCTGGCAATTGGGCAATCCTGATCGCCGGAGCAGTAGAGCGGTTGATAGTTCACGCCATTCTTGCGCCGGTGGACCGTCCACCTGAACCGCCCCGACGAATTGATTCCCAAGCAGCAAGAACTAATGCTGATCATTCCAAATGGGCCGAGATCCCGAGTCTGTGCAACGACAAAAGACGCCACAGACCCAAGAGACCATTGCAGCCCAGAGTCTGGAGACAAGAGGATCCTCGCACAGCTGCCTCCGGGAACGCCTGCAACGGATGCTAGTTGACAGTTGGCGGTGTTTGGCGAGCCTGGGAGCCTCCTTGGCCATCGGTGTGAATATGGAGTACCTGCCCAACATCCTCTGCGGGTGTGACGCGAATAATTCGAGGTCTGGCGTACGAGAACGCAAAATGTTGACTTGTGCTCAACGTAACGTCGCTCGCCTCGTTGAAAGAGTCTTGACGCACCGATTCCTCGGAAAAGCGATAACCCCAAAGAGGACAAACCCTCGAAAATGGGCGATATTCTGGGTTTCTCAGACCAAGGAGATGGTGTGTCCCCGAGTCCCTCTGGGTGCAGTTGGCCCCAAGCGACCCTGAGTTAAGCCAATCGTATCAGCATTTGACTGACCGATCGTCGAAGGGACTGCGCAGATGCGGCGCAATCCGGAAAGCCATCGCCAATCCAAGTCACAAACATTTCTTTCCCATTCGTGATGTCACCTTTTTCGATGGATCCGTTGCTCGGTGGGCCAGTGCTCTCCTCGCGATCTGACAGCCGCTCCGGTTCGATCAATGGCGATCATCCATAAAACCACGGACAGACTCGCTGAGTAGATTTCCACTCTCTTTAATGCACATCTCCGGAATGCAGCCCATTTTATTAGCTGTCTTTGTGGATACATACGCGATGATGCGCCCAGGAATTCAAATCGCTGAGCAGAACAGAGTATTTACTCAGAGCTCTCCATACTAATGTATCGACGAAGCCTGCTTCGGGAATCCAGGCTCATCGACGGTGGAGGTGATTAGCTTCTATTACTCCGTACAGCAGCTTCAGATATTTGAAAGAGGCCTCCGAAACTAAGGAAAACATTGTGTGACATAAGTTATTCTCGTCTTAATCGTTTCTCCCGCAGGAGATCGGGCACATCAGGAAGTGCCGGGCATGATTCCTGCGCTTGAACACACAGCTTTCTGTCCCGTGTCATAAATTTCCTATGAGACTCAACGGACTTGCTGCAAGATTCACTATGATCGATGGCACCTCGTCCACTGCCTTCGCTTCCTGAGGGAGTCTTAGATCCGTTGACAGCCAATAACCACAAAGACCGCGGGGGCCTGATAATCGTGGTGTCATCTATTTCTTTGAGCGTTGCACTTATCCTGCTAGTTATTCGAACGTATATTCAAATTATCAGGCGAACAATCAAACTGGATGATATCTTGCTCCTGGCAGCTACGGTACGGCCGCCTTCATGCATGCCCGTGAGAGCATATCGCTGACTTCGATCACAGCTTATCTACTGCATTCAATCCTCGTTTGTGTTTCTTCAAGTTCACCATGGATGGGGTAAAATACATGAACTTTTAGATTCTTATCCTCATGGTCCGATGCTAAAGGTCTGACTCCCTTTCCTCCCTTAACATTTGGATGGTTTACTGACGACTGCAGGCTGCATATGTAGCCGACATCCTGTACATATTTACCTTGTACATTTCCAAATGCTCGGGATCTTTTTTCTATCTACGCATATCTCCTGGTCGAATACTGCTCTTCGCTGTCTGGACTGTGGTGTCAATTGCGACAATATGGACGGTTTCCTCCCTTTTACTTGTTTCTCTACGATGTGATACCGACGATCCATGGATCGATATCACTGCGAAATGTTCCATACTTGTGAGAATCTTAGCTACACCCTAGAAGTCTCCTTGGGCTGCTAACTCCTTCTCTAGCTTCGTCGCTGGGAGATCATCGGCGGACTTGACATGTTTATTGAATTGGTCACAGCCGCGACGTCTGTCATTCTCGTTCATGATATCCAGATCTCCAGGAGACAGAAACTCCAAATCATATTGGCATTAAGTTCCCGTATTGTGTAAGTGATCCACCCTTCAATTTTTGCTAGCTCTAATAGACGCTTGCGGCATTCCCAACTTTCTGACTTACTCTCAGCGTTTTTGTCCCGGCAATTCTACGCCTACACTACCTTCGCCAACAATTCTATTCTACCGACCCTACATACGACGGTACCTACACCACCATTTGTGCTCAAATCCAGCTAGGATATCTTCTAGTAGCCAACACAATTCCATGCTTAAAACCGTTCATAGCCGCGTACGAAGGGTCCGACGCGAAGCCAACTTTTCGAGGTTATTCCGTAAGTCCACGAGATTCGAGGATACCTTCGCAATATGAAGAAAGCTTCAGTGAAATGAAATCTTGCGGAAGGAAAGACCATCGTCTGAGTCGAGAGCGTCCCTTGTCCGATCATTCGGCGTTTCGACGGCATACAAGGAGAGGGTCTGGGCAGTCATCATTGTCAATGCACACACTGAAAAAAAGCACCGGGCATCAGAGGCAGGACACGGTCACAGACCCAATGGAGATTTTACCCTCGCCGCAAGACACGACTGCGCCCAACGCGGGGGAACCAGAGTCAAAACTTTTCCCTGTGGCAGAGTGTCCAGAGCCAGGGCCCAGCAAGCCAGAAAAATCGGATGAACGACGATATCACGAGGAACCGTGGGGTACAGCTCCTGTGTCCATACATACCTTCGAAAGTGCATTGCAATGGTAGAGTTGAGGGTGTGCACCTTTTAATTCTGTTGAGTAAACTTCTGAATATTTTCCTGCAATATTTGCGTCCATAGCCGTCACGTCAAGAACAAACTTCTCGAGGATATACTCCCATTATGACGGATAAAGCTTATGTTCATACCCCGGACAACTATATATAACCAGGGCAGAAGGACAACTGTATACACTGCGATGTGCCAACAAAGGTATATAGTAAGAGCTTATATATACAAACAACTCTACAGCTATACAAGGACAGTAGAGAGGGTTGAGGGACAATCAGCAACAAAATGCACTCAAATCCAGTAAAGCCATGGACTGTAAATGACCTATGTTCGAAAATGGCAATAGTGAATAAATTGGGCGAGTTGAGAAGGAAGAGAAGCGGGCACATACGAAAAGAAATGAAAAGGGTTGGGAAAACCATCTAGGGGAAACGCAGCAGCTGCGACAAAAAAATAATACAGAAATAATTGAAGAAGGCAAAAGGACGGGTAGTCGGGAAGAGACCAACGCTGTGGTGTCAGCCAGCGCAGGCAGCTGACATCATTTAAACAGCGAAGGGATATCAAAGCGACAGAGTCAAATATTAACCGAAAAAAGAATACTAGATATCTGCCTTCTGAGGGCTTTCCGAATGATCCTGATCTTGGCCGCCCCCGAGAACAGTACCATCTCCCAGGCGGATCGAAAAATCCCTAAAATCTAGCGATATCGAATGGTCACCGTATTTCCAAGTCATAGGTTCCTGCAGGGCAACGTCAGGGTCGCTTCTCGCGATTCGCAATAAACCCTGGATCGCGTCATGCGCACCGGTAGCACTCCGAAGCTCCTCAGTTAATTGGAAGATGAATAGGACAGCTACGCGACCGAAGTCTGGAACCTCGGGTGGTAAAGGAGCTTGGCTTGTTCTTCTGGATTCTGGAGTCGCACCACCTTGTTGAGAGTCAAGAGGAAGGGAGCTCGTTGGAGTAGCGGCTTGGTCATCCCGGCGAGTAATAGGGAGATGGTTGCGATCATGATGCATATGGGGGGTTAAAGAATCATCGTCGAGACCCAAACCCGAGGCATCAAAGTCAGGGATGACGAAATGACGCTTTCCGTTGGCTCCATTGAAAGTAACCAGTGCGTTCTCGCTAGTGCAGGACAAATCTTCTTCGTTGAACAATCCCAGGATCTTCGAAGCGTTCAAAGGAATGCTGAAATTGGCCTCAGACTGTTCAAAGAGTCGCGGAAGCGCATCGCCCACAGTCGCATTTTGATAGTCCTCGTTGATATCGACCGAAGTACAGCTGCTATCACCAGGGAGAGCACATCTCGGGCCTCGGAATCCATTCACGCAGACACATCCACATGAGCCCTCGCGTCCAATACTGACGCCGCCATTTAAGCAGGGATGTAATGTCTCGCATGCGCTTGGTGCCGCCGTAGGTCGGTTTGAATTCTCTCTATCCCTTTCCTGGGGAAGGACGATGAGAACAACAGGTATGATCACTGCAGAGGAGATAAGAAGAAACAAAATAAAAATGATGAAAACAAATGTGCGACGAGACATCCCACAGCAAATCTCTGCCCTTTTTGGCGCTTCCGGGGCGCTATCTGGAAGGGTTGCGTTTGGATTCGCACGATTGTTAAAGGCTGCAGAACCCCGAGAACCGGCAGTTGGAGTACCGATGGGGCCAGGAGGGGGGAATGATGCGAGGATATCAGATATGGATCCCGAGTTTCTTGCGCGTCCGCTGCTAAGATCGCTGCTCCCATTCAGCATATCGAGCATTCCAAGTCTACTTGCTGTCCTTCCACGGTCTAAATTCGATGCCAGCTTGGTGGCACGTCGTATAAGATCTGGAAGACTAGTAAGACTGCCCCGCGCTTCGGCGTCGCGAACAGCATCAATATTTAGTGGAGGAGGTCTCTTCAGGTCAAGCCTATTGAGGCCTGAATCAGGAACAGCACGGATTCCATGATTAAGTTGGAGCTCTTTCAATTCCTCCTCGGAGAGGGAAGTCGGAAGTCGCGTTGTTGGGAGGGGCAGCTTTTCCAGGTCGTCAAAAGAGGACTCGGAGGAGGCAGAATCGGAGCTAAACCGTGTTGCATTGTGCGGGCCAAAGGCCCTTTGTTGGTTTCTCCTTGAGTCTGTAGTGTTGGGGGCCATTCCCGCAGCTGCATCTGCACGAGGGCTGGTAGCGCCATCATTTTTCTTCCCCTCGCCGCCACTTTGAGACTTCACGCGTCGACTTTCGTTGTCCATATTTTGGCCGCTTTGTGGTTTATTAATGGTTCGAAGGGATGGCTTTGCTCGCTTTCCTACGCTCGCCTGGCGTACGAGTCCCTCCTCGCCATCGCGGTCATTGGCGACAAACGAGTCTCTTTTTGGAGAATCGACGGAGCCTGCTTCAATTGGTGCAGTCCCCCAGCTAGAAGGAATGACTTTGCTTGATGCATACGAGACAGGGATCCGGGGAGAACTCTCTACAGATTCTTCTTGAATGGGAGAGATGTTGGAGTTATTTGCATAAAAGGAACTCGCTCCACGTCGAGAGGACGGAGGCCATAGATATTGATTTCTTTGCTGGTAGCCTTCGTCAGGCGATAGTTCGGGGGAGCTGAAAGGATCCGAGAATGTATCCGGAGATTTCTCTTGGTCAGAAACGGATGTGAAGTCTCGTACGTACTGTCGTGGAGGATCCTCATATTGATATTCCAGGCCGTTCGGAGGCTGATGATACGGTATATTTGGGTTATAGTCTCGCATTCTCGATGCATCCAGTGGTGAAGGAACATTTTGAGGTTCTGGCCGTGGAGGGCGTTGGGGTCTTTGGGCGCCTGGTCTATAGGGTGCAGGCCCATTGTCGGGAAACCTATTCATTTCCAACGATCCCGCGTGATTATCGGGAAGAGGCCATTGGGACATCTGCGAAGGCGCCATATTTGGGCCTCTATTCCCCTGTTCGCCTGGCGGAAACGCCGCTGGAACCGGAGGAGGTCGCTTCACAGGAAGACGATGGGGTGCCGGATTTCCTCGACCCCGTCCATTATCAGAGTATCCATTTGCTGATAAACCCACTTGCACCATTTCCCTTGCTCGCCGTACAGAGCCCTTTCCACCATGGTTGGCACCTTCATATCGCGTGTCATTCATTTCGACTCACGAGCCCTAGCCGATATTCCTCTATTCAACACAACACTCGTCTCACGATTACCAATCGAAACGCAGATTGATTGATAAATGTTGATGTAATATAAATGGCATATCGAATTTCAGATACCTGGTCGCAGAATAGGATATTCCCGGATCAACCAGGCGTTACGAAATGGATGAAGATGTGAAACGACGTCTCCTTCGAAGGGATCAACCGTAACCGCCTTAATCACAATGCCAGCTCCAAGACTTGATGGCAACTTTGCTCTTTCAAGTCAAAGCCACGTGGATAAAGTAGCGGATTGAGTCGAAACAATAGCAGCAAGCGTCCAGCAGCTGCACCGAAATCTTAGGAAACTTCGAAGAGAAATAAAAGGAATGGAGTTGTCCGGCAGAGATACACGGGCAGGTTCTAGCTACAAGTCAGCAACTTGGCGAACAGAACTACATATACGCTTGAAGCCCATTGTCCAGGGCCAACACCTGTTAATGCGAATATTAGGAGCCAGACTGGCCTAGCAATCCATAGAAGGTGGTACAATTCGCGGTTAAACATCTATCAGAGAGGCCAAGGTCTGAACCACCTTGACTGCACATTCATGGAGCGTTGAGGATGAGAGTGCATAACATACCAAGAAAGAACGAGCGACTTTTGATAAAGATTGCAAAACGAGCGACTTGGGCGAGGAAAAGAGCGGACTTCGAAAGTTCACATACCCTCCAAGGTCAAACCTTTGACGTCTCAGAGCTGTTTAAGGGCAGACAAGGAAGGTGATATATCACTCCCTTCTGTCTCAAGCGACCAATTGGCTCCTCGAGAGGCCCGGCCGGGAGCTCACAACGGATATTCAAAAGCGAGCGTCGAGCTCTGGCGAAGGAAAGAAAGAAAAATTCGACGAAGAGAGACGGGTATAGTCAAGAGACGTTTGACAGATGAAGAGATTTGCGGGCTGAAGACACGCCCCAGATGGAACGGCATGATGCTTGACACTGCCAATGTTCTCGTGAGCTTCTAGCGTCAAAACTTCCCTTCCCTAATTTGCTCTGAAACACAGTTCCTCAGGGATCATGCCACCAGTTCCATGTCCACGATCCGCCCATTGGTCAGGGATGGGATGTCCTAACTTGTTACTTCCTAGCCCACTTCGATCCCCCGTGTGGAAATCCACGGCGATTGTAAGTGGCTCCAAAGGCTCGTTTAAGGTTGAAACAGCGCCCCGCAAAGCCTCAGGTGCGCAATCAATTCGTCAATCAGCCGTCCTTTGGTCTTCGCAATGCACAGAGAAATATCATCGCCTAGCCCTCTCGTCCTCCAAAGAAGCACTCCCTTCATATGTCTTTTTTGCGAAGTCGAAGAGACTAGCATCGCGATTCGAGAATTGCTCTCGAATTACAGGAATTATTTTAGATGAGGGCCGCCCCAGAGCGGCCGAACAGCTCCGAGTTAACTCGTGTTGTGGTTGGCGATCGGAAGTTGCAGCGTGCTTTTGCCGAGACCTGGAAAGCTGCGGGGAAATAGCGGGCATATCACGTCGGTACTGGACGCTAGTCAACTAAGTGCACTAACAAGCTGAACTCACTGCGAGCTCGGCCGCGATGGTTTGTCAAGACGGTCAGAGAGTCGGGCGCTGTGCTGAGCATCCGCCCGAAGATGATGTCTTCCAGCATTGTTCAGATGAGGAAATTTTTAAGGCTGCTGCAAAGAACAAACTAGACAGAGTCAGGTGATGCTCCTTATTTCAGCCTCAGCACCGGCTGTAGATCGCGACATGGACTGCACGGCGGGCGTCTCTGCTCGCTTCCGGCTTCCGCTCGCCGTCTCGCCGGTCTTTTTCTATTGTCTGGAGCTGATCGATTTGCTGTTGGTTCTTTCTCTCGTCTGCAATGGTCTTTCCCCTACTATGAGCTGAAGCCATGGGGGCGATTGTCAGAGTGACAAGCAGTCCTTCCCACCGCAAGTCTCGTCAGTACTCTTCTCCCTGATGCCAGGAAGAAGACTCTCATATTCTTATCCGTTCTACACTCCCTACTGACTCTTTGGCCGAGCGCACTCTTGAAGGTCTGATCCCTGATTGCTGACGATCTTACAAAGTTTCACCCTAGATTGCGAGTAGGAGCCCAGAATCAGAACCTGAAGTGGAACCTTGATCGTATATTTGCAAAAATGTTGAAAAGGATGCCCCCCTTTCAAGGTGTGCCAGCATCTCCTATATGAATTTCCGAGCCCTTGGCTTTATGATCTGTTCTCAGCTTTCTAACCCATGGCCCCACGGATATTGACGGTAGATCCCGTCGGCGAGGACACAAAGCACACTCCTTGCCCAAACCCATCGGTAGAGCCACGCCTCGAAACGACTGATCCATGTTTATCGATGCGACAACCCGTATCATCTAGCCAGAAAACTTGGACTGCTGTTCCCCCACGCCTTTTTACCGGATCGCAAGAATGCATGCCGCCTCCAATGGTGCCACTTTCCGGGGTTTCTTTGAGCCCGTTCAAAGAGGTCGTGCAGCGAATCAATGCACGGCAGGTATTCGGTCACCGTGATCCGCTTATTAACAGTAGAATTATTCGATGGCTTGAGGGAGTATATCCTATAAACTCCGGAGTTCGGACTCCTAAAGCTGTGCAACCGTGCGTTTGAGGGAGTGCTGCGAACCTAACCAAGAGTTGGTGTTGTTGGGAATAGATTATTATGCGGTTTCTCCCCGTTTCTTCACCAGCACGCGAACGCCACTTTCGTACGGATATGACGCCGGCGAGGTCCCGTTTCATGACCGCAGAGCAAGAGTCGGGGTTTTCGGATATTCCGATATCCTCCTCCACCCAAAGTTGACAAAATCCAGAGGGCGGAACCCGTCCTCTACGCAATATCCCGTGATTGACTCTGCGACAGGCTAAGGAGTTCCCTCGCTCCGGCCGCCTTATAATTTATACTTTGGTGATGGCTTGGTCATGGTGCGCAACTCCGCGGCATTCATGAGAACGGCGCCGCGAAAATGCATTATGCACTCTCAATTTGCATGGTTTTTTATGTCTCCAAGCTATGGCGGGAATCTTTTGCTCCAACGTATGACAATTTTCAAAGAACGCTGGATTTGTTTTCGAAAGGCTCAACCCAAAAGACGGGCTGTTTAGGTTCTATCGAAAGTGGGATGTTTTTACACTCTGATAGAGAGCGCTTCGCCGCCAGAGCTATGTGCAATGACGTTTATTTGGTCTCAATTGCATGAAAGAAGAGCGGCGTGGCGTATTCTTATGGCGATATGCCTCTCATCTGTTTAGCGCCCCATTTTCATTGTCTTACGAGTATTCTTACCTGGTCTGCTGGGGATGGATTTAGTTTCGTTTGGTATACTCCGTACATTCCCCCCCTTCTCTCTTTCTTTCTTTTCTTTTTTTTAAAAAAAATAGATTAGATTTGTATATAGCGTGGGAACATACTCATCCTTAGACTTCTACCAGGCGGTGGATTTAAGGCATTCTGGATCTGGTTCTGTATGATGCGAGCTGGCGTTTCTCTGGTAAGGCGATTCTTGTTGATTCACCATCGGAGGTAGGTAATTCAGCTTTCCTTCTTTTCGACAGGGAGGCACCGTGTCAGGAGTCCCTGTCGTGCAGCATCCCCATTCCTGGGCTTGAAACATCGACAAGGGTTAAAAAACAACTCAATCTCCCAGAAATTACTCCGGATCAATGGGTACAGAGAAGACCGACGAGAAATCCAGTGTGTCATAGGGAGGAGAAACTAATTATTAATCTAACTTCTAGAAGCTTGTCTAAGCTGAAAAATAAAGACTGTCAGTTGACGATGATGTACGGAGTAGTCTGGTGTACCTACTCCGTAAATGATTCGGGAAAACAGCTTTTCCGGCGTGGGAGTTCGTAATTTTCTCTTGGGAGGCCCTGGGGAGGGGGGGAGTTCGAAAGTTCTGGTGCATCCAGATTTTCAGAGGAGCTTGGTGAGGCGGAAACGATATACCCCGGGCTCCTAGAGCGGAGAGAAACAGGATTTTTCAACCTGGGGGCCTCAGCATTGAGACTGGGGACGCAATGAGGATTGTGATATATAGGGAATACTTTGTTCACCTCCTGGATAGCGATGCAGGCGTGTCCAAACTTGGTGCAGTTACGCTACGGAGTTAGGGCTAGTGTCTCGGAGTTTGTTGTTGCTCTCTCCGATATGGGAACGGTGTTAAATGTGCTAGTGATGATAGAACGAATTGTAGTGGTAACGGCGGTGATTTCACTTGTAAATTGTATGGGCAGAAGTTGGGCATCCATATGTTGTTTCTGGGAGCCAGGAATCGTACCTGTGCGAGGCGTAAACGCTCGTGACCGTGGATGAGGCGGAGCCACACTTGGGTGACCCAGTCTGGAGTTAAAACAGCTGAATTTGTCAGGACCAGGGGATGATGTTGAATTGCACGGAGAGGACGTCCCAGGGACCGTGGACGTCCGAATCTCGATCAAGTAACGGGAAGTAATGATATGCGAGACATATATTGCTTGTCGTCGAAAGTTACTGCGGAGCGGAAGGGCTGGACAGCATCTATTCCAGGTGTCGAGGGGAGATGGAACCCGCATTATGGAGCACTGATGACGGAATTGTGGAAGATTCGCGGGGTGTTTCATCGGTTTTGGGGGGATGAAACGATCTTCGGTGGTTCTGAGGATGTGAGATTCGGTCGCTGTCGCCAATGGTGTTTAACGACGGGGTTTCCGATGCTAGTTGCCTCTGAAGCACTTAAGAAAAATCCAGAGACCATGAAGGAAACCGTCTCGCCCGATACGTCCGTTTCCATACCGCTGAAGATGATGTCGTTGAGCCTGCCGATAATGTTCTCTCAGGGGCCATAGAAGCCGTTTCTCATGCAGTGAAGGACACTTCACTTGCTGCCCAAGTAGCTGTTTTCAGTGTAGACTTCGGTTCGCAGTCCACTGACAATGATAAAGTGGCTCTGAAATGACTGAAGACGTATCGCTCTTGCTTGAAGGTTTGTTCGCCGATCATGAAGTGGCTGTCTAAATTGAAGCTGACTTTTTGGAGATCGGCGCTTTGCACGTATATCTCCCCAAAGACGCTGTTTTGATCATGCAAGAGGTAAGAGACATCGGCTTCCATTATATGCGCTCTGTGGTTTGGGTATCTAGGCTTGACTCGACTGAGTGACATGAAGCTCTTGAGGAGCTCACAAACCCCATCCAGCGTCCTGCACTGGGTAATAATGATTTGATCCCGAAAACGGCTCCATGTTTGACTGCTTCTGCTTCGGTGTATTCAGATATTTGGTTCCTCGTCGACAGACAATGTCTTCCTTAAATCATTCACGCTCTGTTCCACTTTGCGCATCTCTATAATCACGTTCGCAATGGCAGGAATTTGATCGTCTACGATAGATGTAAATGATGCTTGAGCATCTCTAAGAGCGCTAGGAACGAGAACGCCAAACCAATGTAAGGGGTTTGAAGAAATGGGCTTGTTCGAAGACCTCAGCTGCTCTTTTTGCTCAGAGCCCTGGCCTTCGCGAGCTCGGTCTTTCAGAGTCAGAGCTGAATCTTTTGTCACTGTGGTACCTTTGCTGCTCTGGTCGCCGGGTTTCTCGTGAGTAATTTCAAAATAATTGGGAACACAATGCAATGTGGTATCTTCTGAAAGCTTTTCATCTGACGATACGAATTTAGAATGGGTAACGATCCTATAGAAGGCAGGATTGGAGAAAAGTTAGATCGTCCAGACGCCTTCTTTTCACCAGATGGGATGGGAAATAGAAACTCGAGCCGCTGAAATCGAGAAACCATGTTTTATCTGGGACTTGGGAAACTCGGGGTTGGTTCGTTGGCACGTACACTCTCGTAATTGCCTTCATACGCTCATCATAGTAGTCTTCGCCATATCTGCGACCGGGTGGAGAGGAGTGATTTGCGCGTGTAATGGAGAAGAAGCCCTAAGAACAAGCGGTTTATCAATATTAGCGTCAGTTTGGGGCTTAATTTTGCGGAGAGAACCTATACAAGCGAGCGGAGAGCGTACGGCTGACAGACAATTCCCAATTTCCCGTTGCAGTCTCTGATGTTCATCGAGGAGGTAAAGGTACCGCTCCAGTAGATCGTCGATAGCCTGGAGGGGATCTGGTATTTCGGCAGCGGCGGACACCGTGGGAGAAGTGGGCGGGGTGGGAAGTGCTTCGCTCATTGTTGGAATCAGGTCTGGAATTGACGAGAATGAAGCACCTTCGAGCGGGCGGGAGAAGAGGAGAGTTTGAAGGCGGTTGGTAAAAGACAAATGCTGGCGGGTGGAGATGCGCTGCGGACGGCCGAAACCTTTGCGCAAGCCCGCTGAGCCTATCTTCTTCCTTTTTAAAGTCACCCTGCGCGTATTCGGTATTTGCTCCAAAAAATCATTCTTCCCGTAGTGGATTGCATCTGCCTCCCATTTGTTATTTCGCTAGCGATTTTCCCGCAGGTTGGGTTGCCTTAAAAAGTCCACTCTTATCTCCGCCGGGACGCAGAGAAACGCGGCGCTATTTTTAAAACTTTCAGCTCTGCTCAGCGAGATCCCTCCACGAAGTTTCCATGTATCTATCACCTTTGATACTGACGTTACGATAGTTATTCTTCAACTGCTTTGGTCTCTTTCACTTGGGACGGAAGCATTCTAACGGCTCGCTTCTTCGCTACACCTCATTATCGTGAGAGCTCATCGAGCCCGGAGATCTTATACCCTCGCATATCACCCTCAAATTCAATTCATACCGCCGGATCATAGCCGCTTTGCCTCTCGAAGAGATTTGCATCTCCGTTTATCCCTTCCATCATAATGTCGGTCGCTAGATTGCATCGCGATTCCGCTTTTCAAGCCCGCTCACTTGTATGACTCCACCATCCTTTGCAGGGCAGCTATGCTTCATCGTTGCAGACTAAAAGTTCAGGAAGCTAACCACACTTTTTATTTCGCATGTCTGTAGTTCCGATCACTTCTCCGTCAATCCAAACAATTTTCCAATTACAACTTCCGAGAATATGCCTTGAGAAGGACCCGGGATGCTTTCAGAGAACACCAACAAGAGACGGAAGAGCGCAAGATACAGGAGCTGCTACAAAAGGGTATACAAGATTTGCGGATGATGAAGGTGAGCAGGCACTCCAGTATGCTTACTGTACCCATCTGAGTTACAGGATGTCATGGGACAGTCCAAGCAGTTACTGGCAGGTGTGCATATCCTATAAACGATGATGCTAATCCTTTATACAGAGACAGACAGTTATCAGCCAGTTCTACCAATTGGATCGGTTAGTGGTAGAAGAATCGGTGCGTCTGGCGTGTCACTCCCGCATTTGCGATTCCAGCACCTTGGGTGAATTCTGACATAGAAGTTTAGGGAAAGGAAACGGGGTCCGAAGGAGGGATAGTGCGCCAAAAGGATTCAGCGTAAGAGCCTGAAGACACTCGGTATTAAAAGGAACATCCTGGCTAACTTGGACTGTAGGGCGAGTTGAGATTGAGAGGCGTTCCGGTACAGGCTGAGAAGATAGGTTGTAATCATTTCCACGATGCCCTAGCGTTTGCATGAATGCCGAAAGCCTTACAGGGATAGCTCCTGCTGCCAATGATGTAGAATAGATTTTATTTCTTCCTTTCTACGTTTTGTATTTCAAATGTATTCAAATCATGGCATAAAAGCCCCGGCGGCAAGATATGCAATCAGTGGAAATGCCATGGAATTCAAAAACAGCCCATCCTTGACGGTGAAAGGGATTACGTCGTTCTAACAGCTATCACATTCAAAAGAGAGCGTTGATACTCTCCGTCCAACTCATTTCTGCTCCGTACAGCTGCAAGACCAACCCATGTCATCACGTGACACGACTTGATGGACCTGGCGCCATCGCGACGAGCTGCGCCAGAGACTGCTGCTGCAAGGCGGCGATCACGGTGGCAATCCTTCCGCACTTTGGGGAATTGGCTGAAACAGAGAACTTGTGCAACATCATACAGGTGGGCAGAGTCACTCAAGGAGCATTTGGTGGAACTGGCATCCCCAACTCCTGGCGAACAGACCAACCTTCTGACAGGCGATTGAACGCGGTTTTTGATATAAAATGGTTCCTGTAAGTTTCCATCATGTTTGCAGCACAGCTTCTTCCCAATGTGTACCATTTTTTTAATAAGTTTTCACCATTGGTTCCGCTCGTTTAATCGATTATATCCGCTAAACTGCATGGAAACCCAAATAGTTCCGCTCTTCGCGTACCCGCTCCCAAGCCCTTGCAGAAACTGCGCCCAACCGAACTAGAGCGGGTCAAATCGACCACGATGTCTTTGAAGGCTTGCCCGTTCGCCGCTGGTCACGCCAGCATGCAACCTTTTCGCAAACCCCCAAGCACGAAGAGCTAGATACAACAGCTGTTGGCCCATACGCGATGCCGGAATTACCTATGCCGAGAGATAGCAATCTTCTAACGCCTCTGAGCCGGTCATTACTACGTGCTGCGCGTGCGGGGTGCACATATATCAAGCCTGTTCGTAAGGATCCAGATGTAGAGGAGAAGGAAGTCAAGGGGGAAGAACCGGCCGGCCCGCCTCCTACATACGAACGAACATTCACGACGGTGAAATGGACAACTATTCCGCGCAATCTCGAACCACCGGAAGTGGAGTTTTTAGCAAAGAGACGGCCTGGCTTACCTTCATTGTATGGCGCGGGAGCAGTGGCGGTAAACACTGGCGCTGGAATTGGCGTGGTTATCACCGGAAACCACACACCAATGAGGAAAACAAAGTTCAAAAAGGTTGACGCTGCTACCGGCCAGGTAGCCATCTACGAGGCATGGGTACCAGAGGGTCACCGAGTAGAAGGCGAAATTACAGATGAAACTGAGATTACGACCGATAATCCCGATGTGACGATCGTCTCTGCGTCACCAGCACCAGGAACTGTCGTGGATGGAGTTGGCGTGGTTGACCAGGAAGGGGTCGTGGTTGCAGAACCCGAAGGGAGTATGGTTGCAGTTGTTCGAAGAAGACACCCTCCTCCAAAACGAAAAGCTAAAGGGATTGGCAGAGGCAGGAAGAAGAAGGTCATGTTTACTCAAGACGACGTCGCTGCATCGCCAGCCCATGGCAATGATGGTGTCGGACATGAGACTGGCGGCCGCATTATAGAGCCTTCTAGCCAGCGATCCGACCAAGAAGATAAGCATGTAGGTGGTGAAGAGGAAGAGGAGGACGAGGACGAAGAAGATGGTGATGGAAGTGAAGAAGAAGAAGAATTCGGCGAGGAGGCCAAGTCCCAGACAAAACCAGAGACACCGCCAACAACCACTGCAGCTGAAGATCAGAAGGAGTTGCCCAAGGAACAGATATCACAACAAGAACTGCCGGAGAATGTGCCTCGCGACAAGTCGAGCTCACCTGATTTGCCCCTTTCCAAAGCTGCAGCTGACCGCACCGAAACGACAACCACAGAGAACTATCAAGAGGCACGTCCGACAAACGACCTGCCTGAAGCATCTAGTTCGGTACTGCAAGTTGACAAAGCTTCTGATTCACAGCCAGAAGTGCAAACGACCGAGCACGAAGAAGCCAACGAGCAACAAGTTGTCTCAAACCCCGACGAACCACTTCAACCAGCGGAAGGAGCTCAAACTGAAGAGGAAACCAGCGCAAGGAGTCCACAATCGACTAATGTCGATGTCGCACCTCCATCTATCCCAGAGCCATCAGAAGAGCAGGCAAAACCTGAGACCAGCGTCACACCTGACCCCACGAAAACATCAGCCTCCCCCGTTCAACCAGAAGCTGGTACTGGACCTGTACGCTTTGAAGACGGAGAAGTTGATCTTCTTGGTAGTTTGGAAGCTAGTTTGGATAATCCTGCTCAACCGTCTGAGGAGCAAAGCACGGATCACTTGCCGGAGCAACAACCTGAAAAACAAGAGAGAGTAAATGAAGAGCAACTGGATGTTACGATGGCGGACTAGCTAGCTTGGGATTGTGCCTTTCTTTCTACTATCGTCACAAGCCTTGTTGTCCTTGTGAGCGTTTATAAGATACCAAAGGAAAACCTTTATCTTGATTCTGAATATTATATTCTTAACGGCCGTGTGGGAATGGGTCACGGGAAGGTGTACTTTGGAGTTACGAGTCTGTTTTGTTTGCTTTTCGAAACATTTTTACTTCATTCTGTCCTAACCTTCTAAGGTCCGGGAGCTATTTTGCTTTATTCAATGACGTCCATTCCACCTATGTAAGAATCTGGGAGAATTTTGAGACCAAACATAAACCTTACAGCTGAAGACTGGGTTGCAATTGGGAATGCTGTGCTGGAGTAATGTGCAAGGCAGACGAGTCTGGTTCCTATCGAATCCCCCTGACTAACTAGTTAATCAAACTTCGAATCGGAAAACAACACATGGAAAATACGGAGTGTCAAAGGGAAAATACACAACAATAGATGTTTGTGAAACAGAATATTCTTTTCCCAGTTCCAGAAACCTGTGAAGTCTAGGAGGACTTGAATGTTATGAATCAAAGCAGATTCTGGTCGACCTTGTATAGTAGCTAACGCATGTCGAAAAAAGTATACACGTCAAGCAATATCCTATTTGCAAAGGTGTCACTCCTCAATCTCCTTTATGCACACTCACGTAGAGAAAATGTAACACTGCCTGCTCATAGATAGATTCTTCACGATGTCTTCTTCGCTCTACCACGCTTTCGAGAAACTGGCACGTTGTCGGGGCTCGAACGGACATCTGCTGTACGCGCTGCCCTGGTTTTTCTTCCCGGTTTTATGGTATCCGAAACGACCTTTGCTCCACCTTTGGTGTCCCCAGCTTCAAGGAATTTCCTCATAAGAGCGGGCGTTTTATTTGAAGCGCGTGCTGCAGCAATGGAGTTTCCAAGTCTCGGTTTAGAAGGCATCTTGAGTTTCCGACCTTTATTTCTGGGCGGCTTTTCATCTCCCTCGGCAGATTTAGACGCTGATTTTACCGGCATTTTTGCACGGGTAAGTGTAGACCTGCGCTTCTTCACAGGGATTGGTTTGATTGACACTGCTTTTTTAGCTGGCCTTCCCACCCGTTTGACCTTCCCTTTAGTTTGTGTTGATTTGAGGGCCGTCCGGGCTTTCGACACTGCTTTCTTGATTCCAGTTTTCAAGGACGAAGCCCTTGAAGGCTTTGGCTTCTTATTTAGTCGGGAAGCGGACTCGTCGAGAGCGCTGTCGACTTTGCGCTTTGCCGCGGGCGCGGATTTCTTTTCCTTATCTTTGTTCTTCCATGACTCCTTAGGTCTTGGGCCCAGCACCCCGCGGCAAGTTGGCGCTCCGCACCGACACTCTTGGACGTTCTTCTGGGAGTAGGGGCTAAGTATGGATTAGTTCAGTATCAGAAAGCAGAGCAAACATATAACGCACTCAAAATTATAATCGTACGTAAGCTCTTCCCCAGTCATGATCCCATCTTCACCTGCAAAAAGGGCCATTCGTGGCTTCCCAGCAACGGTCCACTTCTCCATTCTGCAATTGGGCTCACAAGAATGGTTGATAAAACGAGCAATAGATCCACGCGTGGCGTCGATGACCATGTTCTGGTCGAAGTACATCAGATAGTAGCACTATGCAGCGACCGTCAGTCTCTTGGACCAGGAAAGATAAATAAAAGAGGCGAACCTCGTTTTTCTTATACACAGTCCTCATCCTCCGCTCACACTCCTCTTGGGTGAGGATTTCCCCAGTATATTCGACGATGATCTGGTTAGGATCAAACGAGCGGTTACTACGGACACCATAGCCTCGATCTTCCGTCTTGATAACCTCGACACCGATGTTGAACTTCCCGCCCGCCTTAGCTCGTCTACGTAGTGCACTGAAAGGTCGATTCCGACATAACTCTGAGCCTAATTTGCAGTTCGTGTCATCACACTCATAAAACATGTATCTATTCTGGCAGTTCTCATCGCATCCTGTTTCCGGGGTGCAGGTACATGTGGAATGTTCTTTGATCTTCGCAGCCTTCCATATTGACGCCGCATCGCCAACGAATACGTCTATGATCATGTTAGGGACCAATGATACCCGCAGATCGGAAGAGAAACACATACTTTTATTGGCCTTTCGCCATTCATTTGGTTTGGGCTGGCCATGTGGCAGGGGAGAGAAGATATCAAACGGCAACTTGTAAGCGCGGCCATTCTCTAGCAGTCTAGCACCGGCATACATTGGGAATGGAAATACTTGTGACTGCTGGCCATTATTCTTTGCATCTCTTGTACCCCTCTTTGACTTTGGAACGGAGGAATCGATGTATTCTTGTCCAGCATATAGTCCATGTTTAAGCCAGGGTTTCCTTTTTTGCCGAATCAAGCTATTCTCCCTTGTGGCGGTTTGCTCCTGGCGTGGAACTTGACAAGTGCTCTTGTTGTCACCAGACACACGTCTTTTCTTAGGTGAAGGCTCCTGGGGAGCTGGAGTAGAGGCTTCTTTCTTTTCATTCTCGACTCTAGGCCGTAGGCTAGCCTTTCTATCAATCGTTTTAACCTTATCCTTGCTCTTCGATATAGCATCGAGCGTCCGTTTTCCGAGCACGGAGGGAGCGCTTTGGGCCAGATCCATTGTTTTCGCAAGTAGACTCAGGCGCGTGGATCGTCTTTTCGGGCTTTTATTCCCAGCCTTTTTATTAGGTTTCTTTCCTGCCGCTTCCGCATTCTTGCTTGACCATTTGTCCACCGATCCACTTGCATCCTCCGCGCCATTGAGCAAAGATGTACAATCTTCGTCTTCCTGGGTGTTAGTATTGTCAAGAGACTCATCGTTTGGCCGCGTCACCATAGCTTCTCCTCCTCCGTTTGCCTCCAGCTCTCCATTTTTCAATGAGGAACGCGTCACGCGTCTTGAAGCTTTAGCTTTTTTTGCACGGTGCTCGCCGTCTTTCTCGGTGTCTACTGGAGTCGATTGCTCGGATATGCTTGTCGCAGGTGTAAGAACGGGAACCGTGGCATCAATCGCCGTTGCGTCGCTGTCCAACGCGGACGACGTAGGGGTGGAGGACGGCGAGAGCATGGGGTCCCGTGCCATAGTGATAGACGCTGGGGCAAAAGTGAAAACGGCCTCAATTGCACTGAAAGCACTCCACACACGTTGTTGGATGCTTGAAATGCCTCTTGACGCGTGCAAAGGGTATCGAGCGCGAGTTAGATGCGGGTGCTTGGCTGCGTTTAGTGTCTCATTGAAAGCGCGGCGCTTCCTTGCACAGCGGCTAATAATAATGGGCGGCAATGACAAAATAGAGTCGGAAGGGAAAGTAGAAACTCAAAGTGGAAGATCCAAGCACACTCGACTCCGAAGTCTAAAATATGTCTGGCAGGACTCAAGGTTGTTGGAAGGTTGATAGGAGTAAGTTTTGATAAGAAAGGGATGCAGCTTTTCTTCCGTGTTGGGGCACACCGACCGCCCCGTACCCGCAAACATATTACGGCGACAAGGATTTTGTGTCAAGCTGTCCTTACGGCGAGGCTACGTCTAAGGATGCGTGGCAACATTGCGTTCTACGACTTAGCAATATATCGGAAACTATCATTGTTCACTCATTTAGACATAGGAAGCTCTTCAGGAAGGAAGCAAAATCTACAATACAGTTCACATCCGTTCTCCAATTGCAAAGAGACACATCCAACCCTAGGCAGCCGGTGCCACATTGCTCCTAACGCATTTCCGAACAGATGGTGCAAGGAAAGAAAAATATGTCAGAACAGATATCCGGCCATTATACAAGGTTCACATCACAAATTCACGAATATAGAACCATCGATCTAGAATTCTAGACGCAACAAGTATAGCAACAAAAAAAAGAAATTCGAGTCTTCGTGCTTGTAAGTGAGAGACTAAGACATTAAGAAAGCTTGTAGTGCATATGTATAGTAGAGAACGGGTTTTGAAAAGCGGGTATATTTGCGAATGGGAAGCAGTGGGTAATTTAGGCAAAGGATTACATAAAAAGAGATTACTAGGTAGTAACACACGAGAGAATGGTTCAAGAAGCTTGTTGGGTATTAGGCAAAGGCCCTCTGCCACTGGGGCCTTCAAACGTAGGGGGTGCACCCTTCACACGGCTCATCTCTAGATCCCCGTTTTGAGCTTCTAAATCACGACGACGATGCTTCACCTTTTGAGTGGCAAAGCGTTGGTCCCCTTCGACGTAAGGCTTTTTGAACTCCACGTAACTGGGTGGTCGAGGTCTTCCAAGGACAGCAATCCAGTTCTTGAGGAAATTTCCTTGAGTAAACGGGCGGTGCCGATCAGCCTTTTTAAATTTTTGAGAATTGAGATATTCCCTCGTTGTTTCACCTCTCCCTACTAAGAAGAGGTGATAACACCAAAGAGCAGCCGGATATGGAAATGCGAGTGCGCCGTACAGAACCATGGCAAAAGGTACCCTCCACTTGTCTATTGATTGTTTAAAGGTGATCCCTTCCCGACTCTGATAGACCAGAATATGTGTCAAGCTTGCACCGAGAAGGAAAAGCGCACAAATTGTCGCCGAGCTAACGAAGGAAAAAAAGTAGCGATAGTTGCGACGCCCGACGCAATTATTCAGCCAAACACAATGATGATCCAGTGTTTCGATGCAGTTATCGCAGGTGCGACAGTGGTAGCACCGAGGAGGGCGCCAGAGATTGCATGTTTTGCAGTATTTTACCGGTACGTCCATAGCAGCCATATCAGAAGTGGCAAGCTTGACCATAACCCAGTCATTAGTCGGAGGTCCAAGAGTCAGTGGGTCTTCGGCGGGATTAGTGGGCGGGAAGACGTGTAGGTTCCGCGGATAGATCTAAGTGGTTGCAACGTTAGTTATGACAGTGAAAGGAAGAGGTGGTTTGGAGATACGCACTCCGGGATTTACCAATGATGCATGGAGAAATGAAGACACGCATAGGAAAAAGACGTAAGCGAACAGAATTGGTATAGCCGGAGATAAGTTATGCCATAACCATGGAGCCCTGTAATAGTAGATCAGCGGCGTGAATATTTAAAAACGCTTCAAAATCAAAAGAACGTACGAATAGCCAAAGAATAGGGCTCCAGGTAGTATCACGAATATACCTGTCGCTATGTTGACTGGACGATCGCGTGCGTTTTGAAAGCGGCCACCCCAAAAGAATATCGTGTTTCCGGTGAAATATTCATAGTTCTTTCCGAGATTTCCTTTGGGGGCAGGCTTCTCAGATTTAAGGACGTTCGAAACGGGAGAAGATGCAGCAGACGACAGCCTTTCATGGTCCCTGGAGTCAGGACGCTCCGGATGTTCGCCCTTGCTTGTTTTGAGGAACCCAGACCGGAATGAAAGAGGAGACCTTTGTGGAGGATCTTGCGATACACCTTGTTTAAAATTATTGCCTAAGTTCAGGTGAGTGGGAGCTGTACCCCTTGAGCGATCATGTAACAGTCTGACGCTATCTCCTCCGCTTCTGACGGTAGTATTCCCCGTGGGACTTGCAGTCGAAGTTCCTCTGTCAAGGAAAACTGGATCTGTGAATTCGGTTCCCCTAGACGGCGGTGGAATTTCATAATCCAGCCCACTAAGCCCGGGCAGGCCCGTCGAATTGGATATCAGGCTTCTTCTCGCCGGGTTTGCAATATCACTCTGGCCGTCTTCGCTGGAAAAGCCCTGGGTTGTTGCGGTTGGAGGGCGCCCACTGCGTTGCATTTGCAGTCTTTGAGAGCTCATCGGCCGAAAGAAAGCATGTGAGGTCAGAGATGGAACGTGCGTCCTACTTATGCGACTCCCTCCGCTTGGAGGTGGTCCGTTCCCAGGATTCGATGCTGCCGACAAAGAATGTCTGGCAGGAGGTCCGCGACGGGACGAAGACCTATAGGAACGCGTGGGAGGGCTACGAGGCCGTGGATCTCCATCTTCAGATTGTATATCCGTTATATGCGAAGAAATATATGACACGGGACGGGCGCTGATATTGGGGGATAATGGATCGGGGTCGGTGGGGTGTGGAGGATTCGGGAGAGCAGCCATGGTCGGTTATCGAATGGATATTTCAGGAGAATTAAACAATATAAGCCAAATTCATCGTGTTCCCATAATTAAAGAGAGGCCGGGTACACGCTTTTCATTTCAATTCAGAAGAGGAATAGGAATGTAAGACGGTGATAGGAGGAAAAGAAGTGATTCTTAAGAAAAGAGCAGGATGAAAGAGAAGTGCAAAAGAGTGTCAGGGATATGTCAACCAGCAGTATCAAACAACTACGCAAATTGGACCCGATGGCCAGATTCGTTGTCAAGCATCGCGATCCATCATGGACTGCGAGGCGGATTGACTCACTCACTCTCTCACACACTCTCTCCCTATGTCGCCCTGCTGCGTTTCCCTTTTCGGGCCCAAGCCGACATATCCCGCTGACTCAGCCATAGGGACCAGTCACGTGGCAGACCGGAACATCACGATCCAAATAAACCCACCACCGAGCGAACCACCCGACCCAACAGCCCAGTTCGCTCCGCAGCAGCAGCAGCCCCAATTGCTAATCCTGTCGCAGTTATATAACATCATTCCGCGATGTCATCCATTGCCGCCAACGTGGCCCGCCGGGCCATCCTGAGACAACCTCTCAGAACCGTGCGAGCCCAACCAGTTCGACGATACGCCTCCCGAGTGGAAGAAGCTGGACTCGACAAGGGACCAAAGAGAGATCCCGAGCTCTACGTACGTGCTCTAGGAAGGCATTTTCCGTACAATTATTTTAATCAAAAGTCAATGTTCTAATTTTATTTTCGATCTAGCTCCTTCTCGGTGTCATGGCCGGCGCCTTCGGGCTTGCGGGATGGTATTTTGGCAGGTCTCCCACCACCGTTACCTCCGAGAGCAACATTCGAATCGGAGAGAGTGCCATGCCTTGGGAGGTTGACGAGAAGGATGTTGAGGCACAAGGGAACTTCAAGTATCAATACCATCCTCATGGCGACAAGAACAAGCCTCTCAAGTCCGCCCCCAGTGCTTTGAACGAAGTTGTCATTCCAAACGTCACATTGCCAAAGGTATGCCCGAATTTCCTTTTCCCGTGAATATATGGCGACCGTGCTAACTCTACCTGCAGGACTTGCACGACCGATTCAACAAGTATGGAAAGGACTACTAAGATGTCAACTGTATTCTATAGCCTGAAAACACAGCGGGGAATGTGATATCGAGTTCTCTGACGCAATTGCAAACATTGTGTGTAAATAAAATCATATGTAACATCTCGGTGCGCCAATCGTTTGATACAATTTCCTTGAATAATGTCTGTCTGCTTTCATGAAAGAGCGGTTGATCTAGTGATTGTACATGTTACGCCATATTTATGACACCATTCCTCCCTAGAAACAAACCCGCCAGCCGTGACCAACAGCATCCAATTCAGACCTCATTTCGCATCCACACCAATCGCTGTATGAATAAAAACCTTAGAAACATGGAAAGTCCAAAGACCTATTACAATTCATCTGCATTTCTGGTGGCTTCCTTTCCCTCACTGGCGGGTTTTGGTTTTTGGTCTTCCTGCGGCACGGATTTTTCATCACCAGGTACGGAAGCAGGCTTGTCTCGCGGAATGTTTTTGTTGTCCTTTCCGACAGTCTCGGGGTTTTGCCCTTCGACATCCGGATGTGGTGGAGCAACGTTTTGCTTGACCTCACGTCCTTGTCCATCGATCACCCTGGTCCGTGTCTCATACCTGGTCTTAAAGGATACATTACCAGCCTTTGCCATAGAGGCAACCTGTTCTGGGTCTAAAAGGTTCCCATCTTGATCGCGGTATTCCACGGATTCTTCACTATTAATAACTCGTTGGCCTGCGGGCATCGTGAACTCTGCCTTTTCAGCAGGCTCTTTCTCCTTTTCTTTTTGCTGTTCCTGCTGTCCATTTCGCTGCGGTGGCTCCTGCGGCTGCTTTTGCTGTTGGGGAGCCGGTTCCTGCGCAGGCGCCTTCGGAGGAGTTACTGTTGCCTTTGGCTGGGATGAGCCGACGTTCGCAATAGAGGAATATTGGGCCAACTAACCCGGTTCAGTATTCGTTACTTCACGCCACGCGAGGGAGCCTTCCACTGCGGGGGACTTACGTCTGTATAGAAGGTATTGCAATCAAAGTCCCATGAGCTCAACAGCTTAACCTTGCGACAAGCATCCTGGGTCCATGGGTTGCCATATGCCAATGGAGAGAATAACGTAAATGTTGCAATGCTTGCGGCCAAAAACAAAACAAAGAACACGCTACCGGCGATGGTATTCTTCTTTGAACCGCAAAGAGTCAACCGGTTCGCGACAAAGTCGAAGATCTGACAGAATGCAATAATAGCGAAGTACAGGGCCGGCAAATAATGATGTAGGAAAAGCTGACGGGCCATGAGATAAAATGGGAAGTAGTGAAAAGCCCAGCCTAAGACTGTCTGGCCAATCTCGTAGTCGAAGCGCTTGAAATTGACATTGTGATAATCGCCGAAACCTCGCTGCCATCGAACCACTGCAAGCCCTTTAAAGATCACGTATGCCACGATTGAAGCGGTAGACGCCCACCAAATAAGAGGATTCCCAATGAGATAGATCTGACGGTGGCTTTTGGCCCAAAAATTGATGCCCCGTAACAGAAGTGGCCAAGAGGTGGGTCGAGAATCCCAAGCGTGCGATTCCACCAAACCAGCATTGGTCCTCCACATGACGCGCTGAAGCTCCCAGAACTTGGCGAAGAAACCAGGGCGTCTGTAATTGACCTTCTCCACATCCGGTCCGAACATTGGATGTTCGTTATGTTCGACATACCAGATGCTATTGGGCAGCGAACCACCTTTGGCGCAGGTCACTTCCTGCTGCTCAAAACCCCAACTCGGGAGCTTGACTGGATGCGAGAACAGAACGCAACCACTCATAACATGCACAAGCTTAAACTTAGTCTCAATGGTCCTGAGCCTTTTCTTCGCCTCTGCGCCCTTGGAAAGAGAGTTCACAATCTCAACACGGAATAGATCGTTGGCATCGCCGGGAAAGCCCTCGTAACCATAAGCAGAGACTTCATTCTGCCAGTCAGCTTCGGTGACTGGGGGCCTGTGGTCGTGAGAGTGGAGTCTTCGGTCAGTGGTAACATGATAGAGTTTGATGGTAGCACCGTTCTCAATAAAACCAGCAGTGAGGTTATCCCATGCATGAGGGCCTTGAACTTGACCATAGGATCCAAGTGGCTGTGTTTGGTTCTCCATTATCCAAATATTGTTTTCGTCCTTGTGAGGGTATAGTGTAATTTGTTGTTGCTTGCTTCCCGTTGGATACATGTGACTATGGGAATGCAAGTAGCCACCTTGCGTGTTGTGATGTCTGATCGAGACCCTAGAGCCGAATGCAACATCGGCAGGCACATCTTTCATTCCCTTGGAATTAAGTGTTGCCTGGAACTCTGAGGACATGAAACCATCACCTTCCCCAGGGTTTACTAGACAGAGAAAATGGATGGCGAACATTGCAAGGTACATAGTAAGAGGGATGATGATCAAGCAAAACGCTCGAGCGAAAAAGTGCTTGAACCAGATATCCTAGCAGCTGTACTTAGTATCATGTTCCTCAAGTGCTCAATAAGCTAAAAATTACTTACCACTGTAACGGTCCTGGTATCCCCTAGAAGCACCCAGAGCTGAAGAACTGTCAAGCTACCAACCCATGCAACTGTGAACAAACCCACCCATTTGACACTGAGAGTGGCACCTAGGAAAAGCCCAGTAGCAGTGAGCCAGAACCACCATGCAGGCCCAAATGCCTTTGACGGTCCCTGTTCATGCTGATTTGTAAAACTTGTGAATGAAAGCACTGTTAACGCCGTAAAGAAGACCAATGGAGAGTCAAGAAGGATAAATCGAGACTGGGTTACTAATCCGTTCTCTTTGTAACAGGTTAGCAGGGGATTGGGTACTAGCAGCTGCTCGAGTGGAAGCCTACCGAATGTTACAAGAAGCGCTCCGAGGGAGGCGGTTATAGTCCGACAACCGGAGGCCTTTAAGGTGAAAAACATAGTAGGAACAGATAAAATCCCGAGAACCGCCGGTAGCATGCGCATTGCAACATAAGGAACTCCAGGTTCCAAATAATCTTTGCCAATTTCTTTGAAGTCGAAATCACCACGGAATCCACCAAGGAAGCCGGCAAGAGTAATAAGCAATTTCGCCAATGGCGGGTGGACGTCCATAAAGAATTTCCCTTTTATATACTTCATCGCAAAACCGCCAAAGCTATAAAGAGAGTGATTTGTGAGCGCAGGGCTCAAAAGCGCGGGGAAACAAAAGCGAAGACTTACTGGACCTCATCGAATACGACACTGCTGGGCTGGTAGATCCTGAACAATCGTACAATTGTTGCAAGCGCCGTAATGCAGAGCATTAATTTGTAGTCGGACTTGGGCAATTCAAAAATGTCATAGTCTTGCACGCCCTCAGATGTATAGTCCGACACTTGGGCGGCAGCCTTACGCCGATTCTTGGGGCCGGGAGAACGACCAGGAGACCGGCTGCTCCGCCGAGAGGGGGATTTAGCCTCCAACCCGGCTTTAGAGGATTTCGAAGGCATTATGAAGATTAGATACTATTACTGTCGTTAAAGAAAGTGAAGATCATATGAAAACATTGGTAGAAATGAGCCAAGGAGGTTTGGAGGCTGAAGCTGAAGATTGCACAAGGAAAACGTAGATTAACGATAGTCTGAAGTCAAGAAAGGGTCACAAAATATCATAGTAAGAATGAGAGGGAGAATAGAAGATGATGCTCCCTCCAGACAAGTGAATTGGCGTGAGCGAAAGTCGGAGTGAGTTGGGCGTCGCGGTGGCCTCGACTGAAAGGGGCGGCCGTCGGAGACATCGCTTAGTCAGACGCCTGCTAGTAGACACGTGAAATTCCCGAAACGAAGCCGCAGCATCAGCTTTTGACATCGCCCCCAAGCCGCCCCAGGACGGACAAACGGCCGCAACATCGGGTAAAAATGACGCTTGCTGCAGTAAATGGACCCTCTACGCCCGCGGAGCTCCTCGAGGAGGTGAGCAAGCCTCCGGAAGGCGTAGTTGTGCCCCCCAAGGACATCAGAAGTGAGTGCCATCTCGACAGGGTTCCTCAACAGGGCTGCAACTGATGTGCCACCAGCTATTATTGAGAAAACCGCAGGCTTTGTGGCGCGGAATGGATTTGTCTTCGAAGGTACGTCTGCTTCTGCCAATGAGCTGCGTGTCTAATCACGAGTTCTCTGACTCAAGACCTCTAGATCGCGTTCGCGAGAAGGAAAGGAACAACCCTAAATTCTCCTTCTTGAACCCCGCCGATCCCTACGCAGCGTTCTACAACTGGCGCCTTAACGAAATCAAAGCCGGGAGAGGCACGGCGGTATCGGCTGGAAGGGCCGGCGAGCCAGTGGCAGTGCCTGAAGAAGAGAAGCCCAAGGGCCCAGAGGCGCCTCCAGAATTCCACTTTTCTGCGCGTATGCCGAACATAAATGCCTTGGATCTTGAGGTAGTCAAGCTGACGGCACTGTTTGTCGCCAAGAGAGGGAAATCCTTCATGACAGCGCTATCGCAACGTGAAACGAGAAATTACCAGTTTGATTTCCTACGGCCGCAGCACAGTTTATATCAATTCTTTACGAGGCTTGTAGATCAATATGCGGAACTTTTCCAAATAAATGGCGCTGACGCTGCCAAGGCGGAGAAGGAACGCATAGCTGATCTGGAAAAGAACGTAAAGAATAAGTATCACATCCTTGACCGTGCGAAACAACGAGCAGAATGGGTCAAATACCAAGAGCAACAGAAACAAAAGAAGGAAGAGGAGGAAGAGCAAGAAAGAATAGCATATGCCCAGATAGACTGGCATGATTTCGTGGTGGTCGAAACCGTCTTATTTACAGAAACTGACGATCACGCTGAGCTCCCGCCACCTACATCACTAAACGACCTTCAGACTGCATCCCTGGAGCAAAAGGCTATGGTTTCTCTTGCACCAGCAAACAGGCGCATCGAAGAAGCCATGCCTACGGATGATGAAACCAAAAACTATTACAACGCCTATCCCACCACCTCACACCTTCCACCGCAACAACCTACATACGCACCATCCCCCATCCCGACTCACCTTGCACCGTCCGTCCCCGTTCCTCAACCTCCACTTGTATCCTCACAAACCGCCACACCAGTATCAACTCCTACTCCGCCCGTCCCAATCCCTGCAGTTCCCGAACCCGAAGCCCGCGCAGTGCCAACTCCACCTCCTGTCGCCGGCCAGCCACCCATGCGCATCCGCTCCGACTACGTCCCTCGTGCCCAGGCCAAACGGCTTAACACCACCACAGTCCCAACCTCCATCTGTCCAAACTGCAAACAACAAATCCCCATCGCAGAAATGGAACAACACATGCGCATTGAGTTGCTTGATCCACGGTGGAAGGAACAGCGCGCAAAGGCCGAAGCCCGCTACGCAACTACCAACCTATCAACCGCGGATGTGGCAAATAATCTCAAGCGTCTCGCCAGCCAGCGAAGTGACGTGTTCGACCAGGTGATCACTCCCGACAATCCTCAGCCCGGGCAATTGGATGGATCCGCCGTTGACCCCGAAGAAGAAGCTCGAAGGAAGAGAATGGCTATGAGCGGCGGAGTTGACACTTCAGGGATGCCCATGCCCATGCCGATGACCGCGCCTGCTCCGGGCTCAGTCCCAGCTCCGCCGGGCTATGGTGCTGGGCCGCAAGGCGCACCGCCAGGAATGCAGCAGCGGTTTGGTGGTCCGCCACCACCTGGCCAGCCCATAAATATCGAGGAGCAGATTCGGCAGATCCACCAGAAATTCAAGCAATGAAGGGGGAAGTGTTGAAGCGAAAATTGTACTTTATATACAGGCTTTGTTCGTTTTGCTGGGGTTATTTCGCTTTCTACGTTATGGGTATGAATTGGCTTTTAAGTACATATCAATCTGGATCGGGAAGGAAGGCCACAGGTTGTTTTATTGATTGTGGGTTTCCCAATTGTCTCTGCTACACTTCAGAAGGCAATCAAGAATCAAACTTCTGCATATCAATTCCAACCCTTTTTTAATATTCGGCCCCTTTTATATTACACCTCGCCCGGGGACAAGTGCCTTTTCTCCAGACACATCTTATTATGGACTACTCTGTTCGATCCCGGCTAAGATCAAAGAATACAGTAGTAGAGGCCCTCATAAAGATTTCCTTATTATTACCTAGGTCCGAAAATGGGAGATGGGCTCCAAAAAGTGCTAATATTTGTATATATACAAGAATTCTAATCTCTCACTTATTCTCCCAGCTTCCTAATGCAATCTTAAATAAAGAAATTCCTCCCAGTCCGATGTTCTAAGGAAAAGGGGGGATAAGCGAAATATATAACCTATGTGTAGTTACCATTCCATTCTGCAAGTAGTCCCGAAGTTGGAGGCCGGAATGGAAAGAAGAAGTGCAATACAATGCAGTGGAATTTCAATAGGTATTGACATCAATGCAAAATTGACAGAGAAAGGGCTGTGCAGCCATGCAAAAAGAGGTTTCATTGCCTCAAACTTGTACTCCATATCACCACTTGGAAGGCGGAAAGAAGTGATGAAAAAGACAATCAGATATAAAAATGGAAACAGTATAGAAGTGGGCATATGCAGCTGGGTGCCCTGACGCTTGATCAACATTGAAAGCAACCATGGATGCGCTGCGGGCGTTTCAGAAGCTATTAAAATATTTAACATTAAAGTGAATAAATCAGTGCACAGCACCAGTATGGAAATTGGAAGTAATGAGAACATCAAGTTCCTGATGGGCGAAATTCTTAAAAGCTTCGGGAAGAATGGAATGACGTCAATGTTGGTAGGGTGACGGTTCAATGGATTAGGGATGTTTTAAACTGCCGCTGGTATAGTCACTTTGAGCTTCGGCTCGATAGCACTGGCTTCGATGGATCCTATAAGTGCAGGATCGGGGTTGGATTCTGTCGAAGTTGCGATATTATCTTTCGGAAGACGACCTGGGGGATTATCGTCGTGTTGAGCGTGGTTGTTATTATCGGATGTGCCGCTCACAGGCTCATTCAAAGTTTTTTCACTTTTCGCTTCTGGTTGCACAGTTTCTTCTCGAGAGATGATAGTCCCTCCGATGGATGCCCTATTCGTGTGAGAGACAAATGGGTCTTCGGGCGACACCCTGTTGTGAGTGGCACCATCTTCATCTCGCTTGCGTAACACAAGTGGCTGGTCACCGTCCGTTAAATTTCCATAACTTTTCTTTGTTGGAGAAGAGTCAATGTTTCGTATGGAAGGGTCCTTCTCGGAAGAATCCGCCTTGATGAAAGTAGGAACGACGCCGCCCCCGATTCGCGACCAGAACATACGTTCTCTGAGACGGACAGTTTCCTCCCACGCCTCTTTTTCATCCTCTTCATCTCCAATGCGGACATGGCCATCAACAATAAGCCGTAAATAGCCAACAAAATCGCAACATGATCTCATCTTTTCAAGGCAGAGTAGGCAAAGAGGATGCTTTTGGGCCGAATCGTTGTCAGAGGTCCGGAAACGGTGCGTCCGTGCATGATCATTGTCGCTTCGTTTCTCACCACATAGAGCACATGGCGGGGAGTACTTGACAGCAGCAGATGGGATTGGCTCAATTACCAACCCTCCATCACATATGCTACTTATCACAGATCGCCTTGTCAACCAGGATATACCAGGTGCGAGATCAAGTCTCAGCGTTGGTTCGATATCTTCCGTCATTACCCTTTTATAGAACTTTGACTCTTTAAGGGCAGTATATGAAGTGGATTGGCGAGGAGACGCGGAACTGCCGTTAGGCGAAGAATTAACTGCAGAGGGCGTATTTGCAGGGGCACTGGAGCGATGTTGGTGTTGTGGAGAGGTGTAGTTTCCGGCCAGGCTTGCGAGACCTATGACATTCAGTCCAGCATAAGAACCACTGACCACCCTGCTTGGTGGTTTAGAACTTGTGGACAGATGTAGTAAAGCATGAAAATCATCATAGGCCTGAATGTCCGTTCGGCAGACAGATTTTATCAGGTGAGAGAAACTCGTTGAAGGTGCTGGGGATATGTCTCCTGCACCAGGTGTAGTGGGAGACAAATTCATAGCTTCGAGCAGACGGCCTAAGTTTCCTTGCGATTGGACTGCAGCTGGTGAAGTTGGGGCAGTTGAAGGATCAGTGCGCATGTCACTGTCATCTCTGTCACTGTGCATGTGCTGCATTACCAACTTTAGCTCTGCCAGCTGTTCTTGGTGCGACGCCAGTAGCGTTTCTGTGTCTTTTATCTGTGCTTGTAATTGCTCATTCCTTTTTTCAACCGCTTCACGCTCTTTCTTTGCCGCAGCAACCATCTACAATTCATGTTAGACTAACTAATCCAATATATTCAGGTCTTATTCACTTTAGAAGTGAATACATACCTTATTGGCCTCTTCAAACAGAGCTGCAGTTAGATCTGCCAGTTCTTGCTCAATTCCTTTCTTTTCCCTCTCAACAATCATTCTGCGGCCCCTTTCTTCTTCCAGTTCTTTCTTGAGCTGCATTTTTTCAGACTCCACTTTGTCGTGCCGGATCAATATACCATTGGAAATGTCTTCCTGATGTTTCTTGTTTTCTTCCTCTAATTGAAGAACTCTTTCCCGAGATAACTCTAGTTCTTGACGGGTTGCCGCCAAGGTATCGTCAAGAACTGTTTGGTTGTTAATTGCTTGGATGAGCTTATCGCTCAACGCAGCCACTTCATTGCTCAGGTCTGGATGCCTTGGAGACGAGGCGGCAGTTCGAGACAAGTCCGTGGTACTCGCAGTTCTAGGATCACGCAGTGTATTGAGCAAGGAATCAGATTCAAAGGATTGGGGCTTGGCTGTTTTCGAGCCACCCAACATGTCAGACAGAGCATTGGCTGACTTGGCTCGAAAGACTGTTTTGCTGGAGGTAAGGGATCGGAGCTTCGAAGTGGAGCGTGTCTCTCGTTTCTCTGGCCGTTCCGACACAGCGGACTCCGTTTGAAGGGGAGGGTGAGACCACCCATGAAGCGACATTAATCTATCGAGCGGTTAGGGCTGATGAAAAAGAAGCCGGGAGGACCGAATGGAGAAGAAAAGGACTAGTAGGAACAACTGACTCGGCCATGGTTTGTATGACAAAGGAATGACTGTGGTGCTGCGATCGGGATTAAGGTTCAGAATGACTGGTTCGTTCAAATGAGCGTATGATGATGATGATGATGCAGGTGAGGTGCGGTTGTGAGCTTCGGCGGTTCGCGGGTTAACCAATAAGAGGAACCATCTTTCGGGAATTGTCCAAAGAGAAGGATACGACCGACGTGGTGATTGGAACGGTTTCCTCCTCTTCCCTCCGACAAGACAAGTGCAAAAAGGGTCGAGAGACGGACAATGTGGTTTCTGTCGGAGGGGAAAGACGAGAGGCGAACGGCCGTGAGTGAGGTGAGCGGGAGAGCGAGGGAAACCAGGGCGGCTTAAGGCAAAGTCCAGGGTCACCGATCAGGCAAAGCGTGACGAGCTAGCTCGCGAGGTGGAGCCCGGGTAAAGCGTGCAAACAGTTTCAGCTGCGGAGATGCTCGTTGCTGGGCGCCGCCGGCTCGTCACGCTGCAGCTGCACAGTACATAATGAAGGTCTGTGGCTATCCGCCAGAGGAATGGGGGCCAGAGCGGGTAGAGACGTTGGGATTGTCAAGAACAAGGGAAGCGCTGGAACACGGTTACTCAGGTTTACGGAGAGCCTGTGGGAAGGTTACAGGAGAAATGCAAGCTCCTCCCATGGGCCGAGTGGCAGTGAAACCTGGTCTCACCCACCCTTTATTTCGATGCACAAGCTCGCCGGTGCGTGCGCCCAAGCACCCTGATGCTTATGTAACTAGTATTAGTTTAGTCGGTCAAAATTTCATGGACGGCGTGACTCGCTCACCGGGCGGGCAAGTCGGAGACTCTTGTCGCGGGATCGAGCTACATACATACTTTGGAGAAGCTAGCTGTGATCGACATGAGCACAGCAACAACAGCCTGGAGATAGGTCAGAAAACAAGCCTATTTACGTAGGAGTTATTTATCGATCGATCGATTGCTGGTTTGTGACAAGGAAGCCTTCTCGAAGAACTGACCCGCCGCGCTAGTTAACCGTGACTGCGGGGTCCGGGTTCAGAAGATCATCACGCATCGAGGCTAACAAAAATGTCGTCAAAGTCTCCTCCGCCGCCAATACGACGCTGTCGTCGAGGCAAACAGTCAAGGCTCTGACTTCGAAGTAACCCCTCCCTACCGGGGCGATTCAATACGAACAAAGCAAAAACAAGAATCCCGTTGCGTCAAGAGACCAGACGGAGTCCCTATCTCGTTCCAGATGGCCGACTCAGAGCTTGAAGAGGTATGCTTGGCTGATAAAAACCAACAAGAAAAAAAAAAAAAAAAAAGGAAATCCGTGCTTAAAACCCTCACTTTTAGATCAGAAGAGCGCGGCTCGCGCAGTTACAACAACAAGGGGGTGCTGGTGGAGCTGGCGCCCCCAACCCAGAAGAACAGCGAAGGTAAGAAAAAAAAAGGACCTTCTGCGACCCTGCTCAGTATTATTCACTGTGCTAACGCACTCATCTGAAGACAACAAGAAGGTAATAATGTATCCCTCCTTCCAGAGCCTGTGTTCGTGATAATACTCGACAAAGCGGCGTAAAACCCTTTCATTAACAATTTCCGCTCACACGCTCTACAGCCGATGCTCGTCAAGCTATCTTATCCCAGATCCTCCTCCCAGAAGCCGCTGACCGTTTAAACCGCATTCGCATGGTCAAAGAAACCCGTGCCACCGATGTCGAAAATCGGCTGATCATGCTCGCACGAACTGGGCAACTCCGAGCAAAGGTTACGGAAGATCAGCTAAAGGACCTGCTTAATGCAGTCGCAGAGAATAAGGAAGAGGAAAAGATTATCATCAGTCGTCGAAAAGGCGGATGGGATGACGATGATGACTTATTGGATTTGTGATGATTACCGGACCCATTTGACACTTTCACGACTGCATTTGCCACCATGGATGATCATTTGACTCAGCTTGAGTGCTGTCAGCTTCTAAATATGCATACTTGAATAATGAACAGAGAGGAAAGGCAGATTACCCAATATGCGAGATTCGAACCATGCCCCGTAACGCCATGCTATAGTACAAATACCCCGGTCACAAATACATACTCATGACTTTATCACTGCCTCTTTTGCCGCTTTCTTCTGTTCTCTAACTTTCTTCCTTATGTCTCTCAAATCCGGAGGCTTCTCGATATTGAGTTCCTCCCTCAATTCATTCACATCTCTTTCTAGTTGTTCCTCCCAGTAAACATTGATCAGCTCTTTACTCGCCAAGCCGCTTCTAATGGCCCAAGGCAAGTGAATACTCCAAAATCTCTGCTTTTCTTCCGGTTTCAGCCTGATGGCCGCAAACACACTCAATCCAGTCATTGGAATCAGCGTGTTCATAAACTCAAACGCCTTCAGTGCGATTTCACCCTCCACCACGATCGGCAGGCCTGTCACTGCATGGTAGAAATCGTGACACTCGCGATACCGCTGCATTACATAGGCGCATTCTTCATCATCGATGTACTGCACACTGCTGCGGGTGTCTGGGCTGACACCCTCCCGGTCGAGCCAGGTAGCGTAGGTGTACCCAACGGTGTTTTTAGGCAGGCTGCGGAGGTAGGGAAGGGAAAGTGTCTGTGAGGTTATTCGGGGGCGGTCACGGAGGATTCGTCGGCCGGTGGGGTCCGCGAGCATGGCATCGCGGAGACGATAGATGAAGAATGGCGTTGCGGTGGTTTCGCCGACAGTTGCTATTAGATCTGCATGTTCGTTAGGTCGCATATTCCTAGCTTGAAGGCAAGGGATTGGAAGAAATTGAAAAAAAGTTACCTCCCCGCCGAGGATTCAACAGTGATCCCACAGCCGACCCAATTGCTAGAGCTCCCCGCTCTATCGGTGTCAAAGGTATATGTCCCGGATAATTTGGTTGAGGGCGATTGAGAACGGAGAATTCGCGGGCAACGCTTCGCTGTGCGCATAAGACTCGTAAAGAGCGCAAGCCCACGGCTCTCGCTCTCACTGACTTTGCTATTGCCATTATCGAACAACTGACCCCAGGAGCGAGATTGTAGAAGGGCCAAATCTGCGCCGCAGCACCAGCCGAAGAGCAAGGTGTGATGGGACGATCCCGGCGATCGGCACCTGCAGCATCGTTGGTCCCTGGCGAGCGCCGTAACGAACTAGTTAAGTTAGCGTCTTTGCGCATAACTCCGCAAAAGTCCGTGGCTCGAAGCCAAATCTACTCATCCTGCATACTCCCGCACCTTGTTATTGATTCTTTCAATGCTTTACACTGGGAAAATGGAAACCATTAAAAATTACTTGATTCTTTCGTCCTTTATCTTTTATCCTCCACAGTAGTCCACTGAGATTCGTGGCTGTGGTTACCACAATGGCCCCTGAGACTTTTGCCTCTGCAGGCAAAAAGCATGAAGAATTCACACAGTGGGCCAAAGATCAGGGAATACAGATCAACGGCGTAGCTGCTGTTAGGTTTCCAGGTAGAGGGATAGGCATTGCTGCATTAAGGGGCATTGATGTATGGGATCTGCACGCTTATCGCTTCCTCAAGATTTCGTCCTCAACCCGTCCTCCATCCCCTTGTTTGGCCGAGTTTCGAGCATATATTTTTGTGTTTTGATTCTGTTTCTGTTTCGAAAGCTAATGTTTTAACTACTTTCGTTTAGGCTGGAGAAACAATCGTCTCTGTTCCAACATCCAGCCTTCTAACACTAGACAAAATTCCCTCGACGTTCAGGGAGAAGTTCCAAGGAGACACTCCTGTCCAGGGCATATTTGCCGCATATCTAGCCTGTGATGATGACGCGCGGTCCAGGTATGCTCCATGGCGCGCAACATGGCCCACCATGCGGGATTTTGAGGATTCAATCCCGCTACTTTGGCCAAAATATCTCATAGGGACTCCGGGCGATGAGCTCAAAGGCCAAGGGGAAACCACAGGGCGAGGACAGGAGGTTTTTCCATCTTTATTGCCTCCCTCCATATCTGGTCACTTCAACTTATCGAATAGGGTCGGTCGATTTTCTGGTGATTACACCCCTGACCACCAGAACCTCCTCGAAAATCAGCGTAGCAGGTTCCGAAAGGCTTTCAGCCGCGTGAAACTGGCTTGTCCAGGTATAAACCTGGAAATATTCACTTATTATTGGTTTGCCACACATACAAGATGTTTCTTTTATGTAGCGAAAGATTCAGAAGTGCCGGAAGACCGTAATGATGCGATGGCATTGTGTCCGTTTGCCGATTATTTCAATCATTCAAGCAATGACCCTGGGGTAGGCCACCGGTTTTCCCTCCTTTTATTGAAAAATTTAGTATATTTTGCAGCTCTAAGCAATCCGGTCTGATCCATTTTTGTACACGTTGTGACGTGCAGTGCAAAGCTAGCTTTGATGGAGATGGATATACATTTACAGCAACAAAATCCTACGGTATGGATTTGAACCCAACTACCGACGCTGAATCTGATGAAGTCGTACATTTCTAGCGAAAGGAGAAGAGGTATTCGTGTGCTATGGGAATCATACAAGCGATGTCCTACTAACGGATTGTAAGTGAGCAGCTTCCACATGTATATACAATATCTCCCTGTCTAAGCCATGAAAAATATAGACGGATTTGTACCGGATGAAAATAAATGGGACGCCATTTTCTTGGATGACATTGTGCTCCAGGATATCAATAAGATAAAGAGACGCTATCTCAAAGAAGATAACTATCTTGGGTAAATCTAACCCTCACGACACGAGTGAAAGCTTATCTCCTGCAATGCTAATGCTGATGTACCGAAAAGCAACTATCAAGTCACACGTGCCGGTCCATGTTTTCGCACCGAGGTGGCCGCTTCACTGACGTATATGTCTGTAGACGACTGGAGTTTGTATGTCGGAGGTACCATCCCATCCAGCTTTGACTCGGAGAAAACGGACAGAATCGTGGCTAGCTGGATACGCAAATATCGTGACGAGGCCGATTTGGCGATTGCGAGGGTAGAAGGCATGGTTAGAAGTGGTATATACGAAACGGCTAATCGGCTCAAATCCATTATTTTGCGATGGAAGCAGATAAGAGAATTATGCAGCGTCGCATTGGATTCGTTAGAGCCGTCAACTTGAGAGTCAATAAAAGTGATATACAAATAACCACATCAATCGAGTCTAGCGCCAGCACAAAATGCCATAGGAATGACATAAACGATATCAAGTCGAGCCGATATTTCTAGTCGGCTCCGTAAACTAGACAGCGGGCCGGTCTTTACTTCGGTACCGAGGGATCAAGTGGAATCTGGCCCTGCATCTTCTTCGAAAGCATCCTCGTCTTCGCCAGTACCATCTGAACAAGCATATAATTAAGGGCGCACTTAACACCCAGCTCTTCTCCTCGTCGAACAATGTACCCATTAATGTATTCGATCTCTGTCTCTTTTCCCATTCTCATATCTTGCAGCATTGAACTCGTATTCTCTGCAGTCTTATGCATGACGCTGACCGCCAGGGTACGTAATCTTTCAGGTGAAAATCGAGCCATAACACCAGGTATGCCTTGCAGTTCGGGAAGAGCACGAATAACGGTAGATATTTCGATGAGTAATAGTTTTTGCACTCGGGAAACATTGTAATTGTAAAGGAGATCGCCGTTCTGGCAGTCGTTCAGAGCAGTGAGTGGGTTGATTACACAGTTGATGGCAAGCTTTTCAAGTTGAAATTGAAGCATTTCATTCTTGTTGATTCGAATTGCAGTTAACTCGGGCGAACGAGTTAGCGTGTTGGTGAGGTAGATCGATGAGATAGCCCAATAATCTCTGTCGTTAAACTTCTCCCCAGGCTTAATATTTCCCGCCTCGTCAACTGGTGCACGTGGCCGTTCCGGATACACGATACTGAAAGCGGATGTTCCAACTCCAGCGTGGGTGATGTGATAAGCTTTCGTGTAATAGAGCCCATGCGATGTAATGCCCTGGATATAATTCGGCCTTGTAGCAGGATCCGGAAAGATTTTCTCATTGACTTCTTCACGAATGCCCATCCCGTTCTGAATAAACACTATCGCCGACTGGGGAGTAAGTCGGTGACGTACAGACTTCAGCGCCTGCTCGACTTGAGTCGCCTTGACCGCCAAAATTAGACTGTCGATTTTTTCGTTGTTCACATCAATGAACTGCTCATCTGTCCTGCCTTGATGCACACCTTGTGCATTTTCGGGTTCCCCGGGTTTGAATTCAGAAGGCTTATACGGTTCATACCAGATTCCGTCCCTCAGGACGTTGACATCGAAGCCGCTTCTCGGCTCGGCAATTCCGTTCTTGACTAACGTAAGACGTTTCCCATACTTCTTCCACGCAAAATAGTGTTCGACCTTATGTAGAAGCAGAGTAATTGGAGGCCTGTTTGGCAATGAAGCAATTGAGTGCGCAACGAAGCCTCCTATATTTCCAATTCCCAGGACATGTATCCTTCTTGATATTGGGTTGCGTACGCCCGGCTCAGGGATTGGGCCTTCATCTTGTGCCTCAATTTGCCTCTTTGGACCGACCATAAAACTCCGGCCTTTGTTAAAAGAGAGCTTCGATAATAAGGTCCGATGGCACAGGCACCACCTCAGAGCGGGCTGAGGAGTATGCCGCACCGGACTCATTTTCAACACAGAACAACGTCGTGTTCTCACCTAAAGGACAAAGGTGATACCCGCAACATTGTGGAAAACTTGATTTTAAAAGTAAGAATATGCGCTTGTAATTCACTTGGGCTATCACCTCCTCCGCAAGATAAGCATTGGTTAAAGGGAGATTTGGGAAGCCTTTTGAGGTTTGATGCCGTCGCTGATTGGAGGATCTCGTCGTGACGGAGCTAGATCATATTCAGCCTAGCGCTCTAAGCTGTCACAGTTTTGAATTCGGGTTTGCTAAAAAAGTTGTCTTAACTCACCAGACCGCGTGAAGTTCACGCAAAATATATTATGCACAACTCCGCAGCCATGGAGATGACAGATTTGACGCCGCTGGGAGACCAGCTGGAAGGCGATATTGATGAACTGGAGGAAGTTTTAGAGCCGCTCTTGAGCCAGACCTTGTCCACAGCGACCCAGAAAATGACAGTCATGGACAAGGCGAAGCTGCATGTACTCATCACATATACGATTGAATCCCTTCTTTTTTGTACGTTCAATTCGCACTATTTTACGGAGTTAATATGGGATAACAGCTGACGATAGGACAGCGTATTTACGTCTACAGGGCGTAAATGCAAAGGAACACTCTGTTTTTAAAGAATTGACCCGAGTGAAACAGTACTTTGCAAAGATAAAGAATCTAGAAACAGTGCCAGAGAAGCCGACTATGACACTTGATAAGCAAGCAGCGGCGAGATTCATAAAACACGGCCTCGTGAGTCCCATGGAGAGAATGCTTGGAATAAAGACCCACTGACAGATTGCAATATAAGGCCGGGAACGATAAAATTGACTTAGAGAGAGCCGAAAGAGAGGCCAAAGAACGAGCTATGGCTCAGCTAAGGGCGGCGCAACTCGCTAGAAAGCAAGGGGAGACAGTTACGGCTGCTACTCCTGCTGATTCTCTTCCCCAGAAGCGTCCTGCAGAGGACGAGGAGGAATCGGAAAATGATGATGGCGACACAGGAAATGAGTATGAGGCGAGCAGCAATACCGGGGAAGGAGATCATGAAGTGACTGCCCATCCCAACAGAGAACCCGGGAAAAAGCGAAACCGGGCCAGTAAACGAACAAGGGAAAGGAGACGAGGACAGGGGCGCTCTGATGTGGCAGATGTTGAGAAGCGCTCACTTAATAAGGAAAAGACTAGGCGAGAGAAAAAGCGCATGAAAAGGCCGAGAAAGCAAAAAAAAAATAAACCGCAAGATTAGCAGTCAGCCTCTAGCCTGACAAGGATGTATAGCACGCCCGGCTTTCACTTGCCTTCAACCTCTTGCCGAGGGTCAGAGCTCTTGGTATTTATAACGCCAAAGAGAACTGGGAAGACTGCCGTTTTGTTGTTCGTGTGCAAACGAGTTCAATCAGAGTTCGGATACTGTGGCCATTTCTGCTCTCTCTGTGTTGGCCCTATCACCCTGAAGTGCTCCAAGGAATGGCTGAGCGGGGAATCTCCCTCGCAAATGGATAGTTTGCATTTAATTCTGGCAATGGATAGATACCCACAGTCAAGTTTAATGTAGCGCCCTTTTTTTTTTTTTTTTTTTTTTTTAAATTTCTCTCCCAGGTCCTGCTGATCTCCCTTGCCTCTGGAAAGTTTGAACCTCTGAGAATGTTGTCGAATCATTTGTAAGGCGATGACAATACGCCCCGGATTCAGCAACTCTCCACCAATAGAATGTCATGTTAAAAGCATCGGCCCGAATTTCTCCATTTCGCCTGCCGATATGTAATTTTCCGATACCGATTTCTTACTTCAAATTCCTCAGCACCCTCTGATCTCCAAATCCCTCGACACTCATCATAGCCACTCCGCCTTACCCATTCTGCCTTCTCCTTCTTCTTCTTTAAAAACACAACCATCTCAGAAGACATCAAGATGGCTCGCCAACGTCGTGGTGCCGCTCCCACTCCGGCCCGCCGTGCCCCAGCCAGACCTACTCCCGCTCCTGCCGCCCCAGCTCAGACTCAGCATCGTGCCTCTTCAACGGCCGCCGCACCACCACCTGCAGCTCCAGCAGCCCAGCAGGCAGCTCCGCCTCAGGCTGTCCAGCAGAGCCAGGGACCTGGTCTATTTGCTCAGATGGCTTCCACTGCCGCGTAAGTTACATCCTGTCTCCCCGAACGTACCGTTGAGTAGGTTGCCACGTATCCGGCGATGCAGGGCAGGCCAGCGAAGAAAAAAAAAAAGTATCAGTACGCTAACGCTCCCTTTATAGTGGTGTCGCAGTAGGGTCCTCCATCGGTCACGCCGTCGGCAGCTTCTTCACTGGTGGATCGTCCAGCGCTCCGGCAGAGGCTGCTCAAGCTCCTCCCGCTTCGTCCGCACCTATGGACAACAGTTTGTACCAGAGCAACTCCAGCAGCTGGGGCCAATCTCAAGCGTGCGAAACCGATGTCAAAGCGTTCCGTACCTGCATGGATGAGCACTCTGGAAATATGTCCATTTGCGGATGGTATTTGGATCAGTTGGTATGTGGAGAAAGACATCTTTATTGGAATTGTTGACCGCTACGATGCTAATCAATGCTCTTTTGTTCATTTTAACAGAAAGCTTGTCAAGAAGCTGCTAAGCAGTACTAAGCATATCGCATTATGGACAAGACCACCCGGGTCTTGATGGCTGGGGGAGGAAAGGTCGACTTCTACACTACGTAGCGTTGATTCAGATACCTATACACATACAGCAATCATCGGCTGTGCTTTTTAAACTACCCCATTTTGTACAATAAGCAAATCACATACAGATATCCGCGAGTCGGGTTTCTCCCGGCTGTGAGTTGGACTTGAGTATTTAATGTAGCTCGTTCCACTCAATCAATCTCTTACCTTTCCTATCATAGAAGCTACTTCCTAATAATGGTATCTCTGTGAGCGAAAGCCCCGAGGGTATAATAGTATACATAGATGAAACAACATTCCGGCCGTTGATCCGCATCGGCTATCAAAATCCGTATAGCCAGAGTTGTCCCAAGGAAACAAAGCATGTCATACCAGTTGAGTGCAAGGCAAGGCACCCAAAGGCATTTAAAAAAGTATCAGGGAGAGCTAGTCATTTTTATCCTGATCTATTCTTGGCTCAAAATTTAACTGAGAGCATATGGTATTAGCGTATCTGAGACAACTCAACTGCGCTCGTTGAAAAGTAGACCTACCTGATTTCCGTTGTAAAACTGGCGATCCGCTTCATCGGAAGGCCCATCATAAAGTGTCCTTATATTGTTAGAGCGAGGAGAACGCGGGTTGCGTACGGAATTTTCCCCAGCTCCGGTTGCTTGTTCAGCACGGCTAGAAGTCTCTGGCGGAGACGCTGGTTGACCATGCGTGAGTCCAAGAAAAGAGCCCAACGCGCCTGCAACTGTTCCAACGGCGCCGGTAACCAGATTATATCCAGCGTATAATCCCCGAACCGGAAGAGACGATTCCGAAGTTGCGTATGCCTCTGTGTAGCTGTGTATAGGTACCATAACAAGGTTAGCGGTGGGACCCAAGCCAAGGTCACTGAGAGATTGGTTCTCTTCTGAAATGGAAATCGTCTTGTTCGGAAGAGGAGTCAAGATTTGTTTGAGGTTATATGGCGTGTTTCCATCAGTGCGCTGACTATCAATCCACGGACGCACATCGTTACGGACTGTCTGAGTAGGGAAAAATTTTGATCGGATAGAACTACCGTCAAAAACACGGACCTGGAGTCGATATTCGGATGCTCTATCGCGCTGTGTGATGGGTCTGGGACGCTGTTCGGTATCCTGGGAATCGCTCTGTTGGGTGTGAGACAATCTCTGCTGCTCTGCTCTTGCTCTCCGCTCTTCTTTGTCCTGTCGTATCAAAGCTAATACGCGCTCTCTTTCCTCTCTTTCCCGTCGTTCTCTGCTAAATTGCTGTTGCCTCCAAATTTTCTGTGTATTTCCCGCAGGGTCTCGAGGCCGGGACACCGGTTCTGGAGACGCAGCTCGTCTTTTCCCCTGCCGTACGCTCTCGCGTCTTGCGATTTCAGCGGGAGTTTCTTCTTCCGAAGGCTCGGGTTCTGGAGCAGGGGTGTTGACATTGTCGCTACTTGGCGAGGGAGTCGGGACTTGATGCGTCGGTTGGGAAAGCGCTTCTGATTGTGATGCTTGTGATGCTTGCAGCACTTGGGTTGGGTTTAGTATTGTTTTCAGCCGTTTCTTCAACTCGTCCTCGGCCGTTCCGGACACAATATACTCTTGAAGAACACCGTTCCTTCAAAAATTAGCGGAACGAGCATAGGCAACCAATGGAATTTAGGACCTACTTAATAGCAACAAGCGTGGGTATCTTGTTGATTGGACAGAATGATGCTAAGAAGCCTGCTTCCTGTGAACCAGCAGTGAGCCGCAGAGCTACGCTGTTTGATGTTAACAATTGAGTTATCTGCACGGTGATTAGCAGGATTCTGAGGGAAAAACCATAGTACTGCAACTCTTACCTCTTCATCTGCGAGGTATTCATCCTCCCATCTCGTGCTTTCTTCTCCTTCATCTATTAAGGGAAGTAAACCGTGTTAGATAGGTCGAAGACCCGGCAGCCCGCACAGTACGGCGGCCTTACCTCGAACAAAGCACACGACCTGCTTCGCCTGTTGCACGGCAAGTGTGATCCCACTCTGAAGATCTCCTTCGTAGAACATGGCTAAGATGGCGATTCACAGTCAAACTTTCTGTTTCCCGCTGGTTCTTCTCGCACGTTAGGCTGTCGAGTAGGAAGTGCCATGCGGGGATGCACGGGCCACTCGAGAATGTCTACATAACAAGCGCACTAACTAGTTAAACTACCTTGATAGCTGCGTATCAAACCTTAGTATGCTGTCGCTCCAGCCGTCCGACTGTACGCTTCACGTCTTGTCCGTTGTACACCAAAAACGACAGCTATGGTTTAGCTGAGACCAATTCCAACGTTGATCTCGAGGGTTCGTGATTCGATCTATCGGAGCTAATGCTCCGCCAGGACGCCGTACTGGTGATAGGTTCATCGTTACTCCGTACACTGAAGATAAACTCTGGAGACGCAACATGCGTAGTAGGAACTAGAGCCCAGGAACAATTCACCGATCGGTGTCAGAGCAGCTGGCTTTTACTTAAATTATGCATCCATGCCTCACTGTCCCAATTCGTATTTTCGTTCCCTGTGGCTCCCGTCGTCCTTGTCTGAACCTTTCGTGGCTGTACGGAAGTATGGCCCGGATTCTTAAATAGCGTTGACTTCGACCAGGGAAATTGGTCGTCGTCGACGATATCGATCCAGCTATCGAGTTTGTTTCTCGCTGGATGTCTGAGCTTATCCAACTAACTACCCAGAAACCCAACCATGATTTCTGAACCGCCATTATTACCCCTGGATTGAGCACTAATCTCCCATCGACATCAATTCGCAAAACGAACACGCCTGGCGTTGGGGATATTATGTCCTCTTTGCCATTAGTCTCTTATTTCTACTTCTAAAAGATAATCATGGCTTCAGAAAACAGCCCGAGATTTCTGAATTATCCAGAAGCTAAACAAGGGTAGGCCCATGGCAATATCACATCCAAACAACAATTCTGACGACTATGTGACCGTTGACACTACTTAGGCCCAAGGTTCCGTACAAAAATGATAGAAAACAAAACCCTACTATGAGGGGTTTGGTAGTGACCATTGGGGCTTTTTTGTTGGTAAATTGACCATATGAGCGGGATATGCCCAACTGACTTGAACTTAGGTTCAAAAGGCTACGCTTCCTTCGAAGGTTTATATGGTTTAACGCTGGATTCGGAGACTTGCGTCGTATCAGAGAACACCTGGAGGACTATGAGCCTAGATTTGATCCCACTGTTATCCCTGTACTGGATCCCATCAGCGCAGAGAGGGAAGATGACCTCTTGCTTCACACCGATAAAAACCCTGTATCACAAAAGGAGCATATAAGATACTACTCGGTTAACGACTACCATAATATGTATATGTCAGGTGAATTAACGCCAACAGCGGTTGTGAAGGCCATACTTCCCCTAATTCGGCGCGATATTATACCGCAAGGCGAGCATTCGTTAGCTTGGTTCGACACCAAGGTTGATCTAGTTCTGGCTGCAGCGGAAGCATCGACATTGCGATACAAGAGAAAGCGCCCGCTCGGCCTATTAGACGGCGTCCCCACGGCTGTCAAAGATGAATACGACATTGATGGTTACAGAACGTGCTTGGGATCCGTGAACGACTATACTGGTGAGGCAGAGCCGGAGAAATCAATCACCAGTTGGTGTGTAAGGCAGCTGGAAGAGGCTGGAGCTGTTGTTCTTGGAAAGCTCTCCATGCCCGAATTCGGCCTTGGTATCCATCCAACCTCTCCTGTTTTTTCCTTGTAAGTTACTCACGATATTCGCAGACACATCTGGGAACAATCCCATCTATGGTACGCCGTGTAATCCTTACTGCAGTCGGTACTACACTGGAGGAAGCTCCTCAGGCTCAGCCTATGCTGTTAGCACTGGCCTGATTCCCATGGCCTTAGGGAGCGACGGCGGCGGGAGTATCCGCATACCCTCCGCTTTTTGCTCTGTATATGGGTTGAAGCCCACACATAGCAGGCTCTCGCACCGTCCAGGGTGCAACCATTCCAATACTTGCGCCGTAAACGGTCCAATTGCTGCTGACATACGCTCTCTTGCTCTTCTCTACCATGTGATCGGCACGCCTCACCCTTCATCCCACTTTCCGTCTCTCTCGCCTCCCCTATCGCCTCCGCTTCGGCCCAGGAATAAGATCCTAGGCATTCCCGAAACGTGGTTCTCGCGATCAACCCCGGCGATTCAGCGCCTCTGCCGCTCGCTGTTGGATAAACTTGTTTCCGCCCATAATTATACCCTCATGCCCATAGAAATCCCCTTCCTGGTAGAGGGTCAAACTGCACACGCGATGACTGTTCTAACTGACGCTGCCACGCTCCTTCCAAACACGGACAATTTCACTGCGGCAAACCAAATAATGATCGGTCTCGGTACCATCACTCCAGCCACTGACTTTCTGCTAGCCCAAAAACTACGCCAACTCTTAATGCAGCATCTCGCCCATCTGTGGAAGGAATACCCTGGAATGATCATTGTTACACCTACAACCAGTTGTGCAGGGTGGCCCATCCGTTCTAAATCGGAGTTGCAGTATGGACTTAACGATGGTAACCATATCTTAAAGACGATGGAATATGTATGGATGGCGAATTTCACAGGTGCTCCTGCCCTGAGCGTTCCGGTAGGGTATATCGTGCCTGAAGGCTCGGAGGGTGCAGGGGAAGAGGCGGACCGAGATGTCGCCGGTAAAGTCCCTGTTGGTCTGATGGGAATGGGTGAATGGGCCAGTGAGGATAACTTACTGCAATGGGGATTAGAAGCCGAAGACGTCGGAAAAGACAGGCTCTCAAGGCCACCAATTTGGGTGGATGTCGTTGAAAGGGCAAAAAAGGAAATGAAAAATTCTCGCCATATCAATGTGGCTACAAAGTCGAGCCAGAGTTGAACGTGACGGTGCTATCGTGGATCGGGATATGGAGAACTCCGAACATTGCATCAAATGCTTTCTTTTCTGCTCAATTGACCAATGTAATACTAGTCTTCACTCTCTAACAAAGGTAAGACGGGACCTATGTATATGCCTAATATACATCCATTGGTCACCAGGTATTGAGAGCCAGGTTTGGTTACTTTTTCTCATTTTACGAATAAGCCCATGGCGCATGTCTTCGTGTCTCCGCGTCGGTATTTTGGACCATATATACTCCGGGCAGGCACCGGAATGTTCATAATACCAGTAGGATATAGGCTGATGGTCAGACTCCGAACATCCACGTAATGGTGCGACTGTCAAACAAATCTGATTTATAGAGAAAAACAGAAGACAACGGGCACAAATCTCGTCATCCTCCGTTGATATAGAAGAGTGTCAGGAGATCGATGGGAAACACACGCTAGTGGGTGCGACTAATCCGAAGTTAGTTAGTCAGCTGCAATTCAAATCGGCGATCGTCAAGCGGCAAGTTCGCGGGTTTGCGGCCGTGACAGACATACTTTTGAAGACGAGCTACCATTCTTCTACTAAATAGCACAACTAACCGCTCTTTATAACGTACACCTTCTTTCCGGGCTTCTGGCGGGGTGACCGGCGTGGGGTGAAGTCGATGAAATCCTCACCTATTCTTCGAAGGAGTTTAACCTCCGTATTCAATCAATCATTCCGCCAGAACGGCCCCAATCGTCTCCGGAACATATGCTCGCGGTGCTGGAGACAGCAACGGCAACAACAACAACAACAAGTCCGTTTCGCACATACCCCGGCAGATGACCCGAACTGGATCTCCGTTGCAGATAATCCTTCGAAGCTTGTACGAACCGGCCACAAACATGGTCCCGGATTGATTTTACTTGGTTTGTCCCTCAAATCTCTGAAAATAACTCTTGTGAGGTAGTAGAATCGTGCTAATCGTATGATAATGGATCTAGCTCTTATTCCTATCACTGCCTTCGCCCTCGGAACATGGCAGGTGCAGCGACTTGACTGGAAAACCAAATTAATAACAAAATTTGAAGACCGTCTCGTTAAACCCCCGCTCCCTCTACCCCCTGTCGTCGATCCTGATGCCGTATCCGATTTCGACTATCGTCGCGTATATGCTAAGGGCCGTTTTAGACACGATCAGGAAATGTTGATTGGCCCCCGGATGTACGACAGTAAAGATGGATACCTAGTAGTCACGCCGTTCGAAAGAGGAGACGGGGAGAGCACGATTCTCATCAGTCGAGGTTGGATTTCAAAATCTCTGAAAAACCAAAAAGATAGGCCTGAGGGGCTACCGCAGGGAGAGGTTGTTGTGGAAGGACTGCTTCGGTCTCCTTGGAAAAAAAATATGTTCACTCCTGATAATAAACCAGAGGAGGGAAAGTTCTACTTCCCGGACGTGAATCAAATGGCTGAGTTTACGGGCAGCCAACCAATATGGATTGAGGAAACTATGCGTATGTGTCCCTTTTGCTAAACTCCACTGTGTTAGAGCTGGTGCTGACCGAAGTAGAACCGGAACTGCTGGAACAGTATCATAGAGAAGCTAACGGTATACCGATTGGGCGTCCTCCGGAAGTCAACCTCAGAAATAACCATACCCAGTATATTTTCACCTGGTAAGCGATTCCCTGCTTTGTTTGCTTATTGCCAGGTGTTGGCAGCAGCGCAGCTAATAGTTTACAAGGTATGGTCTTTCTTTGGCCACATCGGTAATGTTATGGATGGTAGTTCGAAAGAAGCCGAATACCGCCGCCCGGAGAATTCGACAAAGTAAGAACTGGTAGCAACAAACTTCACCTGCATCTCCACTCTTTGTATCAATGAACGATCCCGAGTTTCAAGCTCTATGCGCATGAAGTGTCACTTTTTAGCAAGGCGGATATCCTGAAGCAGCTCTTTTGGCAGATATTTCTGCGCGAGAGCGAATACGGAAGTGCCTTTTCCAATTTGCCGTTGTCTGCCTTAAATTAGCCTGGTCATTACGACTATTGATGGAGTAGATCGAGAATACCTTTTCATAAGAGCTATGACATCTGTTTCATCTACCGTCTTCCGGGTTGAATGTTTGGAATATGCGCTCAAGTCGTCATTCGCTTGCTCAAAGAACCAATCTGTGGCTTTCTCGAGGGCAGCTAGAGCCTCTTTGGATATCCTCGTTCGACTTCCGTTCCCTGTTCGGGCAAATCGAGTGGCCAGCCGCTTGACAATACCACGGGGCAGCTTTGGAACAGGTATTCCATGTTTTGAAACTCTCTCTTTGTTTTGATCTAGTCGGGACTCCTGAGGAGGTTGGGGTGATGATTCTTGCAAAGGCGGTCGTGGAGAGCCTTCGCGAACTGCGAGTTCCAGATCTCCAGCTCCAAAATCATCATCAGATGAAACGGGAACATCATCAGCGATAGGCATTGTGGTATCTAAAACAAAATCTTCATGTTCATTCTCAATGTGCTGCGGAGCGTCGGGAGTTGGGAAGGAAAAATTTAAATCGAACCGTCGTAAATCCTCAGTCTCGCCCCTGGTGTATTATATTTTAGAAACAGATTATCATGAATAGAAAGAACAAATCTTACCCTAGATCAAAGATCGGCTGTTCCGCAGTCAATTCAATTTGATCATCAACAAAGTTATCGTCCCCTTGTGGCGCTGTGAATTCCATGCCTTCTTCCGTATATTCTAAGCGGCTTGCATCTCCAAAATGTTCACTGAATCTCGTACTGGCCAAACTGTATCTTGAAAGAGTTGCAAGATCCCTGGTTGATCGTTCTCTACGTGGCATTTCAATTGACCGCTGTGTGAAATCGTCCTCGTCAAGTGGTAGGGATAATCGCGGTGGTACAATTTCAGGGCTCCCATCGCCATCCCCTGGAACGATCATTTCATGCATTGGCAGAGAAAGCCTAGGTCTCGGCAGGTCTGGCTCTTCATCCAGATCCTCACTCTCTTGTTGATCTGTTTCCTGATCTGTCTCAGTCATTGGCGAGGATTTGATAACTTCGCTGGTTGGAGCAAGCGCTAGAGTTCAGGAACAGTTGTCAATATATGCTCATAGTCATTTACCAAGAGATACCATTATTGTTGTACACTAACCTTTGCCCAAGTTCCTCAAAATATCCAACGGTGTTTCCCTCTGAACGCGACCACTCTTCCTTCGGTCCCGTCCAGGTGTGTACACAGCCGCACGCCTTTGAAACGCCTTCAACGCATGCGGCGTAGCAGGTGCATGGCTTCCTCCCGCAAAAGCATCCGAAATTCCAATTCCAGAAACTCCGCGGGAACTTCGACGTAAGGAAACTCGACTCGCGGAAAGTGATCGTCGGGAACGTCCTGCTGGGGTCGCCGGGTCTCCAGCCATACCAGCTAGTTGCTGGAGCTGCGTAAGAATTAAGTACGAAGATATGATAATGACAAAGGAATGGCATAACTGCTTACTATACTGGAGGGCGTGTTGTGAGCTGGACTTGGCCCCGCTCCCGCGCTTCCACGCCGACGCCGCGGAGTAATACGCAGCGCATCAGGCCCACTAGGTGAAGACATCGAGGGCAGCAAAGTTGGCCCGGATAATCAAATGGAATATAATCGACATGAGCTCTCGGCCACATCGAAGAGCTCCCCGCTGTCCAAAAGTCAATTGGGGGTTTTCTTGACCTCCAAGCTCGACGCGTCCAGCAGCAGCTGCGATGACGGTTGGCTCGTGCACCAGGAACCGGATGACATAAGCAGAAATTTTATTCAGGCGGACGGAGTCGCCGCATGGCTTGACGGTATGCCATCCATTCCCCAGGATTTAAAGAATATTCATGCAGCATGGCACCCGATATAACTCAAGCAGCGCCATATACAAAGCCGAAGCGCAAACGAGAGCAAGAAGACGAGGGGGAACGCCCGGAGAAAGCTTCAAACGTCCAAACCAGCGCGGAGGTTCCGAGCCGCAAGCGAAAAAAGCGCAACAAGGCGAAACAACCAGTCGATGATGTGAAGGATGCGGAGAGAAAGGATGGAATTGATGAATCAATTGGAAAAATGGATGGGAAGCTTTTGGCGGACTATTTTGCGCAGAAGGCGAAGCGGCATAATAAAGACTTAACGGCAGTTGAGCTGGATGACATCTATATACCCGGTAGGACTTCCTGTTCCATTATATTGAGATCAGATGAGTCTTGTCTACGGCAAGGTTGTGAATTATAAAATTAAACATTTCTAGATTATGCATTCCTTAATACATCGTCCTGGCAATCACCGCGAACCCTCGAACATTTACCTTCCTTCCTCAAGAAGCACAGTCCGAAGAAGGGATCGACGCTCTTCCAGTCATCAGAGTCGAAGGGCAGCCCTCATACCATTGTGATCACACTTGCTGGTCTCAGGGCTGCAGATATGACAAGGTAAGAATGTTTTGGTTTCGGATACCAGACCAAGGGCTGACTATCCCAAGGGCATTGCGAGAATTCCAGAACAAGGACTCCGCTGTTGGGAAGTTGTTTGCTAAACATATTAAGCTCGCCGAGGCCCAGGAGTTTGTGAAAAAGACAAGGTCGGTCCTAAAGTGCATGGGATGATTGAACGAGTGGCTAAGCGTGCTGTGTAGAATTGGAATAGGAATCGGAACCCCAGTCCGTTTAAACGATCTGATAGACACAGGTTCGTTGCTTACTGAATCATTAATGTGGATGCTTGGAGCTAAATCAATTTATAGGAGCCTTAAAACTCGATTCATTGAAGCGAATCGTAATTGACGGTTCGTATATTGATCAGAAAAAGCGAGGCATATTCGACATGAAAGATCTGCATTTTCCACTGCTCAAATTCCTTAATCGTGCAGATTTGCGAGATCGATATAAATCGAGAGACGATAAGGTTGAGATATTAGTTTTCTGAGGGGATCCCGTCTATCCCTGAGGTTATGCTATTTCGGGAAATGCCTGTCAATAGGCAGCACAAGCGAACTGGATATCTGTCGCAGTACGATTTCATTATACAAAGCATTCCTGAGGGGCTTGTCAGGCTTCACGCTCTAGAATATGTGCAAACGCGAAAGCCCATTTGACGAAGCGGCCTCGCTCAATGCACTCCCGATATCCGCGAGATGCGACGGCTTCGGAGCCCGCCCTAGGCCAGCAAAGACCGCTCTATACTGATATCATATCACTGTCTGAAATGCAGAAATTGAATTGGCCTAGGCTTGGTTTCTTTTCTTTCTTTCTTTCTTTTTTTTTTTTTTTTTTTTTTTTTTTTTTTTAACGCTGGCCAACCAGTACGTAAACGTTCCGGCAAAAATTCAGGTTCACAGCCTACTTCTTCGCATGCTGTCGCGTCTTTGCACCCATTTCCAATCCCGTATGTCGGTCACGTCTCTGAGCGATGCTGCATTCATTCATATCTCCGGAGACCGAGTGCCAATCGCGCATTCTCGTTGGTTGTGCGACTTTGAGCACAATTGACTTGTTCCAACTAGGGTTTGGTTGTCGCCCGATCTCAAGTTCCATAGTTTTGCTTTTAAAACCCCTTTGTCCTCCCTCTGGCACAAGCTCATGTTATGCCTTTCGGTTGTTTGGTGAATGAGCATCTGTTGGATCAACGCTATTCATATCTCCAGAATATAGACTACCGGCATAGATGTTAAGAAGCCTTCTCGCCAATTAGAGATCGATATAGATGATCTATTGAGTCTGCACCACTGTAAATCTTTTTTTTTTTTTTTTTTTTTTTTTCTTTTTTTGTTTTTTTGGCTCGCCAATGAAATATTTCGATACTCTAAGCCGGCGCGAATATTGCTGGTAAACAATCAATAAAGTGCCGAGAATGCCCGCATTCGAATGATCGAATCCTTTGTTATCAAATTGTTGTGAGACCAACAGCAGGAATCTGGGAATAGAGAAAAAATGAAGAAAAAAGAATCCTCTTCGTCCTTTCTTGGATATAAAAAGGGAGTGTCCTGCCCTGGACAGGATATCTATCTCAGCAGAAATCTTTCCTGGGACCTAAGCTACCGTATTATTTAACCAGATCCGAACAACCATTTCGAAAAAGGTGAGTAATACTCAGCCCTGTTGATCAACTGTGATTCTTCCCTTTGCTGAAGGAAACTGATTTCATTTTAGCGAAGGTATAACTTTGAAAATGAAGGTTCCATGGTCATTCTTCTTGGTTGCTGCGAGCGCCATGTTCTTTGAAGTCGTATCTGCGCAGATACCATGCCTGCCCAAGGGCGGAACTTGCTTTGGCGACCAAACTTGCTGCAAGGGCAGATGTATTTCTCCAGGTGGTCGCAGTACCCCGGTGAGTTAATTCGTAGATTCCACGAATGCTTGAGATTCACTGACAGCATTGTGCAGGTATGCGACGCCTAATTGCTGGGCATGGTTATTGAGTACGTACACCCGAGAGCTGAAGTCCTGCCTTTCTTATGATTGTTGCTGCCGAGATGCGCCTGTCAAGCTCCAGCCCTCTTTGCCGGAGCTTTTTTCCATTCCTTAAAAGGTTCCTTTTTTTTTTTTCTCGATTTTCTGTACTGTGTACATGGGTCCACGTTCGCAACGAGTTGAGAGATATGTGATCTTCATCGCAGAAATGAAATGAAATTGAGACATCCATAATTGTCTAAATATTGCGAACATATATGTGCCTGTAGCTCAATGCGAAATCCATTGCATTAATGTTTTCTTCCTATTTGCGCAGCGAGCAAAACACAGACAGAGACTCTGTTGGAGAGCTCACAGGTGTGAGAATTGGCAACTGGTGAGGGAGAGGAACTTTGATAAGATTTCCTCTAATAAAAGGCTGATGAAATAAACAGTATAGAGCATATTCAGCACCATTCTTCCAGTTAGACTGAATAGTCAATTGTGAATATTGCGGTACACTTTTAGTACATTATGATCTTTACCATAGACCGTCCGAATAAAGTTCAGGGCCTTGCCCATGATCCTCACCGCCTCAAATCTCGGCGGCAGAATAATATCGCAAAAAAGTCGACGCCAGACATAGAGGCGCGGTTCGATTGTTGCTCAACCGGGAATACGCAACACGAATTTCCGCGCGGATCAGGAACAGGTTTGCAATCGCCATACGTTTAGGTGCCCGCTATTAGAGTCCCGCCGTTGCTACTCTCCGACACAACCACTCCTACCCGCGGTCGTACTGCACTCCAAGATCTAAAACCGGGAATACAAGCGCGAGCCTTAAGAATGGGCGATAAACGGAAACGAAACCAGGACGCGGGCGACGAAGATACCGTCGAAGTTGCCGAGGTCAAGAAGTTAAAGAAGAGCGCCGGCGATAAGGAGAAGAAAGAGAAGAAATCAAACAAGAAAGAGAAAAAGCGTGCGAAAGATGAGCATGTTGACATAAATGGAGCCGAGAGCGCGGAAGTGAACATTGAGAAATCAGAAAAGAAGAAGAAGGAGAAGAAAGCGAAGAAGCAAGAGAAGACGGAGAACGAAAGCACAGAGAACAGTGCCCAAGTCGCCGCTGCCGCCGATATAAATGGTGAAAAAGAGGATAAGAAGGAGAGGAAAGAAAAGAAGCAGAAGAAGGAGAAGAAGGAGAAGAAAGAAGGAAAAGGAAAGAAAGATAAAAAGGACAAGAAGGAAAAGAAAGAAAAGAAGGCCAAGGCAGAAGATGAAGCCGCGAAGATGGAACTAGATGAGCCGGATAAAATGCCTGAGGACGCCACTGCTCCAAACAACGAGGCCGAGGAGCCCGCTATGGAGGATGCGAAGGAACAGGAAGATGATTATATCCATCCCGACCGGAAGGAAGGCAGGTTTATTGTCTTCATAAGTATGCACACCTTTTACTGTCTTGAGATGGCATGGTTCTAATCTCTTTGCCGAGCAGGTAATCTCCCCTACAGCGCCGACTACGACTCCGTTTCCAAACACTTTGCAAAGCTCCAGCCCATTCAGATCCGCGTGCCGCTAGAACGAGGCGGGAAAAAAGGGAGAGGTTTCGCATTTGTAGAGTTCAGCAATTATGATCGCATGAAGACTTGCTTGAAATTATATCATCATACCATGTTCGACGACGGAAAATCGCCCTCGAGAAAGATAGGTGTGGAGTTAACGTATGTTTGGGCTATCCTACATGCCTTATTTCCATTTGGAATTTCACTCTAGATTTGCTAATAGTGGACACATAATAGTGCCGGCGGCGGGGGGTCCAAATCCGAAACGCGCAAAGCTAGAATTATAGAGAAGAACAAGAAACTGAACGAGGAGCGTGCACGTGCGGCAAAAGAAGCGGCGAAGCGCAAGAGAATTGACGAAAAGAAGCAAGAAGGTCAGGAAGCCGGCGGCGACGACGCCCAGGAGACCAATGAATTGGCAGACATCCACCCGAGTCGGAGACGCAGGTTTCAGTGACACTCTTGTTTTCTATCTTTGTTGGCTTGGGCGCAAGGCGTGTTTGCGATAGCTACTTTCCAACATCAAAAGCATTTGAGATGATTTAGATATCCCGGTTTAGGGACTAGACGCAATTGGAATTAAGTCAATTGGGACTCCACCATGCAATAGATGCTTTCAGCTACAGAAATAGGCCGATCATCGGTTCTAGCAAGGAGAGAGGTTCAGACATCATGTACGAAGTAGACAATATCACAGTGGAAAGGGATCAAACAACTAAACGACAAAACGATAACCATATGACATTCAGAGGGTATGAAAACTGATGCTGAGCTTTGAGAGGGAAACCCAGTTTGAAGGAAAACAAGGAAAATGGAGGTCATTTTAAAAATTAGGGGCGTATGCTTTCAAGATGACACAGAGTTCACCAATTATGATCAGTAATACATTCTTGCTTGGTCAGTGGCTGTGTGTCGGGGAACAATACATCTGACCGAGAACAGGGAGAATCTTGGATCATATGTGCTCTAATCATCTTGGGGTATCTGACATATTGCAACGCTCGACCACATGTATGAACAACTGAGGGAAACATATGCTCGCTGCGTTAGACTTCAGAGATATGTGTATCAAATACAGAGAAAAGCACGTTGGTCCGAATGCAAACTGGGTCTGCTGTCAAGCACGCGCTGGATCATAAGTACTCGGAGAATTCGGGTATTCGAAGTCGTTAGGTGTGGAAGTTTTTACGTGGCTCGTAGTTAAAAAGAGATCCGCCGCTTCTTAGAGGATGCTGCATCTCTTTGCTTTGGGTTTCGCAACAGGACGAGGATTGAGAACCGCTCTGGATAGAGTTAGCTCCTCTTCCTTGGGCTACGGGCATGCCAGAACAAACCGAATTGCCTCATCAAACACGCTCTTTAAGTTTCGCTGGGTCAAAGCAGAGCATTCCAGGTACTTCTGAGCCTTGATTTCTTTTGCAACCGCCAAAGCCTGCTCATAGCTGACCGGCTCCATCTTCTTTGCACGAAGGTTCTCATTCGTGGCCTTATCATCCCTCAAGTCAAGCTTGGTGCCGACAAGAATGATGGGGACGCCGGGAGCATGGTGTTCAATTTCCGGGTACCACTAGAACCACTAGTTAGGGAGAGCGGCAACCTCAAAACGCGACTGAGACGCTTACCTTGGCCTTCACGTTATCAAATGATGGCGGGCTGACGATCGAAAAGCAGATCAAGAAGACATCTGTCTGAGGATACGACAGAGGACGTAACCTGTCATAATCTTCTTGGCCTGCAGTATCCCAAAGTCCAAGGCTAATCGGCTTTCCATCTACCATGACACTGGCAGAGTAGTTATCAAACCTTAAAGGAATCAGCAAGAGGGGGAAAATAAGCAGCTCATAACGCGTCTTCTTTAAACGTACACAGTTGGGATGTATTCACCAGGGAAGGCATTAGTGGTGTATGAAATCAAAAGACATGTCTGAAGCTTTGTTAGCAGTTGCTCACTGAGATTCCGGTTTGAAGCTCTTACCTTCCCAACTGCACCGTCACCAGTGACAACACACTAGAAATCATAGTGCTCATTAGCAAAACAGGTGACTGGTCTGGGATTCAGTCACCAAACCAACCTTCAAAGATTGAGTGGCTGGTCCCGATGCCATCTTTGCCGAGAAATCTGGGGTAAATTTGGTCTGTGTTAAGAATGATTCCAGAATGTGAAGTCAGAAGAGAGTTGTGTGGGAAGATAAGATCGAATCGCGAGGGTATGTATGAGACGGAGTGAGAGGAGTCAAAGGATCTGGTAGCTGAAGATTAGTTAGCATTGGTCTGTTTACAACACAACAGGCAAAGCTTCCAGCCAGCCCCAGGTGAGAGTGATAACTGACATTACTTGGAGCTGAGAATAATGTAACTTATTATCAAAAATTAAAATACTGTGCTGTTGCACAGAGCCCCAGTAAGATGTTCTAGCTGTTCCCCTCAAAAGGAGTTTTAAGAGTCAGGGAATCTTCTGGAGAGCTTTCACTCAGTCAATTTGCGAAGTTCAAGTGGCAGTCGTCCCAATCTGAGAATTATCAGGGCCAATACGGCCTATCTCGAAGCTCCAACTGGGGAGTTTACCTTTCGACGTGAGAGACCTCCACAAGTAGTATTGGAGTGTTTGCTGCTGGATGGCGGAGCGAGACCGCGAGGAACACACCACCGCCACACAGTTAAATCTAAGCTGGGAGTGGGATTGCGTTTGCGGAGGGAAAAAAGGACGACGAGTCTTGAGCCGTCGTGGAGAATGAAGGTGGTTCCGGAGCTGTGCAAGGGAGCCAGGAGGGTTTCCGGACGAGGGCTGAGGCGGGCGAAAGGGGCCGACGGCGAAAAGGGAGAGTTTGAATCACGTCTTTGACTCGGGATGACAGGAGGGCAGATCTGGTTCCAGCAGATGGTTCATACGCCCGAAGCAACAACAGCAGGACGGAGGAGTGAGAGGCACGACCCGCCCGAGCAGCGAGGAGTCGACGATGGGGATCTAAACTAGTTCACAGCGCCGTCCTGGGCTTCTTGGCAGCAGCATGCATTGATTGGTAAACAGGGGCCACTTGGCGCAGCGTCTCATCCTCACCTCGGCGGCCAATAACAGTCCTGGTTACTCTCGGGACGCCATTCCAAGGTTCGTTCGATTCTTCGAACAGACGTCAAACCAATTTTCTCTCCGGCCTGGCAAGGGCCTGTGGGGAGTACGGAGTCCTCCCCCGGTATGCTGATACGCTACCTCCCTGCTGGCGAGCTGTCCCGAAATGGCCATTCTCTCTGCGGCTCGTCACTTCGCTACCATTGGGAGACTGCCCTCCTGGCCAACATCTAGTCGGAGCTCGGGGTTGATTGCATGTAGGGGAATGCCAACATTTCGGGATGGCCTATATATAGCCGGTTTCCTAATTCTGCGCACCGGATAGGTCCTGCTTTCGCCAGTCGCTGAAGCAGCTTGGAATCGGCCACAGACTCCTGCGCTAGGATTCGACCGCTAACCGCTGCAGCCCTATTCGTTCCATCTTGTGGCGAATGCGTGCACCTGTCACCCTTAAAAGAGGGGAGGAAAGGTTGGCCCCGACTTGGGAGGAGGGGAAAGGCTAACCAATCGCAAGTTCACTGGTTGTCAAACATAGAATGTGGATACTATCAACGCAGAGACGATTGTCTATTACCTACGAATGGATATTGAGCTCGGTTTGTGCTGTGTACGGAGCTGTGAAATTTTGTCTCGAAAAGGGTGTCGAACCAGGGGTTGAAATCAACGAATTATTATTGCCCTGAGTACCAAAACCAACCACAGGTACTCTGGCAGCAAGCCAGTCGAATCACTTACTGGACACCGTGGATATCCGATTGAAATTATTCTGAGCTTCCAGGCCTTTACTTTTCTCTCTGATTCCTTGTCTTCTGTCTCATTTCCCCCTTTTAGATTTAGGCGAGCTTATCAGCACGGGTAGGTACGGACTACAGTTATACCAGGTGGCGGTATGCCGAAGAAATTGTTTTCTATGGCACTATTCAAGCTCTCCAGAAAGACCTTGGCTCGTCCCAACCGTTTTGCATAACACACTGCCAAATATTGCGAAAGTATCTAGCACTCTATAGTTTTGATGGTCTTCCTTCGAACCCGCCGACAAAACTGCAGAGTTTCAGGTCTGTCGGTGCGGCTAGCAATGGCGTGACTTTGGCGACCATGGCTTTGAAGTATTCCGTGCCGCCGTGGGCTTTGAGGGCGGCAGCATCTTTATATCTACCGGCGGTATCCTGGTCAGATTTCATCTCTCTGTTCCAAAGTATCCTCCCCCAGCGGGCTGCAATACGTACTTCTCAACAACGATGAGCTCGTTGCCTTTCTTCGGTCTTACTACGTAGAACCTCAGGGTGTTTGGCTCCTTCTCATGGATGCTCGCGGCAGACTGCTCAAGGATTTTTGCTACCTATGCGTATTGGGCTTGTCAGGGACATGAGCATGGGATCTGTTTCTCTTCGAAGCCTCACCTCATCGATTTTGTCGGCCTTCGCCTTAAAGGTAGCAACCACGTGAATTTCTTTGGAGGCCATTGTTGAGAACGTAGTCTTTTCCGAGCATGAAGATGTGTCCGTGTGCGATGCGCTGCAACGGAGGAGCGCTCCCCGTAGACTATTTATACATACGTATAGCTATCTCCCAAACCTAGGTTCGCGCATTCCATCGAGGAAGCGCACAGCTTCAGTCGGGACTGTGGAGTGTTGTGCCGGCCAAAGAGACCGAGCAGCCTGGCGGAACCGCGGCATCTCGTATTCTTCGGCCTCAGCGCCAATGCGGACTCAGCGCAAATACCTGTCCTAGTCATATGAAAGTCTGGTGCATCCACGGATAACTCGAATCCCCAGGTAGTCCTCGCGTTGTGTTACAGGAATCGGTGCCCATAACGAAGCTGACCTGTCGAAGCAGTTATATTGGGAAACCCATTCTTTATTGCTGCAAGAGTACTCCGTCGATCCGGCTCTTGAAGTCAAGACTGGCAAGCCTACGATCGCACGGACTGGTGTTTCGGCGACTGTCAACAATAACAAGCCTTTCTTTGCCAATCGGCAGTGGGAATTGACACTCCACTTTTGTATCTTAGGCGTGTCAGGAGAGAGTTGAACTACATCTCAATCCGTTGATTCCAAAAATATCCCCAAAAAGGCGGACTAACCAACTAGCCAAAAGCGGTGACGTGTACTCTGGAAAAAGACCATTGACAGCCTGAAACCTATTGCCATTCTGGAGAGGCCGAGAAGCCCTCTCCAAAGGCATATGATTCACACAAGCTTTGACAATCTCAATGCCATTGTCATGCCCGGAAAGGTGAACAGGACGAAGTGCACTGAGTGTCTCGCGAACTGCATGCCTGGTCAGCCCTGCTCGCCGTATAGTACTTAACCAAGGAGACTAGCTACGAAGCGGCACGCCACCAAACCCAACTTAACAGCCCTAATTAATATCGCATCATCATCATCATCAATGGAATTTCACTCTTAATAATTAATGCTCACTGCGCATCAATCCCTCCTGCGCCAGGGAATTCTTGATGCCCTCCAGTAGCATTCTTTAGCTGTGCTGGAAGGAAATAATCACCATGGCCGAGCCAACTGTCAATGAAGCCTCCGAACTGACATCCCCACACCAAAGCTTGGAGATGCCGGCCCCCCCTTCGCCGCCTGATAACGAAGCTGAGGCGCCACAGGCGGTGCCTGCTAACCAGGAAGAAAAAGAGAAATTAGACAGGGTCATTCTGTCTGATGTACGTAGATATGTTGGCGGATTGTTGCGAATGCAATGGAGCAATTTGCTGACTATCCATCACAGATCGGCGTCGTGACCCTCTTGAACAGGTTGAAACAGAGCATCTCATCCGCCCGGGTAGATAATCCTTCTTGAGTCACAGCGAATTGTTTTGGGGAATATACTGATATCGCTCCCTGTGTTAGGAATTCGCGTCCTTTCTGCGCAAACGGTCGTCTCTCGAGGAAGACCATGCTCAGGGGCTCAAGAAGCTTTCCCGTGCGCTGCACGATTCGTCGATGCGATCGGAAAATAGACAGGGGAGCTTTGCTCAGAGTTACGATGAGATGAACAGAATACATGACCGCATGGCTGATCATGGACTCCAATTCGCCGTATCCCTTCAGCAAATGTCTGAGGACTTGAATGAGTTAGCCGCGAACATGGAACGAGGTCGAAAGCATTGGAAACAGAATGGCTTGAATGCGGAGAAGAGAGTGCAAGACGCAGAGGCTGCCGCCGAAAAGGCGAAGGTCAAATATGACAGCCTTGCGGAACAATATGACCGTGCCAGAACCGGTGATCGCCAGCCTGGAAAGTTTGGCTTGAAAGGGCCGAAATCCGCTGCGCAATACGAAGAGGATCTGCTCCGCAAAGTCCAGAATGCAGACGCAGATTATGCAAATAAGGTGCAGGCCGCGCAGACGCAGAAACAGGAGCTTGTTGCGACTCTCAGACCGCAGGCGACACGCGCTCTCCAGGACTTGATCAACGAGTGCGATTCAGCGCTAACGCTCCAGATTCAGAAATTCGGTATGGCCATGCCTCCAATAATAGATGTATGCTAATTAAGCTAATTGATTTCCACCACAGCCGCATTCAGCGAGAGACTTTTGCTTGGAAGTGGTTTGTCAGTGAGCCCGTTGAAAAATGAGGTCAATGGAAATACAGCCGCACCAAAGAGCCTCCGAGACGCCGCCCGCCAGGTTGACAACGAACGGGACTTCAAGGATTATATTTTGAGCCATTCCTCCAAGGTCAGCTCTAATGCTACGACAATCAGATATGAGCGTCATCCAGTAAGTGGATATCTGATCCGAATTCTATTAGAAAATCCAGGAACTAATAGCTTTAAGACCCTTATCACCCCTCAGTCCCAGAATGCCAGTGCGCATCCAAAGAGACAATCTCTGAGTATAAATACTGCTCAAACGCCTCCTCCCCAGACTGCGGCACAGGCTTTCGCGCAAATGACCCCTCATCATCCCCCTCCTCCTCCCGCCCAGGTCCAACATGCTCCGCAGCCCCAGCACGCTCCACCATCTTTTCAACACCCACACCAAGAAATATTTCTCACGCAGCCACCAGTGCAACATCATCCTCAGCCACCCTATCCAACCTCAGCTCCACCTCACCAGCCCTACTCACCTGCGCATACCCGTCCGTCATTTAGCCTTGACCGTGCCGCCCCTCCTACTAATGCGGGCCATCACCCGGATCTGCCCCCATTAAACCCAGTTTTTGGCGTCAGTCTGGAGGATCTATTCCTAAGAGACGGTACCGCAATCCCCATGATTGTTTACCAGTGCATTCAAGCAGTTGAGTTGTTCGGCTTGAATGTGGAAGGGATCTACCGACTATCAGGGAATACGCTGCATATCCAGCGGATGAAGGCCCTGTTTGATAATGGTACGTACGCCACATTTGATGTTTGCTAAACCCACATATCTCACAAGCTTACCAAACCCGCAGACTCGAGTAAGGTTGATTTTACAAACCCCGAGAACTTTCACCACGATGTCAACAGCGTAGCTGGTCTCTTGAAGCAATTTTTCAGAGAGTTGCCTGACCCCCTTTTTACGAACGAACGCTACCAAGATTTTATCAATGCTGCCCGTAAGTCCCGTGGTTTCTCGCCCGATACGGCTTTGTGCTAAAGTTGTACTAGGCAAAGACGACGACGTCCAACGTCGGGATACTTTGCATGCGCTAATCAACAGTCTCCCGGATCCCAATTATGCGACCCTACGGGCATTGATTTTGGTATGCACCACTCCCTGTCCCAAACGAATGAGAACCCCTTTTCGCTAACAGTAGATCTTTGATTAGCACCTTAACCATGTGCAAGAGCGGGCTTCTGAGAACAGAATGAATGCAGGGAACATTGCTATCAGCTTTGGGTAAGTGTCAAAGTGCTTGGGGTGGAATCACATCCGGTATTCCGTGGCGCTGACCGATCAACCACAGTCTAACGCTTATGGGCTCCAACGCTGGTCACAACATTGCCGATTCGGGGTGGCAAGCACGAGTAATCGAGACTGTCTTGCAAAATACGTTTCAAATTTTTGATGATGATTAAACGAGCATCAGTTATGCCTGTAGTTGCCTCCTTGGAATGTTTCAGATACACCATTTCAGGCATATCATGATTGGGGATTTCATCCTTTTGACTAGGAAGATAACTAAACTCTGGATTAGCATTTTCATTTTTGTATTAGTTAATATTTATTTATTTTTATTTTTATTTTTTCGTTTTAAATTCTTTTTTGTTGAACCGTCATTGCGGCGGGCATTGATCTCTTTTTTAGTTTCCTCAGGTGGGCTCGAGCTGATGGACATAATGCCACCGTTCTTAAAGCTGAGCATTAGCCAGATATTAGAAGAATGCTAGGGTATTTTGAGTTGAAAATTCCAACCTTTGACACCCATGAATGTATCTCAATTTCTCTGCTTTATCCTTTGGATCTGATGGTGGCTCGTGCCGAGAAACTTAGTTTGCGAACTCCCGCGACTCAAGATGAACGGGATCGATTGATAACTGCTGGCTTGGAGATCCACTCCCACGCTCTTCTTCACCCGCAAAATCTGGCCAATGCAGCATAACCATTGGACGATTGACTACAAAGCTTATCCACCACGACATTCGGATACGAAATCACCCACACAGACGAGTGGGTGGTGTCTTGCGTGATGGACTCTTCTCACCTGCAAAAGCTTACTTGCACCATTTTGCCTGGTAAGTCACTTGTTAGCAGCTGGCTAGAGCAGGGCGGGTGGATGCGGTGCAGGACTAAAAAGCAAAAAAAAAAAAAAAAAAAAAAAATTCTCCGCAATCAGTCACATCGTGACAGCGGAAAAAGAAAAATAACTTTGGCTGTAGGTGACATAAATAGCTTGACTCTCCGCCGCTTACACCCTCGCTCCATTCGGGCATCCAGCGGACCATTCAGGATATCAACACCCCTGCTTGACTGCTTAGCCACTGAAGAACTGAAGAACGTAATACTCTCAACTACAGAGATGGGCCAACCCTCCTTCCAGGCATCGAATGCCTTGATATACTTGACCTATGGAGCTTTCCTGTACGGTCCTTTTAAGGTTGCTGCGAGGTCACCAAGCTAACGTTTATCCCCAGAATCGCCGGGCTCTACATCGCCTATCTGCTACGCAAGCAGACAAAAGGCCAATTCTTGGCCAGTAACGGGACGCAAAAGGGTTAGAATTTAAGAATAGCTTGCTCAACTACCTTTGAAATCCCCTTACCAACCCTCTTTGTATATCGATTGTGGATTGACTAATGCATATCGTGCGGCTCTTGTTGCCGACGGGAATTGATTAGCTCTACCTCTTGCTTTGAACTTCATCGCTTCGGGTGAGTTGTTGAATGCATGGGCTATGGGGCCAATTCTTTCTTCTCCCGAGTGAGAAGCGGCAGCCGCGTAGAGTCGAATGGATGCGATTACAACATATCACCGAGAAGTTTCATTCCTGCGAAATTCCGTACGGGACTCGGATACAGCACACGACCCTTTGCGAGAACCAGGACCTAGAAAGCATGATTTGAATGGTTGGCGCAGCATAGAACAGGTTCGTATCAGAGAGTTCACTTCAGCATATGCTGCTATGAAGGCTTGTTCTCAAGGGTTATGACGATGAGTTCCGAGTTTTACAGCCCGGTGTGACACTCATCTCTCTACCTTGTTGACAACTTCAGAGCGGCGTCTGCTGCGGCAACACTACGGGCGCTAATTGTGGCACTTCGCTATTGGATGATCCAACTCCGGAGTGCTTTTCGCTCCTGGCCTTTTATTCCGGAGAGATCACCATGTGAGTGCGGGCATGATGCTGAGATTGTACCGTTGAACACTCGACCAAGTTAATGCTTGCGTGGGAAACGTGCTGCCGCTTCTCCCCTCCCCCGTTGGCTTTGTTGTTGCTTAAATCTAGAGAATGGAATATGCTGATTACAGGGCCCCTGCGAATTTACTGTGCGTAGGTCTCGGATCCGGTATTCTTTTCACGTATCCCGAAATCGCAACGATTGCTGGCGTACAAGGTTTAGTCGTTTATGGCTTGTCTTCCTCCCTACCACTTTTGGTGTTTGGATATTTGGGACCGATTATTCGAAAGAAATGCCCAGAAGGCTTCGTTTTGACAGAGTGGACCAGAGAGAGATACGGAGTCGTTACTGCGATATATTTGAGTCTCCTGACGTGAGTTGTATTTCATTTCGCGAGTATTATTTAATTCTAATTGGGATTTAGCTTGATTACGCTCTTCCTTTACATGGTTGCCGAATTGTCTGCGTTGCAGCAGATTGTCAATGCGCTTACCGGGTTGAACGGACTGCCAGCTGTGATTGTGCAAGTGGCAGTTACGACTATTTATACATCTTTGGGTGGATTTAAGGTCTCCTTCATGACCGATAACCTCCAAGGAGCTATGGTCGTCGGCCTCATCATTATCGGCGTCATCACCGTTGGCACAAAGACGACGATCGATCGTTCGCTAATCGACTCTTCCGGATATCTAAACGCTTCCCTACTTGGATGGCAACTTATCTATATCCTACCTGTTGCAATCTTGACGAACGACTTCTTCTTATCGAACTTCTGGCTCCGAACTTTTGCCTCCAAGACTGACCGCGACTTACGCATCGGCGTCTCCATCGCTAGCTTCACGGTCCTGTGTATTCTCGTGCTTGTTGGATGCACAGGCCTCCTAGCAGCTTGGTCGGGCGCATGGCCCGGAGATCCGCCACAGAGCGGCTCGATTGCTTTCTTCCTCCTTTTGGAGAGGCTCCCAAGCTGGGTTGTGGGGATTGTGCTCGTCATGACTGTGGTTCTTAGCACAGCTGCCTTCGACAGTCTTCAGTCCGCAATGGTGAGCACAGCAAGTAACGATTTGTTCCGCAACAAACTGCCGCTTATTTACATCCGTGTCGGCGTCGTCTTGTGCATTATTCCTGTGGTGGTCGTTGCTCTGAAGTCTCCTAGCGTGCTACAGATCTTCTTGATTTCCGATCTTGTCTCAGCATCTGCTATTCCGGTTTTGATCCTCGGTCTCTGGGATAAGTGTTATTTCTGGAAAGGTTTCGAAGTCATTGCTGGCGGTCTCGGAGGTATTCTCTCAGTATTCATCTTTGGAACCATTTATTACGGTAGTGCATATGAAGGCGGGCGGTTGATCCTGTTGGAGAACGGCCTCTACGCCGAAGATTGGAGCGCTTTTGGTGAGTGACTAGACCTACACAAACCATCTGGTCATGGCAATTAATATAGTGTTGTAGGTGCCTTCGTCGCTGCTCCTGTAGGAGGTTTTATATTTGCACTTATCGCATTTGGTTCACGGATCGCATACCAGTTTGTTATTGCTAAAATCCAGGGACGACGCTTCGATGCATTTGACAAACCTATCAAGCGTGTACGGCGGTCAAGCGAAGAGAGAGTTTTCCGCCCTCAGGTTCCTGGCCTTGATGAAGAAAATGGTAAACCGGGCGATACTCCTACCGCCGTAGTGGAAGGAAGAGAAGCTAAATGGTGGAAATTGTGGTAATGGGACGATATTCCTGCTATATCCGCGTAATTGCGTCGAAGAGCTGGATGGACATGTGGATGTGGATTTGGATTTGTATATTCTGTGTTGGGGCCAAAGATAGAGGGAAATGCTCGAAGATTTGGAGCATTGGGAGAGATGGTATATGCTGGGAGCCCAGTAATACTTAAAAGTTAATAGTTAAGAAATAAAGATACAATATAGTAAAACTCATTTAACACCTACCGATGTAGGAATTATTTACATATATCTTACCAAGTGCAGCAGTTGATGGGGGTTGATCATTAGGCCACAAGGGCGGCTGAAGACTTTCATAAATTGTCTCCTGTTCGCTTGCTATCATTTCCAAAGTATACACAATAGATATATAATACATGAGACATACCTAACGATTCATTTAGGCACTCTTTTTTTCAAGGCTCGATTGCACTCCAATGCCAGCCGAAGTTTACAACTTCGACAATAAAGCAAAGCGGAGATCCCGTGACTACAAATCACTGTTTAAATCTCATACTCAACATCTCGATCCGATCCTTCATGGTCAAGCCCTGAGCAAACATCGGGTCCGTCTCCAAATCCTCTGGTGTTGTTTCTTCCGCCAAACCCCACACCTTCCAATCTCCATCTTCCCCATTGAGCATGAATCTCTGCAGAACGACATACTCTGTGCAATCCTGTTGCTTCTCACTCTGCTGCGCTGCGTTCTGCTCTTCCCCAGAGCTTGGGGTGATGAGTGACTGCTTGCTCTGTATTCTGATCACAGTTTGCCGAATGCCGAAACCTTTGGCTTCGGGAAGAGCTGCAGCACGATCAGAAATGACTTGTGCGCCGGAGAATGTGAGAGCGAACGGGAACTTCTTATATGAGTGGAGCGTCCAGAGGAGTCGGGGAGAGGTACGTGGACGGCGGGAAATGCGGGCTGCGAAGTTTTGGAAGATGCCCTGGCAGCAGGTCTTCTTGAGAGAGGTTATATCACCGCTGTATATGGCGTCAGTTATAAGGTTACCAGGAGTAAAATAATAGACAAGGGGGCCGAGGGAGATGTACTTTGCGAATGAAGTATACATCTGTTTGTGTAGCTCAAGAGCTCGGCTCTTACGCTCCCGTAGCCTCAGCGGAAGTTTCTTATTTATGAATCTGCAGTATGATAATATGCTAGTTCACCCAAAACACAAATATTAGCTTGATATCTCAACAGCAGCTCATTACTTGAAGCTTCAAAGCCCAAAAACGTCAATACCTAATGAAGTTCACAACGGTCATCTTCAACGACATCCACTCCATTCTTAACCTCAACTTTGGGTCTTTGAATATCGAAGGCAGATTCCGCCATGCAGGTCTAATGAATGTTCCTGGTAGCAATCCCACGTCGTCTGGTATCATGTCTCGATTGGCACTGCTCATAGTCTCCTTGACGCGGTTTTTCATGCTCATCTGCGCCGGGATCCGGGGCTTTATAGCTTTGAAAGTTCCTTTCGCCGCATATTGGTTTCCGGAGGAGGAGAAGGGCCTCAGCTGGTATAGGGAATGTGAAGGAATGGAAATTCTGGATGTTGCGGAGCCGGCAAGGGACGAGAAGAGGGAGCGTCTGGGGAGGTATAATGCGGAATTCATGGCTGCGGCAGGCATAGGAATCAATCGCCACTCTTCTCATTCAATTGGCCTCCTGGCAAGCCTTCTCAAAGGCGTGGGCGTCGCTACCCTCGTCAAAGATGCTGCTTTTCGACTTGCGCATCTTCGCCGATATCAAAAATGTTGATATTATGTCAGCGTATTCGGAATTCGGAATAATATTACAGCGAAATTCTTAACTAGCCGATATTAGGAATAGCTTGATGTACCACAGTTCTTAGTCATCCCCCTCACCGTTTGAAAGTTTCTCGCGCTAATTGCTCTCATCTGAATGACAATTATTAAAGAACCTCTGGGAAGCGAGGCGAGAGACAGGCAGAGATAGAAGGGGTTTTTCGAAATCGAACCGTGGGCAGGACTCGCGTGGCGGTATCGATGCTGTTGGGCTTCCTCAATAATTCCTCACACTGACATGCCGTTGCGTCGGGAACAGACATCGGCGCCCATGGCAAACGCCTTGAAGCGTGTTTACTTCCCAAGCTTCCAGGTCAGTCGCCGTTGACAAGTGACATCGTCGCGATTGACTACAGCAGTAACCTTTATGGTCATGGAAAGCGAGAATGACGTGGGTAATTCCTTCATTTTTCCTCCGGGTTGAGGCGGCTCAAACACCACGGCTCCTGATATCGGGTCGCGCCGCTGGAATTTCCTTTTCGAGCGAACCGGGCCAATTTCACCCCCGTAGACTCAGGACAGAAACAACTTCGTAAATCTCGATTCTTGCTATTAGCGCTGCGAACTGTTGGTCTCAGATTAAAAGTGATAACCTTGCAGACGCTCCTTGAGGCTTAGTTAGCTAGTCCAAAAGCATCCACTGAGTACTGTGTTCAATTTCCTGTTTTCCCCATCTGAACAGCTGGCAGGTTCACGTATCATTCGCAAGTTGCTTGAGAAACCCAATCCGCCAAATCGTCACGTTTAACGTTGTTTCAATTGTGTTGTCCCTGAACTCGCCCTGAGCTAGAGACCTGGTCGCTCCGGCACTTGGATCCCGAACTCGCCTCCTGTTCGATCGAATAAATACAATACGCTCCCGGTTAGCAACCAGAAACCACTCTGCAAGCAGCAAGCAAGCGAAGAGCTCTCAAGACTGGCTTCCTCCACCCCAGACGCCACGTCCTCTTCCTCCTCTTCTCGCCATGTCGCCTCCTCTGAAACCCGTCTCCGCAGCACTTCAGCACTTTTGAGCAGCCTCCTCGATCCCAACTTTCTTCCTCCTCCTCCTTCCCCGTCCAATGTCTCCTCCAAAGCCTCCCCACGCACTCCGTCACCGCAGACCGTAACTACCAACCCCTTACATCCCCGCGTTGCCGTGATACTAGGCGTTGATCGCCGCTGGTACCTCCCTCTACTGGTCTGTCGAGCACTAAGCATCGCGCCAGCGGCATGGTGGGGTCTCAGATGTGCGTTTACTTTTCTGACTGAGCTGTTAAGAATTGAGCCGCGTTTGTGGAATCCGGAACATGACGGCGTTAGCGGGACGGGAGGATGGACAGCGGCGATAATGAAGGGGACAGCGACGGTAGCTTCGGTGGATTGGGATGTCGATAGGAGATTCAGGGTTACAGAGGTCGCACTGGCAATCATCTGGGTATGTTCTTCAATTCCTTCGATTCTCATATCCCGGAGACTTGCTAACTTGGGGGGCATTCTGCTTTTAAGTGCTTTTCTTCCGCATATCTGTCGTATTTCTTTGCTGATTGCATGATGTCTCGATGGTGCGTGCACTCCCGTACACTCGCTTCCGGCCCTGCAACCTCCCATCAACTTGCAAACTCACCAAGCAACCCAATGTAGGCTTCTTAATTACACACCTCCAGCCGTTGTCATTCGCCTCCTCACCACGAACTCTCTCCTTGCCTATCTAACATCCTGGATTCTCCACCTCTCCGGCGCATCATCTGATCCGCGTCTGCTCCTCCCAGCATGGATATCTATTACTTCAGTTCGTCCCAGCCCCTTCCACCTCCGTCTCACCCGTCTATCAGGCTAATAAAGGGCACCTTTCTCCAATCATTCCCCCTCGAACAGATCCTAACCCTTCTTTACCACCTCACGCAACGCAAAATCAACATCAAGAAAGAAACCGCCGCATCTCTCTCCGTCTTCTCCATTGCCAGCTTCATAAGCATGTGCTCCCTCCTCCTACAACTCCACTTATCTCGAGAAAACGAGATGGAGATACCCCTGTTCATCCTGGGCAAAAAGGTCTGGGGAATCGTTGCCGAGAAGATGGTTGTTGTTGAGCACTTGCGTAATGGCCCTCCTGGAGTTTAAACTTGCGATGGCCAGCCTTTGATTTGTCTTTTTCTTTTTGTCTTTATTCTTATTTTATTTCTTGAGTACGGCTTGTTTCTTGTTTCTAGCTCTTTCTTCCTCACGGGGGAGGAGCCGAGCTTTAAGACTTTGAGATATCCCCCAACTGTTGGCACTGGTTCTGTCCTTGTAGCACCCTCTCTAAGACTGATTAAATACACATGCCCCTTGGGCTCCTCTTGGTTAAGTATAGCATGTATAAATTTTACTACAATGAGGAATGCAGATTTAAAGTAGAATTATAGGCAGCACAGATTAGATATCATTGATTGCTAGGTCATAACTGATGTACTTAAAGAGTGTGCCATAAGTCATATCAACAGTTGCAAGAAAAAAAATGGATGCGGCAAGGCAAGAATGTGATCTGCATGATGAGCATGACAGGATAAACCCCCCCGAACCACATCAATTCCAGAACAACCCGATTACTCCCAACCACCTGCACACTGAATAACGGACAGATAGGAGAAAACAGTTTGTAAAAACCATACCATCTGAAACGTCATTCAAGACAGGAACAATAAAAGTATCAATCTATGCAATCATGGGTTATCCATTCGACGTCGCTACTCGTCGTCAACCCATGATGGGACCTTTCCTCCCGTGGTGGCGTTTGATATTGGCAAGCCGCGAGAAAGATAAATCGGCATGTCTTCGAAGAAAGCTCATGTCTACGGCTTCGGTAAAGCATATCAAAAACCGATCAAGAAAGTCATGAAGTGGTACGTCATACCGACTTTCTTGAGTGTAGACTGGCAGGAAGACGACGAGAGGAACGCGAACCTTGACTTAGAACCCGTGGACCTTGATGGTCTTGGCGTCAAGCTCAAGTCCTTCTTTCTTGTCGGTCAAGAATTCTTGGACATCTTTTCGCTGATCCCCCTGGAGCTGGATCACTTCGCCCATCTCACTATCATTCACGATGGTGCCATTGCAAGCTGAAATAAGGACAGGTTAAGTCAGTGGACGTCGTCGACGAAGTTGGTGTCATATGGGGATGTAACATACCGAATTTCTTTTTGATGACCTTGAGAATCTTTTTCTGGTCGAACTTTTTCGGGAGACCTTGGACAGTGGTCAGAGTCTTACGACCATTGCGCTCTATGGTGGAGTGACGTGTTAGTTATCTGTCATGCCAAGCCAAGACGCCATACGAACGAGCAAAGGTAAAAAAGGGGCAGCAAGAGTCAAGAGTGTACATACGTTGTATCCGTATGTGGATATAATTTTGAGATTGTTTTGTATCGCCGGTATCTTCGTCAGCTTCGGCGAAGGGGTCTGTTCAAGAAGGGTTATGGTCAGCCTTCGTGTTGGGTTTCGACGATCCAAGCGACTGCGCACAACTACCCCGCTCAAGCGGCAGGAGCTTCAAAGATTGGCATCACGCGACACAAGGCTTCTCATTCTGCAAGACTGCACGAAGACGCTTTGATATTTCTTATCGAAGATGTCTTCGGCGTCTCATTCGACGTGCGCAACCAAGCAAGCCCTGTGTTGTGATGGGTCTTCAAGGAGGGCGATGTGGCGGGAGAGGGGATGACTTACCAAAGGTCTTGAGGTTTTCGATTGACATAAACTCAGCTGTTTTGCCGAACCGCTCTAACAAGTTGGTATATGATAAAGAGAAGATTTGGAGAAGCGCTGTTGCCTGTGTAAGCTGCTTGTGGACTGCGTGGGAAGCGGAGTGGAGGAGATGAAGTTGACTGACGATGGTGGTGATGGTGGAGGAAGAAGGTTGGGCGTCTTTTTAAGTTGGTCGCAGCTGCCCAGGGAGGCAAGGGTGTCCCAAAGCGGGAAAGGTGGCGGCCCAAAACTCTGTCGCTAGCTGACTAATCGCGGCGGCTGAGTGGCTGGCTCGAGTCTTGGCATCATCGACGGAACTCTATCGCACTTCGCCAGCAACCGCCGCCGTCATCATCGACTCGCCAGGCGGGCGGCGTGACGCGCCCTCTGCTGTGCTAGATCTTGAATCCGTGAGCCAGCAGCCGGGAAATGCTGGGATAGAGGCACTCCCGAGGAGGCGGATTCCACTGCAATTTCCTGCCAAGGACTCCTAACTTACTCCGCAAGACAAGCACTGAATCCCTGTATCGCGGCTGCAGGGCTCTTTTAATGGTTTACAACATCGTATTACATACAATTCAACTGCCACCGCTTTCTCCTGTTTGAAGTACCGCCTCGTCCCATCCGAACACGCCATGCTAACCTCAGATACAAGCAAAATTGGTTTCAGCCACAGTGCGCTGCCAAGGTCATCCTGCTTTTTTGAGATCGAGATATCTGGCGGCGTAGTCATTCGCCAACGCCAAATCACCAGAGAGATGCATCAGTGTGGCTTTCTTCGACGTCATCTCGCACTGGCCCCGCACGTCCTCAGCCTTTGAGTACCCTTCAAACGCACAGTCGATGAACTCCGATGCTCTTGCTATATGTTCCTTTTGTCCCACCCCATCGTGCTTGTTTCGTCCGGCCAGGCCCATGTTTGCATCCGCCAGCAGGGAGTACGTGCGGGCGCCCAACATACAGTCCTCGCCCTCCAATACCTGAGGCATGATGCTTTCTAAGATATCTGCAGCCGCATCGAATTCTTGGAAGGCGATCAGGATCACGGCGAGGTTTCCGAGGGCTTCCCAAAGACCGGGAAGCACTCGGGCTCGGTAGGCTATGCTGGCGGCTCGCATCACAAGGGAAAAGGCGCGCTCCGGCTGGTCTGTATTCTGAAAAACGCGAGCTTTCAGGTTCAAAAGTCCGATTTGAAGAGAAACGTCGAAATTACCCTGCTGGGTTGATTTTGCTACTTGCTCAATCGACCTGAGCGCTGAACTATAGTCTCCTTTGCTTATAAAGAATTCTGTCTGCAATAAAGATAAGGAGATTGCTTGGTCCGGTTCGCTTGGTACGCATGCTTGGAGTTGTGAAATAAGGTGCTCCACGGCCACTTTGTCATCCCTACTGCCAGTTAGCCATCGACGCTGTTGACAAACATTACTTCAAGAAATACCGGTGTATCTGTTGTCTTAGTTTAAGAAGACCATGTGCGAAAGTCCAGATTTGCTGACTCTTAAGGCTATGGAAGTCATTGGACGCAACTTCCTCCAGTTGCTGCATAGCTTTGCTATGATTACCGCTAAAAAATAGCTAGGTCTATGTCAATCTATAGAACCCCAAGTGAGAACGCATTCCAAGGGAAATATACCAGATGAGAACTTCGGAAAGTAGCATTGAGGTAGTCGTCAAAAATAGCATCTTCCGAGTAGCATTCCCGGAATACATCGTACATGGCCATCGCCAAATGTGAGGCGCCTTTTGAGGGCGAATTAGACTCTGACGGCGCTTAGATTGAGCATTGTCTTACCAAGACGCATGAATAATACTGCTTGTATCACGAGCAATTGGCCCATCGATGGGTTTAGATTTTGGGTCGCATTTAGGTGAGCTGCCTTCGTGACATGTTCAAAGACAGAACTAATGCTTTCTCCCTAAGAAAACATGGTCAGCATGCAACTCAAAAAGGACGTCCCCGTATACCCCATACATAACATAACTCAAGCTTTGCTTCCGCTAGTATCGATGTGCTCAGGAGACCCCACATCTCATTCTCCCGGGCTTTGGCTTGCAGAAAGGCCAATGCTTCTCTGTCACTTCCGAGCATTCCGGTGTTTTGAACATCCCTCACAGCACTAGGCCATGCTTTTCGGCAATGATACAGCCAGCTCATACAATAATTCAAGCAGTGCATATCCTGAGTTTCCCGAGCTATGGAGATGGCCTCCTGCATAGCAGAGACTGCTTCCCCAAGGCATCCAAAATCGGCTTGAAGAGTGGCCAGATTTAGTAATGCATATTGGTAACAGGCGCGATCCCGATTATGCATGGCATAGTCGAAGTATCGATGGAGATTGTCAAAAGAAGACGGGTAATCCCCAGCTCTCCAGGAATCGAGGAACCTTTTTTGACATATCTTAGTAGCTTCCTCGAAAATCGGCGGTTTTGATCTGCATATATCTTACCTTACATAATGGGAGAGTGACGGAACAGCGACGCCAGAGGCAAGCATCTGCCGTAACCTCTTCCGCATTTCCTCCGTAACCCTTGTGCCTTTGCCTAGACCAATATCAGTACAAATAATGTCATGTAATGATGAAGAGAGTAAACCTGGTTACTTTGCATTTCTTCAACCTGAAACTCCAATAGTCTTTCCATGTCCTTGGTGCTCAGCGAGACTTTGGTGTCTTCTTCATCGTTTTCTAAATCCCCGTAGACAACCTTTGCCAGAGGACTATCCACATCCAAGCCAAGCTCTACGAGGTTCACATCTACTTTAGTTTGGCTGTCCATTGGATTCCTCTTGGCCCAAGCATAATATGTAGGCATTCTATACCTGATGAAAGCACGCCACAGCGCTACTGAATCGTGGAATTGGAGCCTGGCATATTCCAGCTGCGCTCTCCGTATGAACATGCCTAGGGGGGATGTCCGAGAAAATCGCATTTTGCCTGGCTCTGGGGCCATACCGCTGTTCTGGTCGCGCAATTGGTCCTCGCGCGTTTTGGTTACCAAATCGGAGACCAAACCGAAGAATTCCTCCAGTGAATCGAGGCAATCGAGCTGCCATAATCTTTTTAGGAATAGATCCCATACTGTGCGGCCGGGTATGGACGAAGTGAGACTTGATGTCACTTCTTCGAATTCCTTGATTGATATGGTATGTGCGCCGCCTTCAAGTATGCGGCTTTTCGAGTCTTGAGAATCTAATGGAAGTAGATGCGACATAAAAAAGGACAACAGAGCGACAATTGCCGAGTTTGGAACCACGCCTTCGGAATAAATCGAGACCAGAGCAAGCAGAGCGAGTTTCGAAGGGGTTAGATAGCGCGCCATGATGATATTGCATAATTCAAGCCGTGTCTAAATTATTTAACTTCGCAAACACGGGCCCAGACTTGATCTCTGAAAGCGTGCGGCTTTCCCGGGACTGGTTATGCTTCCTCGCGAAGCTCCAGAGAAGATATTGACGACAATTTCGACGCTTTCAGACAAAGATATCAAGTTGCCACGAAACTTAGAAATGGGATTATATCACGTTCTGAGCTTGAGGTCAAGATTCTCGATCCCAGAACCTGTCAGTTGATGGATTGGTTCTAGACAGCGATTGAACCTTCAAGCAACATCGAACTCTGGGAGATATCGGATGGAGCAAGGGTTGGTCGGGAACGATAAGCTTGTGGTGTGTATGATGAAAAAGCCGGTGGAAAAAATCACGAACCACAGAACTCCAAAACTCTCCAGCTGCCCCGCGACTTGCGCCCCGCCAACATTAATATTTTGTCGACTCCCTCTACAACCCTGAGGTCCGATTCCAAAGTGTTTCGCTTGTTTTGACCGGTCCTCGTGTCTTTTTCCTAGTTGCATCGCGCCAATAGAAGCTGCACCATTTTTGCCCCCCTTCTGCAGCATAAGACCACCATGACCCGCCAATCGAATGCCGAACCCTTCATGGCCAGTAACCTTGGGGAAATTTTCCCCTTGGTTGCACAAGGCAAAGTTAGAGAGATCTATAAGATTGACGAAGAGACACTTCTCTTTGTGGCTTCAGATAGAATTTCTGCCTACGACGTGATTCTGGATAATGTGAGCTTGAATGCCTTTGGATAACTCGAAAACGGCCCATGAGTATGTGACTCACGATGTGTCCAGGGTGTTCCCAACAAGGGAGTTATTCTTACCCTCATTTCTGCTTACTGGTTCAAATTCCTTAAAGCCGCTTTGCCGACTCTCCAAACGCACTTTATCGGCCTTGATTTGCCACACGGGATCCCGACGGAGCTTCGACCAAAATACCAGGACAGAAGTATGGTTGTGCGCAAGATCAAGGTCTTTCCAATTGAATCAATTGTGCGCGGATACATTTCCGGCTCGGCATGGAAGGAATACAAAGAATCTGGCACTGTGAATGGTATATCCATGCCAACAGGCCTGGTTGAGTGTGGCCGCCTCCCGACCGCTTTGTGGACTCCTAGCACCAAAGCTGACCAAGGAGATCATGATATCAATATCCATCCTAGAGACGGTGCGGTCCCCTTTGAAGCACTACCTCATCCAATACTGACAGTTAACAGCTGGGAAACTTATTGGCCAGAAATATGCCGACCAAATCCAGAGCGTCTCCGTCACTCTTTACAACGTGGCATATGCCCATGCTTATTCCCACGGCATTATCATCGCTGACACGAAATTTGAATTTGGCCTTGATGTAGAGACTGACCAGATCGTCCTTATCGACGAAGTATTGACCCCAGATTCGTCCCGATTTTGGCCAGTCAGCAAATACCAGCCTGGCCGCTCCCAGGAGAGCTTTGACAAGCAGTTCCTGCGCGACTGGCTAACGTCCAACGGCTTGGCTGGAAAGCAGGGTGTCTCAATGCCAGCGGATATTGCGAGAAAAACCGAACTTAAGTACCAAGAGGCATTTGAGAGGATCACAGGAGACGTCTTCGAGACTGGTATGCCGTCTGTTCTGGAGGAAAGCGCTTTGGCTGAGTAATTTGGGTAATAAGGTACATGAAGCTCCTATGGGAAACCATCGGACGTTTAAAAATACTGCATGTTTAAATGGAGGCTTATGTTCGCCCGAATGGTCCGAAGGGGTTATAAGGCGCAATCATTAGAGAGTTCGGTTATGATTAGGGTAGCATCTGCATTTAAGTGTATAGTTAATTGCATTTACATTTTGCCGGTGATATTAAATTGGTTTGACCAAAAGCTGTTAGCATATAATTTGATAATCTCGATTCCGCAAATGTGCTTTGGATGATGGCAACAAACCCCTTGCTAAGCATTCATAATAAAGCCACCCTAATTCTTATAACGCCCAACCACGATGCATAGTAATACATAAGCATAGTATATCCTGAAAAGCAAACTTATGGCCGATTGTTTTTTCGCATTCATTCTCCTCCATCCTTCTTTTGTAGTCCTTTTAAATTCCGAAATCTATCCAGCCCCTTATCCTCGGCATCCACGAGCGAAGGCGCCTCCTTTCTAGACTCCGTTGTTGATGCGCCCAAAGCGTTGGCACCACAGATCCTCCTCTCCTCATCCATCTCTTCCTTTGACAGCCCATTCGTTGCCCACATACGATGGATTCTCAAATCATACGGTCCCTCCACGCGATCCGTCAACCCAATACCGATGGACTTAACCCGTTGCGTCACCATTCCGGTCTGAGGTTCAACAACCTTACCATAGTTTGTCCGGACAAAATCGTTCCATTTAATAAATATTGTTTCCCAACCTGTCGAGTCTGGATTGGGCGTTGTGGTGTACGTAGATATCGTATCGCTAGAGGGGAAATCAGCAAGGGCCGGCGGAACGTCTGATAGTGGCTCCGAAGCCCCGTCCGATAGACGTGACTGCGAAGCTATTCGATGATGATGCGTCCAAAGTCGATGCTGATGGATATCCGTCTCCACAATGCTATCGGTCTGTACATTAACCGTATATCTTCGTCCATCGGATTTCACTCTCAGTGCTAGAAAAGCATAAGGATCCATGTCCCAATATAGTCCGCCAAATATCCACCGCCGATCTTGATTACGAAATGCGGCATAGCCCGTCCTTTGTATTCTCCAGTTTAGGGGTAGTTTAGTTGATATGGTGCCATGGAATCGGGCGTGGGCCGGGGAATTCGTCGACAGGTCGGCGGGCACGTAATCTAAACTTGCCGTACTGTAGCCACCTACGGCACGGTCTGCTATAGTTTTGCATCCTTTCACGACGTCTTCATGTTCAAAATTGAGGAGGTAGAAAGGTCTCGTTGGGACTTCGAGTGTTTCCATATTCCATGCTGAAGAGTTGGAATTTAGCTTCAATTCTCGGTTCGGACATCAAGTGAAGTCCGTAGAAAGACCATATCGCAAACCCCAATAAAGGGGGCTGGCACTAGATGGGATAGATGGGAGCTTTATGGAACTTGTACGTACCGAGCTTTGAGAGGCGACTTAACTCGTCCGCTGTTCGCTTGACAAAGCCTGGCCCGCGGGCGAGGCATTTCGCTGTTGGAATCATATGTAGGGAACCTCGTATCAATATAAAACATGTAGATATCTAGCAATGCCTTCTGGCTGCTTTCTTGGGTCTCTGCGAAGATTCAAGCCCTTCACTGCGCCAGAGTCGAAAGCTCTAGGCCGATGACCTCAGCGGAAAGAGCAGTCGGTCACGTGACCATATCCAAATCCATCTCGCGAGAGCGGCAATTGAAGCAGGGCGTAGACGAGATGCGGTGATGAGCATTTTATTCGCCAGACGGTCCAGTACAGGAATTTCGATTAAGGTGATGAATTTTAGTGGTTGCTATATGCAGAGTATATGCATTTAGAGCAAGTATGTATATACAGGAATACGTCCGCCTATCAACTAACAGGAAGTTATGCTACTAACGGAACCTAAAGCGAAAAATGCAATGCAAAGCGATGCCGATGAATGAGATGGGTATTGAATTCTTTCTCCAACGCGAACGTCACTAATTCCATGTCATCATAACCAGGAACCCACTTATCAAAACCAGGCACCAAAATAAACAGATATCTATGATTTTCCCTGGACAAAACCCAGAGTTCACGGTGACCAAATGCCCATCAGAAAACGTCTCAAGATTACCGGAATTATCAAAAGGGGAGGATCAGGGATACTAGTAGCACAAATAAGACAGTGTATATATATATATATATATATATATATATATATAGAGTGATAATCAAAGATATGGAGAGAGATTTCTATGATCATGCTGATCATAGCCGCTTGGATTGTCTTGTGCCAAAATAAGCCAAGTTCACAGGCGTGTCGTTGATACCTATAATAGGGGCTGCATCTCCTAGCATTTCCCATGGTTTCGGAGGATATGGGCCTGTGATTCGTCCGTTTTGTTGAAAACGCAGTTTATTTGTAAATAAATTAGGCTCTTCCACCATGCCGGGTGTCAGAGTGTTTTGGCTCGGGGGCGGGGTAGATTGTACATGTTGTGTGAGGTTCGTAACCGGCGTACTTGTAGAAGCTCGGGAGCTCCCGTGGGTTGTAATCGATTGGCTTTCAATAATAGGCCCGAAAAGAAATAGGAGACGTGCATCGTTTTGCGGATGAAGAAATGCTGGGCACTTGTCTCTCAAAAAGCGGGCACATTCATATCGCGCTTCATCAGAGAGAGTGTCCACCAGGGTAGAACAGACATCAAGGGCTTGGAGCTGTAAATTAGCCCACGAGCTCGGTAGCATGCGGAGGAGACTGTCGCATTTCGTAAAGGTCGAAATGGACGAGATAAAACTTTGAGTTGAGCGGCGAGCAAAGAGTGGTGATCTTGAAATGCAGCATATCTGGACCAGAAGTCGAGTTTGATGATTAATTTCCGTCCTTGAATCGCAGTTTGGAGGGACTAGTGAACGATGGAGAGCCACTAGGCGAAGTAGGACAAAGAACCAAACGCCAATTGAGAGTTCGGCGACCCCTAAAGCGGTGGAGCTTGCACCGGACTCCAGATCAGTTCCTTTCTTGGCGTTCGCGAGTTCTACCGTTTTCTGTAAAAGCAGAAACATCTTGTCACCGAGATCAGCGCCCATCGAGGACGGGGAAAACTCGTCCGGAATCGAGTACGACAATTCTTCAACTATGCAAAGATAAATTAATGCATCCTCTTCACTGGAAAAGGTCGTTAAGCTGCTGGAAATGAGCGAAAGGCTCAGGATTTCACGTTCTGCGCGCTGCCTAATCTTAAGAAGGATGAGAAGGGGGAAAGCTTTGCGGATAGTCCTTGGAAAGAGTCTTACCAGATGAGCGGCGCTGACTGGCAAGACATTCAAAACTTCGAGCCAGCGACGTTCGCCGTTACGAATGTCAGATTCTGCTGTTCTAAACAACAAATCGACAATGCTGCTTCTTGCAGCATCCCCATCCGGGTTAGCGTCGAGAAGGAGCCGTAGTTTAACCAGGCAATAAGAGAGGGAAAGATCGTCGATCAGCCCAACTACGCTTTGTGTTTTTTGCACGCCAACTACATTCAGGCAGAGTCAGTATGTCTGGAACACGAGCTTTAAGAGGATGAATATTACCTTGTGCTTTTAGCCCTAGAAGAACGTCTAAAGCCTGGTGAATAATATCCACGCAATTCGGGAACTCTTCCACGATCCGACCGGCTCCCTCAGGCCCGAATGCATTCAAGTTTTGAATGATCAACTCGCAGAGCAGAGGCACCAGCGGCGGATTGGAGGTGCTTTCCGGGTTGACGTTTGCCAAAGCTTCATTGACGAGGCCTAGAGCGTCATACGCGTGGTGTGTTATGTACTCTTCCCTGGTAGTTTTAAAGCGGTACGATACCTGTAATGCAAGTAAAGATTGGAATCTGAGAACTCATAAATATGCAATGGGACTCACCAGATCGATGGAGCCAAGTTCATAAAAGATTTCCTTCCGGAGTAGATTGATCATTTCATAGCGAAGCCCAGATACGTCTTGTATTGATTGTCGGTGCGAATCAGACTTCAACAGTCTGTCGATAAGGGCAAAAAATGCTTCGAACGTGACGCAGCCAACTCCAATGAGAGGCGGGAGGAATGTTAAAAGGTGTGGTCGTGGCGAAGACTTCAGTGTTGAGATAATCCATTTAACCATTAATCTGTCAAAAACATCTGAGTTAAGAACTCGCAATTGGGATAGATGTCTGGCGATCTCGTGGGATGAAGCGTTCGGCTCCTTCGACTGCTTAAGCTTCCGACTTAGCATATCAAATATTTTATTCATGTTTGGCTCATCCATGCCGCTTCCTGAATTGAGCAGCTGATGCAAACCTTCAGAGAATGCCGGGCTGGCTATATTGACTGACTCTCCGGTATGATCAGAAACCGGGGAAGAAACCGCTCCAGTAAACTTCTTATCAAAGTGGGAAAGGTCACGGCGAAGCATTGCCACTACCGGGATTTCTCCTGGCAACTTCATCCCAACTTCAAGAAGGGACGATATCAACTCTATTATTGAAACATCCGCCTTGTTGACGTGTGCGTAACCAGCCAGAGCGCTCTTGAAAAGATCGCTTAAAGCCCCTATGGCCTTGAAAGAGTCGGCACAATAATTCAGGGTGTCCACAGCAGATATCAGTACGATGATATTGTCGGAACTCGAGGTATGTTTCAGAATATCTGCCAAAAGTGACAAGTCTCCGAGGCATTCAATGATGTCTCTGATCTCAAAAAATTGAGCGGGTGTTAGAGCGGAGATTTCGATTGCGCAGGCATTGTGATGATTTGGAGCAGTTCTTACAACCAGGGTAAGCTTATGAAGCATCGTAAGAAAGGCAGGGCAACATACCTCAGATATCGTTTGCGATGCAAAGAAACGTGTTCACGTATCCAATGCCCAATTTCAGATTTGATAGTCCAGTTGAGGTTTGAGAGGTCGGATGGAGTAAATAATCCTTCGTTATCACCAGCTATCGGCTTTGTAATGACCTCTGGCAGTCGGTGATGGATATAGCGTTTGGTGTTTAGTATTTGCTGGTTTTCGGAGCTTAATAAGAAGCCTGCTTTCGTAAGAAGGGTATTTCGAAGGTTCCAAACATGGCTCGGGAGTTTTCGACGCGGGAGGTGAGCGAGGAGCTGTACAGTGGGGTGCATTGGCTGCCAAACGTTCTTAGTCTAAGCTGTCAACTACCGACCAGGGATAACTTACCGCGTCGTTCCTCACAGCGCCTCTGGCCATAAGCCACTGCAGGTACTTGCCTACCGCAAAAGACTGGGAGCGGACGAGCTCACAAACTAGATGATAGATATTCGCGGGCGAAAACCCTGGTGTATCCGCTTTTTGCTGAAGAAAATTGACAATGCAATTGTCCGTATCCATACCAGCTCTCCTCCATTTCCGCAATAGTCGCACAGCCACGTATACTCGAGCAGATCCGCGGCGAAAACTTGTTGAGACCCATTCCAAAATCTTCATAATTAAACTTCCATGGTCGAAATGCAGATTAAGACACCCTGAAGAAAGTATCTCCATATCGTTCAATGAATCGGCGGAATCGAGCAAGCAGATAACCTGCTGGCTTGGTGATTGGCGGCCACTTTGACGACATATTTCAGCTTTGACGATTCTCTCGTTCCTGTTGGACAATGCGCCAATTTTTCTGTTGTCTTCTGAAAGGTGAAGGCAAAAACACGTAGTTAATGTGCTTTTGTACGTTCTCCAAGTCAGCGGTAGGACGAAACAAGCCGGGTGTGATTCGGCGAAGGTTTTTATCAACCATGAAAGACGGTCGGCAATCTGTTTCTTGGGACCGGAATCTTCGAGTGATAGGATCTTTGACCTTTCATCAGAAATGCCCTATTTGGGGGGGGGAAAATGACAGATCATACCGTTTTCAGCTTCTCGAGTAAAGACTCTGCGAGTGGACGCCCTCTCTTTCGATACCGAACGAGACTTGTCCAGTAAGCTCCGAGCATCGATAGCCATATGGGAAGGGTTCCGATCGGCGCTGTCCTTAGTGACTGAAGGAACCAGTCCAGGCACAACGCTTGATCGAGGAGCTGCTCCTGAAACAGTCGTGCCGCGAATCTTATGCTGGTCAAGAGAATTAAACGATAAGCTTAATGCAGTTCAGAATTGAATTTGGGGGTATAGCTTACACATATGACATCGTAGATGCCCAATTTGGTGTCCCACACGCAGTAACGACACTCTCTATAAACTGGTGCACATTGATGCTCCAATCTCGCACCCATTTAACCTCGAGGCTGTGCGTAATAGCTGCCGATGTCCCCTTTCTTTTAAAAGCGCGAATCTCATTCGCACCGACACACTTTACTAGCCACACAGCCCTACCAATTGGTATTGCCTTATTCACACATTGATCGAGAAGGATTCTTCCTCTGATTCCATGAGGTATCGTACGGCTTAGCCTTCGAAGAGGGACCGAAGGATTCGCCAAATCTCGTAGCCAAGTTTCTCGTTTGATATCAGTGAGGGTAACACGAGGAGGAGGTTTGAAAGTTGAAAATCCCGTCACTCTGCAGTGAGATTGTCGCTTGTCGATTGCCGCAGTAAAAACGGATGATAGAAGCTTTAACCCAGAACGATGTTTAAGTTGGACATAAAGTGACGGTCTAGCAGTATTACTCTCGTTCTGCGAGACCTGTACACGGTCGTAATAACCTTGTTTGGCGGTCTGATCTGTCAACGAGTCTTCCGGATGATCTCCTTTCCAGGGATAGAAATCCAAAGGTTCTAGGAGAGAAGTTAGTTTTGGTCAAACAGCTGGTGGATAAACACTAAACCTACTGCCTGAGTCGAAAATCGGGGCAGCCTCGGGTACTTCGATGCAGAAAGGTGTTGTTTGCACCTCGGCACCCGCATTCTGATTAACACGGGGTGTTTCTTCTCTGGAGCTGTGCCCTTGAGGTCTGTATCTCCACGGACGCACCGGCAATGGGGGCAGCGAGTCGGGCTGTTCGGGCTCATCGTTCGGAATTTCGGACTCTAAGCTTCCTTGAAAGCCGAATCCAGATACTTCTTCACCAAAATCCCAGAAGGGTCTACCTGTCCGGATTGGTGGCACCGTGTCTTGTAAAGCAAAAGGACTGGAAACTGCTTGAGAAAATCGAGCCTTTGGCGCTCTCTGTGTATTTGGTACGTCGATTCTTAGGTCCAACTTCTGGCGCTTGGTCGCCCGATTAGCGTCGCAAGTTTCATAGTCGCTATTTGTCAGGTCTATAACGGAATCTTGGGCTGCTTGTTCGACTGCTGAAGGATCGGTTTGACTGGGTCGTTGCGAATGTCCCTGGATGGCCAGTCCACTGGAGGACGAGTTACCACAACTCATCGAAGGGCGAGAACTCATCACAGGGCATTCCGGGGTGTTAAGGCTGGCCATGTATGGTGATTATCAATCCATTTTCGCGATGCCAAATTAAGTTATCTGGAGGTCGTGGAGGGAGGATAATTGGACGGAGCCGGCTCTATATGAGGAGAGACAATAGCTCAGCAACGAGGCGATCGTCGTCAACGCAGTTTCCTCGCCTCCTTTTCTTCAAAGCCTTGGAGAGACCGGGGGGGTCAGCTTCCAGTTTGTATCACCGAGTTCGTAGTATTATGGACGTACAACTTTCTGTATACTCAAACTTTACCGCAGTATAATCACGCGAAAATTCTGGACCATGTCTGGATTAAGTGCCATATCGCTCAATGATGAGCTTTCATGCGTGGAATGGGATCGACTCCATATATGGAGTCCCCAGGTCAGGCAAGGTAGGGCTTCTCTCGCCGAGCTCTGAGGAGCCACTCATAGCGGGAAAACCACGGAACACGGAGAACGGCAATCTTACGCGGGCGCTGGGCAACCATGACAACTAGGCGTGTCACGTGATTTGTCACACCCGTGTTTGCGCTGTTTGTCTGCGCCAGCCACCAGTCGGCACGGAACCGGAGCCACTCAAGAAGGCTCTCCGCTGTGATATGGCGCTCTTGCGACGTATTCAAAGGGGCGAGGAGGAGTAAGTGCCAAGAACGCTGGGCTTCAACGATAAAGAAACAAGAGCCACAAAGATTTCTTTGTCCTCGAAGCCGAGTGTTTCGCGAGGACCCAGGATGTCAGAGGCGACGGGGAAGCGTGAACTTGTGTCAATACCTGTTATTACGGCAAGCGTTGGCTTGACTGCCCCTACGGAGTAGATTCACCGTAAATAGGTCGCATAATACCGTAATTACGTAACTTACGTGCGTTGACAAGCAAATGTGTTATCATCAGCTTTCCCCCATGACGTCTATCAAGCCTCTGTTCCTTTTTCAAAAGCCCAAAAAATGCAGCTAGCACCTTCGCTGCCGAGATTTTGCATCTTCGCATGTGCTGATTGGAATCTGTGATTTCATGCTGCTAAGTTCCTGTCTTTCCTGATGGGGCGACGTGACGAATCATCAAGCACCTGATGGGTTCTCTGTTCGTGCTCTTCTTGGTCTATGTCCTAGGCGGCGTTACCTTCATTCCCGTGGTTTTCGGCCTCTTGTTCCTTCATGCCTATCTAACTTTACCCTCCGTCGAAAATGCTCCGGAATTAGATAAGGATGGGTCTGATGGAATTCACCGATCCGCCGACGACCAGTCGTCCGTTCAAAGCGGTACAGATGTTCTCGCCGAGAAATTCCAGCGAACCCACGAATCGGACGTGGCAGCAGGATATTTCACCGTTTGTCGAGAGTATGTACCGGGAGGAGTCAATGGGAAGCCTCCGGAGCGGACCACTCCGGCGGGCGAGGTGATCACGCCCGAGAGCCCGAGTGTGTACCAGAGTATGTATCGAAGCATATTTGAGAGAAAACAGGCCCCGACTATCGACCCCGCGAAGCCGAATGGAAAGAATATCAAGAAAGGGCGAAACGTTTTCTACATAGTCTTGCGGTTCGTAACCATCCCTCGGAGAATTGCCTTGACAAAACACTAACCCGTTTCCCCACGCCCAGACACGGCCACCTGATGCTATACGATGACTCCGAACAAGTGGAAGTGCGTTACGTTATCTCCCTATCCCATTACGATGTTAGCATATACGGTGGAGGGGAGTCCATACCGGAAGGCGAATTATGGATCAAGCGCAACGCAGTCTGCCTATCGAGGAAATCGTCCCAGTCGGACGTTAACAACCCACAAGTGACAGCGCTTCCATTTTATATATTCTCTGATAATCCTTCAGAGAAAGAAGATTTGTATTTTGCAATTCTAAAAAACCTAGAGAAGCTCCCCGATTCCCCGATTTCTCCACCGACCGCTCAACATTTCGATGTCAAGGACATTGTCAATCTGGTTAAGCGTCTGCATTCGTCTGAGGAGAACCTTCAAACTCGATGGTTCAACGCTTTGGTTGGGAGACTCTTCCTCGCCCTATACAAGACGTCGGAACTAGAGAGCCACATTTGGATGAAGATCGCGAAGAAGATCTCTCGGGTAAAGAAACCAAACTTCATTACCAGCATTGTGCTTCGAAAAATTAATGCGGGGGAGGGAGCCCCATTGATCACAAATCCGAGGCTTAAAGATCTTACCGTCGATGGAAATTGTTGCGTGGAGGCCGACGTTATGTACGATGGCAACTTTCGTATCGAAATTGCAGCTACTGCTCGAATTGATTTGGGTACAAGATTCAAAGCCCGGGAAGTGGACCTTGTGCTCGCTGTGGTATTGAAAAAGCTGAAAGGCCATGGTTTGGTCCGCTTCAAGCCTCCCCCAAGCAACCGGCTTTGGGTATCATTTGAGACGATGCCAGAGATGGAGATGACTATCGAACCCATTGTCAGTTCTAGACAAATTACATACGGTGTCATCCTTCGAGCTATCGAAAGCAGAATCAGAGAGGTAATAGGGGAAACTTTAGTGAAACCTTTCTGGGATGATGTACCATTCCTAGATACGTCGCGACAACCCCATCGTGGCGGCATTTGGCAGGAGACATCGAGACCAATTAGCGATCATGGGGTTGCAGACGATTTCGGAGTGGAGCAACGCCCTGCAAAGGAACCGTCTGATGAAGTATTAGGTAGTGAGGGCCAGACTGTGGGCGTAGTTTCATTGTCTCCCCCTCCATCCCCAGATTCAAACGAGCAGAACAAGAGCACCTTGACGCTCGATGATGCACCCGCGGAAGTCGATAATATTTCTCAGGTGGATCTCCACCCTCCCCCTGGACAAGGGTCCTCGGAGCCAGAACTTCCGTTAACTTCGGACTCTTCAAGCGCGGAGCATATGGCATTGGATACGAAGCTTGAAGATACAGATGCAACGAGCACCATGGTCGATCTTCCCACATATTCTAATAATACATATGCGGGGTCACTGCATCACCGATCAAGGCAACGGTCTATATCTTTCCAAAAATCTCATGATCATTTTACGAATTCTCGTTCGAGGACAGACTCCATTCTCAGCAAAGCTTCTACGAGTTCTATTCCTGAGAGTAGTGACGGAGACTCGGCAGGTTTAACGGCTAAAAATATAAATCACCAAGAGGGTTCACCAACCACTAGATTAGGGTCGTCCCCATCAAGCCCAAAACCCTTGGAAACTCGCCAGACCATGAGCTCACTAGGGTCTGCCGCTGCTGCTGCCGCCAAAAAATGGGGATGGAACGTTTTGGGCCGCACTGATCAGTCGCACAAGGTAGGGGGAACAGTGATCCCGGACCATCCTATTGGCCGGGGCAGACCGTTACCTCCTCCTGGAACTCCGCTCCCTCCTCCGGAGAAATCAACTTTCAGAGTCAACCCGATTTCCATGCCTAAACGTAAACCTCTAGCACCACACTTATTTCCTGAAACCGCCGAAAGAAGTGAAAAGAACCTCCCCGAACGCAGACCCATGCGCCATAGAAAATCGACCTCGTCTACGAAGACGGAAGACAGTCGCACACAGGAGGAACTCCTGATTATTAGAGCACCGTCTGGTTCAGAACCGAATAGTCCGTTACCAGCTGAGGCGGAAAGTCCCGAAAAGCCTCCTTTGAATGGCGAAAATACCGATAAACAGTCTGTTCAAAATGGGAATCTGCCGGGACTCTCCGCTTCTCCCACCACCAAAGCCAATGTTCTGGATGCAAATGGTCACGAAGAGAGTCGTCATGCTTTGGATGCAACGGAGGAAGTAATTGCTGCGGTGAATCCCGTCGAGAACCTGGTGTCTTAGATGCTCGAAACTTCCTTAATGAATATTTCATGTGTATTGTTCCACCTTGCAGGATTAACCGATCAATGTATGTAGAAATAATACGACAGATAGAGTTACTGCTAACAGGCCGTTTTCTCGACTCAGCCATAATTACGCAGTAGGAGTAATAAAAAGAGTTTGTCTAGCTACTTGCTAACTTTGTACGCAAATTATGAAGTAGCTCACGTCCTCAGCAGTCAGTGATGGATGGAACGGCTTGATCTATGGTTCTGTATTTTAGGGAGGCGGATAATCGGCCTGTCCCTCTGGGCGGTGGGCGATGGCAAAATAGCCGCCCCTACTCTGTACACTGCCAACTTACGTAACCGTACGTCAGCTCATCCCTGAAGCATACGCACAGCTCTGAACGGGTTGAACATAGTCCTTTAGCTTATAATCCTCCTTTCTTCGCATTATTGAGTCAGAGAACATTGTTCTTCAACTCACTTTACCCTCACATTTGCTTTTCAGTCGGGCCGAGATTAGCGCATCAGGGAACCCCCTTCCCGAAGCTTAGTGCCTCCTCCCACTTTCTCCCAACGGGGCCATCATGTCTATGGCATATAACTCGACAGTCACACGCAATATAGATATGAGCAGGTAGAGTGATTTGAAGCCCTGTTTGACATATGAATTGAAGGCAATGCTAATGTGAGCGCAATGTGAAGGACCGAAGCCGATTTGGCCGTGAACATCCGCAAAGCCACGAGCATTGGTAGGCACCCTCATTTTAATGCGAACCCCTTATCAACCTTCTAACGTTGACACTTTTGCAGAGGAGACGGCACCCAAACGTATGCTCACCCTCGCCTTATTCCGCCCTCACCCATGATTTCGACTGATTCGTTCTAGGGAAACATGTTCGGAGTTGCATTGTGTATACGTGGGACCACAAATCCTCCGCTTCATTCTGGGCGGGCATGAAAGTGTGAGTGGTATCTACGAGCTAGCTCTCTGAGTTTTCTGCTATGGGATATCTGGGCTGGGAAAAGTGATCACTTTGCTGACACAGGGATACGCATATTTCTAGGCAGCCGGTTTTGGCAGATGAGGTCCAGACGTTTAAAGCGCTTATAACCGTCCATAAAGTGTTGCAGGAAGGTCATCCGATTACGGTTAAAGAAGCCCAATCCCATGTTCCGTGGCTAGATAGCCTGGTACGAGGCGTGGCTGGCGAGGGTCTTCGGGGTGAGTAAGACCTTACTTTTTCGACAAATTGTTACACCGAGAACCTCAATTCAACAAGCGGTTGCTAAAAAAAAATTCCAGGATATGGTCCGTTGATCCGTGAATATGTTTTTTACTTGGAGTCCAAGCTTGCATTTCATCGTCAGCATCCTGAATTCAATGGTGAGCATCGGAATTCCGCTCCATAGACATTCGTCACTCGAGGTCCCTTTTTTTGGTATTAACGGTGAATGGCCAGGTTTGTTTGAATATGAGGAATATATCAGTCTCAAATCCATAAATGATCCAAACGAAGGGTAAGACATAGCCCTTGAATATGCCTTGTATATTCGTGGCTAACGTTGTTTAGATATGAGACAATTACCGATCTTATGGCTTTACAGGACCAGATTGATGCTTTCCAAAAGCTTATTTTTTCTCATTTCCGCGGCGGAGCCAACAATGAATGCAGGATATCAGCGCTGGTGCCTCTGGTACAAGAAAGTTACGGGATATATAAATTCATCACCAGCATGCTAAGGGCCATGCACACAAGTAAGCATAATGGGCCGATACTCACGTCTGTCAATGCGCTAATGGAAGTTAGCCACCGGAGATGAAGAGGCATTGGAGCCTCTCCGAGGAAGATACGACGCGCAGCATTACCGACTTGTTAGATTCTACTACGAGTGCTCAAATTTAAGATATTTGACCAGTCTGATTACCGTACCCAAGCTCCCACAACAACCTCCAAATCTTCTTGCTGAGGACGAAGATCGGCCAGCCCTTCCCAAGAGACCATCTAAGGAGGTGGAAAAAGAACCGACACCACCCCCGAAATCGACCATCCCAGACCCCGAACCCATTAATGACTTCTGGTCAACGGAAGCCAAGCGTCAACAGGAAGAATATGAAGCCGAACAGCGTAGGCTCCAACAACAGTGGGAAGACCAGCAACGACAGCAAATGCTTGCGCAGCAGCAGGCCCAAAGAGATTTTGAAGAACAACAGAGATTGCAGGCAGAGCAACAAAGGCTGGCTCAAGAACAACTGCTCCGGGACCAATACCAGCAACAAACCCAAGGCCGTTTAGCTGAACTTGAGCAAGAAAATCTCAACGCGCGTGCACAGTATGAGCGAGATCAACTCCTGTTACAACAGTACGATAAACGAGTGAAAGATTTGGAGGAACAGCTTAACCAGCTAAATTCCAATTATAACCTTCAAAACACTTCCAAAGACGACCAGATCCGTGCGCTGCAAGAACAAGTCAACACTTGGAGGTCAAAGTACGAAGCCCTTGCGAAACTCTATTCCCAACTGCGCCAGGAACACCTCGACTTGCTGCAAACGACAAAATCCTTGAAGCTCAAGGCTGCTTCTGCCCAAGAAGCAATCGACAAGCGAGAGAGGCTCGAGCGCGAGATGAAAACTAAAAACCTAGAACTCGCCGATATGATCAGAGAACGAGACAGAGCACTCCACGAGAAGGATCGTATCTCTGGCGGAAACAAGGAGGAGCTTGAGAAGGTCAAGCGTGAATTGCGCTTGGCCATTGAAAGAGCCGAAAACGCAGAACGTGCGAAGAGCTCCGAGATATCTGCCATGCTTTCGAAGTATAATAGGGAAATGGCTGATCTTGAAGAAGCCCTAAGGGTATGTCTAGAAGTTTCATTTTCTCGTGCATTGGTACGAGATGCTGATCATCTGGTCTATTTTCCACTTTCTAGAATAAGAATCGGGCGCTTGAGGAAGCGCGTAATAGCACGGGTGAGCGTGATCACGACCACGAATTGACATTACGAGAAAAGGACGAGGAGATCGAAGTCTACAAGTCCGGAATGGAGCAAGCCTTGATGGAGCTTGAAGAACTGAAGCTGGTATGTGTGCACAGAATAAGTCTCGTATGCCGACAGCTAACCTTTTCCTAGAACCAAGGAGATGTCGATAAGGCACTAGACACCCAAATTGACGACGTACTCCTGAGCTCCGTTACCAAGATCAATGACATTATAGACTCTGTGCTGCAGAGTGGAGTTCAACGTGTAGACGATGCGTTGTATGAACTCGATTCAACGATGCAGGCTGGCAACCAGAACGCCTCCCCGCCCTATGTTCTCTCACAGATCGAGAAGGCCTCCGCGAGTGCCACCGAGTTTTCAACGGCGTTCAATAACTTCATCGCCGATGGACCTAACAGTGCGCATTCCGAGATTATTCGCACCGTCAGTGTGTTCTCCGGTTCTATAGCGGATGTTCTCAGCAACACTAAGGGATTGACACGCTTTGCCACGGATGATAAGAAGGCAGACCAGCTTATCAATGCCGCTCGACAGTCGGCACAGTCAACAATGACCTTCTTCCGAGCATTGCAGTCCTTCCGGTTGCAGGATCTAGAACCCCTCCAAAAGACCGACGTTGTTATCAACAACAATCACGAGGTTGCGCTAAACTTACAAAAGCTCTCTAAGCTAGTGGATGCGTTTGCTCCAAAGAGCACCAAGCTCAATGGAACAGGAGACCTCGGTGACCTCGTCGACCGCGAATTGTCTAATGCGGCGAACGCAATCGAAGCAGCGGCTGCGCGACTCGCCAAGCTCAAGAAAAAGCCGAGAGACGGATACTCCACATACGAGCTACGTATCCACGACTCCATCCTCGAAGCGTCGATTGCCGTGACGACTGCCATCGCCGAGCTTATCAAGGCAGCCACGGCGTCCCAGCAGGAGATTGTTAGAGAAGGCCGTGGTAGCTCCTCACGGACGGCTTTTTACAAGAAAAACAACCGGTGGACGGAAGGATTGATCTCGGCCGCGAAGGCTGTGGCCACGTCGACCAACACGTTGATCGAGACCGCCGATGGGGTGATCTCTGGAAGAAACTCACCGGAGCAACTGATCGTGGCCAGCAATGATGTTGCCGCAAGCACTGCTCAGCTCGTCGCGGCTAGCCGTGTCAAGGCGACGTTCATGAGCAAGACCCAGGACCGCCTGGAGACGGCGAGCAAGGCAGTCGGAGCTGCATGCAGGGCGCTTGTGCGGCAAGTACAGGCTATCATCGCAGAGAAGAACCGCGATGAGACGGAGGCAGTTGATTACTCCAAGCTCAGTGGTCACGAGTTCAAGGTCCGCGAGATGGAGCAGCAGGTATGTACATTCCGGTCGAAACTGTAGCTGTGTGCGTCTTGCAGCCGTTGCTCAGGTATGCTAATCCGAACCTTCTTGTGTGCAGGTTGAAATCCTCCAACTGGAGAACAAACTTTCGCAGGCAAGGCAGCGTCTTGGGGAAATGAGAAAGATATCGTATCTAGAGTAATCTACCTGGAACGGCGGGGGAAAGGGGATCTCTTCCGCAATCGGGTCTTCTACAAGCTTCTACGGAGGGATAGTTTTGTCTTTCAACATGCCAAATACCAACTTTTCGCGACTCTGCCACATTTTGCGACGAGGAGGGAGGCCGAGTTTGCTGCTTTCCGAGTCATATACCCGGATTACCTTTTTTTTTTTTTTTTTTTTGCAACGCCTGGGTATCTCCCTTCCCCTCTAGGGTTGCCTGCAGTACAGTTTTTAGGCGGAAAGCAAAACGTGTGTATACGTGTATATATGTGTGTGTCCTCCGTATCTAGACTGAAAACCATGTTTCTCGTATCTTTCGACGAGAGTGGACGTATGTAATCTTGGAATCTTTTCTTTGTTGTCATTTAAACAAAAAAGCCCACACTGCGCGTCCAGGCGTTCCAGATTTCAAGTTTTGCACGTTGAACCGGGGCGGGGGAGGGAGGAGAGAGTTCGTGTGTGTTACAGTAGGCTTTCTTTGTTTCATCGATCGCGTCGCTGGGAGGGCTTGGGTTGGCGTGGAGATCCGGCGCACAGATCCCACCGGCGAGCGGGGTCGTCCGGGGCGCCAATGACATGCATGCACAACCCACCCTGGCAGGGCGGCGGTGGGGCTCACTTTTTATGCGCAGGAGAAACAGCCTCTCCGCCAATCAGCACCGGGTACTTAGCGCCGGCTCCATTTCCGCTCGTCCCAATCCTCTCCAAACATGACACCGGATGGGGAAAAAAGAGAAAAAAGACTCGATCATAACTTATGGCCACTGGCTGATTATAAATAGTCTGTGCAGTTTTGTAACTACGCTCTGGTTTTGCCACATGTGCATTCTGGACTTGATGGATTATCGGCGTCTTGGGGCGGGGGGGGAGGGTACGGAGTAAGCAAACCGGTGTTTGCTTGCCTGTCAGGCAGTTGCAGAAAGGTGGGGCCAAAAAACGTCATGAGCCTGTGTGCTGTCGAGAGAACACAGCTTGTGCATGGTTTTGTTTGCTTCGAAACTTGCTGTGGAGAGGGGGGTTGGGGGGGAGAGCTGGCCGGTAGGAGCCGTTTCCTGATTCCATCCCAGCCTCCTTTTGAAGAAACAACTCTCCTTTTTTTTTTTTCCCAACTTCAGATGGATGCCTAGATGACCGCGGAACACACGGTACGGAATGCTCCCCGCTGTGTTGTGGTGCGGCTGCCCCTCGGAATTTTGCGTGAGGGGCACCGCAGGCACAGCGCACGCGGCTGGGGCGCTGTTCGGGGGCTCGTTGGCAATCCCCGTTGCCATTCGTTACCAAAAGTTCGGACGATCTCCACCCACAGGTGGCTTGGCAGTAATTTACGTTACACTCATTGTCCATACCGAGAATCCATACCCCGTACGGCGTAGTACGGCGTACAGGGCGGCGAACGGTCCAGTAAATATTTTCGATCGGTTTTCACGCTAAGATAAACTCGGGGCTTGTTGTCACCTCCACAACGGCAAGAGGCCCACCACGCGTGGCGGCAATCCTTGGCTGGGAGTGTCAACCTTATCATAACCACAGATCCCAATCCCTGTTGAATAAAGCGCCGCCGTCGCCAGTACATATTGCATTTGGTATGCGTAGTTTTTGATCGCTGGAAGACCTATCATTCTGGACATGAGGACAGTTTGCGGGTAGAAGAATGAGACTTTCATCACAAATCTTATGCGAGCTGTCTCATCTGTATTCCCAGCTTGCATGTAACAGGCCCGATAACTGAAAGATACAAATTTCTCAATACATTTGAAATTATTCGGTGAACTTGTGGTCAGGATCCTGTAACATAGCAATAAGAGACAGATACGATAGTCGGTTCTTTGTAATCCACCTCCCTGGGTTGCACATTAGCCATACAATCCTGATGTTTTACAGCAAGTGACATACAAAACTGTTCAGCATCCTGGGGGAAGCAATGGCTTGCTTGAACCACCACTGTTTTCTCTGCATTATTGAGCCAAGGAAATTCGTTGATTGCCTGTGCACAAAGCTCCTGAGCATGCGTATTAAAGCGCCGGCGACGATATCCCCAAAATGGGTTTGAAAGACCTAAAAGATCCCTACTATAAGTTAACAATTTGCTATTTGATGTAGAAGCTGCCCCTTCACCTACGTTGTGAAATATTCTCGAATTGCCTTACGAAACAGTGGTTGATACCCATACTTCTCTGAGTATTGTTTGAGCATACTGTTCGCTTGCTTCTGCTGGAAGGCTATCCTCCACTTGAGAAAACCTTCAAGCTTGCGAGGAATCTTCTCCAGTTCAGAGAAATCCATGAGATTTGTAAAATCAATCTCTTCACCAGCGATGTCTTCTGGCTCTGGATGGACATTGTTGAGTTCTATCAAATGCTGGAGGTTTTCTAGGTGTTTTTCAAGCGTAACTCCAGGGGGGATCGCGGTTCCACTCCCAGTAGAGTCTGATTTAACGTCTTGTTTGTTGATGGTGGGTGGAATTGTCCCTTCGTCAAGAAATTGTTTGACGTCCGCTTCAAATTTCCGAGAATCGCTTGTTTTATAGCTAGAGATGAGAAGAGCAACTTGTCGACGGACTGCCTTATCCTCCGCACTAGAAGAGCTTCCAGACTCGTCAAGCGAAAAAGAACTTTTTATACCCATCAGGAATTCATAGTTTTTATCGGTATCCATACTTAAGAAAGATTGGACTGGCCACAGTGATATTCAAACATAAAAGGGATTATAGATCGTAAAAGGTTCACTACAAAGTAATGAAAAGAGGTAACCTTTTAAACACTTCGCGGACTACACATAAACTCATTTCTTGGAATCGTCTTGTGTATATCGAATCATACGCCGTTTTTTATACGGTTCGAAAAACAGCCGTTTCCCTTGAGGCGTAAACAAAGAAATTTACCACACTAGTACAGTGTTCTGGAAAGCTCCGTTCTTTTCTCTCCGCCTGCTTTTCCTTTCCAACCATCTCCTCTCTCTCTCCATTTATTATTTTCCCTCCTTTCTTTTGTCAAGATATCAACATTCGCCTCTCACTTCAAATTGCAAAACAGTGATATATCTGCTACAGACTCGATTCTCATCCAAAGTTATCTTCAGATATCCAAACGTCGTTCCCAAATGGCTGCCGTTACTACCGCCGGCTTTCAGCCAATGACTGGTTCTAAGGACCTGGTTGTTGAGCTCATCTGGCAGCATGCTGTGAACCATTTGAAGAAAACCAAAAATGAAATCTTTCTTCCCGTGGATATTATCTCACTCATCGGAGGAGATAACGTCGAGAAGATCAAGAATCGCCTGAGGTACGTTGTTTATATCTATATATACCTTGATCAAAACATGCCTTGCTGACAGCTCGAAGCACCATGCTTAATATGCCAGTCGTCGCGTTCGAGGACCATGCGAACAATGTGTACCGCATCATGCCTACTCCTGCTTTGGACGGCGCAATTGAATCTACTGTAGCTCAAATTTTGCCAATGATGGCGACTGGTTCCCATAGTCCTCAGAACTTGGGAGAAAAGCTGAACAAGCAAAATGTTTCGGTCAAGGCCGCGAAAGTTCCTCGCCCTCCCAATGCCTTTATTTTATACCGCCAGCATCACCACCCGCTCATCAAGGCAGCCCATCCTGAATATCATAATAATGATATTTGTAAGTGTAGTATTCGCTTAATATAAACCATCACTAACAGTTTCTGTTTGCTAGCGATTCTTCTTGGGAAGAAATGGAAGCTAGAGAATGCCGAAACTAAAGCTCACTTTAAAGCTCTTGCCGACAAAATCAAGCGCAAGCACGCTGAAGATCATCCTGACTACCAGTATGCTCCCCGTAAACCGTCCGAGAAAAAACGTCGTTCCGTTTCTCGACGCGACGGGTTTTCTTCCAAAAACATCCAGCTCGATACATTCTCTCCCCAGATTAGTACATTCGGTAATTCAGTCCAAGGAACTCAGATGGAGGTTGATTTTTGTACCAATGTTGTTGATGCAAGTCAGTCTCTCGACAACAACGATGACCAGCCCGCTACTCCAGTCGTCACTGTGCAATATAACCCCGGTCCAGAGATGATCCAAGATACCTCAGACTTCATCATGGGTCTTAACAATGGAGGCTTCCTTACTCTTCAACGTCGCTTGATTCCATCCACTTCGGCATCGGCTACTGTGCCCGCGAGCAATTCCGCAACCTCCAACAATTCGAACGAATATGAATTCGATATGGATGACTACTTCATTCCGACGGAATAAATGGAGATCTACTTGAACAAGGCCATGACCAACGGTTGATTGTTTCGCCGCAGTGACCTATTCCGATTCAACGCGCAGCTGGATCGAAGGCTAATGAAATTCCTGTACGGAAAAACGTCTTTGTGTTTGTTGTGGACATCGAGAAGCAGAACTCTGGTCTTAAGGTAGCTTATAGCATCCCTTGGTTTTGACATTGAAGCACATGACGGCAGATTGCAGCTGTTGAACATTGGTCAACGCTACCTCGAAATACACATGGTGGTGAGTTGAAATTAATAGAAATAGCGGAATAGATGGATATGACCTGGGCTTGATGAATCTTGATTTCGTTGCCCACTTGTACTGTACAATAGGTAGTTCATAGGAAATAAATTGACACCATCAAACTTGTAGAATTGGATTGAATTCTTCAAACTCGTTGGTCCAAAATGTATTGTACACATTAAATAATTGTATCCAAATGCTCATTCCTTCTTAAGCTCACAACTTGGCAGTTTACTCTCTAGTTAACACGCGTACATTCGAATGGATTTCAATTGGTTATGGTTTCGTCAAGAATATTATATGTACCCATTGCAGTTTAATTACCACTAGATTGGCTGTGTGCAGTGACTGCGCATAAACCATTCTTAGCAGGTGCTAAATTATATTAAACAAGAAAAACGAGGTACACAGAGTTCTATATAAATATATCATTGTTATGGTCCCCAACTTCGAACTACATGACTGGATTATTGCTTAGAGTTCCAATCACTACACCAGATAAATGTAGGACACCGCCATTGAGTTCCAGTTTCTTTATTGCCGCTGGGGCCGAGTGGTCTTGGACAAATCCAAAACGATCTGCCCCGATTGATTCCGGGTTTCTTCGTGACGAGACGGACGCATGGTTCTTCATGCCCTTCGCATCTAGGAGGCGGCCTCTTTTTAAATATTTTATTCCATGACTCTTGTTCTGGAATTGAAGACATCACATTTATGCCAGCCACGATACGGCTTGGAACCGCGGAAACAGTTGTAGATTCTTGTGAGGTTTGAGGATCGGCTTCAAAATCAGGGCTCGCGTCAGGAGGCGAAATCCCCGAGGTACGATGTCCGGGACCCGAATCATTTTTGCGTTCATTCGGAACAGAATCGTTGATGGCCTCGCAATCCTTCGCAAGGTTAGACTGCTTCAGACGGGGCTGTCTTGGACTAAAAAATCCGCGAATACTTTTCTGACTAGTTGTCGGGAGAACGCCGGCAATAGGTTCTTTCTTCCGCCGTTTTGGATCTCGTTCGTCGATTTCATGAGATCTTTCAAGGTCCAAGGATATCGGCCTCCCTTTGTTCGTCATTCTGGACATGGACGTCGCATTTTGATTGATCTCACCAGGGGAGGGATTTTGAGTTGAGGACTGACGTAGGAACATATCTCGAATATTGCGACGACGGTTAAATTCGGGAATGAGCCTTCCAGACAGTGGAAGGTGGCTTCTTGATAAAGAATTGTCAGCTGCTTCAAAATCCACCGATGGATTCATGAGATTAACAAAATCGATTTGATCCCCATGCAGATCAACGTTTTCTTTAAATATGGCGTAGACAGGACAATGGTCAGAGCCCTGAGAACTGTCAGCCTGGCAAAGTGCATATTGAAAGTTATTACCAACCATTAGTCCTTCTTGAATATCTGCAATAGACATCCAGTCTTTCATATCTAAACTACATAGGATGTAGTCTATTCTTGCACCAAAATTCCCAGGACGTGCATTAATTCTTTGCTCCCAGCAAGTGTACATGCCGCTTCTGGCAGGGAAGAATGATCTACACATGTCCCATAATACCGCGTCCTTTTTGTCAACACCTTCGATGTGCGAAACCCTCCCACCTTCGACTAACCGGTTGAAAATAATGCGAGCCGGCGACGAGAGAAATTCATCGGTTGTCAGCCTGCTTTTCCGAATTTGCTCTAATGCATGCGCAGAATCAATCTCATCCCTTGAAATATTTAAATCTCCCGCAACGACAACCCTCTTCCCTAGGGAAATCAGGTTTCGGATACGATGATCGAGCGCATTTAGAAATCCTAGTCGAAAGCCATCTCGCGTTTCATCTCTGTTTGCAGGACAATAGACACCGAGTAGAACGAAGGCAGGAAACTCGAGTATCACGCAGCGACCCTCTGAATCAAGAGTTTCCGCACTTAACTCTGAGGTTGAGAGTTGCTCATCTGTCGGGTACCCGCCAATTTGCTCCGATTCTGGGAGTTCCCGGTACGAGGACGTGGAATTTGGCGGACAAAGAATACCGGTGACACCTTCTTCGGCATATATAGGCGAACAGGTGGCATTTCGGGTGTATATTGCCACCCCGGAGTATCCTCATCAGTCAGTAGAGGGGAAACCCAAACAGCTGAAGAGACTTACCTTTCTTGTACTTTGGCAGACTGAAAAAGCAATCCCAGCCAGGAACTAATACCATGTCGTCCCGTAAATCTTTTCTCTGAATTTTAAGCTCCTGAAGCACAATGATGTCTGCTTCAAGAAGATCAAACATTCCCTAGCAGAGTTAGACAACGAGAATTAGAATGATACTGACGTGCCATATACCTGAAATGACTGTGTACCTCGCCATGGTTCGTACGAAAATGGATTCCTAGCCCGGGATTAGCCCGGTTGAATTTTAAGCATGAAGGAATCACATCTACGGACCGTATGCCATTGACTTGATAAGTAAGTTAGCAGCCCTGTGTTCATCGGTGGCACCTTTAAAACATACCATTCCAGGTCGTAAGGCGGAAAGTCATGACGCTGACTCTGCCACACTTGATTCTCTTTTAATTGCCGGATATCGGTGTTCTTAGCTACCTAGTTAAGACTAGGAGGAGTTTCGGTTCTTTGAGCCTCTGACAACCGACTCCTGTGCGCCATACAAAGTCCGGTTTCCAAACCAACAGCACTTGAACCATGAGAAAAAAAGATTCTTATTATTCTATAAGGAGAAAAGGTACAAGGTCAAGAGCTAGTTAGCTGTTGGTCGCCCGTACCATGAAATTAGGGGAGCTAGATGGACAAGCAGGCAGGTCGTGTTGAGGCCCGTACTTCGTGTCAGGGACCTCACCAGAGCAATAGAGTCGTCAGTTGGTATTATTAACTAACCAAGCCGAAGGTCGGTATGTTATCAAGGTTGCAGGTAGTTAGTTCGGCAGTTCGTTAACAAGTTACTCCGTAGTTAGTTAACTTAACTAACTGACTTACCTGACCAAGTCGGCAGTTAAGCTAACCTGTATCTAGTTAGTGCATGTGGTGGTATGATGTTCCGAAATTCCAACTTCCCACCTCCGAATATTATTATCGTCACTTGCGCTCGTCTTCGAATTCGCAGTCACATTGTTTCAGGACATTGGACTTTTTCATCAAGGCATCATGTTTTCTCAGCGAGCTTTGCTCCGAACCCCTCGCCGTCTTCCTTATCATGTCAATGCCCCTTTTCGCCGTCGCTTCGTAAGCACGGACGGGAAGCTGTCGGGGGTTCCGGATAACAAATTCAATCGCGAAAGAGCAGCAGTTAAAGCGCATGCAGCTGCTACTAGTGGTGCGCATTACATCGGAAAACGTTAAACGTTCGATCCTTACTGACGCTGCATTTAGATTTATGGCGGAAATTATCAATCTAGTATATCTCACATCCCCGATTGCAAAGCCTCTTCCTCGTACTGACAGACAAAAGCGTTGTTATTCCGGCTTTAATTCTTGGCTCCATCAATGCGTATAACTTGTGGAATGAGCACTGGGAACATTGGGATCATATGCCGCCACTCGAAGAGAGGGTGGAGTACCCTTATCAGAACATCCGCTCGAAAAACTTTCCTTGGGGTGATGGTGACAAGGTTTGAACTGTCCTTTCCACTTTCTCAATTGAAGAAGCTAGCTAACAAAATTCGATGTAGACTTTGTTGTAAGTTTATGCCTTTGCTTATGATGATGAAGAAGTTATTTTGCTTCATGGAGCAATTTCTCGTGAGTGTCTGGCTGACCATAGTCCATAGCTGGAATTCAAACGTGAACTACCACAACAAAGACAAGGCTACATAAGCATTGGTGCTGTGCAGCATGATGCAGTTGGTGGACACCATTGTATCCCAGCAGGTCTACACATATGTAACTCTATCAGCAGTAGTATAAAAGGTATACCAGAAAGGCCCATTTGGTCGCTTTATTACTAGCAGTCAGAAGTGTGTCGTATTTAGCTATATTACATTTCAAACAAAAATAAAGAGAAAGAGAACATATCCAGTTTATCAAGGATAGGACTTGTCTCCAAGCAATGTCACTGTATTGATAGCTAATCAATCTCTTTGCTTTTTGGTGTGTTCTGATTAATCCTTGAATTCCCAACATTGATTTCCGTCGCCAATACCCTTCCATCCTAGTCCATGAGAGCCTATCGTAGTAACGATGCGACCATTATCTAATTCACAAAGAAGTCGAGAGCACGGATTGATCTCGCGACCAGAAGGACATCCACAGCATCTAGAGCTTGGCCGTTATAGTCTATCTATATAAATTGGAGGCTATCGACTGTGGGTAGTTGGCAGCTAGACAACGGGAGTTGGCCGGGTTTAGGGTCGGCTTAGTAGAGACACCGTTGCAGGATCAAGGCGGCGCGCTTCATTCACCGACCCTTGCAACACCCGGACAGTCCTCTCGTCAAGGGGGGAAAGAGTACCATTTTTCATGCAGGACCACGTTGACTTATCCTGGCTCTTTTCCCACTCCCCATCTAGCATCCAGACTTCTGGAAACCAGTATTCAGCATTATTTCCCATCTTACTTTTCAGCAGGCCTCCATTAAACCATAGAAGTGCATCGTTTTCGTCGGTATGAGCGATATGAAAGGAGCACACTCTAGTGACGCCGTCAATTTTCACGGTTTCCCCGAGAATCGCCGCATAATGGGATTCGAAAGTATAAGGCACATCGCACAATTCGAATGCAAGCCACCAGGACTCCTTATCACCATAACCCATGAGATAGGTTACTTGGGTCCGGACATCTTTCGTGTTTTGCCATGCTACGTGTAGGACGCCCATAAGGGTAGAAATTCGGGCTTTGTCCACGACAACCAAGCCAGATTCGCCTTCTTCTGCGTAATTCTCATTGTGAACCCGTGACGATCGGAAATTCAGGCTCGGTGAGGTATGTTTCATTTGCTCCTGCCACCAGGCGTGTCGCTCCGGATACGCATTTTTCCAGAGTAACCTATCATGGAACAATAACAGTCCAGTCTCTTTGAAACCGTTATGGCTATCAAATATTTTTTCGGGCTCCTGAAGTAAAATAGAATCCGAGTCCATGAGGATGACCTGCTCAAACCTACTAGCTAGGATTGCGAACGGTTTTATAGCCCACGTTCCGATCGACAATCCCACTATGTCATCGTCAAAATATGAAGTGACGTCCAGTAGATAAATTTCGGGAGCCAAAGAAGATAGGAATTGCCGATAGGCTAGCGGTAAATCAGATTCACCTGCATAAGCTATTTCTATGGGGATCTGGGAATTCAAGACATTTCGGATTGATCCCACTAAATGGCAAGCAAACCGAAAAGATGACGTGCCGACAGGAACAACGATACCTCTCGAACCCGGTACATGTCGACGTAAAAGTGATAGGAGCGGCTGCTTTTCGACGGGATGTCGAAGAAACGGAAATAGGGACAAAGCAAAAATTTCGATCGCCGTCCAAACTGCAATATCGCCCGAGGCATTCTCTACCCAGTTTTGTAGAATTTGGATACGTCGACCTAACTCTCCGAAATTTGTGTAGCTCAGAGGGAAGTCTGCAAAATAGGTGGCAATCACATCCAATGAAACAGAATTAGGGGATAATTTTAAATCAGGTAAATTTAACCGATTGCTGAAAACTAGAAATGGAAATAAAAAAGAGAAAGGCGTGAGTGAGAAGAGGATGATCAATACAACTAGTGTGGAGGCTCGAATAAGATGAAGCTTTTGAAACAGCGGAAAAACAGGGATAAAATCCATCATGTGCAAGAACAAGGGAGGAGCGCAAGGCACCAAATGATCAACAGAGAATCCATGGCATCAGTTTCTCACCCCTGTTAACAGGCGCAGGATGCAGTTTATATATAGCAGCCATGGAAATCACATCTGAGTCGGGCATCTGACAAAATTCCTTCCCAACCAATCACCGAGAGGTCTTGTGAATCAACAAGCGCCCATCCAGACTCTGGGGATTTACAAGAGTGAAAGGCAGCTAAAAGTATTGGGTACAACTTTGCAAGTGCCACGTAGTTTAGTGAGTCTCCACAGAGTACCACGCTTCATTCTTCAGAGATGAAGCAAGGCGCAGCTTCAGTTAAATACAATTTGCATTTTGTCTGGCAAAGTTTGCCAAGAAGAGCTGAGAGTCAACCAAGAGCCCAATCCTGAGGTAAAGGATAAATCACATAGGTCAATCCTACAAGAGCTATCCCCCCGAAAATTGTAGGAAATGGTTGGACATGCGTGTCATCAATGTAAAGGGATATCCATCCAACATATGTATGTTGTCGCCTTCATCTATAGTAGGCCAATCTATCCCAGCTTGGTATCTTTATCCTTGATGGGTAAATCCGATCCTAATATAATATCGAACTAGGATTTTAGGCGCCTATAAAAGCTTCTAAACGAAGATAGGCAAACAGTACCATACCTGCTACCGATTTGTACTGGCCCCGGATAAAATCCGAGATCTGTTCATCCTTGGCTTGTTCAACTGCGCTTTCGTTATCCTGCTTTCCCTGGCCCATGAATCGTTCCTGAAGAAAGTCGACCCCTGAGCGGAATAGTTCTATGTTAGACTTCATGTCAATTTCTATAGCATGGACGAAGCAGCCCACCTTTGTCGAGCATATCTTCACTCTTCTCGCTCTCGCGGCCACCTCCGGCTGCGGCATTGAGCTTGTCACCTATACCCGAGAACATGCCGCCTTCTCCACCGGAGCTGCCGCCCTGATTTTCGCTCTTACCCTGGCCCGCAAGTTTATTTACGAAATCCATCGCTGAGCTTCCTCGCAGCAACCGTGAGGGTGTGCGGTTGATCTTTGGGGGGGGATAGGTTAACGGAGCCGTGAAGATATATGACGGTTGACCTGGGGAAACTAGGTCATCAGCTTGAGATTCGAAAAGCGCACGAGGGAAAGACAAACGAGGTCGTCTTTTATATCAAACATTCCCCCGCTTTGGTAGGTTTGCGGGTTGCCACTCCGCGTAGGTATGACGTGAGTGAACCATTGAACCATGGTGATTTCAAAGTTGGCAGATCCGTCCATCAATGCTACGATTCGCCAACTTGAATACGGGAAGTGCGCAGACTTCGACCAAATCAGCTCGCCTCAGTTCGAGCCCCGCAGCCTTTGAGATCCGGATGGCACACCCTATCGTAGTGTGGCAGGGAATCGACAAGTGTTTCAAGAGGCAATGCACATTGGACGATCGTTCATATTCCATCCAGAGATCCCCGGTGGCAAACCCTCTGACCTCGTCGGAAAAGCGACGATCATCAAAGCCCCACGCCTTCTGCCAATTCAAGTTGTTCAAGGTACTTTGGGGTGGGACCTCGAAGAATCCTTCCCTGGATTTAAGGGGGGATACTGCCCTCCAAGAATGGTCGACGGCCGCAGCGGGAATTTTTGTTTTGGCGCAACGCATTCGAGGATGGGGACGGTTTGGAGACTGGAGAGGTCGCTGAACCGGTGAACTAGTTGACCACTGCTTGGTATCGACATGACGGCCTCAACTGAATGTCTATCTCACAAAAATCGCCCCGGCAATCCTAATTGAGGACGAGAGTCTGCAAACTCTCACGGGCCATCCAGAAAGGCGTACAGGTAAAAGGGAGAAATCTATAATTTCTATCTGATTGTTCGCCAAAGCTGCAACGCCCATCTGCATGGTCTCCAGGCAGACTCCCACTTCCCGGACTCCGGTAGCCTCCACTCCCTGCTGCACGTGTGAAGAGATTGGCTAGTTATCCATATCGGGGTTGCGGAGCGAGACAGCTTTCGCTGGGGTTGATGAGCTAAGTACCTGAATGGGATAGTGTTTATCCTGTATAAAAATGGGTCCAAAAATATATTAACAAGCACGATAGTCTTTGGGTAGATTTCGGTGTAGTAGGCTTGCTTTTCACCGTGTATGATAGTCCTAGACGCATGCTCCGAATATGCTCGTTCACACCAAAATGAAGTCAAGGGCTAAACTCACAGCCTTCGACGGGAGGCCAAGTGACAGGGCGGAGCTCCCGCCGTCTTGATACATTCTATCGGCGTGCTGGCTGAGCCCCACACTGTTCGTACGTGCAGATATGGATTTGGACCGTTGATAATCCACTGCGTTGTACAGCGAGACTTGTTCAGAGAATTCAACCGGTACGGTGGCCTGGGAAGGTATATTGAATGGATTTAAACAACATTCAAGAGCTTTCCGGGGAAATCTATTCCGTTCGGGTTGATAACAATGCTTGATCCGCCAAGTTAATTCCTCAGCTGCTTTAGGGGTGCGGGTATGACTGGAGATTGAGCAGCTGGCGTTCTGACCGAGTCCTTCATTTTGAGAATCAAAGTCCGCATGTGTATACGTATACAACGTACAACCAATAGGCGGCAGAGATTTGTCTGTCAATGGTTGGTAGGGGTACTCAATCGTCTTCTGTGCTCGACTGAAAAGCTCCTCTAGATCGATGGCAATGTCATTCCTGGTTATTGGGATTGGTGAATCCGTGCTGATCAACGTGCATTAAAACCCAGCCGACTGGAAGAAGAAGCAGGCCCGTAAAAATCTTCCTTTCGATTTTGTTGCTATGGGGTTCACAATAAGACCTCCATATAACTTGGATAGATACTAATCATGGCCAGAATCGAAGTCTGGGAAGAACAAATCACGATAGTAGGAATTGAGCTCGATTCCAGGACTTTGTCAAAGACCTGGAAAACCTGATTTGCATACGACAATCTGAACATGAGATTGTGCTATGTTGGGACACAATAATGGAGTGTAAGGAGTAATAGCTGATCAAAGACGGCATGAAAGTCATATCCGCACCTTCGAGCAGCAAAACGGAGCAGCAAATTTGGCATCGAATTTTAGTGGGACTTTGCTGTACGGAGTATTCCAAGGAAAAATAAAGAAGGCAGAAAAGAAACTGATGATGCAATACACACCATATTCATCAAGTGATGTGCGAAAAATAACTCGCTATATTGCTTCGTTTGACCCTTCAGTAACACTAGCAATACCCCTTACAAGAGAATCGGGTGGATGCCGGTGTTCCGGATGCACTGCTCCGTGCTTAAATTCCATCGCAGTGTATGTGAAGGCAATTTTGGCTATCACATCCAGGTCAATTCATGTAGACGGTCATCTCAATTTGCACGTGGATGCGGAGACTTCTGGATAGTTTGATTAGCAATAGAAAGCTCAAGGACCGTTCGCTGATGAACAAATCAAATGAATCCGAATAACTCGCAGAACTGCGAGTAGGATGATCAATGGCGCAAACCGATTCCAGGAACCCTGCACAGCTGGAGAAGCTGTGGGCAACCCGGGTATCATATATGTCTATCAATGGTAATATCCTTCGTATCCAACAAACATCCCTGATTATGTACCTTTTCGGATGGAGCACATAATGCGATCATGCGGATCTCTGGATTTAAATGTACAGAGTGGGGATAATAGCTCTTGCACCCAAATCTAGGTAAAATTCATCGAAGCCCACATTATTCACATTTTCATTATTAAAACATTGGATCTGAACTATGCTGCTAGGGTGGGAGAGGACGTGGGAGCCGCCTTGCCCGGTCTTCCCGCTTGAGGAGGTAGGAATAAGGGAACGTAGGTCTTGCGAAATTGCATTAGCTTGCTGGAAATCGTCCATTTGCCATGATAGATGGTTCGGTGCTGCATGTACACAGTATGGGGAGTGAAAACGGGATAGAACACATACAACAATAACCGCCATAACTGGAGTAAACAAAAGCATTAGCCAGAATGTTTTGCATTAGCTTGGTATACTTTATTTTCACTGTAAACATACCAGACATGATTACTGACAAGTAGCCTGGTGTAGATGAGTTCTTCTTCTGCTCTGGAGACTCGGCCATCCAATTTTGGAGTGAAAATACAACCGACGTCCTATATAGCATGTGTTAGAGCCCGTGGGTCAAATCAGCACACGGTGGAGTATTAACGCACCATCCGATCATCCTAAGCACAGTACAAAATATCCTTTAAGTATCACCATCAAGAAAGAGACCGACCGTTCCTAGAATCAGACTCGGCCCTGGGATAGGGAAAAGGAACGCACCTGCTTCGCGTAAACATCTGTTCATTGTGTTAGCACTAACCTTGTAGGAAAGGATTGGATCTCTTCCGGCTTCACTTACCGCCGCCATGGGCAATGTGCTTGAGAGGGCACCTTAAAAAGACTAGTCGTCAGATGATTCTAGCGACGAGAGCTGCATGAGGGCAACCCACTGGCCATGTCGCCATCCTTCTTCTTCGACGCCGGGTCCACATACGGTACGACTGCCAATTCGATGTCAGCTGATTGGACGGAAGAAAGAGAAAGCGAGATTCTGGTAGAGCATGGAAGTGAAACATACCCAGGTCAGCTCTGCGCATATCCTTCTTGGTCGCCATCTTGACGAGCGTCAGCACATTTGACGGGTTCTTGCTTGCCGACCGAAGCTCAGGAGGTACGTTCCCCAAGTTACCCCCTACAGCAGAGCGAAATTCCACGTGACCGTGATGTGACATCAGGCGGGCAAACAAAGCAAACAAGGAAGACGACAACTCTAAGATGCGCATGATTGATTCAATGACTTAAAGAGTATACCCGGTTGCACCTCATGCTCAACATTAAGAGGGGGTTTGGAACTCCTAGCTGACTGAATTTGGCCTATTTACAGCACATAGAACCGAACTCCATGCCTCAAGCCCCTATTTACCCCAAAATTTACAAGGGATGCATCCTTCTTGACAAGCAACTTTTATCTCGACTCTTCATCCTGAATTTATAGAGAGGTAGTTGCTCACTTCCCACAGCTCCTCTCTCCCATCGGTTTCTGTGCGCAAATTGAGGACCTAAACGTGGTATTTGCTTAACAAAAGCGCCTGAAAGAAGAAGGAATAGCAGCACTTACACTTCAATGTATAGGTGGACGTTTGGATCTTCTAGAGCCTCCAGAACGTCACGGATAAGATGGCGCATGTCAACGTATGACCACTACAGAACACGGGCGTTTTAGCTGGGAATTCAATGAACAGGTCCGTAGTGAATCCAAACTCACCCTCAGCTCTCGCATAAACGGCATGATGGTCCAGCCATCAATGCCAGCCTTAATCTGTTCCAGATTCAGCTTCCCTAAGGCCCTCATTTTAGGGTCTTCCGACCATGTACCGACAGGTACTTTGTGTTTTTTTTCTATGATGTTGACGAATCCCGCGTTCAAGAGATGGCCCCAAGCTTGATCGGCGACCTGAAACGTCTTTCCGCTTATCTCGCCGGCCCGAAGCATACCTCGCGACCACCGTCTGAGTGGGTGATCACAGGGCAACGAGTCATTATCCGACTTGAACTCAACTGACATCTCTTGTTGGTCGACCCAGCCTCCAGGTCTTAAATGCCTGGGAATCCGGACGAGAGAAAGTTAGCCTTGCCCTTCAACGGCAATAACGTCGACGAGGATCCAAGTCTCGGGTAAAACGTACCTGTATATTGAGGCATAGAGACCGTGCCAATCTGTGATGGAACCGTACATCTGTCGTATATGAACGAGATCAAAATAATTTGGTGGATAGCACCACTTATCACAGACATCGTCAATTATAAAGTTGCAGTTACTGGGAAGGTTATTTGGCTGGATTGCGGAATAGTCTATGCCCGTGACGTTGGCAGATGGATATTCATCCGCAAAGTCGCTGTAAGAATATTAGATTGAAATAACAAAGGCCAGGAGGACCCTTACACTGCCCAAGCACCATTTCCAGTCCCAAGATCAATGACCTCCTATTGTTATGCATTAGTATACAGTTCAAAGAGCGAAAGTGACGGTGATCCACTAACCCTCACGTCTTTGGAAATGGGTGCATCCGCTAATTTTCCATCGAGTAGATCATAGAACATGTGGTGTCTGGCAAGGCACATCAGTCTCAATGAACTCTTCCCTAAAAAAAATTCGGTTACCTACGCAACGTCCATCTGGTTTTGTTGAACATCGTCGTTCGGCGCCCTGAAAAGCATCAGTGGTAGCCTTTTCAAATTTGCCCAGTGGACACTTACCAGTATTCTCCCTCTTTATAGGCGTTATACCGCCGGCCATAGTCGTATGGATAGTCGACAAATTCCGAGGCCAGGGCCGTTGTCGTGCTCAGACTGGGATCACACCAAAATCCACCAGTTAGCAACGCATCCGGAAACATTTAGATTGCTTTGAGGGACCTTTCTCATGACTCACGTGTCGTCTTCATCATAATCAGAACCAAAGCGAGGCTCCTTGGTGACCAGTCAGCCATGTACTGGCCTTGAAGGCATTTACAGACTCTCTAAACGAAGAGTTCCGGGGTACTAACACAGGTATCTGGAGCAGGCACATCAACCATCGTGACCTCCCTTGACAGCTCCACATGAATGGTTTTAACGGGACCCGGTGAAGCAACACCTGGACAAAGAGGAAAGTAAAGAACCCCGGAATCAAAGGCCAGGGCAGCCACATATAAGTTACGATTCCAGTCATAGACAATCCGGGGTGGTTTTTGAGATCGTTGCACAATGGGATGAGCCATTGTAGGTATACGCTTTGTATAATTTAAGGGAATGTCAAAGTCCAAAGGCCCTGAAAGACTGCACATAGATGAAAGAGAGCACTGGCTCGGCAGTATTGGACCGTGGGATGGACCCGGCGTGCTTTTTATCCCTTTCCTCGTGGGCAGAACATTGCAGGAGAAAGTATCTCGTACTCCGTACATAATGTTGCATCATGCACTGTGAGAAGGTAGCAAAAATAGGATAATGCATTACTTATCAGATAGGGTCATCCTTTGAGCCGTGCTCCCGAGTCAAGGCGACTCATCTTTGCAGTAACAAACTAAAAAGGGAAGAGGACGGAAGGAAAGAAAAAGAAAAATAAACGCAAAAAAACCAGGACAAAGAAGACGACGTTGCATCGGAGAATGGCTGCAGGGGCCGAGAACAATTATTTTCCTGTCCGCTGCCACGTTCCACAGCCGAAGCGCTTTTGGGACAGTGAACTACATACGGGCATGCACAAAGCATGTATGTAGCTATCGTCATTTGCACTGATTGGAGTCCCGACAGAGGAGGTGATATCCGCCCTCGGCGACTAACCGACCCGGGCGTCATACGGCCGATCCCCAGCTTTTGGGACAGAAATCAGATCCTTAGTTCATGAGCAATGAACTGCCGCCTAGGCTCAGAGCGGCTTGGGTTGGTGTTATCGACGTGTCTTTCCCTCTGGCTCAATGGGCGGCTTTGGAATATATTCGTATCTGTCGAGCCTCGGGCTGCTATTCGCTTGCTCTCAAACAAAGAAAATTGATAATGCTGAACCAGCGGTTAGGCCTGGCGAACGTTTGGGGATCGAGACTGGCTCCCGGGTCAAAAGAAGAAGGCTTAATTTTTGGAAGCAAAACGAAAACTGTCGCTGCGTGTTTCCTGGTTCTTGGAAGTTGGAGGCGTCGGAGTTAGGCGAGTCTAATGCATTGGGTGGGAGGGAGGTTTGGAAGATTGTCCGTCCAGAACAAGCCTCCTTGTGCATGAGAACAAAGAAACTGGACACAGCTTGGCTTCGTGGCAACTGCACGCGCAAATCCCCATTTAAGACGAGTCATTCGTTGATTCTATGATTGAGATCAAATTGTCTTGAATTGAGTATTGGATACAATCGTCTTATCATTATTGGATGTCATAATTTATTCCCATACCGAAACAAAGTGAGTTTTTGATCTAAATGCAAGTTTACCATGCCCATGGATTGCTCTCGCCCGACCTCTCAAGTGCTTCGGCAATGGGATCCGAGAGTGATCGAGTGTACGAGAGATTGAACGTCGTTCTGGTCCTTGAATAGAACACTGGGCAATCTTTACTGTCGCATTTGACTTCTTCACCCCACTGCACTCCCATACACGAACGGCAGACCTCATGTATGTTCGCAACCTTTTTTTCCGCCCTCTGGACTCTGTATCGCAAGCGCATGAGCGAAAGATGCGGACGCCGTAGACAGTGGTTGCAAAGGGCCTCTCCGTTTTCTAGCTTCTCCCGGCACACCACACAGGACGAAGCCCTCATATATGACTCGAGAGTTTTCCGCAACAGGGTTCCGTCAGAGATCATGGCGTTGTCAGTGCGCCGTACTCGCTGATACTTGGGCATTTCATCATACCACTGTCGGATGTTGGCCCCTACCAGGTTGAAGATTCGTTCAAGGGGCGGAATGAGGTTCTTCGAAATATAGTATTCCGCGTCCAATTCCATTTGTGGGTCTTGAAGAAGCACTTCAGGCGCCACACAGCGGTCAATCAGCCGTGAACCCGGCGCACCCGAAATCACCACGTAGGGAATCCGTTCTCCATATTGTGGCTCTAATCTTGGATCCTCGAGCATTCGCTTGGCACTGATCAGCGCGCCCGGCGGAGGTGGACCCTTCTCGCTATATGTGCCCAACCGAACCTCTTTTGCGAAACAGAAATCCTGAATGGACACCTTGCCTTGCATAATTTTGGCACATTGCTTCTGAAAATATTTCTTGACTCGACTTAGATCAGCCGTTTCGAACAAAATTCTCAGCGCCTTCTCTTCAATCTTCTGTTCAGCTGGAGTGCCATCTCGGCGAACAGTTTCTATCCCTTTAGCGTCGAACTCCGGCTTCGTCTGGCCACGGCTCTCATATTTATAACCGACGTATCTTTTCTTAGCCAAGAGGACACATGGATGGTATACCTTTTCAAATTTAAGCTTCACAGGACGAGGATTCGAGGCAGTGATTTTTTGTGCGATTTCCTCCCCAATGTCAAATGCTTCGTCTCTGGTACGGCCCTTGAGATAGATGAATAAACTGTCAGTGTCGCCGTAGACGACTTCAGCGCCCCATCGTTCAACAGAATGAATCATTGCGATGGCCTTTTCCAATGTCTCCCGAGCAGTTTGGACAATGCTGTCGGCTATCTCTGCACAGGGCATCCGTCCTGAAAACGACGCAGAAGTATATCCATACGTCACGTTCGCAATCAACTTCAGTGCAAGCTGTCGGTTATTTAGTAAGCGTTGCAGAGCCCTGTCCTCTTTATTAGCCTTCATGCCACCCTTCACCATAACGCGAGTTTCCAGAATCTCCGAAAGCATCTTAGCCAAAAGCGATTTGCGGACTTCTGGTCTGGTGTACATGATGCCGTTTGGAGCGATATTGATTTGGCTTTCAAGCAACCCTAACAAGCCTTGTTGCCTCTGATAGTCAATAAAGCCCATTTTATTTCGACCACGCCAATCGACAATCCTACCCAAGAATGTAGAATAACAATAATTGTAAGCAATCATAACACTCGGGTAGAGCGACTGAAAATCCAAAACTAAGAGCGGACTGTTGTAAAAATCGCTCTGAGGCTCCATAACTAATGGTAAACAT